TGCTAGCGCGCCGCGACTCACGCCCGCCGGCGCTTCTTCTTCGGATTATCCACGCCGCCGCCCCCCCGCCCCATCTGCACGTACGCCCTCGCGAGCTCCCTAATTTTCTCCGCCTCCCGCGCGTCGTCCAAAAACGACGCGTCCCTCTCGCGCGACGCCTTGCGCGCCATCACCTTTCGAACAACCTTCTCCAAAACTTCGTCCCCGCGCGCCGACGTCAGCACGCCGACGTCCACGAGCGGGGTGAGGTACGTCGCGACGAAGCGTGTCACCGCGGCAACGACGTCGGGGTGCCCGGGGACGGCATCGCGCGGAGCGTTCGCGGCGGGGGACGCCGTCGTCGCCGCCGCCGAGGCGGCGACGACGGCGGCGGCGATTTCGCGCGCCGCCGCGCGTCGCCGCCCCTCTTCCCCTCCCGGCGGGTCCGGCCGCGTCCGCTTCGCCGCGGCGTAGAAGAACGCCAGCGACGCGTCGCCGCGTACGACCCTCGCGCGCGTCAGATCCACGCGTGCGGCGGCTTCGCTGACGTACCGCTGCAGCAGCGATCCGGGGACGGCGGGGAGGAACCCCGCGAGCGTCGCGCCCGCGCCCGCGTCTTTCGCCACTGCGCGCGCGGCGGCGGCGGCGACGGACGCGGCCGTCGCCGCGGCCGCTCTGTCCGCGGCCGTCGCGCGCGCCGGGCCGCCGCCTCCTCCTCCTTCTTCCTCCTCTTCATCGCCCGCGGGGGCGTCGTCGCCGCCCACCGCGGCGACCGCGGCGACCGCGGCGGCGACGTCCGCGCCCGCGTCCGCCGCCGTCGTCGTCTTAAACGCCGCCGTCGAAAGGCTCCGGTACACAAGCTTACTCGTCGACCTCGCGTGCACGCGCGCCTCCGCCTCGCGCGCGCGCGTCACCGCGCGTCGCCGCGCCTTGACGTGCGCGTTCATCCACGCCGCGTCCGGCTCGATCGCGATCGCGTCGCCGCCGGCGGCGGCAGCCTCCGCGCGGAGCGCCGCGGCGACGAAGCGATCGAGCGCAGTCTGTCGCGTCGCGCGCGGGACGACGCTCTTCGAGTGCACGCCGATCGTCTGATCGATCAGAGGGCGCTCGTTCGGCGGGAACAGACGAAGCAACGCGGCGTCCGCGGCGGGAGAGTACGTCGCCAGGCCCGCGCCGCCGCGTTTTGAAGCAGGACCTCGCGAAACGGCCGCGGTTTTGGCGTTTCGGCGACCCGCGCCGACGCGCGCGAGCGCCGCCGCCAAAAGCCCCCCGCCGCCGCCTTCTTCTTCGTCGTCGTCGTCGTGCCCCCCCCCGCGCCCGCCCAACCCCGCCCCGCCGCCGCCGCGCTCCGGACTCCACCGCCCCGCGGGACCCGCGCCTCTCGGAAGGTCCATCTCGCGCTCCCTCACCGCGGCGCGACGCAACGCGTCCACCGCCGCCGCCGTCGTCGCCGCGTTTGACTTCTGCGCGAAATATTTCACGCCGCCGCCGTCGACGACCACCTCCGTCACGGGGCCGGCGTCTTCGAGCGAACGTCGGGGTGGAGTTGAAAGGCGTCAGGTGGAGTTGAAAGGCATCGAGGTGTGTCGGGATTGAAAGCGAGGGACCCTGGGCGGAGAGAAGCGCCGGGAGAGAAAGTCCTTAAGGATCGGCGTTCACCACGCCGACGCGGTCGTATGGGGACCAGTGTGACATAGAACGCACCTTCGAGCGCCCTCCTCCTCGCGACGACGTCCGGCGGCTCGAAGTCGTCGTCGCGCGGCATCGGGCGCGCGCACGGCAGCACCTTCGCGGGCGGGCGCTCGTGCAGGGGCGCGTACTTTGGCCGCGCGCCGCCGAGCGCGACGTGACCGTCCGCGTCTGGCGTCGTCGTCCGCTTCGAACGACTCGATCGTCGACCGATGGCGTCGCGCGCGCGGCGGACGTCGCCGCAGCGGTGCCGCGCGAGCCAGCTCGCGAGTCGCGGGGGGAGGCCGACGTCCTCGGGGCGGAGAGGCGCGTTCGGTTCGGCGGGTCCGTCGCCGTCGTCGCCTCCGTCGTCGTCGTCGCCGTCGTCGTCGTCGTCGTCGTCGTAGAGCGAGACGTCGAGGTTCTTCCAGTCCACGCCCCCCCAGTTCGCCCAGTCCGCGTCGGAGTCGGAGCCGTTCGCGTCCGCGTCGGAGTCGCACGCCGCGCCCGCGTCGATCGCGCGCGCCGCGGCGAGGATCGCGTCCTGGTGGGATGACGAGGGATGAGGAGGAGGAGGAGGAGGAGGAGGAAGAGGCGGGCGATGAGATGAGATGAGGGGGCGCTTTTCGATTAATTCATCGCGGGAGGTGCCGTCATCAATGCCGACGCGCGACGCGCCGGGTGCGGGTCCCCCGCGCACCTTCCCGGTCGGCGGCATGTCGGCGATCGCGCCTTCGCGGGCTCACTGAGCGACGCGCGTCGTCATCTTCGACGTCGACGGAGCGTCGGCGTGCGCGAGGCGCGCGTGGCGTTCTGAGCCTCGAGATGGGCCACTTGGCGACGCGAGACTGGACAGTGATGACATGACTCCCCTCCCTCCACTCTCTTCTCTTCCGCCCGCTCCTGTCGACGTCGAAGCGTCGTCACCGGCGCACTCGCACGCCGCGCCGCCGCCACCGACGATGGCGACGACCGCGATGGTCGCGCCCGCGACCCCCCGCGCGCTCGCGTCGTCTCGCGTCTCCTCCCCGCGCCGCGTCGCGACGACGTCCGCGACGCCGGCGCGGACTGGGACGCCGCTTCGCGATCGCACCTCGCGATCGCGTCGTAGTCTCGTGATATCCAACTTCTCGCCCGCCGCGGGAGACTTCTCCTTCTCCGCGCCCGAGGGCGCGGCCGCGGGCGGCATCGTCCTCGGCGCGCGCGTCCTCCTCATCGGCCTCGCGAAGGCGGGCATCGGCCGACGCGTCGAGAAGTACGCGGCGAAGTGCGAGGAGTACGGCATCTCCATCGCGGATCTCTACCACGTCGAAGACCAGCCCGGAGACGCGTGGTATCTCGTGGGCGACTGGAAGCCCGCGAAGGCGGGGGACCCGAAGCACAGCGACACGACGCTCGTCGGGATAATACAGAATCGCTGCATGACGCACGAGGTATTGAAAGCGTGCGAGGCGAACGGCGTGGACGTGAGCGACGTGAGGGACGCGAGCTACGTCGCGGACTTTATAAAAAACGAAAAGATGCGATTCGTCGAGGCGAGGAAGCGGTTGGAGGAGGCGACGGGGAAGAAGTGGTCGTGAAGACGAAGACGAAAGAAGACGGAGTCGCGCGGGCGTCGGGGGCGTCGGTCGTGTCGTCGGTCGCGCGCGCGAACGATATCGTACTGTATGTAGTCATCGCTCGCGTCGTATCGTCGTATCGTCCGTCGTCGCGTCGGCCGATGTAATCCAAAATAACTGAGCTCGGCACCTCAGCTCTTCATCAAGTCCGCCGCACCGCCGCCGGCCGACGTCACTCGCGATGGGCGCCGACCCGCCCCCTTCCCGCGGCGGCGGCGACGCCGCCGACGCGTCCACGTCATCGCGCGCCGCCTCCGCGTCGTCGTCGTCGTCGTCGTCGTCGTCCTTCTTCTCGTCCACCGCGATCGCGGGCGGCGTCTCCGGCGTCGCCGCGCGCGCGGTCACGCACCCGTTCGACACGGTCAAGACGCGGATGCAACTTCGCGGCGTCGCGCTCGCGTCGCACCGCCACGCCTCCGCGCTCGCGGCGATCGCCTCCATCGCGCGTCTCGAGGGAATCCCCGGGTTCTATCGCGGCTTCGGCGCGGTGCTGACCGGCGTCCCGTTCGCGTCGAGCGCGTACTTCGTCGGCTACGAGGCGGCTCGCGCGATCGCGCCTCCGTCGCTCGTCGGCGCGACGCCCTCGTACGCGCTCGCGGGGATGGCCGCGCAGGCGCTCGCGTCCGTGGTGTACACGCCCGTGGACGTCGTGAAGGAGAGGCTTCAGGCGCGGGAGGCGCTGGGGAGCGCGGGCGCGGGGGCGAGCTACCGCGGAACCGCGGACGCGTACCGAACGATCGTGAAGAATGAGGTGCGTTCTATCTCACACTGGTCCCCATACGACCCCGTCGCCGTGGTGAACGCCGATCCTTAAGGACTTTTGCCGTCGTCTCTCTCCGCCCAGGGTCCCTCGCTTTCAATCCCCGCCATCGACGCCTTTGAACGCCATCTGACGCCTTTGAACTCCACCCCGACATCGCTTCGTATGGAATGCCCCCGAGGGCGTGACGCGAGGGCTGTTCCGAGGGTACTGGGCGTCGAACCTGACGTGGTGGCCGTTCAGCGTCGTGTATTTCGTGTGCTACGAGCACGGGAGAGACGCGCTGTGTGGGGTGCTGAACGGTGGGGGGGGTGGGGGGGGGGGTAACGGTCGAGATGGAGGCGTTATCGTCACGAAAGAGACGCTGTCGCCGGCGACGAGCGGCGGCGTCGGGATGATCGCCGCCGCCGTAGCGACGGCGGCGACGAACCCGCTCGACACGGCGAAGACGCGTCTGCAGGTGATGGCCGCGAGCAGCTGTGGGGGTAACGCTCCGGCAGAGAACGTTTTCAGCGTCATGGCAAAAATAGCGAGGAAGGAAGGGCCCAGGGCGCTGATGAACGGCGCCACCGCGAGGGTCGCCGCCGTCGCCCCGGGCAGCGCGATCTCATTCTTCGTCTACGAAACCGCGAAAGGATGGCTGCAGACGTAGGTATCATAGGTATCATAGCTTAGACGCTTCATAGACGCTTAGATAAGGTTAACACGCGCGCGCGCGCGGCGCGGCGCGGCGCGGCATCCCGCGCGCATCCCGCGCGCGCCTCGTCGCATCACTCGTCCCGCACCTCGCCGACGTCGAACCCCTCGCCCTCGTCCCACATCGCCAAACCGCCCGCCATGTGCTTGGGTGCGTTCCATACGAGCGAACGTCGGGTTGGAGTTGAAAGGCGTCAGACGCGGAGTTGAAAGGCATCGAGGGCGGGCGTTGAAAGCGAGGGACCCTGGGCGGAGAGATGCGACGGGCGAAGTCCTTAAGGATCGGCGTTCACCACGCCGACGCGGCCGTGTGGGGACCAGCGTACAGAACGCACCTTGATCGCCTCGCACCCCCACCCTCGCGCCGCGAGCTCGTGCGCGGCGATGAGACTCACGGTCTGCAGACCCTCCTCGTAGTCGTCCGCCTCGTCGCCTATGATCCCGCCGTTCTGGCAGTACAGGATGACGGGCGAGCCCCACTCGACGCAGTCCTGCATCTCGTCGAGGAACGCGTCGTTCTCCGCGACGGAGACGTATTTCTTACCGATGCGCTCCGGGAACAGCGCTAACGTCGCCGCGGCTTTGAACCTGCCGAGCGAAGCGAGCGGCGACGCGCGTCGGTCGGTCAGTCGGTCAGTCGAAAAGAGAAAAATTGTCTGTCGTCGCGAACGTCGAGCGTCACGGCATGATCACATCGTGACCGAGGCGCGGCGGGGGAAGAGAAACGACTGAAAAAAAACTTTTCGTCGGCGCGCACCCGCTCGCGATGTCGTTCACCTCTTGCGGCGCGTACAGCTGCGCGTTCAGCGCCCCCCACGCGTGCCGCTCGCAGTAGTCCGGGTACGGCCGCACGTCTATCAGCGTCCACCCGTCGTTCTCCGCCATGAGCTTCGCCTTCGCCGGGAGGATCTGCTCGATCTCGCCCGCGCGGAGCGTCTCCTGCATCAGCTTCCACACCGTCGGGTCGGTGTACGACGCGAAGAACGGCGAGCCCTCCGGGCGGACGAACGGTCCGGGGTTGCCGTCCCAGTCGTCTTCTTCGTCCGCGGACGCGCGGACGGTCGCGACGGAGACGCGGTCGCGGCGGCGAAGCGCGGACGATGATCGGCGCGGACGTAGACGATCGCGACGCGTCGTCGAGGCGCGCGAGGTTGTTACGACGAAGCTGAAGCTTCGCGCGGCGATCGACGCGGACGCGGACGCCATCGCCGTCGCCATCCCGTCGCGCGACCGACGCGCGAGACCGAGAGGGTGAAGAGACGGACGCTCCGGTGAGGCGACGACCCACCCGGGGGTGGGGGTCGCGGCGACGGTGTCGACCGGTCTCGACGCGCGCGACGCGCGCGAGCGTTCAGTGCGACGCGCGATCGATCGCTCCCGACAGCTGGACAGGCGCGAATCTTCTCAGCACTGCAGCTGCATCAGGCAGGGCCAAGTCTTGTTCGCTCGCTGATACGCTTGAAACCAGGTCTTGAAAGCGGTCATCAGAGAAGGGATGGGTCGAAGCGGCAAAACTACCGGTCAAATAAGCCGGATTCCAAACTCTAGGTTGTGGGCTATTTAGGTCACCGGTGCCGAGTCGCGAGGCCTCGTCAGAGCGACGGGCGGCTCGCGGCTCGGAGGGGGCGGAATATGCGGAGGGCGGCCGCGAGGGCGGTCCTCGAGGCGGCGCGCGCCCGAGGCGTCGCGGGATGGGACCCCGGCGCGCGGAGCACCGCGCGGCGCGGAGGAGGAGGAGGAGGAGGAGGAGGAGGAGGAGGATTCATCGCGACGTGCCGAGGGAAATCGTCGTCGTCGTGGAGCGACGAAGCGCGGATGACCGCGGTGCGGGCGTCGATTCGCGCGACGATGGACGAGCGCGTCGCGTCCACGTCGGGCGCGAACGACGTCGCGCACGTCAGCGGCGTGATGTTCGGTCGATACGCGCGATACGGCGCAACGCCGCCGTGGGAGCGGCGAAGGAGCGACGACGTCGAGGAGGACGCGTCGTCGTCGTCGTCGTCGTCGTCGTCGTCGTCGTCGTCGTCCGCGTCCGCGCGCCCGCACGTCGCGGTGTACGACCCCGACGCGTTCGCGTCGTACTTCGCGTGGCGCCCGCTGACCGTCGCGCACCGCGCCGTCACCGTCCTCGCGCGCCTCGCCGACATCGGCGCGCGCGCGTACGCCAAGCGAGGCACGATGGACGAGCGCGCTCAGCGCATGCGACGCCACTTCGTCGCCCTAGGCCCCGTCTTCGTGAAGCTCGGGCAGGTGCTCTCCACGCGCGCGGACCTGCTCCCGGCGGTGTACTGCGTCGAGCTCGCGAAGCTGCAGGACGCGCTCCCGCCCGCGAGCGCGGAGCACGCGGTGGAGCTCATCCGACGCGAGCTCGGCGCGGACCCGGCGGCGTTTTTCGAATCCTTCTCGCCGGAGCCCGTGGCGGCGGCGTCGCTGGCGCAGGTCCACCGCGCGACGCTGCGGTCGCGGGATCGCGATCGGGGCGAAGACGGGGGATGTATCGATGAAGGGTCGGGGTCGGGCCCCCGGCCGCCGCCGATCGAGGTCGCGGTGAAGCTTCAGAGGCCGGGGCTCGCCGCGAGCGTGGCGTTGGACGCGACGATTCTTCGCGGCGCCGCGCGCGTCGCGCGGCGGTTCGTGAAGCTGAGATCCGACGTCGTCGGCATCGTGGACGAGCTCATCGGGCGGATATACGACGAGCTCGACTATCGCAGAGAGGCGGAGAGCTTGCGGAGGTTCCACGACACGTACGCCGCGGCGCCGCGGGCGACGAAGGATCGCGATCGAAATCAAAATCGCGATCGAAATCGAAGGAAGACGCGCGGCGGCGGCCTCGAAGGCCTCGTCCGCGCGCCGCTCGTCCTCGACGAGCTCTCCACCGGCGCGGTGCTCACGATGGAGTGGATCGACGGCGCGCGCTTGACCGACGTCGCGCGGCTCGCGACCGCGGGGGTCACCCCCGCGGCGTTGCTCGACCGCGGCGTGCGGTGTTCGCTGCATCAGCTCTTGGAGACCGGGTTCATGCACTCGGATCCGCACCCTGGGAACCTCGTCGTCAGCGAGCGCGGCGAGCTCGTGTACTTGGACTTTGGGATGGTCGTGGAGGTTCCTCCGCGCGCGAGACGCGCGATGATCCGGGGGCTCGTGGGGTTCGTGAACAGGGACGCGTCCGGGGTGGTGAGCGATCTGATCGAGCTGGATTTCCTGCCGCGCGACGTGGACGCGACCGCCGGGGCGGAGGCGTTACGCGTCGTCTTCGAGGACGCCGCCGCCGCCACCGAGACCAAACCGGACCCGGACCCGGCGGGAAGGTCGCGCACCCAAACCCCCCTGAACCGCGTCCGAGGCGCGGACGACTTCCTCGGCGTCGTGAGTCAACTCTCCGCCGCGCTGTCCACGCGCGGCTTCCGTCTCCCGCCGTATTTCGCGCGCATCCTTCGCGCGCTCGCCGCGTTGGAGGGCACCGCGACGACGATCGACCGCGACTTCAAGGTGATCGAGCGCGCGTACCCGTACGTCCTCGCGCGCGTACTCGCCGACCGCTCCCCGGAGGCGAGGGAGTCGCTCAGACGGTTGGTGCTCGAGCCGGACGGGCGGTCCGTTCGGTGGTCGCGCGTGTCCAGGTTGGCGCGCGCGTACGCGGGGGGCGGCGGCGGCGGGAATGGGAAGGGGAAGAGCGGCGACGCGGGCGCGGAGGAGGAGGAGGAGGAGGAGGAGAGCTGCGCGAAGAAAGTCGCGGAGACGCTCGCGGGGATCGCGGAGGGGATCGGTTCGCTCGCGTGCCCTTCGCGCGCGGGGTTCGATTCGGGTTCGGATTTGGATTCGAACGCCGCGCGCGCGCGCGAGATGCAAGCCGTCGCGGACGCGGTCGACGACGCGCTCTCGCACGTGCTCTCCCCGGAAGGCGCCGTCCTGCGAGCGTCGCTGACGCGGGACGCGTTCGCCGCCGCGGATCGGCACGTCGAGCGGCTCGCGAGGGAAGAGACGGGGGAGGAGGAGGAGGAGGAGGAAGAGGGCGCCACGTCAGCAGACACGTCAGCCTCGAGCCGCCGCCACCGCGACCTCCTCGCCGCGTCGGACGTCCTCGCGCTCGTGGAGGCAGCGCGGAAGACGTACGTGCGCGCGCCGAAGGTGTGGACGCCCGTGGTGGCGGCGGCGGCGGCGAAGCGAGAGGCGTCGGAGATCGCCGCGGAGACGGCGCGGGGCGTCGCGGCGCGGCTGACGCGCGAGAACCTGCGGTTGCTCGCGCGCGACGCGCTTCGGAAGCGATAGAAGATCGTATTCATTCATTCATTCGTAGCTACGGTAGTGCAGTAACGCGGTATGTATAACACTCATCGTCCGAACCACGCGAGCGCCTGGCCGAGGGGTTCCAAGCCGACCGTCGCCGCCGCCCACTCCCACGGCGCCGCCGCGAGACGGTTCAGCGTGCTCGGGAGGAGGATAACCTGCCCCGGGGTGACGCGCTTCGCGTTCGACCGCCACGCCGCGTCCATCGCGTTCGAGCGCGTAAGGATCGCGCGCTCCGCCTCCGCGGCGGGGACCTCGCGCGCGTAGTCTCGGAGCATCCAGTACGTCGGACCGGGGCCGGAGGTGCCAGGCAAGAAGTCAAAGTCGCTCTGGGTCTCGCTCTCGCGCGCTATCTGCGTCAGCGCGCGGCGCCGCGACGGGACGGGGAGACGCGGGGATGGTGGGGAGACGACGAGCTGGCGGAGCGCGACGAGCGCGAGCGACGCGCCGAGGAGGGCGAGATAAGCGCGGCGAGATCGCATGGGGGAGGCGGCGGCGCGCGCGCGAGGAGTGACGGCGACGCCGCGCCGTTCCCTCGGAACTCGGTTCCTGTCTGTTTTTTTTGACCTCGGAAAAAAACGCTCGCTCACAGTTTTCATTTTCGCCTCGCGCACGTCGCGTCGCGTCGCGCGCCGCGGCTCGTCGCCCCCCGCCACCGCCCGCCCACCCCCTCGCCGTCTCCATCATGGGCTTCTTCTCCCGCCGCAAGACCGCGTTCACGCGCGACCACGCCGGGTGCTTCCCCGTCGGCCACCTGTGCGGGTGGGCGGGACCCAGCGGTTTCGGCTCGCGCGCGACCGCGTGCGAGGTCGTCGACGCCGCGGGCGGCGCGCGCGGCGCGCTCGCCGGGCGCGTCGTCGTCGTCACCGGCGGCAACACCGGGATCGGATACGAGACCGCGCTCGCGCTCGCGATGGGCGGCGCGCGCGTCGTCCTCGCGTGCCGCGACGCCGCGGCCGGCGACGCCGCCGCGCGCGCGATGACGGCGGAGGTCGAGGCGTCGCGCGACGTCGCGCTGGAAGGCGAGGAGGCGACGCCGCCGGACGTGCGCACGGAGGTGCTCGACCTCGCGTCGTTCGCGTCGACGCGCGCGTTCGCCGCGCGGCTCGTGACGCGAAAGATTTCCGTCCACGTCCTGATACACAACGCCGGGATCATGCCGTCGCCGTTCGCGCTCACGGAGAACGGCCACGAGCGCGCGTTCCACGTGAACGCGCTCGGGCCGTTTCTTCTGACGCGGCTGCTCCTTCGCTCGACGCTCCGCTTCGCGCGCGGGACGACGCGCACGGATCCGTGCCGCGTCGTCTTCGTCACGAGCGCGGTACATCGCTTCAGTTACCCCGAGCGCGTGCGGTTCGAACGTCTCAGCGGCGACGCCGCGCGCGTGAAGTACGACCCGGTCAAGTCCTACGCGCAGTCCAAGCTGTGCCAAATAGTACTCGCGCGCGAGTTCCACGCTCGCTACCGCGCGTCTCGGCGCGCGCGCGATGCGCACGTCGCCTTCTTCGCCGTGCACCCGGGCGCGGTCATCACGGAGGGAAGTGAGAGGGCGCGGTTGGAGAGCAGCGGGAGGCGAGGCGCGATCCTTCACGTCGTCGGGCGGCCGTTCGTGAAGGCGCGTTCATATTTACACTGGTCCCCATACGACCGCGTTCGCGTGGTGAACGCCGATCCTTAAGGACTTTTGCCGTCGTCTCTCTCCGCCCACCCCTCGCTGGTTTCAATCCCCGCCCTCGACGCCTTTCAACTCCGCTTCTGACGCCTATGAACTCCACCCCGAAGACCGCGGCGGCGGGGGCGGCGACGACGGCGTATTGCGCGACGTCGAGACGCGCCGCCGGGAGCGGGTACTACGTGAACTGTAACCTCGCGATTCCTGGCGCGGCGGCGATGGACGAGAGGTTGCAGAGGAAGGTGTGGGACCTCGCGACGCGTTTGTGCGAGCGCGAGGAGGAGGAGGAGGAGGAGGAGGCGATGACCGCGTGAACGCGAAGTATGCGCGGATACGAGACTCCCGCGCCGTGGGAATTTCATTTCATCTCATCTCATCTCATCCTTCTCGACGGCGCCGCGCGCGCTCGCGTCGTCTCACGCCGCCGGAACCGGGTCCCCGGCCGGCGCGGCGGCCATGTACGACTCCAGCTCCATGTCCAAATCGCCGGCGGTGTACGTCGGCTTCTCGGGCTTCGCCTTCTTCGGCGCTTTCTTCTTCGGCGCCTTCTTCGGCGCCTTCTTCGCCGGCGTCGTGGGCTTGGCCTCGCGCGCGGGCTTCTTCTTCTTCTTCGGTCCCTTCTTCGTCGCGCCCGGGGCGGAGGCGAGCTTCGCTTTCGCGACGCCGTTCTTGCCCTTTTTCCCGACGGCGATGCCCTTCTTCGCGGCGAGCTTCTTCTTCGCGGCGGCGCTGTTCTTGCCTTTGCCCGCGACGGACACGGGCTTCGCCTGCGAGGAGCGAGGGGGCGACGGACGACGACGGACGACGACGACGGACGGTGAGCGCGGCGAATCGACGCTTCGAGATGTTTCAATTTTAGAATCGGGGCCGCGCGCGCGAGATCGTTCGGAGGGAGCGCGACGACGACGACGTCCCGCGACGCACCGCGAACTTCTTCGCGCTCTGCCCCGTGCGCTTCGCCATCGTCGCCGCGTAGCGGTTCGTCGCCCCTCGCTGCGTCTGCTCCGCTCGGCGCTTGTTCAGGAGCGTGAACCGCGCGTCGAGCGTGCCGAGCTTCTTCGCGGGCGCAGCCTGGACGACGGCGACGACGCGTCGCGCGCCGCCGCCGCCGCCGCCGCCGCGTCCTCCGGCCTGCCCGCGACCGCCGCGGCCGTTGCCGCGGCCGCCTCCGCGTCCGCCTCCGCGTCCTGCCATCGTTTCGTTACTCTCGCGCGTGCGAAAGCCGCGGATTGGATGGAGTGTGACGCTCTCGGACGCGGATATTTAACTGCGGGAGATCGGCGGACGGGACATTGCAGCCCTCACGGGCACGTTGAAGGGCGCGCGCGTGGGCCGATTTGCCTGTCAAAATGTTCGCCTCTTGATCGTGAATCTCCGGTCAGCCTCGATGAAAAATAATCACCGATGAAAATGCGATGAAAATTTCCCCACCGGGAGAACGTGGTTTCAACGTTTTTTTTACCCGACTAATTTGAAACTGGCGGATGTGGACATTTTGTCCACATCCGCGTAAAATCCGGTGACGTGGATTATCCTGGAGAGGGGCGACGCTCGATCGACAAGCAGACAGGTGTCAGCCGAGGCACCCGAGAGCAGCACGGCGCGCCAGAACCATGCGCGCCGTGGCGAGCGGCGCGTTAGGGGCGGCGCCGCGGGCGCCGCCGTCGCGCCGTCGCGTCGCTCGGAACGTCGCGACAGAGCGAACGGGGGGCGTCGACGCGGAGAGGCGCGCGCGCGGGATCGCGACCGCGGCGTCGTGCGCGTCGTCGTCGCCGTCGCGTCTCCGAGAGGGACGGGGCGACGACGGTGGACGCGTCCGCCGCGCGCGTTCGACGCGACGCGGACGGAACAACGCGATCGTCGCGGCGACGAGCGGCGACGACGGCGACGGGAGCGGCGACGCGACGACGAAGCTCGCGACGTCCGCCGCGTCGTCGTCGCCGTCGTCGTCGCCGCCGTCGAACGGCGCGTCGTCGTCGTCGCCACACAATCAAGCCTCGGCGGCGTCGCGCGTCGTCGAGTTCGTCGCCGCGTGGGACGCGCTGTCTCCCCGCATCGCGGCCGCGTCCGCGAACGGCGAGCACGGCGTCCAAGGGGGCGACGCGAGCGCCGCGCAGGGCAACCGCGAGATGCTCCTCTCGGCGCTCAAGCTCGCGATCCCACGCCTGCAAAAGACGCAGCACGCGCACGACGCGGCGAATGCCTCCTCCTCTTCATCCTCATCCTCCGATCGCGACGGATCCGTCGCCGCCTCCGACCTTCGCGGGGGCGCGTCCTTCTCTTCCGGATCATCGGTCGACGCGGACGTTGACGCGCCGAAACCGCCGCTCCGCCCGACGCACGAGCGCGCGGTGGAGGTCACGCTCGCGCTCGTCGACCTCGGCATGGACGCCGAGTGCATGTCCGCGGGGTTACTGCGAGAGGCGCTCGTGAGCGGCTCCGTCACGCTGGACGAGATCGAGGCGTCGCTGGGGGCTGGGGTGATGCGCCTCGCGCACGACTGCGCGCGGTTGCACGCGCTCCCGAGGCGCGTCGGGTCGTTCGACGACGCCAACGCGGAGAAACTCCGGACGTTTTGCCTCACGTTTCACGACGTGCGCGCGGTGGTGGTCGAGCTCGCGTACAGGCGCGTTCTATCTCACACTGGTCCCCATACGGCCGCGTTCGCGTGCTGAACGCCGATCCTTAAGAACTTTTGCCGTCGTCGTCTCTCTCCGCCCAGGGTCCCTCGCTGGTTTCAATCCCCGCCCTCGACGCCTTTCAACTCCGCTTCTGACGCCTTTCGACTCCGCCCCGACGTCCGTCGCCTCGTACCGTGGACCCTCCCTCCCTCGACCCCGACCCTCAGGGCGGACGCGCTTCGGCACTCGAGTCGTCTCCCCAAGGTGAAGCGCACCGCGCTCGCGCTGGAGACGATGCAGCTGTACGCGCCGATGGCGCACGCGCTCGACGCCGGGCCGCTGTGCGCGGAACTGGAGGACCTGTCCCTGAAGGAGCTCTTCCCGTCGTCGTACCGCAGCCTAGAGCAGTGGCTTCGAGGGGAGGGCCCCGCGGATCGCATCGCGCTGGACCGCGCGAGGGAGTGGCTTTTCGACGCGCTCGTCGCGGACCCGGGGCTCATGACGCTCGTGGGTGGTCCGCGCGGCGTGCAGGTGAAAGCGCGGCGGAAGAGTCTGTTCAGCACGATGCGGAAGGTGTTGCGAGACGGGCGACCGAGGGAGGAGGTGCACGATCTGCTCGGGATGCGGGTGATCGTGACGCCGCAGATCGGGAGCCCGAGCTTCGCGGCGGCGGGCGGCGGCGCGATCGAGCGCGCCGCCGCGGAGCGAAGCGCGCTCGCGGCGTGCTACCGCGCGCAGCAGATCGCGCACGGGGTGTTCGACGTCGTGCCGGGGAGGACGAAGGATTATTTGCAGAGGCCCAAGCCGAACGGGTACCGGAGCTTGCACAGCACGCTGAAGCTGCCGACGGACTGGACCGACAACGGCGTTGGCGGCGTCGGCGGCGTAGGCGGCGGCGCGGAGGAGGGCGCGGAGGAGGAGGAGGACGCGAAGAAAGCGCGCGACGATGACGCTTTTTCGCCGAGATCGAAGGCTTCGGCTTCGGCTTCGGCTTCGGCTTCGGCTTTGGCTTCGGGTTCGGCTTCGGCTTCGGCTTCGGCTCGAGAGGGAAGGCGGGTGGAGCTCCAAATCCGCACGGCGGCGATGCACGCGGCGGCGGAGATGGGCACCGCCGCGCACACGGCGTACAAGGGCGGGTTCAAGGAAGACCCCGGCGCCGCGGACGCGCTCGCGGAGCTCGTCGCGGCGGCGAACACGGCGGCGACGCAGCGGTTCGGATCCTTCACGGAGAAGGGCCTTGCGTCGGATGGGAAAAACGCGGACCCGGACGCGGACCGGATGTTCCGCATGTTCGACCTCGACGGCGATGGCGTCGTCACGAGAGACGAGATCAAGAGGGTGATCAACGACGTGTGGTTGGCGGACGCGGAGGCGGTCGACGCCGACTCCACGACCGCGTCTGGTGGCGCGCAGAGCGAGAGCCTCGGCGCGGCGGACGAGCTCATCGAGATGCTGGACGCGAACAACGACGGAAGCGTCAGCGCGGAGGAGTTTACGCGGTTCCGCGCGAGCGTGAAGATGTTCGGATCGTTGCCCAGGGCGGACGCGGCGACCGCGGCGGCGATCGAAGGCAGCTTCTCGAGCGTAGACGACGACAGTCTGGACGCGGAGGACGAGGACGAGGACGCGGACGTTTCGGCGGCGGACGTCGCGGAGATTGTCATCGACGCGGAGCTCGTCGTCGCGGACGCGGACGCGAGCGCGAGCGCGTTTGAGATCGCCGCCGCGGCGCCTGACACGTCCACGCCCGCGACGACGACTATCGCGACCGCGGCGGCGGCGGAGGCGGAGGCGGAGGCGATGTCGCCGCCGCCGCTGCCGCCGCCGCCCCCCGCCGGCCGCGTCCGCGCCGCCGACGAGACCCTCCGCGACGCGTCCAAGGCGATAAAAGACAAGAGCGGCGGCGTCGTGGAGTGGCAGCTCGTGTGGGATCTCATGCGCGCGGGTCGGCCGGAGACGGCGCGCGAGCTCTTCTATCAGCGAACGTCCAAGACGCCGTCGATCACGTCGCTGTGGGAGCAGTGGGCGCGGTTCGAGCTGCTGCAAGGAGACGCCGAGCGCGCGCGGGGGTTGTACCGCGCCGCGTTGTTGCACGCGGAGGGTCGACCGAGGGCGCGCGCGGAGTCGCTTCGGAAGTGGGCCGTCATGGAATTTGGCGCGGGCGAGCGCGTCAACGCGGCGGGGTTGTTCGAGCGCGCGATGAACGTCCTCGAGGAAGCCGAGCGCGCCGCGCGCGTCGCGGAGGAGGGCGAGGAGGACTCTGGCGCGGAGGAGGAGCGAGAGGCGTCGTCTCTCTCGTCGTCGTCGTCGTCGTCGGGCGTAAAATACGACGCGTCCGAGCCCGGCGGGATCATCGCCGCGCTCGACGACCCTGGTGCGACGGAGAGCAGCGCGTCGTTGCGCGCCGCGCAGGCGGTCGTCCTCCACGCGTGGTCGCAGACGAAGGCGCGGTCGGGCGAGGCTTTGGAGGCGAGGGCGCTCCTGTCCGACGCGGAGGCGAAGGACCCGTCCAACCCGCGAGTGATTCACGCGCTCGCGCAGCTCGACGAAGCCGCCGGGGACGTGTTGAGAGCGCGGGAGAGGTACGAGCTCGCCGCGGCGAATTTCCCGGGCGACGCGCACATCGCGCTCTCGAGGGCGCGGCTCGAGCGCGTCGCGTTCGGCGACGTCGCCGCGGCGCGAGACATCTTTTCCGCCGCGGCGGAGGAAAACCCGAAAAATTACCGCGTGCTTCAGGCGTGGGCGGTGATGGAGTCGGAATCCGAAACGTCAACGACCGGCGCGGGCGGCGGCCTCGCGACCGCGCGGCATCTCTTCAGACGCGCGACCGAGATCGCGCCGTGGTCGTCGCAGACGTGGTCCGCGTGGGCCAACGCGGAGTGGCGCCGCGGCGAGGACGCGGAGTCGGCGCGCGCGCTGTACGCCGAGGGCCTCGACGTCGAGCCCACCAACGTCGTGCTCCTTCGCGGGCTCGGGAAGCTCGAGCGCGAGACGGGGCGCATCGCGCAAGCCCGCGATTACCTCACGCGCGCGGTGGACCTCGAGCCAAAGAACGCGCTGTGCGTGAAGGAGCTCGCGAAGCTCGAGGACGCCGCCGGGAACGCCGCGAGGGCGGCGCGGTACTTCAACGTCGCGAAAGAGCTCAAGCGCGACGAGATGAAGGCGCTCGCGGCGACGAAGACCGCGGAGGTGCGGGGTAAGACCCTGAGCCAGCGCGGGAGAAAGGGCACGTGGGATCCCGGCGAGGCGGCGGCCGCCGCTCGAGGCGCCGCCGCGGTGAGCGCGCTCAAGGGGGCGTCGTACAGCGCGTCCTACCGCGTCGCCGGCGGCGACGCCGGCGGCGGCGCGCATAACTTTCGATCCGTGCTCGCCGCCGCGCGGGGCGACGCGGCTGTCGCGCGGCGCGACCGCGGCGTCGAGGGCGGCGGCGGCGGCGGCGGCGTGTACCGTAGGCGGCGCGCGAACACGACGTGGCGGCGAAGCGACCGGAACGTGCCGCGCCCGGAGGGATCCGTGGACGCGGACGAGGGAGAGTCGTCGTCGTCGTTCGAGGAAGACCTGCGGAACTTCCGCGGCGAGCGCGTGTACAAGGCGCGCGGCGGGATCGGGAGCTCGCTCGACGGCCGCGGCCGCGGGGGCATCGGGAGCTCGCTCGACGCCGGCCGCGGTGCGCGCGGCGGGCGGTCGTCGTCGAACTCGAACTCGAACTCTCGCGGCGGGATCGGGAGCAGCCTGGACGGTTCCGTCGACGCGTCCGGATCCGTCGACGGCAGCATGGACGATCTGTACCGATCGTACGTCCTGGGCGACGCGGCGGCAGACCGGTGGGACGACGACGACGAGAGAGGGGACTCGCTGGACGATGAGCTCAGGCAGAGCTGGCTGAAGGACTCGGGGTATTACAGCGTGGACGAGACGATCGACGATCGGTGATGAGCGACGAGCGACAGCGGTCGCGAAGGCACTCGGGTTTTAATACGAGAAAACAGAAACAGAGAAGACAACAACTCAGCCGTACGGATACAAGTAATACGTGATATAATATACGCAGCGGCAGGCAAAACAACTACAGTACAGATACAGGTCGCGGGGGGCGCCCGCCCGCCCGCCCGCCCGCCCCGCGCGATGCGATTCGCCGCTCGCTCGTCACCGCGATCGCGCCGCGTCCGCGCCGATCAACGCGTCGTTGGCAGCTTCCAACGCCTTGGCTTTTTTCACCTCATCGAACGAGAGCAATTGCGACCCGACGCTGCTTCCGATGATGAGCGCGCTGCCGACCCACCCTATCGGGCCCCACCGGTCGCCCATGAACCACCACGCGAACGCGGCGCCCCACAGCGGCTCCGCGGTGTACACTAACGCCGCGGTCGCCGCGCTTATGTTTTGAAGCGCGTAGAATTCAATCAGAAGCGTAAACGACGTCGTGAAGAGGCCCATGTACGCGATCGGCGCCCACGGCGTGGCCGCGAGCTCGTCCGGTAACGCCGCGAACACGGCCGTTGCATCAATACCTTGCTCGTGCGCGTGATAGATCATCGACAACAGCTTGCACGCGCCGGCTTCGACGCACACGACGGCGATCTGCCACGCGATGAACGGGAGTTCCAAGTCTTCAAACATCACCGCCGACTCCGCGGATCGAAGCGTGTGATACCCGAAAACCGTCGCGGAGAGGATGCAAATCGCGTCGCCCACGACCGGCTCCCCGCCGCTGTTCGTGAGCAACCCGACGCCGACGATCCCTATCGCGGACGCGGGCCAGGTGTACCACGGGACGACCTGACCGGACATTTGCGCGAAAATCGGTACGGTGAGGACGGTGAACGTCGACGTCAACGCGCCGCGCGACGACGTCGTGCCGTCCAACCCGATGATCTGAAGGATGTACCCGACGCACAGCACGGTGCCAACCTCGAGGGCGTTCTGAAGGAGCTTGTCTCGGTCCTTGCTCTCGAGGCCTTCCGCGAGGAACGGCACGAGCGGGATCACGGCGAAGACGAAGCGGAAGAAGAGCTGCGTGAAGTCGTCGCAGCCGGCGTCCGCGACTTGTTTGATCACGACCTGGTTCGAGCCGAACAGCACCGCGGCGAGGTTCATCGCCATGACACCGCGGACGAACGCGCTCGAGAGGACGGAACCCGAATCCGTCGTAAACCCGGATTCGTCCTTCTTCGCGCCAGGCCCCTTCATCAGCGCCCTCGCCGCCATCTTTTTCTCCCGCTTCCTCTGCGCCTTTCGCGCCCTCGTCAACTCCTTCATCGCGCCCTCCATCTCCGCGAGCAAATCGTCCTCGACGACGTCCGTCTTACTCCACGCGTCTCTCGTCATCGCCACGCGCGCCGCGCTGTCCGCGAGCCGCGCGCTGACCGCGCGCATCTTCGCCTCCGCGGCGGCGACGTCTCCCCCGCCGGCGCCGTCTCCGAGGCTCCCGCGGTCGTACGCGCTGCCGAGAAACTTCCCAGCCTGCCTCGTCTTCAGCCACTCTCTGCGGTCGGACGTCCAGCACGCGGAGAGGACTCGCAGCGACACCGCGGAGAACTCGGACTCGGGAACGCGCGTGATGTTATTCATTTCGTCGATCGTGATGGGAGCGACGATGGTATTCGTCGCCGCGGTATTCAGGCCCGGGGCGGAGGGGTCGCCGTCCGACGCGGCGATCTCCGGCAGCGCGCTCAGCTGCTTCCTCACGAACATCGTGTTCCGAACCCGCCCGTCGTCCCCGGTGCTTATGATCCCGCTCACGATCGAGATGTTCACGCGCGCGAGCGCGGAGCAGAGCGACCCGAGCAAGTTATCTCGGTCCATCCCGCGCATCTCCAGTTTCGTCATCCCCGCGGGCGCGTCTTCGTTCGACAGCGCCACCTGAGGGCCGTTCATTTTTTACAAAAAAAGTTCACCGGTCAGTTGACAGGGGACGCGATCAAATGTTGAAACCGGGCGATGGGTGAAAAAACGTTTGTGTGTGTTTTCGAACGCACCTGAAACGCGTTCCCCGACGCGTCCCTGAACTCGTTCACGACGACGCCCCCGCCGCGGTCCTCGCCGTCGACGCTGTCCTCCATGGAGTCGATCGACGTCTGCACCGGCGACCGCGGCGCGGCGAGGACGTCGTTCGTGATGGACGCGTGCAGCGCGTCGATCGCTTCGAGCTCCTTGTCCCCCACAGTGTTGCTCACTCCGGCGAGGAACCACCAGCGCCGGCTCGCGAACGCGCGCGCGATCACGCTCCGATGATCCGACGCGCGCTCAGATCTCTCCGCCGTGTGCGACGACGACGGCGCGTGGAGTCCCACGACGTTGTTGCGCGCGCCGCCCGACGTCGACGGCTTCTCTTTCGCCGCGACGACAGAGACGGCCTCGCGCCCCGCCCACGCGGAGAGCTCCACCGCGCGTCGGACGAACGCGGGCGGCTGCCGCAGCGGGGAAGATGCTCTCGGAGTTGCTTTATTTTCGCGGCGCGAAATCGCGCGACGATCGGCGCCGGCTCCTCCACCGTCGTTCGCGTCGCACCGCCATCGCGCGCGGCCGCGGCGGCCGCGGTCCGCGAGCGGCGCCGGGTGCGGGCGCGAGGGGACGATCCCGACGTGCGCGGGCATCGCGTTCGCGACGCGCGCGCGTCGACGAGTGCGCGCGGGGGTTCCGAAAAGGCGCAATCAAGCAGATATTAAAGCACGGAAAAGTGAAGTGCGCGTTTCGCCCACGGGCTCAAAACGACCGAGGCTCGCGTCTAACAAATATCCAACTTTGAAACTGCTTGAAACCGACCGCGTGCCGCTCGCCGACCGCGCGAGATTTCGCTCCCGCCAACCCGCGAGCTTCTCTTCGCAACTCGCCATAACGGAGCAGCGCGGGGAAGGCTGGCGCCAGCTGCGGCGTGGCATTGCGATGGCGACGGAGGAGACCCCGCCGCAGTGGGAGTGCTCGCTATGGTGCGCTCGGTCGCGACGCGAACGCCGCGCGCGTCGCTCGCGGCGCGCGCGCGCGCGACCCCGCTTTCCTCCGCCTCGCCATGTCGGTCGACCGTCGGGTTGCCATCTTGACCTCGGACGCGCGCTCGTCTTCCCGTCCTCCCCCGCTGACGCACCTCCACCCCCCGCCCCGAATCGTTCCCCTCTCGTCTTCCCCAGCACGCTGCTGAACGATCACGGCAGCAGGCAGTGCGCGGTGTGCGGCGGCGCGCGCCCCGCGGCCGCGGGCGACGCGGCCGCGAGCGGAGCTCCGGACGACGACGCGCCCGCGGAGCCGCCGCCCGAGAACATGTGGTGCTGCGACGTGTGCACGTACCACAACGCGATGTTCTCCTCGAGATGCGTCATATGCACGCGGGTGCGTACCCCGCGAGCGAACGCGCGCGGAGTATCGCGTCGACGCGACGCGTATCGCGCGCGCGCTCGCCAGATCCGAGCCCCCATCGGCTCATTCCGAGCACCCTTTTTTTTTTGCCCTCCGCGCCTCCCGCTGACGTCTCCTCCTCTCCGATATCCGACTCCGACGCCGTCGTCGCGCTCTTCCTCCTCGACGACCAGGGTCAACGACCGGAGCATCTCACCGGGGAGGCGGACCCCGCCGCGGAGTTCGTGCGCGTGTTCGCGGACGACGCGACGTCGAACCCGTCGTTGGAGGCGAAGCTCCAGGAACTGTGCACGTTCCTTCTCGCGTTCGAGGAGCGCGGCGAGGTTTTCGGGCGGCGGAGCGACCGCAAAATTTTTGAGGCGCTCGCCGCGAGGTTGTCGGCGGCGCCGCGCGAGCTGGAGGGCGCGCCGGCCGCGCCGAAGGAGAAGGAGAAGGAGAAGGAGAAGGAGAAGGACGCCGCCGCGGGCGGCGTCGCGGGCGGACGCGGATCGCGACGATCCACGCGCGGCGGGACCGCGGGGCCGTCGACCGCCGCCGCGACGCCCGCGCCCGGCGCGGCGGCGAAAGGAAAAGAAAAAGAAAAGAAAAAGGCCGACGATGACGCGAAGAAATCGCACCAGGGGTCGTCGAAGGCCCCGCCGAGGATACTCGCGCCCGCGTCCAACTACACGATACTCGAGAAGGACGAGAACGTCATCGAGCTCGTGTGCAGGGCGCTGTGGACGTACGAAGAAGTCACGGAGCTGCACGCCGAGGAAGGGTACGGGCCTCTTCTCGCGGAGGGACCCCTCCGCGCGATGCTCGCGACGCTGACGCCGACGAAGATCGACAGACCCGGGTCCGGGTCCGGCGGCGGGAAAGGAGGAGGAGGAGGAGGGAGTAAGAAGAAACCGGGTCCTCCCGCGGGACCCGGCGACGACGAGGACGAGGACGACGTCGACGCGCCGCCGCCGCCGCCGCGCGTCCTGCACCTCGGCCGACGCCTCGCCGCGGAGGAGGCGGTCAAGCTCATGATGCTCCTCGGTCAAGTCCGCCGCGGCGGCTCGGGCGCCGGCTCCGGCGGTCGAAGAGACGCGATCGCGCGCCGCTCGTTCCCCGGCGTCGGCGGGTTCGAAGCGCGGCGACTGATGACGCGTCTGGGAGGCGCGCACGCGTTGTGCGAACACGCGCGGTCGTGCCACCGCGCCGGACGCGCCGCCGCCGCGTTGGACGCGCTGACACTCGCGCAGGGGCTATGCGCGACGACGCGCGAGCGTCCTCCACCGCGCGTCGTCCGCTCGCTCAGGGCGATCATCGAGGACCAGAGCGCGAGCGCGGCGCTGCACAACGAGGCGATGCGGTGCGTCGCGTCGTTGCTGTGCGCGTGCGGGGAACGCGAGGGCGCGACGCTCGCGCTCGTCGGTGGGGGGTTGCCGGCGACGTTGACCCGCGCGTTGGGCGCGCGGCGGGCAGCCTCGGGCGACGCCGCGGGAGGGGCGAGCGGCGGCGACGACGAGGAGGAGGGGGATGATATCGGAGGTGGTGGTGGCGACGGCGGCGGCGGCGGCGGCGGCGGGGAAGATGGAACGTCGACCGCCGCGGACGTGGCGCCGTGCGTCTTTGACGTCGGGTCGAAGCTGATCTTGTGGTTGCTCAGCTCGAACACGCCCCTGACCGCGCACGCGTGCTTCAAGCAGGGCGTGTTGGAGCTCCTGACGGACGCGGACGTCCTAGGAAGGAGCGGTCCCTCGGTGACGACGTTGCTTCAGGCTGCGGAGAGGGCGCTCGGGCACCTGTTCCCGAAGAAGATCGAGCCCGCGGCGGCGGCGGCGGCGGCGACGACGACGACGTCGACGTCGAAAAAATCTTCCGCCGCCGCCGCGTCCGCGCCCGCGTCCGCGGCGCCCGCGCAGACGCACCGCGGCTTCCGCGTCGGCGACCACGTCCGCAGCACCCTGATGGGCAGCGACGGCGTCATCGTCGACCTCCTCGCGGACGACAGAGCCACCGTGGAGTGGTGCGAAGTCATGCTTCACTCCTCGGACGAAGAACACGACGACGACGACGACGACGACGACGAGCACGTCATCGACGTCGACGAGGGGCTTCTCGTCGGCGCGGAACGGCGCTCGGACGTCCCCGTGGAGAACTTGACGCTCATCGACGCGATCGGCGGCGAGCCGAGAGGTTTCGCCGGCGGCGGCAGAGGCGGGTCGGGCGGCGCGGCGCGCGGCGGCGGCGGCGGCGGCGACGCGCGAGACGGCGCGCCGTCGAGAGGCGGCTTACCCGGCGCGCACGAGTATTGGGTCGGCGCGTCGCACGCGCACGGCGGCGGCGGCCACGGCGGGTTCGCGCCCAGCGCGAGCGCGGACCCGGACGCGTCCACGCGCGAGGCGAACGCGCTGGAGAAGGCGTCGCTCGTCCCCGCCGACGCGCTCGAGAAGATGGCGCGCGCCTTCGCGTCGCGGCTGCTCCCGGCGCTTTTAAAATTTTCCTCGCGCCGCGCCGCGAGCGGGGAAGCGACGCAACGGACGCTGTTCCGACTGCTGATCGCCACCCTGAGCAAAGCCGGGGACGCGTGCGATCTCACGAGGGAGCACTTCCACGGCGTGTTGGACCTCTTAGGGCGCACGCTGTCGAACGGACAGTCCGCGTCGCTCGTGACGTCGTCGCTGCGTCTCGTGAATTTGCTCGTCGAACGCGACGCGTCCCGCGCGCATCAGCTTCGACGGCACGGGCTGCTGCGCCGCGTGGAGCAGTTCACGACCGACGCGACGAAGACGCCGGGTGGAGCAAGCGGAGGAAGCGTCGGCGGCGACCGGGGGCAGAGGACGCGCGGCAGCGGAGGGGAACGATCGTCGTCAGCGCTCCCGACGCTCCCGCCGTCGCGCGAAGCCGAGACGTTGCGTAAGACGGCGGACGCGACGCTCGCGGCGGCGAACGTCGCGCTGAAAACCTTCGAGCTCTCGTGCGCCGCGGACTCCGACGCGGCGCCGATGCCCGGGCACGGGCTCGGCGCGGAGCGGCTCGCGTCGACGTCCGCGGCGGTCGCGCGCGGCGATCTCGCGGCGCTGAGCGAACTCGCCGCCGCGCTCGTCTCCGTCGACGGCGTCACCGAGTACGAGCTCGCCGAGGCAAACGTCGCGACCGCGCTCGTGCACTTCTTGCTCCCCCACGGCGCGTCGAGAAGAGAGACAGAGGCGCGACGCGCCGCGTTTAAGCGACTTTTCGTGACCGCCGCGGTATCCGCGCCGCGGAAGGTTGGCGTGGGCGTCGCGAACGCGGGGAAGAAGCGCCGCCGCGGCGTCAGCGGTCCCGCGCCGGCGCCCGGACGCGACGCCCCCGAAGACGACGAGGGACCCGGGAAGACCCCGTTCGCGGCGCTCGTCGCGCTGCTGCACAGCACGTTAGATCTGAACGAGCAGCTGCCGGTGTTTCGCAACTTGGCGCTCGGGCACGGGTCGGGCGGCGGCGGCGGCGGCGGCGGCGGCGGCGGACTCAGCCTCGGCCTCGGCGCGAATCCGTTCGCGCACGGCGGCGGCGGCGGCGGCGGCGGATCATCCGGCGTCAGCACGAGCGCGTCCGCGAAGCTCTCCTCCGGTCTGAACATCCTCTCGACGCCGCTGCGGCTCTCGGTGCGACGCGCGCCGACGACGCCGCGGCTGTGCACCGACCTCTCCGGCGCGAGCCTTCACGCCGGGCCGCTCACGCCGCTCGCCACGGTCACCGCGCACGTCTTGCGTAAGATTGTCGTCATCGATCCCGGGTACGTCCGGTGGTGCCGCGCGCTCGTGAACGGGAAAATATGGCTGTGGATCCCGGGCGTCGGCGGCGACGACGGCGAGATGGACGCCGCGGGCGACGCCGTGGACGGGCACGTGGAGACCTCCGGCGCGGTGGCGGCGGCGGCGGCGGCCGCGGGGGCGGGATCCGGCGGGAGGCGCCGACGCGGCGCGGCGGCGACGGAGACGAAGGGCCGCTGGGCGGTGGCGTCCGTGGAGAGCTACAACGCGGTGACGGGCCGTCACGCGCTGAAGGTCGAGGGCGGCGTCGGCGCGAAGCCGAGCTCGAGTTCGGTCACGGCGACGACGACGCACGTCGCGTTGCTCGAGCGCCGGTACAGGGTCATCTCGCGCGCGAGCGACGAGGCGAACGGCGACGGCGACGACGACGAGGAGCGGAAAGAAAAAGACGCGAAGGACGCGGAGAAGGCCAAATCCAAGAAGCGCGCGCGCGCGGCGGCCGAGGACGACGCCGCCGGCGCGAAAAGGAAGACGTCCTCGCGCGGCGGCGGAGGTGGAGGAGCGTCCGCGCGCTCGGGCCGAGGCGGCGGCGGCGCGAACTCGCCGCCGACGCCGGCGGCGCCGTCGTTCAGAGTCGTCTGCCTTCCCCCCGACGGCGAGTGGGACGTGGAGAACTTCTTGGAGTCGCACATGGACGAGATCTGGAACTTGCTCGACGACGAGGCGAAGAAGCTCGTCCCGCCGCCGTCCGTCGCGGCGACGCCGACGCCCGCGGGCGGCGGCGGCGCGGGCGGCGGCGGCGCCACCGCCGCCGCCGCGGTGACGCCCGAAGCCGCGGAGATCGCTGCCGCCGCCGCGGAAGAGCTCGGCCGCGCGCTCGGGATCCACACGCACCCGAGCGGCACGACGACCCACCGGTTGCGTTTCCGCGGAGGACATGGCGCGGAGGACATGGACGACGACGACGACGACGACGACGACGACGACGACGACGCGCGCGACCGCGACGAGCTCGACGCGCGCGAGATTCACGGCGGCGTCGGCGCGAGGGCCATCTTCGGATGGGACTCGTACGCGGACTTTGAAGAGGAAGTCATGGACGCGCTCGAGCACGACCTTCCCGTGCCGGTCGTCCGCCGCGGCACGCGAGCGATCTGCGACGCCGTACACGCGGCGATCGCGGCGCGAGGGAAGGGCATCGCGTCCGCGGTGCGGTCGTCGCCGGCGGCGGGCGACCGCGTCGGCGGCGGCGCCGCCGGCGGGTCCGGCGCCGGCGGGCTCAGTCCCGGGCGGACGCACGCTCGCCCGCCGTTGGGGTCGCGAGTGAGCGTGTGCGTGCACGCGGTGACGAAAGCGCGCGCCAAGGCGCGAGCCGCCGCGGCGGGGAAGTCCCAGCCCGCGACGACGCCGACGTCGACGCCGACGAAGCGGGACAAGAAGAAGAAGGACGACGACGACGACGGCGACGGCGAGCGGATGGCGGCGACGGTGGTTCGCCACCGCGGCTCCGACGGCGTCGACCTCGAGCTCGACGAGACGCTCGAGCTGATCGATAACGTCAAGTCCGCGGACGTTCGCGCGGGCGACATCGAAGAAGCGAGGGTCGCGTCGTCGCACGGGCTCATCGAGGTTCGCACCGCCGGCGGCGGCGGCGCCGCGGGCGGGGAGATTCACCTGGAAGTCTCCCTGGGGTCGTCGCGAGAGGAGGTCCACGCCGCGGTCGGGAGGATGCTCCAGGAGGGTCTGTCCCGAGACAGCATCCTCGAGGCGCTCATGCGCGCGTCCGGGGTTGGCCCAGGGAGCGCGTTGCGACGCCGCGTGTTGGGCGGCGGCGACGGAGGAGGGTTCGCCGTGGGTTCGGGGAGAGACGGCGGCGGCGCGGGCGGCGGCGGTCTCGCGCGCACGTGGTCCGGGCTCGACATCTCCGACGCGGGGCGCGAAGGGACGCGGATCATGCGACACGACATCTCTCTCGAGCAGCTCCGCCGCGGCGCGAAGAGTCCTGGACCGGGACCGTCGCGTCTCGGCGGCGGCGGCGGCGGCAAAGCGACGGGCGCGTCGCCGGCGAAACCGAAATACCCTCCGCCGGAGTCGTGCGAAGCCCCGCCGTCGGTATCGGTCAACTACGCGCTCGCGTCGCCGGACGACTCTGGCGCGTCGATCGCGTCGCTGTACCTGCCTCGCGATCTGCGCGGCCACGGCGCGCCGCCGCCGCCACCCGGCGCGGGGTCGAGCGGGTATCACGCCACCGCGGCGGCGGCGTACGCGTCGAGGGCGTCCAACGCGGCGCGGACGCTCGGGGGACCCGGCGCCGGCGCCGGCGCGTCGCCGCCGCCGTCGACGTTGACGTCGCCGCCACCCGGGTCCACGGTCTTTCACGCGCTTCGAACGCTCGCGGCGTCCGCGGCGGCGTCCGTAGCGTCGACGATGCGCGCGCGCGGCGCCGACGTGGTCGACGGCGGCGCGGGCGCGGGCGCGGTCTCGACGACACGCGCGCGGCACCCCGGACCCGTCGTCGGCGGCGGCGACCACGACAGGTGGCTCGCGCGATGCGTCTTGCATTACGGCGTCGACGTCGCCGGCGTGCCCGCGGAGATGGCGACGACGCCGGAGGAAGCCGCCGCCGCGGAAGTCCCGATCCCGCCTCACGTCGGTTTCGGTTTGTCGTCGAGGGGGTCTCCGGGCGGGACGCGCGACGCGAGGTCGGGCGGCGCGGGCGCGGGCGCGGGCGCGGGCGCGGGCGCGGGCGCGAGAGACGACGGCCTGTGGCCCCCCGAGGAGCTCAAGTCGATGCTGGTCGCCGGGAAAGTCACGAAAATCGCCGTCGTGACGCGGCTGCGACAGAAATGTGGCGCGGAGATGTGCGGCGGGAAAGATCTCAAGGGCGCGCCCGCGCTCGCGGCGAAGCGCATCAGCGTCCCGAAGCTCGTGGACGTGTACGCGGAGCTCTTCGCGGAGAAGGCTGCCGCGGACGCGGAACGCGCCAAGACGCGGGAGAAGGCGCGCGAACGCGAAGAAAAGGCGCGCGAAAAATCGGAGAAGATCGCCGCGGCGCTCGCGGCGGCGAAGGCGAAACGATCCGTGCCGCCGCCGCCGCCGCGCGAAGCGTCCGCGACGCACGAGCCGTGGGCGCTGTTCTGGGACGTCCTCGAGCTCGGCGGCGGCGGCGGCGCGCGAATCGGGCCGCCGCCGCCGGTGAAGGCGCGCGGCGCGCCCGCGGAGGCGCCGGCGACGGCGACGGCGACGGCGACGACGGCGACGACCTCCGCGTCGTCGATGATCGCGCGGAGGTCGTCCATCGGCCGCGACCCGTCCGCGGTCGCGGTCGCGATCGCGCTCCTCGCCGCGCTGCACTCCTGGCTCGGCCCCATCGGCGGCGCGTCTGCGTGGCACAGCGACGGGCTGACGAGGAAGCTCCAGGACCAGCTCGACGACGCCGTCGCCGTCGCGTCCGGGGCGATGCCCGCGTGGACGAGCGTTCTACTCTCGCGCGCTGGTTTTTTATTCCCGCTGAAGACGCGACTGCGGCACTTGTACTCCACCGCGTTCGGGACGTCGCGGTCGGTGACGTTCGTGCAAGAGCAAGCCGGCGCGGGCGGCGGCACGGGCGCCGCGGACGGACCAGGGGACGGCCCCGGCGGCGGCGGCGGCGGCGGCGGCGGCGGCGGGCACGTTCACGGCCGATCGATCAACGCGCGAAGGCTCGGGACGCTGCGACGCGAGCGCGTCACCGTGCAGAGGAACGCGATTCTCGACGACGCGGAGCTGCTCATGCGCAGGCACGCGAAGCACAAGTCCGTGCTCGAGGTGTTATTCGAAAACGAAGAGGGCTTCGGCGGCGCGGTGACGAAGGAGTTTTACAACAAAGTCGCCGCCGCGCTGCAGTCGCGCGCCGGGAACGTCGAAACCCCGACGTGGGTCATGGACGAGGACGGCGCGAGCGGCCCAGAACACATCTGGCACACGAACGGTCTGTTCCCCGCGCCGGCGCCCCCGGGAACCCCCGAGAGCGAAGCCGCGCGAAAGCGCTTCGCCTTCATCGGAAGGCTCTTCGGCAAGGCGCTCCTCGACGGCCACATCCTGCCGCTGCCGCTCAACCCGGCGTTCCTTCGCGCCGCGATCCTCGGCGAGGCGCTCACCGAGGACGATCTCTCGTCGGTCTTCGACGCGCGGAGCGCCGGCGGCGGCGTCATCTCGTTCGTTCGCGCGATCGTCAAGGACGCGCGGCGACAGAGAGAGTGCCTTCGCGTGAGAGACGCGGTGAGGGCGCGCGGCGGCGCGTTTCCGCCCGGCGGAAACCCGAGCCTCGACCTCGACCTCGACCTCGACCTCGACCTCGACGGCGGCGGCGGCGTGCGCGGCGTCGAAGAGGTCACGCCGCCGGCGAAGCGCGTCCGCGCGTGCACCCCGGACGATGCCGTCGACGCCGACGCCGACGCCGACGCCGACGCCGACGCCGCCGCCGACGACGTCGGGGCGCTGGACGCGAGACTCGAAGAGCTCGCGTACCTCACGTACGCGTGCCCCGTCACCGGCCACGCGCTCGGCGCCGCCGGCGAGGCTGGCGAGGCTGGCGAGGTGAACATCGCGAACGTCGTGGAGTACCTCGAGGACGTCGTCGCCTACGTGTTTCGCGACGGCGTCGCCGCGCAAATCGAGGGGTTCCGCGCGGGCGTCTGCGAGGTGTTCCCCGCGGACGCGCTCAAGGCGTTCACCGCGAGGGAGATTGTCGACCTCGCGTGCGGGAAGGACGCGGTCGCGTGGACGATGGATGACCTGAGGCGGTGCGTGTTGCCCGGGTTTCAGTACACCGCGGAGTCGCCGCCGTACAGGTGGCTTCTCGAGACGCTCGCGACCGTTCCGGACGAGACGAAGCGCGCGTTTTTGGAGTTTGTCGCCGTGTGCCCGCGGCTGCCGCCGGGGGGTCTCGCCGCGTTGCCTCGCGGGCCCATACGCGTGAACCGGATGGACCCGGTCGGGAAACTCCCGGAGGGGAGGACGTGCTCGCAGGAGCTCAGGTTGCCCGCGTACGCGAGCAAGGAAGAGCTCGCGAAGAAGCTGACGCTCGCGCTCGAGTACCGAGATCACCTCGGGATTCAGTAGAGCGCGACGAGGCGCTCGCTGATGAATGATGAGTTGCCGAAGAGAGAGAGAGAGATTCTTTTTTTAGGGATAGGGATGCGACCTGTAGGGGGCTTCGTCTTCGCTTCCACGGGGGCTGCGAAGGAACGAACGCCGATTGTTGTACCAACGCTTCGCGTTGACGATAGAAGAGTGTTCATCACGACGTGAGAACGACGACGACGACGACGCGCGACGAAAATAGTCTGTCATACGATTCCCTTTCCCGCGCTCGTCGACGACTCGACGCCGTCAGTCAGTCGACCACCGGGGACACCTCCTCGAGCTCTCTCGCGCCGCGGTACAGCGGCGTCGCGTACACCTTATCCCCCGGGGACGCGATGATCCAGTTGTAGCACGCGAACCACGCCACCGCGAGGACGAACAACCCCCCCAACGCGCCTGCCACGGCGTACCACTCGAACGCGATCGACAGCGCGACGACGAACGCGAACGGCCCCCACGTCTTCGCCACCGCGACCGGGTCCGTCCACTTCCCTCTGAAGACGATCGCGGCCGCGAGGTGCACGGTGTTCCAGTCTTTTTTCCCGTCGTACGCCATCAAATTGAGCGCGTGCGCCGCGTACTGATGGCAGTTGTTTCCGAAAATGTTGTAGTCCTCGCCCTCGTTGAAGAATCGCTCCGCGCGTCGCACGCCGTCGTCCCACGCTGCGATCCCGTCGTCGCCCTCGCCGTCGCCCTCGCCGTCGCCGCCCTTCCATCGCCTCCTCTCCGCGACCTTGGAGGGATCCAGCCGCCAGTACCGGCACACGGCGCCGAACCCGAGGGAGCCGCGATGGACGAATCGCGGCCCGAGAAAGTCCGTCACGAGCCCGCTCGAGTAACAGATCCCGAGGTGACCGACGGGAGGGAGCAGCCACGTGACGAGCGGTATCGGGCACCACACGACGCAGCACGGGAAGAGGCACTCGCGCTTGCGGATCTCCATGTCGACGACGACGACGGAAGCGTCCGACTTCGAGTCCGCGCCGTGCATCCAGACGCGCGCGTCGTTCGAACTGAAGACGAAAACGTGGGCACGGCCCGCGCGAGAGGACGACGTCTCAAACGTGCCGCTTCGCGGTCGCGGTCGCGGTCGCTTCTGGTAGTCTCGCGCTTGCTTAACTTCATCATAAACGAATAACTCTATCAGTCGCGCGGCATACGTCGTCGTCGTCGTCGTCGTCGTCGCGCGAGCCTACGCCGCCTTGGCTTGGTCCAGCGCGGACTGCTTCCGCAAGGACTGCGTCAGCCCCCCCGCCTTCGCGCCGCCGCCGCCGCCGCCGCCGCCGCCGCCGCCGCCGCCGCCCGCCGCCGCCCCCCCGTCGAACGCGCCGAACGCGCTTCCGACCCCACCCCCGCCCACCGGCCGCACGAACGCGCTCCTCGCGCCGTCGCCGCCGCCCAACCGTAAAGGCACGCTCGCTCCCCCGCCGGATCCCGCCGCGTCTGCGACTACGTCTCTTACGACGCCCCCGCCGCCGCCGCCCGTCGCGCCGCGCGCGCCCGGAAGCGTCGGCGTCGGCTTCCGCGCCTTCGACGACCCCGGCGACGCCGGCCGCGCGGCGAAGTGCAGCGTCCCGTTCGCCCCGGGGCTTCGCGCGGCACCGGGCCGTCTTCCCCCGGTGCCGCCGGGAGACGCGGGGGAGACGCGGCCGCCGCGGATGGGCTCGGGCGCGGAGACGGCGGAACGCGATCCGGATGAGGGGCGTTCTAAGCGAGGAGTATACGCGTCTACGCGTCGGGGTTGAGTTCAAAGGCGTCAGGTGGAGTTGAAAGGCGTCGCGGTGTGTCGGGATTGAAACCGAGGGGCGGGCGGAGAGAAACGCCGGGCAAAGTCCTTAAGGAACGGCGTTCACCTCGCGAACGCGGTCGTATGGGGACCAGTGTGAGATAGAACGCACCTCCTCGACGACGCGATCCGCCGCCGCCGCCGTCGCTCCCTCTCGAACTCGGCCGCTCGCCGTCCCTCGAGCGCCTGCCCCCGGCGGCGGCGGCGTCCCCCGCGCCGGGACTCCCGCCGCCCCGTTGTTGTTGTTGTTGTTGTTGTTGTTGTTGTTCCCCCCGCTGTCGCGTCGCCGTCGCGCGCGTGCCGCACACCGCGCCGCCTCTCGTGCCGGATCCCGACGGGCGCGGCAGCGGCGACTCGAACACGATGCTCTCCGCGTCGAGCGAGTTTTGACGCTGATGATGCGCGCGTCGTCGCGGCCGCGCCTGCGCGGGGGATTCGATCACGACGCGGTCGTTCCACGGCGGCCGCGCGTTCGCCGACGGCGACGGCGACGGCGACGACCGCGACGCGGGGAGGACGCCTTTGCGGACGAGCGTCGCGTGACGCGCGGCGACGAGATCTTCCAGCTCCTCCAGGCTCTCGCCGTCTCCGTGATCGACGCCCTCGTGATCGACCCCGCCGCCGCCGCCGCCTCCCGCGACGCCGCCGTCGAACGCCGCGGCGGCGCCGCGCGCGCCTCGCCGCCCCGCCGCGCCGGCCGCGGTGACGGGCGACTGCGACCGCGGCGGACCCGCGGGATGCAACCGTCGAAGCGGCGGGAGCTGCGGAAGCGGTTCGGTCTGGCACGACGCGTCGATCGACGACGAGATCGCCCCCGCGCGCGACGAACGACGGATCGGCGAGCTCGGCGCGGAGGGCGACGCGGGCGCGCCGCCGTCGTCCGCGCGCGGGGGCGATCGACCCGATCGCTCGTCTCCCGCGGTGGTCATCATCCCGCTGCCCGCCCCGCGGACGGGGGGAGTGCGAAGGCGTCCTGGTCCCTTCGCGGCTCGACGAGTCAGCGTGACTGTCCGACAAAAAAATAATACGATTCGTACGAGCCATCCCTATCGGGTGCGATCGATCGATCGCCGCGGAGATTGGCCGGTCAAGTTTTGTTTTTTCACCCACATTCGGTTTCGACGGTTTGGTTTCAGAACGAAATCGATCGCTCGCGTGGGCTCCCCCCGTCCGCGTCCGTCCAGTCGCCTACCTCACGCGCCGTATCCGAACACCTGGCGGATCCTACCGAAGATCTGCTCCTTCCACCCCGCCTCGGTCGTGTCCATCACGCTCTCGTTCCCGAACGCGTCCGTCTCCGGGACGTTCGTCTGCACCAAGTCCACGAAGCAGTTTCCCGGCTCGGGCTCTCTGAGGGCCGTTCCATACAAAAACAGTTCACCGGTCAGTTGAAAGGGGACGCGATCAAATGTTGAAACCGGGCGATGGGTGAAAAACTTTTGTATAGAACGCACCTGAACGTGATGGTCACCTCAGAGAAGTGGCCCTCGGCCCAGTTCCGGAACCGCCACTTCTGTCGGATGAGCTCCCCGGGGACGTACTCCAGCGTCTCGCCGTGGACGTTCCCGTCGAACATCGTGAACGGGCCGGGCGCGGGCTTCACGTCCGCGGGCGACCTCGAGAAGTGCATCACTCTGCCGCCGTCGAGCAGCGCGTCGCAGATGTCCCGCGGCCGGCAGAAAAATCGCTCCGTCATCTTCAACGCGTGCGCCTTCCGCGACAGCGGCGCGGTCTTATCCGACCTCGATTCCTTCTCCCTATCCGCGTCGCTCTTCGCGCCTCCGTTGACGTTGGCGCCATCCCTGAAGTCCGCCTTGCCGCCGCCGCTCGGTTTCGGCGCGGGCGCGTCGCCCTCCCCGCCCGGCCCTCCCGCGGCGAGCTCCTTTTCGATCTCACCGATCGCCCTCCACATCATCGGGAGCCCCACCGTCCTTATGATCTCCTTGACCCTGTCGTCGAGCGCGCCGTTCTTCGCGTTGAGGACCTTGGCGTCGTGCTCCTCCCCGGCGTTCTCGTCCGCGATGTACGGGAAGTGCACGTTCCCGGAGGCGGCGGCGACGACGTCCCCCGACGGATCGTCTTTCGATCGCGCTTCCGCGTCGTACTTCATCTTCAGGTCGAGCTCGTACCCGGCGATGATCTTGCCCTTCCTTCGGTTCACGTACGCCTCCCCGGTGAGCGCGGTGACGTCCGACGTCTTGATCGTGATCACGCGCGACGCGTCGTCCGGGTCCGGGACGGCGTCCGCGATCGTCAGCGCGAGGCGAGACGCGAACTTTTCGCGCGCCCACTCGAACGCGTCCTTCTCTTGCCAGTGCCAGTTGTTCACGTTCGCGCCGTCGTCGCGCTCGGAGACGATCCATCGCTCGTCGCCCTCGCCGAGCTTCGCCATGATCGAGGAAGAGGGGGGGGGAGAGAGAGAGGGGCGGCGGTGCGCTCCGCGCGTCGTCGCGAGTGACGTGACGGTCGATCTCCTTCGCCTCACGGCAGCTTTCGGAAGCCTTCGATGTCGACCGACCGTGGGGATACGGTACGCGTACTTTCAAACTAAATGCTCATATAATTTTCACGTACTGTGTACTTCCGTACTTTATATGAGCAATTAGTATGAGCTCGACTTAGGGCACCTCGTCTATTCTGAGATCTCGCGTAGGGTTTCGGCGTCGCCGAGGAAAAGCGTCCGCGGTCGCGGTCGAGGGGGCGCGCACTTCGCTCGCGCGCCCGCACGCGGCCGCGCGTCACACGCGTCCTCTCTCCCGGTCGCGCCTTCGGTGCGTCGGATTTACGGTGCGCGCGCGCGCTGCTCTCGACCCTTCCCCCGCGCCGCGTCCGCCGCGCGCGTCTTCCTCCAGCCGCAATCGGTCGCGCCGAGAGCGAATTCCTTTATCTCTCGGCGACCGGTAATTAATCTTCCGAAAGGTCGCGCGTCGCGCGATCCGTCTCCGACCGCCCCCTGACGATCGTTCCCCGCGCCGTCCACCGCTCACAGACCCGCGACCGCGCGTCCACGCGACCGCGACGGCGCGCAGCACGCCTTCGCTCGGACGAAAGGCGTTCGTCCTCGCGACGCGGCGGCGCTCGTAGAATTAATCTTCGCCGACCGACGCGCGCCTCCTCCTCGGAGACGAACAAAACATGTGCGGCATCTTCGGCGTCGTCGCCCTGACGGGCGACCCGCTCGCGAACCGCAAGAGGGTGTACAACCTCGCGAAGCGCTTGCGTCACCGCGGACCTGACTCGTACGGCATGGACATCGCGATGGGCGTCCCCGGCGCCCCCGCGGATGCGCAGACGTACCTCGTGCACAAGCGGCTCTCCATCGTCGCGCCCGGTCCGGACGGCGACCAGCCTCTGTTTACGGCCGCGGACAAGAAGATCGCGTTCATCGCGAACGGGGAGATCTACAACCACGCGGAGCTGCGCGAGAAGTACGGCATCGTCTCCGCGAACAAGTCGGACTGCCAGGTGATCGGACACCTGTACGAGAAGATGGGGCCGGAGTTTGTTCGAGAGCTCGACGGGATGTTCGCGTACGTCATCGAGGACAGGCACACCGGACGCGTCGTCGCGGGGAGGGATCACATGGGGAAGATCCCGTGCTACATCGCGTACGGCAAGGACGGCTCGGTGTGGTTTTCGAGCGAGATGAAGACGCTCGTGGACGACCCCGGGATCGAAAAGTACGAAATTTTCCCCCCCGGGCACTACTACGTCCGCGAGCCCGGCGAGAGGGAGGGCAAGATGACGCGGTGGTACGACCCCCAATGGGTCACGGACCCGGAGTACATCCCCACGCGCGACGCGGACTTGACCGAGCTCAGAGAGACGGTCGTGGACGCGGTCAAGAAGCGTCTCATGGCGGACGTCCCGTACGCCGTTTTGCTCTCCGGCGGCTTGGACTCGTCACTCATCACCTCCATCGCCGTCCGACACAAGAAGGAAGCCACCAACACGTTCGGCAGCGACGAGCCCGTGCACTCGTTCAGCATCGGCATCAAGGGCGCGCCGGACCTCGTCGCCGCGCGCGCGGTCGCGGAGCAGCTCGGCACGGTGCATCACGAGGTGCACTTCACGCCGGAGGAGGCGCTCGACGCGCTCCCGGACATCGTCTATCATCTCGAGACGTTCGAGCAGGTTCGCGCGTCCGTGCCGATGTATCTGCTGTGCCGGCACATCAAGTCGCTCGGGTTTAAGATGGTCCTCAGCGGCGAAGGCGCGGACGAGCTGTTCGGGGGGTACCTGTACTTTCACAAGGCGCCCGACGCGGCGGAGTTTCACCGAGAGTGCGTTCGGAAGACGACGCGGCTGCATCAGTGGGACGTCCTGCGCGCGAACAAGTCCACGATGGCGTGGGGCATCGAGGTCCGCACGCCTCTGCTGTCGCAGCAAGTGTGCGACTACGCGATGAACACGAACCCGGAGCAGAAAGTCATCGACATGAGCGCGAAGGACGAAGAAGGTAACCCGCGCATGGAGAAGTATTTGCTGCGCAAGGCGTTCGACACGCCCGACGCGCCGTACCTTCCCAAGAGCGTCCTGTGGCGCCAGAAGGAGCAGTTCAGCGACGGCGTCGGGTATGACTGGGTGGACGGCTTGGCGAAGTACGCGGACGCGGTCGTGTCCGACGAAGATTTCGCGAACGCGGCGACGCGGTTCCCCCTGAGCCCGCCGCTCTCGAAGGAGTACTACCTCCTACGATCGATCTTCGAGGAGCACTTCGTGACGGGCATGGAGAACGGGCGGTACGCATACGCGACGTGCCCGTTCGGGAAATCCATCGCGTGCAGCACCCCGGAGGCGGTCTCGTGGGACCCGGAGTGGGAGAAGTCCGTCGGGGACATCTCCGGACGCGCGGTGAAGAACGTCCACGTCGCCGCGGACGCTTTCAACGTCGCCGCGGATGGCGGCGGCGGCGCGGCGAAAGCTGAAAAAAGCGCCGCGGGTAAGAGCGCCGCAAGCAAGGCGTCCGCGGCGAAGGCGGTCGTCGGCGTGAGCGCGGCCGCGGCGAGGAGCGGCGCGTCCGTGAGGGTGAGGGCCGCGGCGATCGGCGCGGGGAGAACGCGGGCGGTGGGCGGCGGGCGGAGGAGCGACGCCGTCTTGCGGAGAGGGAGGGCTTTCGTCGGGCTTCGCGCCGTTGGCGCGTTCGTCGCGTGACGCGACGACGCGGCGCGCGACGCGACGACGCGACGGAGGGAGGAGGAGGAGGAGGAGGAGGAAAACGCGTGAACACCATTCTTCGTGACGTTCAATACGGATTCATCGTTCGTCCAGCGGGCGCACTTCGTCGCCGCTTCCGTTATCCGTTCGCGCGCGCTGCCCGTACCCGTGCTAGTCTATCGTCTATCGTCGTCGTCGTCGTCGTCGTCGTCCTTCGGACGTCCAGTCCTCCCCCCGCCCCCCGCCGCGCCGCCGCGTCTCGACGCCGCTCGTCACCGCCTCGCCTTGACGAAGCCGATCCGCTTCCTCGCGGCGTTCATCTCGCGATTGTACGCCCCCACGACCTCCGAGGACCACTTCTCCGCGATCGCCTTCGCGGCGGCGCGCACCTCGCCGTCGCCGTGCTTCCGCGAGATGCGTTTCACGCTCTTCCCGACGAGGCTCTTCGCGAGCAGATCTGTGCTCATCATCATCGACGCGAGCTGTCGCAGCGCGTGCACGACGTCATCTTTCGACGCGTCCACGTCCTCGATCGTCTTCTTAAGTCGCATCACGTCCTCGAGGTTGACGTTGTAGTACGACGACGTCCGCGACGTGACGACCTTGGCGCAGTCGTGCAGCGTGACCTGATGCTTCGGCCTCGGCCTCGAGCTCGGCGTCGTCGGCGAGCGCATGGCGCGCGACGACAGAACGCGCGCCGCGAGGTGGCGGGACGGCGACGACGCGCGCGGAGGGCGGCGAGGGACCGGCCGACGGCGACCGCGCCCTCGACCGCGGCCCTCCCTCGAACAGGCGCGCCGCGACGAGTGGACAGCACGTTCGCATCACAGCTGTGTCGAGCGATCTGTCTGACTGTTTCTGTTTTCGATTCGCGCGCGCTCGCGCCTCTTCTACCGTACTCTCGCACCGCGTGCTTCTTCGAACGTCATCGTTCGCATCACTTCTCCGTCGTCGTTCGCATCACTTCTCCGTCGTCCTATCCCTCCACCACTTCCTCCCTCCCTCCGTCACCGCGCGGACAGCGGGTCCGCCCTCGCGCGGCCTGCCTTCTTTCCCATCTCTCTAGCCGCCGGTCGATATCTCGGCGACGAGAGGACCCACCCCCACAGACCTCGTTCCTCCCTCACGACCCTCCCTTCCTCGGTCATCTTCGCGAGGTGCTGCGACGTGATATGCGCGCATGCGGTCTTCAACACGAGCCAGCTCACCTGACGGGAGTACACGACGTCGCACAGCTCCGCGGCGGTCATCCCGCCCGAGCGGGGGTCGCGTCGCCAGCCGTCGCGGAGCTCGTCCATGAAGATGTTTTCTCTCCACGACCGGTGCTTGCGATACTCCGCCAGTTTCTTCACGCCGTCTCTGATGACTTCTCCGTGCGAGGGGTACAGGCGGCCTCTCGGAATGACGCTCGCGTTGTTGCCGTCGGTGGGGGTGATCTCGCCGCCGTCGTCGCCGTCGCCGGCTTTTCCGTCGCCGCCGTCGCCGTCGTCGCCGTCGTTTCCTTCGTCGACGGCGGCGCGCAACTCTCGCTCCATCCTCTCCAAGCTCGCGCTGTACTCCGTCAAACACTCGAACGTCGCGGTGTTCCCGTTCAGAACGCAATCCCCGGCGAACATCGCGCCCTCTTCCTCGAGGACGAACACGACGTGATCCTCCGAGTGACCCGGGGTGTGCATCGCTCGGATCGTCGCGCCCGTCGCGCGGAAGACGGCTCCGTCCGCGACGTCCGCGTACGTCCGCGCGGCGCGCGGGTCCTCGTTCCCTCCCTCCCCGAGCGCTTTCTCGCCCTTGTCCCTGCGGACGCGCTTGTGCGCGACGACGGCGACGTCCGGGAACATCGCGCGCACGGAGGCTAAGCCGCCGACGTGGTCTCCGTGCCAGTGCGTGAGGAGGACGCCTTCTAATCCTTCCACGCCGTGCGCCTTCATCGCGCGGCGCAGCAGCGGCGCGTACGCGCGCTTCCCCTCGCCGGTGTCGATCAGCCATCGCGTCTTTCCCGTGCCGACGAGGTACGTGTTCGTGCCCTGCAGCGTGAACGCGCTCGGGTTTTGTCCCAAGACGCGGATCACGCGAGGCGAGAGCTTCGCGATGGGCGGCAGCGGAGGAAGGCCGCGCGGCGGAGGGCCCGCGAAGTTGGCGGCGACGAACGCGCTCGCGCCCTCCTTCGCGGCGTCGAGCATCGCGACGACGCGATGACGCGCTCCTCTCTCTTCTCCTTCTTCTTCTTCGGCCGCGACCGCGCGGGCGTGCGCGCGCGGTGGCGTCGCGCGACGCGTTGTGAGAGGCGCTCGCACGCCTCCCCCCTGTCGGAACGGCCGAGAAAAAACGCCCGGCCACGCGGGGACGCGGAAAAAGTAAACTGACAACCGGACCCCACGACGGGACGGGACGTCGCGTCGCGTCGCGTCGCGCCTCGACACACCCACCCGCCCCGACCGCCGCGATGAACGCGTACGAGACGACCCTCGGCAAGGGCGCGTGGGACGCGGACGCCAACAGAGAGATCCCCCCCGACAAGGAGGCCGCGGTGTTCGAAGAGACGCCCACGGACGAGCACCCGTTCTACCAGCCGAACGGGTTCGGGTTACCGACGGTGCCGCCGCGGAAGGACACGGAGCACCTCGGGTTCCACTGCCAAGGCGCGTTCGTCGCGCGATCGAGCGCGCGATGAGGACGAATCGACGATCGCGCGGCGCGGCGCGCGCGCCCTTCTCTCCTCCTCCGCGCCGCGCCGCTCGTCCTCCTCGCCGACGTCTCTCGCCTCTTCCTCTCCCCCGAGGGTCCCCTCCCCCGCGCGACCGCAGGCTGTCGCTTCCGCGTCCGCGCGTCCGTCGACGAGACCGCGGCGGTCATCAAAAAGCGTCTGTGGGACGGCGGCCTCGGCCGCGGCGGGGAGATGAAGACGACGCACCACGGCAGGAAGCGCCGGATCATCGCCTCGCACGAGGACGTCGTCTTGCTCTACGCGGGAGAGCGACTTCCGGACGACGAGCCGCTGTCGGCGTCGGAGGTGCCGCCGGGGTGTAAGGTGCGCCGAATTTTTCACCCACCCCGTGGCGTGGTTTCAACATACTGTAACATTTGATCGCGTCCCCTTTCAACTGACCGACGAATGAACGTTTTTTGCACCCTCGCGTCAGAGCCTCGTCGCGATCGAGCGGAGGCTGTTAGAGCAAGGGCACCCAGACCCAGAGGACGCGTATTACGATTGACGACGAGATTCGACGATCGACGCGAACGATGACGACGACGACGACGACGAGAGAGAGATGGAGTGCCTACGCCCGGCGCCGCGCCCGGCGTGCGACCGTCGTCTTATCATATCATATCTGCTACTACAAGTTCTGCTGAAGTTCTGCGCTACGCGTACCCAATAATAAGGCGATTGAAATAATTTCATCCGTCGTCGTCCGTTCGTTCACCCCCACTCCTGCTTCTCCGCGGACCCCCACTTCGCGAACACCGCGGCGCCGGTGACGTAAAAGAACACCGCGGGGGCGAACATAGATACCTCCCAGTTATCCGTCCTCTCTAACAGGTACCCCGTCAGCGGCACCCCGATCACCCCCGGGAACGCCCCCACGGTGTTTGTCATTCCCAACAGAATAGACGCGTACCTCGGCGACATGTCCTGATGATTACAGTACAGACCCGCGTACGAGAACGACGACAGCGACAAGCCGACGGTGAGCAGCCCCACGGTGACGAGCGGGTTGTCGAAGTAATCGAAGCACGCGAGCCCCATGAACGTCGCGGGCCCGAAGAACGCGACGCTCTGCGCCGTCTTCCGGACGACGTTCACCGGCGTCGCCCGTTCGATCGCGGCATCCGCGAGCGGCCCGACGAACGACGCGACGACGATGTTCGCGAGCGGCGGCAACAGCGTGAACAGACTCGCGTTCGTGAGGTTGACGCCGATCTCTTGCGTGAAGTACGACGGCAGCCACGCGAGCAGGACGTAGAACCCCCAGTTGTTGCAGAAGTGCACGTACGCGAGCGCGCGGACGGGGACGCACGAGAAGATCTCGCCCCACGGCACCGGCGGCTCAGGTTCTTCCTCAAGGAAGTCTTCCTCAGGATCCTCCTCGTCCATCATAAAAACCCTCACGCCGTCGTCGTCGAAGCTGCCGCTTCCGCTGGCGGAGACGACGTCGACGTCGCAGTCGTCGCTCGAGAACCTGACGCTGCCGTCCACCTCGCACTTTTCCGGCAGCATCACGCGCTTCCCAAGTAACCCCTTCACCGGCGCCCTGCCGCCGACCAGCGTCTTCGGGTCCGCGTCCGGGGACGCGCCGCCGCGCTTGTACACGCCGTTTCCGACCCAAGCGACCCAGCCTAATCCGACGCCGCCGAAGAGAAAGAACACGGACCTCCACCCGAAGTTGGTGATTATCGCCGGCGCAAGGGACAGACCGAGCACGCTGCCGATGCTGAACCCGTTGAACGTGAACGCGACGGCGCGGCTGCGTTCGCTGAGCGGGACGCTCCGCGCGATGACGTCGGTCGCCGCGGCGGGGGAGATGCCCTCGCCGAGACCCACGAGCACCCTGACGATGACGGCATGGCGCGTCGGTCAGTTGAAAGAAAGGGGACGCGAACGATCGAATCAAACGTCGCGTCGGTCGGTGAAACGACGGATGGGACGCGCGCGCTGGGCGGCGGGTGATGTGATGAAAAACTTCGCACCTCGACGCGAATAATCCCGCGGTGTTGTCCGCGACGAATGGGACGATGAACGTCGCCGCCGACCATATGGCGACGCCGATGGGGAGCATCCGCGCGCCGCCGAACCGCGTCGCGAGGTACCCGCCCGGGAGCTGAGACAGCGCGAACCCGTAGAAAAACGCCGACTGAAGAAATCCCGCGGTGGACGCCGACCACCCCATCTCGCTCGCCATCGGTATGATCGCCACGGAGATGTTCACCTTGTCCATGTTGCAGAGTATGAACGCGCACGTCGTGCCGACGATGATTCTGTATCGCGACGGGATCGTGTCCCACTTCTCTCGCGCGTCGTCGACGGAGGACGGGAACTCGAGCGTCCACTCCTCCTCGGGCTCCGCCGGAAAAGTGCCGTTCGACGAGGCGACGTCGTCGGCCGCGGGGTCGTCGCGCGCGTCCTCGTCCTCCCCGCCGCGCGACGCGTCTTCCGCGCGGTCGTCCGTCGCCGACGCCTCGTCGAGGTCCTCCGCGCGCGCGCGCGATCGCCGCCAGCGTCGGCGCGCGCCCCCTCTTCGCGTCGCCCCGCGCGTCCGATCGTCGACGTGTTGGGCTTTGAAGAGCGAGCCCGCGGCGTCGTCGTCGCCGACGCCGAAGCGACGCGCGCGAATCGCGCGGCCGCGCGCGCGCGTCGGCGTCGACACCGCGCGCGAAGGCCCCGCCGCGCCCGAGGAGCTCGCGACGCCCCCTCTGGCGACCGCGACGGTCGCTCGCGACGCCGCCGACGCCCACATCGCCGCGTCGAGTCCGTCGCCGTGCCTCCGCGACTGATGGTTGAAGCGCGATCTGACGCGAGACGCATCGGCTCGATTTCTGTCTGGTTCAGTCGGCGCTCGTCGTTCCGAGAGAGCCGCCGATCGCGTCGCGCCTCCACACGCGACGCGCGCGATGGCGCAACCGGGCGTCGACATGTCGAAGATGTCTCCCGACGAGAAGGAGAAGCTGTACTCCAACGCGACGCAGGTGCGCCGCTCGCTCGCGCCGACGCCGCCGCCGCCGCCGTCCGACCCGTCGATCGCCGCTCGCGGACGGCCGGATCTCCGCGGCCCTCGTCGCGTCTCGGCCGCCTCCGACGGACGTCATCGTCGTCGTCGTCGCTCACCGCCTCGCCCGCCCGCCCCGCGCCGTCGTCCCCATCGCGTCGCAGGAGATGGAGTACCGCGTCGAGCTCTTCAACAAGTGCGCTTCCCATCGTCCCTTCCCTCCGCGCGCATCGCGTCGCGTCGCGACGTCGTCCGTCTCCCCCGCGCCTCGTCCGTCCTGTCGTCTCGCGAAAAAGACCTACGACGCCGACGCCGACGCTGACGATCGACCGATCCATCGTTAAATCACCCCCCCCGCCCACCCCCCCGCAGGATGGTGAGCTCGTGCTACGAGAAGTGCATGGACAAGAAGTTCAAGGACGGAGACTTAAACGTCGGGGAGGCGGCGTGCGTGGACCGATGCACGGGGAAGTACTGGCAGACGGTGGGCATCGTGGGCAGCATGCTCGGCGCCGCGGACGCGCAGGCGCAGCAGCAGCAGATGCGGTGACGAGGGACGCGCAGCTGTCGCGGCGAGGAGGACGAGGGTCGTCCGCGGGGTCGACGGAGGGCGGACCCGCGTTGATGTTGAATGCGCTAAACGACTCTATTCTTTGTCACTCGCGTCGTCCAGTCGTCGTCGCGTCGCGTCGTTCGTTCGTTCGCTCGCGCGCGCCGGGGGCGTCGCGACGCGACGCGATGGAAGCTCTCTCGCCGCGAAACGTCGACGTCGTTCATTTCCTCCTCGCGCGTCGCGTCGTCCTCCCTGATGACGGGCCGCCTCGCCGTCGGCGCCGCGCTCGCGTCCCGTCGCGTCCTGCGCATCGGCGGCGAGGACGCGCTGTCGCTCCTGCAGCGCGTCGTCACGAACGACGTCCGACCGCTCGCGTCGCCCGGCGCGGCTCCGGTGTACGCGGCGCTGCAGAACGCGCACGGGCGGCTCGAGCACGACGTCTTTCTCCATCGCGAGATGATGAGCGCGGCGGGCGGCGTTTCCGGCGCGCTGCTCGCGGACCTCCCCAGCGACGGCTTCGACGCCGCGCTCGCGCTTCTGATGAAGCTGCGGCTGCGCGCGGCGGTGACGCTGGACGACGTCGGCGACGACCACGCGGTCGTCGTCGCCGCGGCGGACGATGATGGCGAGGAGGGAGGACGCGGCACTAGCGTCCTCCCCGCGCGGTTCCAGTTCCTCCCCGTGGACCCGCGGTGGGTCGGGCTCGGACGCAGGGGGGTGCTGCCCGCGGCCGCGGTCGCCGCGTTGCTGGGCAGCGCGTCGCCGTGCGGGCGCGGAGGGAGCGGAGGAAGCGACGGCGGCGACGCGTCGACGTCGACGTCTGAATCTGAATCTCGATCGATCGATCCGTTCGACGGCGGCGGCGACGCGGCGTATAGACGCCACCGCTACCTCCGCGGCGTCGCGGAGGGCACCGCGGAGCTCGCGACGCGGCTGCCGCTGGAGTGTAACCTCGAGGGGTTACACGGCGTGTCGTTCGATAAAGGGTGTTACATCGGGCAAGAGCTCACCGCGCGGACGCACTTCGTCGGCGTCGTTCGCAAGCGTCTGGCGCCGATCGCGTTTCGCTCCGCGGAGGACGCCGCCGCGGCGCTCGCGAGCGGCGGGACCGTGCACTCGAGCGCGGCGGCGGGGCCCTCGGGGTCGAAGCGAGAGCGAGGAGGGGTGGGCAAGGTCGTCGCGGTCGAGGGCGACGTCGGGTTAGCGATGATGCGGGTGGCGGCGATCGGGTCCGACGCGAGGATGTGGGCGACCGTCGACGGGGGCGGCGAGGTGGAGATCGAGACGCCGGCGTCGGCGCCGTCGTGGTGGCCGAAGGAATGGACCGACGCGGCCGAGCGTTCGTGATGTGGACGCGATGATCGACGACTCGAATGATAACGATGATATACATTAGAATAACAACCAACATAACGAACGCCATAGGGGCACGCGTTGCGTTTACGACCCCCGCCGGCCGGCTCCGTCCGGTCACCGCGACGGCGCCCCCGTCGCCGCCGTCATCGGCGCGCTCGCTCGTGTCTTCAAGTACGCCCCCGCGTCCTCCGCGCTCCACCCGATCTGCGCCAACCCTCGCGCGATGACGCTCTCGTACGCCTCGCACGGCGGGTTCGTCTCCATCTCCCCGCTCCGAAACTTCGCGAGCTCGGAGGGCGGGCACGTGAACGTCAGCACCGGCTCGCCGCCTCTCGCGCCGACGCACCGCACGTACCCGTACCACCGCTCCGACGGCGACCGCATCGAGCCCTTCGGGCCGACGTAGGGTTCGGACGCGGGAGGGAGGTTATCGTTAGGGTTCTTCAGGCGCGCGAGGACGCCGGCGTGGATGTCCTGAGGCGCTTGTCCATGGACGTCGCCGCCGCTCGCGTCGATCCACGCCGACGCCATCGCGTCCGCCTCCTCCGGCGTCACCGGGACGCACGCCGGGTCGGCGCGAAACGTCTCGTCGTCCAACCCGTTCTCCTGCGCGAGGACGCTGTTGAATTGCGCGAGCGTGACGCGGTACAGCCGGAACGTCGTCCCCATGCCCTCCTCCGCGAGTTCGTCGACGTCCACGAACGCGACGCCGCCGCCGTTCCACGTCGGCGAGGAGTGCGCGAAGAAGAGCCGATGCGGGACCGACTCCCACGTCGCCCAGCGCTCGGGCGGGGACGGATCGGACGCCCCCGGCATGTCCGCGGCCATGCCCGCGATTCGCCCCCCCTTGAGGTAGCAGTCGAACCGCTCGAGGAGGATGTTCGAGCCGAAGCACGCGTACCAGACGTAGGTACGCGAGGAGGCGTCGTCGTCCGTTGAGGACGCGGGCGCGGCGTCCTCCGCGGCGGCTGCGGCGGGCATGATGGCGCGAGCGATCCGTTCTCCTCCTCCGACGGCGTCCGACGTGAACGACGCGCTCCGAGTCCGACGCGACGGCGACGCGCGAGGGAGGGTCGCGCGCGCGGCGTTCGAGGCTCTCGCCGCGAGACGAAGAACTCGAGTGGGCGGCGAGGGATGGGCCGAGACGCGCCTCGCGAGCATGCCGAGGACGGAAGACGCCCGGGGCGCCGCGCGACCGGCAGAGTGTCGCGGTGCGTCGGAAGCGAGTGCACTGATGTCCGCGTCCGCTCCGAGGATGACGCGGAAGCGCGTGACCGGCGGAAATCTGGCCACTCGGCGACGCGCTGCCGCGCTCCCCCGCCGTCCACGCGCGATGGCGTCACCCATCGCCGCCGCCGCGGCAACCGCCGCGGTCACGGGCCTCGTCCGCCGCATGCGCCGACGGGTGCGCGTCCTCGAACCCGCCTCGCGCGCGCCGTCTCCACGTCCGAAACGGCTTTCAAATTAGTAAATGCCCGCGTTCACGGCACCCAACGAATCTCACCCCGACGCGTCCCCCCACGCCGCTCACCTCCCCGCCCCCGCGCCCCGCGATGCCCATCCCCAGGACGCGCTGAGCGACGACGACGAGAACGGCGCGACGACGAGCTCGGACGAGGGCGTCGGCTCCCCGCGCGGACACGTCGTCGCCCACCACGCCCGCGGCGTCGGCCAATTTTTCAAACGCCCGGTCGAAAACGTCGGCCGCGCCGCCAAGCGCCGACTCCGCGCGCGCGTGACCGGCGACCCGACCGGCGAGACGCGCGTCCGCGAGTACGTCAAGCTCCCGCGAACGATCCAGCTCATCGACAAGCTATCCTTCACCGGCGGCGTCCTCGGTCTGATGCTCACGCAGCACGTCGCGACGACGCGACCGGGGCTCTTTTGGCTCTACTACCTCGTCGTCGCGCCATTCGTCTTCGCGAACAGGGTGGCGACGTATACCGCGATGAAGTACCACTACTTCCTCATCGATTTCTGTTACTACGCGAACGCGGTGTGCTTCGCGCAGATCTTGGTGAACCCCGGGAGCGCGCGGCTGTTTCGAACGACGTTCGCGTACGCCACCGGACCCATCCTGTGGGCCATCCCGCTGTGGCGAAACTCGCTCGTGTTTCACTCGCACGATAAAGTGCAGAGCGTGTTCATACACACCGCGCCCGCGATACTGACGTACTGCGCGCGATGGTACGGCCAAGACGCGTCCCCGCTGGTCGCGATCGGGGCGTGGAGCGAGAGGGTCTTGGGGACGCGGTTGCCGGGACTGCTCGGCGGGAACGCCAATCGGCTCGGCGTCGCCGAGTTGTCGACGCCGATGACGTCGACGCGAGAGATGTTAACCGAGTTTTACCTCTGGCCGACGCTCGGGTACATCGCGTGGCAGGTGGCGTACCTGCTCAAGACGGAAGTGCACGACGTGAAGCGGCTGGACGAGGACCCCGAGCTCGTGACGTCGCTCAGGTGGCTCGCCGGGGATTATAAGCTGGCGGTGACGAGGAGCACGCTGCGGACGTGTCGCCGGTTGGGGTTCTTCAAGGTGGACGAGCTCTTCGACGCGAGCAGCATCAAGACCAAGATGGTATTCGTGACGCTTCAGCTCGCGTACACCGTCGCGACGTTCCTGCCGATACCGCTGTGCTACCGATATAAGACGTTTCACACCGCGTTGGTGGGCCTCACGTTTCTCTCGTGCATCTGGAACGGGGCGTGTTATTACATCGACATCTTCAGCCGGAGGTACATCAAGCGGTTCGAGGACGGGAGCAACGGGGCGAACTTGCGGCACGAGGATCAGCAGGACGGGATCATCGTCACGGAGGTGACGGGGAGGAAGAACACGCCGCCGGAGGGCGACGGGCGGAGGGAGACGTGATCGATCGTCGGAGGGACGGGGCGGCGGGGAGAAGAAGACGAATGAGAGACGAGACGAAGCGAGGAAGGGAGGGGTCGGGGTCGTTTTGAATAGAGCGGGCGATTGAGGTGCGGTAGGGATGTGTACGTGTTGGACGGGACGGGACGAGATTGTAATGGGGATCTTTGACTTGACGCGCGTTGCATGTTGTAAAGAAAGGTTAGAATGACGTATCGAACGACGCCGGCGACGACGACCAACTTTCGTGTTTTATTTTTCTCTCTTGTCTTGTTTTCACGCGGCGCCAAACAAAAGCCCTTCGGGCGAAACGTCCGTCGTCATCGTACCGTTCTCGTACGTCATCGCATCATCAGTCGTCTCTGACATCACATCACGTGTCGTCCATCGCATTCGCATCCGTCCATCACATCGTAACGCCCAGGTCCACGGCGTTCAGGAACCCGACGACCTGCTCACCGCCGAACACCGCGGCTCTCTCCGCGGCTTCGAAGGCTTTCGCGCACGCGGCTTCGTCCGGCGCCCCCGCGCACTTCTCCTCGAGGGTCTGCAGCGCCCCGGTGCCGCCGAAAAACTCCGCGTAGTCCGCGGGAAGGATGTTAATCCCCGTGCGGAGCTCCTGAATCACCATAGCGAGGATCGAGACCATGGCGAGCCGGCCGTTGTTCAGCTCCTTGAGCTTCATGTCCGCGAGCCACGCGTCGTCCTTCCCCGCTGATGAAGGAGGGCGTTCTTCGGTCAGTTGAACGGGGTCGCGATCAAATGTTGAAACCGAAGGACGGGTGAAAAAATTTTATTTTGTCTACCATACAGAACGCACCCGACAGCCCGAGCGGGTCGAAGCCGTAGTCCCCCGGGACGTGGTCGGGGTTCATGAGGAACAGCTCCGCGGCGTCGAACGGCGACTGCCACGCCTTTTGCACGCGCGAGGACTCCGAGACGAAGATGATGGCGCCGATGAGCCCCCAAAACAGCGGCGGAACTTGCTGAAAGTGGTTGATGGCCGGACCGGTGACCTGCGCGTCGAAGAGGAAGGACGACCCCTCGACGTACTCGCCGACGAGAAACCCCAGCGCGGCGAGCATCGCGACGCGCCCGTGCGTGATCTCCACGTCCGCGTATCTCTGCGCCTCGGTCTCCTTGATGTCGTTGAAGAACCCGAACGCGTCGACGCCGTCCGGGAACGGGCCGACGCCGCGGACGACGCCGGCGTTCACCGCGTCCGCGAGCGAGGCGAACGTCTTTCCGGCCGTCGTGGTCGCCTTGGCGACGACGCGCGCGCCGCGCGCGGCGGAGGAGGGCGCGACGCGGGAGACGCGCGGGGCGGCGGCGGCGTCGCAGAGCGAGGCGGTGCGCATCATCGTCGCGGAGGCGTGCGCGCGGAGGCGAGAGCGGGGCGGGCGGTGAGGTCGAGGGCGACGGCGTGCGCGCGCGTGCGGTAGTGAGGGACGCGGGCGGGACGCGAGCGGACTGGACGCGCGCGACGTGTCGCGCGCGCGCGACGAGAGGCAGAAATCGCCTCGACGCGAGATACGGCCCGTCTCGCCCTCTCGTCGAAACAGACGGAAGCTCCTCGGAGCTCCCGAGACGGCACGAGGCGCCGTTCTCGGTCGCCTCGAGAGAGATAAAAACAGAACCGCGCGGACAGGAGGCGTCCGCGTGGCGCGCGACGCGTCACTCGCGCGCGCGCGGCGCGACGACGAGGACGATGACGCCTCGCGCGAAGGACGGCGACGACGACGACGACGACCTCGCGAACAGGTGCGTCCCCGCGCTCGTGCACGGCGTCGCGGACGCCGTCGTCGAAGAGGAGGACGCGACGCACGACGCGCAGAGCTCGTGCGCGTCGAACGACCCTCTCCACGACGACGAGTCCAAGACGCCGACGCCGCGCGCGCCCCGCCGCCGCCGCGCCGACGACGGGACGCGCTTCACGACCGCGCCGCGCCCGCTGCTGTTCTCGATGCTCTGGGGACTGCTCTTCTCGCTCGGGCCGTGGAAAGCGGTCACCGCGGAGCTGAACGACGCGGGAAGGGACTTGTCCAACTTCCAGGGCAAGCACGCGTGTTCGCGCGACGTCCTCATGGCGACGCCGGCGACGCCGGCGGAGACGGCGTCGGTGATCGCCGCCTTCGCGCGCGTCCGCGCCGTCGGCGTCGGGCACAGCTGGCACGCCGGTCTGTTCTGCGCCGGGTCCGACGCGAGCTCGGTCGACGTCGTGACGACCGCGACGCGCTCCGTGAAACAGGATGAGGCGCGTTCTATACACTGGTTCCCATACGACCGCGTCGGCGTGGTGAACGCCGATCCTTAAGGACTTTTGCCGGCGTGTCTCTCCGCCCACCCCTCGCGTTCAATACCCGCCCTCGGCGCCTTTCAACTCCGCTTCTGACGCCTATGAACTCCACCCCGACGTTCGCTCGTATGGAACGGCCCTGAGGGAGGAGGGGGGAGAAGACGCGACCCGACGACGATTCCCGTCGCGGAACGCTCGATCGTCTCTCTCGCGGACGCGACCGTGAGAGTCGACGCGGGGGTGAAACTCCGCCACCTCCTCGACTACCTCGCGTCGTACGACGGCGACGGCGACAGCGACGGCGACGGCGATGCACTCCAAAGTAGTAACGGTCAAAGTAACGCCTTTCTGTCGCGGTCCGACGGGTACACCCTCCCCGCGGTGCCGTGGTTCATCGATCAAACCGTCGGCGGCGCCGTCGCGACGGCGACGCACGGCAGCTCGCTCACGCACGGGTCTCTATCCTCGCAGCTCGTCGGGCTCACGATCGTCCTCGCGAACGGCACGGTCGCGTCGTTCGACGAGCGGACGACCCCGGGGTGGCGCTTCGACGCGTTGCGCGCCAACGTCGGCGCCCTAGGCGCGTCCCATCTCACACTGGTCCCCATACGACCCCGTCGGCGTGGTGAACGCCGTTCCTTAAGGACTTTTGCCGGCGTCTCTCTACGCCCATCCCTCGGTTTCAATCCCCGCCCTCGACGCCTTTCAACTCCGCCACTGACGCCTTTCAACTCCACCCCGACGTAGGCGCCGTCGTCGACGTCACGCTGCGGATCGTTCCAAACGCGCCGGTGCGTAAAACGTCGCGGACGATGTCCCCGGACGACCTCGTGCGCGCGATCGTCGCCGCGTCGAACGCGATGCGGCGGTGCGAGAGGAAGCACGGCGACGACGCGGAGAGCGCGTGGGCGTGCGCGATGGACGACGACGCCGTGAGAGGCCTCGACGAGACGCAGTTTTTTTGGTTTTTCCCTCTGAACAAAGTCGTTCGCGTGGACTTTTCGCACCTGGACGCGCTGCCGCGAGGCGTGACCCCGTCGAGGCTCGGCCGCGCGACCGGCGGCCGACGGCGTCGTAACTTACTCGGCGGCGCCATGCCCGGTCGCGGCGATTTCGGCTGGGATTCCGTGACGGACGAGAGACGGACGTTACCGGCGAACCTCCCAGCCGACCTCCGCGACATCGTCAAAGCGCAGCCGCCGGACGCGCCGCGCGACGTCACCGAACGATTCCGCATCATGGGCGACAACGGCCTCGCGCAGTTCTGGGCGAGACAGTGGGAGCGAAGCACGAGCGTCAACGTCGAGAGCGGCGTTTACGACGCTCGAGACGCGTACCTCACGATGAGCGAGGAGCAGTACGACGCGCACGACGAGTTCGGGTACGATCAGGTGCGTCCTTCTCATACTGGTCCCCATACGACCGCGTTCGCGTGGTGAACGCCGTTCCTTAAGAGGCTTCCTTTTCCCGGCGTTCGTTCGTTTCTCTCCGCCCACCCCTCGGTGTCGATCCCGACACACCGCACCGAGATGCCTCACGACTCCGCTTCTGACGCCTTTCAACTTCACCCCGACGTGACCATCAGTATGAAGTGTGCGTCCCGCTGGCGCGCGCGGGCGCGTGCTTCGAGTCGCTCGCCGACGCCATCGGTCCCAGCGGGCTCTCGCGCGGATTTCGATCGCAAGGGCTAGTTCGCTTCATGAAACCCGAGACCGCGCTGTTATCACCCGCGAACGCGAACGCCGCGGGCGCGTGCGTGTACGTCAACATCGAGGACTTCAAGCGGCACGCGACGGCGCCCGAGGGCGTCAACGTGGAGTTTCTAGACGCGATGTCGATCCTTCGCGGCGGCGACTGCCGCGGCCGCCTGCACTGGGGTAAGGCTGGGTGGCCGGAGAAAGGATGCTTCGACGGCGCGAGAGAGTACGGCGACTCGTGGTGCGAGTTCGGGTGCGCGGTGAACGCGTTGGATCCGACCGGGAAGTTCAAAGGCGCTTCCGACGTGTTCACTTGGGACGGCGTCGACGCGCGGAAGTGCTGCGACGGCGACGGGAAGTGGAAGGGCGGGGACGGGTGCGCGTGCGAGCTCACGGGGCGCGGCGTCGACGCGAGGACGGGCGCGCGATGCGACGTGCGGTGGTGAGACTCGATAATCATCACCTTATAATGAAAGATACTCGCTACGTGATGTGATGAGTGCTATGTGCTATTCCGCGACGCGACGACGCCTCGGCTCCGAGAGAAAAACGCATCAGCGACAGATTTTCACGGCGCCGTCGTCCGCGCCGACGACGAAGAGCCTCGACTGCGGCAACACCGCGATAGAGGAAAGCCCGACCGTCTCTTCCGCGCCGGTCGCGCGACCGCGCAGACGTAATGGCGTGATGTGCGTCTGCTTCGACGACGTCCACGACCCTCGTCCCCCGCCGCCGCCGCCGCCGCCGCCGCGCGCGTCGAGAGAAAACACGGCAACCTTGGCGCCCCCCACGGTGAACGCGTCGTTCTCGCGCAGCGCGACGCCGCCCACGGCGTCCTTGTGCCCCACGAACGACGCCAGCAACGCCGCGCGGTACCCGCCGCCGGTCGTCATCGAGCTCGTGAGTTTCCGAACGTCCCACACCGCGATCGTCTTATCGTCCGAAGCGGTCACGAGGCGGTGCCCGTGCCCGCCGCCGCCCTCGCCGCCGCCGCCTATTCCGCCGCTCGCGAGCGACGTCACCGCGCTGTCGTGCGCGGGAAACCCCGCGATGAGCCTCCCGCCCTTCGCGTCCAGGAAGCTCACGTGCCCGTCCCCGGTGCCGGCGACGATCCACGACTGCATCTGCGCCACGGATCGTATCCCGCCGCCCGTCGATGTCGCCGTCGCGTCGGAGGAGGAGGAGGAGGAGGCGCGCGGCGCGCATCGCCACGACGCGCCCAGTGTCCCGACTTCGGCGTCCGCGAATCGCAGGCGACCGTCCGCGGTCCCCATCACGATCGAGGACGACGACGACGTCGCGGAGAGGCACGTGAAGCCGACAACACGAGCGGTCGACAACGGTGGTCTTTCTCTCGTCGTTTCGAAGGAGACGCGACGCGAGTCGGCGCCGTCGCGTTTCGCGGACGGCGACGCGTCGTCGAACGACGGCGACCGCGAAAACCGCTCGCCGACCGCGCCCGCGCCCGCGCTCGGCGACGACGGGGACGAATTCGACGCCGATCTGAACCCCCCGCCGCGCGGCGATGGCGGCATCGACATCGCCATCGCCGCCGCCGCATTAGCCGCCGCGACGCGCGCGCGCGAGACGCCGTCGTTCCCCGGCTCCCGCATCCGCGCCAGCTCGCATCCGGTGTCCGCGCGCCAGACGTGCGCGTTCCCGCCGTCGTCGCACGACGCCGCGCGGTTATTAGCGCCGTTCTATACAAGCGAACGTCGGGGTGGAGTTGAAAGGCGTCAGTTGGAGTTGAAAGGCACAGAGCTCGGGGATTGAAAGCGACGGGTGGGCGGAGAGATGCGCCGGGCAAAGTCCTTAAGGATCGGCGTTCACCACGCCGACGCGGTCGTGTGGGGACCAGTGTATAGAACGCACCTTAGCGCCCCCCAAAAACGTCGCGCACGTCGGCGTGAACGGTCCGTGCGTGTCGTGCGAGGCGATCGGACCGCCGCTCGTCGTCCCGCCCGTCGACCACACGCGGACGACGCCATCGCCGCCGCCGGTGAGGAGATAACTTTCGTCGTCGGACGCGGCGACGAACGCGCATCGCTCGCGGTGCGCGCGCCAAGACGTCAACGTTTCCAGTCGCAACTCCCACGGCGCTTCGGAGTCGTCCGCGGGGGAGTACCCGACGCGGGGAAGCCATCCCCACGGCGCGCGCGCGTCGTGCGCGTCGTCGTATTCGTCGTCGGCGTCGGCGTCGGCGTCGGCGTCGTCGCGCGCCGGCGCCGCCGCCGCCGCCGCCGCCGCCGCCGTCGCGACGCGATCCGAAGAATCCCCCAGCCCTTGCCATCCCTCCTTGAGCCGGTCGCGGAGACCGTTCAGCCCGCGACCGACGAGCCCTCCGAATCGATCGCCGCCGCCGCCGTGCTGCGCGGCGCCGCTCGCCGCCGCGTCCTCGCGTTGTTCCCACGGCGTTCCCGCGGCGAGCGCCTCCCTCGACGGCTTCCACCGCCGCTCGGAGATGAGCGACGCCTCGACGGCGGACGCGTCGCGCACGACGTCGCGCAATCTCCCCAGACCGACGACGTCCCCGAGGCTGGCGTACAGCGTCATCGCGACGTCGTCTACGTCGCCGCCGCCGCGGGTCGGCTTGAAGACCGTCGCGACCAGCGCGGGCAGCACGTGCCGCGCGGTGACGCTCGGGCCCAACGCCTCGGCGATCGACGTCAAGGCGACGGCGGCGCGCTCGCTCGCGGAGTCGGGGGCGGGGCCGCCGCCGCCGCCGCCGCCGCCGCCGCCGCCGCCGCCGTCCGTCTTCGAAGGACGCCGCGACGTCGCCTTCAGCAGCGGACGGACGATCACGCGCAGGGCGACGGGGAGGGGCTCTCTCGACGCGAGCGACGCGAGCGCGGCGCACGCGGCCGCGCCGACGCGCGCGCTCGCCGCGCGCGAGACGACGCACCGCACGAGCAGCGGAACCACCTCGAGCCGGAAACTCGCCGCGCCGAGCGCCCTTTGAACGGGACGGAGGACGTCGTCCGCGAGCGCGGACGCGCGCGCGGCGTCCGCGGCGTCTTCTTCCGCGTCGGCGTCGTCCGCGGTCTCTCCGCGACCGCCGCCGCCCCCGCCGCCGCCGACGCTCCCCAGCGCGAGGACGTCCGCGATGCACGGCGCGAGGAGCGTCGTCGAGACCTCCGCGGGCGCGCGCCTCGCGACGAGCGACAAAATCTCCCCGGCGACGGCGCCCACCGGCGACAGCGCGTCCGCGACGGCGCGAATCGCCGCCGGCGCGATGAGCTCCGCGGCTTCGACGCCGCAAGTCGCGGCGCCGTTCCGCAGCGCCGCTGCCGCGGCGGTCGCGCGAGGGATCCCCGCGCGCGCCGCGCGTATCGTCGCCAGCGCGTCGGCGGCGACGCGGACGCGTCGCGGAAAGAGCGTGGAATCGCGCACCGCCGCCGCCGTCGGCGCGCCCCCCGACGCGCGCGTCGACGTCATCGACGCGACCGTCGCGCGGACGACCAGCGGCAGCGACGGCACGACGGATTTCTCCACCTCGGTAATCGGCATGTCCAGGACGGCGACGTCGCGCGCGTACACCGCGGCGAAGACGCGGCCGAGGGCGCGGACGTCTTCCCGCGCCGCGTCGCGAAGCGTCCGCGCGCGCGTCTCTCGCTCCGTCGCCGCCGGCGGCGGCGGCGGCGGATCGAGCGCCTCGAGCACGTCCGCGGGCGCGATCGTCAATAACGGTATGCGGTCGTCGCCGAGCAGCGACGAGTGCGACGCGCGTCGCGTGGGGTCCTCGTCCGCGTCGATCGACGACCGCGGCGGCGACGGCGACCGATCGGGTACTAACAACCGAGGCGCCGCGAGCCCTCGCGCCGGGTGCGGCGTTCGAAACAACGCGACCCGTCCGAACCCCCTCGGCGCGGTGACGTCCGCGGGCTCGACCATGACGTTCTTCGCCCTGATCGCGTCCTCGCCTCGCAGCGCGACGCCGAACGTGAGGTCGATCCACGCGGGGAGTCCTCTCGAGACGACGTCGGATTCGAGCGCGGCGCGGTGCTTCGCCACAAAATCTTCGGGGGAGTCGCACCCGCTCGGCACCTCCAGGTCGCGCAGGCCGACGTCCTCGGGGTGCGCGCTCTTAAACACGCTCGCGTCGTCGTAAAACTCCGGGACGCACTCGTCCGGGGACCACTCGAACACGCGCGCGATCGTCCGAGGGTACTCGTCCGCGACGAAGTTCTTACGCACCGTACGACGCAACACAGAGAGGGGTAGAACCCTGCTCTTGTAGACGCACACCGCGAGCTCGGAGAGGCAGTCGTCCGAGACGTGGTGATCGGAGTGCTCGAACGCGTGATCGAGCTGCGCGTCGCCCTTGCACAGCCGCCACTTCGTCTTCGTGAGGTCGCGCCAGCGTCCGAGCGGGGACGACGTGGACGTGGACGTGGAGGAGGAGGAGGAGGAGGAGGAGGTACGCGCCTCGTCGGTCGCCTCATCAGGGTCGTTCACGAAGTCGACGACCCAAGGGACGACGGCGTGGAACGCGCGGTCGCCGCGCGTCCGACCCGCGCGCGCGTTCAGCTCGAGAAGGTAGTCCAGGTTGCTCAACACGCCGGCGCGCCACGCGATCGTCGCCTCCCGCACGGCGTCGGCGTCGGAACAGGAGGAAGAGGAGCACCGAAAGGAGGACCGCGCCGCCGCGACGCGAACGATCGGGCTCCGCGGCGCGCCTTCGACCCACGCGTCTCTCGCGTCCAACCCGCCGTGAGGCGCGAGCGCGAACCCGCTCGCGTGCGCGCGCGCGAGCTCTCGCGCGAGCTGATAGCACACCAATTGCCGCGACGACTCGAGGTCGAGCGCGCGAGGGGAGTGTCGAAGCAGCGCGCGAAGGTCTACCCGCGACGGCGGCGCAGCGGAGACCGCGAGAAGGAAAAACTTTGACGCGTCGTCTGGCCCGGGCGACGGCGCCACGAGCGCGGCGACGACGCCGGAGCAGGTCGAGCGCGCCGCGAGCTCGAGCGCGCGCTTCATCGCGTCCGGGGTCGCGCGCGAGGGTCGCGCGACCGCCGGCGCGAACGCGCGCAGCCGCGCCGCCGCCGCGTCAGGCCTGAGCGCAGCCGCGTCCTGGGGCGGGGCTCGATACGCGTCGACGCCGGGCCAATCCAAGGACTGGTGGTCGAACAACGCCACCACGCCGTCGCCGTCGCCGTCGTCGCCGTCGTCCGCGCTCAGCTCCGCGAGGTACGCGGCCAACGAGCGCGTCGGCGCGGCGTCGGCCGAGCTCGCCTCCGGCGCCGCCGCATCAGCCGCCGCGCCGCCGTCTTCGCCTTCGCTCCACGCCGACGCCGACACCTCCGTCGGGATCCCCCCGAGCGGTGACTCGTCGTTCACGTCCTCTAACCTCGCGGCGCCGTGGCTCGTGACGTGCGTGATCACGACCCCGGGCGGGAGCAGCGGCGTCAGCACCGCGCGCAAAGTCTCCTCCGCGGCGCTCTGCTTCGGCATGATGTCTTCTCTAGCTAGTAGTGGACTACTCTCGCCTCCTCCTCTCCGTCGTCGTCGATCTCGAGGTCAGGGGCGTTCTATATAAGCGAACGTCGGGGTGGAGTTCAAAGGCGTCAGGTGGAGTTGAAAGGCGTCGAGGGCGGGGATTGAAAGCGAGGGATGAGCGGAGAGATGCGACGGGCAAAGTCCTTAAGGATCGGCGTCCACCACGCCGACGCGGTCGTATGGGGACCAGTGCATAGAACGCGCCTCAGTTCCCGCCGAATCCCAAGTACGGCCGCGGCTTGTACGCTGGCGGTCTGTCGCTCGTGGCCATGTGCCACGCGGACGCGAAGATGACGTAGAACACCGACGATATGATGATCGACGCGAGGACGTATTGCTGCGGGGAGACGAGACGAGCGACGGAGGCGCGACGGGGTGAGACGTGCGAGATCGCATTCGCGCGCGAGGACGAACGAACGACGCTCGTCGGGCACCGAGACGCGCGACGGACCTGGAGCTCGCAGAGCTTCTTCCGTCGCGCCTCCCTCGCGGACTCGAGCGCGGAGTCGTCCAACGGCAGCGCGGTCCGTCGGGAGGGCATCCTTCCCTGCGCCGCTGCGGCTGCTCACGCTGATAATAACAACGAATGAGTGCGCCGGCAGCACTGCGAGCTGAAAAAAGGAATCACCGATGAAAATTCCGATGAAAATTCCCCCATCGGGAAGACGCGGGTTCACTTCGAGTTGACCCGACTCGTTTGAAACCGACGGACAAGTGGCAGCTGGCCGCCCCTAACCAACAACGTTATCTGCGGATTGCCGTGTCAGCAGCGCGACCGCGCCGCTCGCGTCGCGTCGCCGTCACACCATACCAGCGCACCGACCGATCAACCTCGCGTCGTCACCTTCGATCACTATGGCTGCCATCGCTTCCTCCGCGTCCGTCGCGCCCCAGGTGCGTCCCCTCCCTCGCGCGCGGGAGTCGCCTCCGCCCGCGATCCGAGCGAGCATTCTTCGCGCTCGCACGTGATCTTTCGGACCCGCCTCCGCGTCGCGCGCGCGTCGCCGAGCCTCGGCGCTGACGCCCTCCCCCATTCCGTATTCTCCGTCTCGATCTACAGGTGGTCCGCTCCACCAAGGCGATCGCGCCCTCCCGCGCGGCCCTCGCCATCAAGCCCACGGTGCGCGTCGTCACCGTCGCGCTCGCCGGCGCGCGAACCGCCGCGACCTAAACCTATCGCGTCGCGAAGAAAGAATCTTTCTTTCGAGCGTCTTCCGTCGTGGTCGTCGCTCGCTCGCTCGCGCCGCTGACGTCGTCCGTTCCCCCTTCCTTCGTTCATCCACTCCCTCCACCCGCAGCGCGCCCGCCGCGGCGTGACCGTCGCCGCGCGCGCGGCGCTCTACTTCCCCGGGGAGACGGCTTACATCGAGCAGATCGCGTCGGATTACCCGGAGAAGGGGATCGCGAACTGGGAAGAAGCGCGCTGCCTGTTCAGCGAACTCGGGTACAACATCCTGGACATTCGCTCCGAGTGGGAGATCGACTCCGTTGGGAACTTCCCCAGGGAGCTCCCGTCCGACCACAAGTCCGGCGCGAAGATCTACACGGTGCCGCTCATCAACGCGAGGGCGCAGTACGATTCGGACGCGGGGAAGAAGGTTGTCAAAGACCAGCAGCCCAACCGCGACTTCATGAACCAGGTGAAGAAGATCTTCCCGGACACGAACGCGAAGATCATCATCTGTTGCTCGGACGGCCGCAACCGCGCGATTCAGGCGCTCGAGGCGCTGGACGAGGCTGGCTACGTGAACATCGTCGGCCTCCGCGGCGGGTACAACATGTGGAACCGCACCTGGGACGCGAAGTTGCGTCGTCGCAACTTGCCGGGGGATTTCCAGGAGGAGTACCAGCACGGCGCGGACGGATGCGGCGTGCACGCGACCGGGGCGTCGTTCCAAAACCAGGACGCGTTCCAGTACCCGGACTGGAAGGACGACACCGACTGGATCGACTGGTCCGCGTGAACGCGACGCGACGAACGCGTGAGTTCGCGAAGAGACGATCGATGACGGTAAATACTCGTAAATAAAAAATGACCGACGCCGCGACTCCCGACCGGGGGAAACGCGGCGCCGCGCGGGCGACGAGACGCAGACGATCGTCGCGCGCGCGACGATTGTTTCGTGGTCGATCGCGGAGGACGCGGGGATTCGCTTTAGCTTGGCGGTTCGCGCGAAATCTCAGAGATGAATGACACACGAGACGAGATTTTCATTTTCCGCTCGCGCTCGCGCTCGCGCTCGATGACACGCCTTCTCTTCAGACTTGGCCGTTTACAACGCGCAAAGCAACGACGCGCCGCTCCCATCGACACGCCGCGACCGATGACGCGGCCGCGATAGATACCCACGCCACGCTCGACTCGCGACGATGACGTCGCCGCACGAGCTCCACCTCCCTCGCGGGCTGTGGCTCGAGTCCTCCGCGCACGAGACGCGCGCCCGCGCGCTGTTGCATCCCGGCGCGCGAGGCGACGACGTCGTCCTCGGAGACGCGGACGCCGACTCGTCCGTCGTCGAATCGTCGTCCGTCGCCGTCGCGGGGCTGACGCCGTGGCGGTCCGTCGGGAAAGCGCTCGAGAAGCACGTCCACGCGCTCGGGCTGCCGCACACGCTCGTCCTCGCCGGCGAGGAAGGATGCGGGAAGTCCACCGCGCTCGCGACTCTCGCGGAGAATCTGCGCGCGATGGACGCGGAGGAGGAACGCGAGGAGAGGGCGCGCGCGGAAGCGGAGGCGGCCGGAGACGTCTCCCCGCGCGCGCGGAAGAAGTCCGAGCAGCTCCCGCAGAGACGCGCGCCGTACGTCGTCCATCACTCGTTCGGCGACGCGTCGTTCGGGAACGACGTCGCGCACTTCCTCGAGCGCGCGTGCGCGCAGCTCAGGGCGCGATTCAACATTCACGAGCCTCTGCCGACGGACCCGGGGGACCTTCCCGCGGCGTTCGCGTCCTTCTTAGAGCACGCGGGGACGTTCAGGAAGATTTTGGTCATCGTCGACGGGCTCGAGTGCGCGACGGTGGCGCCGTTGGCGTCGTTCGCCGCGGCGTCGACCGCGGGGTTGGACCGCCGCGAGAGACGCGTCGTCGTCGTCGACGACGACGACGGCGAAGTGATGAGCGCCGAAAGAGAGAGAGCGACGGCGGCGGCCCGGTCTCGCGCGAATCCGCCCTCCTCGTCCAACTTCGCCGCGACCGTGGCGTGGCTGCCGCACTCGCCGCCGCTCGCGGTGCGGTTCATCCTCGCCGCGAGGGACGCGAAGGTCCCCGCGGAGGACGGCGTCGCGAGGGCGGTGGTCGCGCGGTGCCCCGCGGCGGCGGCGATTCTGCATCACCCGTCGTTGGACTCCGAGAGCGACGTCGCGGCGTGCATGTCAAACGCGCCGCTGCCGGACGGGCTCGACGGCGAGGATATCAGGTACCGAGCGTGTCACCCCGAGGTCGCGCGGCTCGTTCTCGAGCGGTTTAACGCAGCCGGCGGCGGCGGGACACCACGCGACGACGACGGAGACGAGAACGCCGCGAGAGACGCGTCCGAACGAACGCCGCGTCCGCGCGTGACCCCTCTGTACGCGCGTCTCCTCGCGCCGATGACCGCGGAGCTCTGCGCGTCGTCCATCGCCGCGCCGTCCATCGAGACCTCCGTCGACGACGAGATCGAGCTCGTCCCGCTCGCGGTGAAGTCCGCGATCGCGCGCGCGCCGCGGACGGCGCGGGGGCTCGCGAACGCGACGCTCGCGCGCCTGGAAGCCCGGTTCGGCGAAGACATCGTGCGCATCACCACCGTCGTCCTCGCGCTCGCGCGTTTTGGGCTCACGCGGGACGAGCTCAAGGCTGCGGTGACACGTCGGATAAAGTCCAACCGGTCGCTCGTGCGCGCCGCGCCGGCGGTGAGCAACGCGACGGACGGTCGCGCGGCGCTCTCTTCCCGCGCCGCGGTCGAGATGGGCGCCGCCGGGACGATCGGCGGGCGGCGCGTCGATCGCATGGGGAAATACGCGTCGAGGGTCGGCGGGAGCCCCGTCGCGTCGCGGCTGCTTCTCGAGGCGAGCCGCGGACGCGTGTTGTCGCGCGTCGAGACGGGGGAGTTCGACGCGTTGGTGCGAGAGCTCCGCGCGTGGTTGGCGCCGTGCGCGAGCGCGAGCGCGTGGGAGCGCGAGCGCGAGGTTTTCGAGGGGGATAAGACGGGCGCGGAGCGCGTCGCGGAGGCGGCGGCGGCGGCGGCGACGCGGCGCGGCGAGGAAGGCGACAACATGCACTCGGTGGACGCGCCAAAGGAGCCAAAGGAAGAAGAAGAAGAAGAAGAAGAAGAAGTAGAAGAGAACGGCGGTCTTCTCGCGGGGTTCGACGAAGAAGCGGAGATGCGCGCGATGCGGAAACGTCTTCTCGGCGGCGGCGGCGACGACGACGACGACGACTCCCCGACGAGCCCGCCCCCCGGCGGCGTTCGTTCGGACGCGTCGTCGGCCGCGTCCGTCGCAAACGCGGACGCCCTCCGCCGCCGCCGCGAGGAGTACGCCGCCGCGAACGGCTTCGCCGGCGACGAAGTCCCGTTCGCGTACCGAGACGCGGAGGTCCGAGCCGCGGTGTTGGCGCGGTACGCCCCCGTGGACGCCGTCGGCGGCGACGGCGACTCGCTCCGACGCGGCTACCACGCGGATCTGTGCGCGCACTTTCTGGACGACGCGCCTCCGGACGGGTACGGGAGCGTCGGCGCGGTCGCGGCGACCGCGAGACGCGTGCGGAGCCGCCGTTCTCTGCGCGCGGGGTTATGGCACGCGTCCGCGGCTGGACAGACGCACGTCGTCGCGAAGGTGCTCGGAAGGAGAGGCGTCGTCGCCGGGTTATCCGCGCCGGGGGCGAGGTCGGACGTGGCCGCCGCCGCGCTCGGCCCGGACGGCGTCCTCCCCGCGTCGCTGTGGTCCGCGTGGGAGGAACACTTAGCGTCGTGGATGGAAGAAGACGTCCGCGGGGTCCCGGGAGGAGGGCGCATGATGAGAGACGCGACTACTGCGTCGGCGTCCGGGTCCGACGCGTCCGACGACGACGACGTGGCGGCGACGACGACGACGCAGCCGCCGTCGGGCGAAGCCGCGGGCGCCGCGCTCGCTATCGGCGCCCTCCTCGCGTGGCTCCGCGAGCCCTCCCTCGCCGCCGCGCTCATACACGAAGCGCTCGTCGGGACGTACGACGGCAGAGACGACCCGGGGTGGTCCTGGGGCCGCGCCGCGTCGTGCGCGCTGACGCTGGCGCGCGCGGCGAACGAAGCCGCCGCGGGCGACGTCGCGACGGCGGAAAAGTTGACCAGAGACGCGCTCGCGGCGGCGTCCGCCACGGACGTCAACGAGCGGTCCTTCTCCGGCGTCGTCGACTACGGATACTTCTTCCCGAACGTGTGGCGCGACGCGATATTCGCCTCTGGCGCGGGCGCCGGCGTCGCCGTGCGCTCTCCGAAAGCGCTGGTCGCGGAGGCTCGCGAGCTTCTCGCGGACGTCGTCTCGTCGCGCCTCGAAGCCGCGGCGGCGGCGGCGAGCGAGCTGCGCGGCGCCGACGACGACGACGACGACGACGACGACCGCGCGGACGTCGCGCGGTCGGAAATTCTCGCGCTCCACGCGTTGGAGGTGGAAGCCTGCGAGGCTGCGTGCGCGGCGAGCGCGACGCCCGCGGTGGCGGACGTGTTGCGAGCGGCGCTCAGCGACGCGCCGTCCGTCGCGCCGCCCGCGGTGACGCGTCAGACGATTTTCATGGCGTCGGAAACCGCGGACGGCGCTGTTAAGACGCGCGGGCACGTGGAGGACGTCGTGAAGCTTCTCCGCGCGCTTCGAAGGCACTCGGACGCGGCCGCGCGGTTGGGGCACCGAGCGCAGTCGAAGACGTCCGCGGCGCGCGTCATGCGCGCGCTGGAGACCATCTTGGGCGCGGACCATCCGGAGCACGGGTTCGTTCTATACACTGATCCCCATACGACCGCGTTGGCGGGGTGAACGTCGTTCCTTAAGGACTTTTCCCGGCGTTTTTCTTCGCCCACCCGTCGTTTTCAATCCCCGCCCTCGACGCCTTTCAACTCCAACTGACGCCTTTCAACTCCACCCCGACGTTCGCTTGTATCGAACGACCCTGAAGAAACGCCGCGCTCGACGCGGTTGAGACCGCGTCCGCGTCGTGCAACACGCGGTCGGACTACGCCGCGGCGCGGACGAACGCGTCGAGCGCGTACGCTTTCGCGGTCGCGTTCTACGGCCCTCAGTCCTTGCCCGCGGCGAGAGCGGCGTGGTGCCACGCGGAGTGCCTGCGACGCGGCGGCGACTTCGGCGACGCGCGGAAACAATACGCGCTCGCGTTGGCGGCGACGATGTCAGGTGCGTTCGTTCTCCTGTCAATAAACGCCTTTCACCCATCGCCCCGGTTGGTTTCAACGTTGATCGCGTGGGCCCCTTTCAACTGACCGATGAACTCACATTTTTTTGAATGGAATCGCAATTCACAGTCCTCGGCGCGCGGCACAAGGGCGCGGGCGCGATGCTGAGCGCGGTCGGCGAGCTCTCGTGCGCGGACGGACGGTTGGACGAAGCCGACGCGCTGTGTCGAGAGGCGCTGTCGATCGCGGAGGAGGAGCTGGTTGGCGCGGAGCGCGCGGAGGCCGCCGCCGTCGCCGCCGCCGCGGACGTCGTCCACGCCGCCAACACCGGGAAGGGCGCGGGCGCGGCGCCGACGCCGCCGGAAATCGTCGAGGCCGCGCTTCACGCCGCGGGGGACGCGGAGAGTAGGCGCGTGGACGCGGAGGCGGACGTGTACGCCAGAGCGGCGAGCCTCGCGACGATCGCGAGGCTGGCCGGGCGGATCCCGGAGGCGGAGGCGCTGACGCGACGCGCGCTGACGGCGGGGGAGAAAGTTTTGGGTCCCGGGCGGACGGAGCTGTCGCCCACGCTCGCGTCGTTAGGGAGGATCGCGATGATCCGACGCCGCCCGGAGGAAGCGGAGGCGTGTTACCGGCACGCCATCTCCGTGGACGAGACCGCGGCGGCGAAGGCGAGGGCGGAGACGAACGCGAACGAGAACGCGACGACGACGACGACGACGAAGAAGAAGAAGAAGAAATCGCCGGCGGCGGCGTCGTTCCGGCACCCGCGATCCGCGTCGTACCTGTTCGCGATCGCGACCGTGCACCGCCGCGCGTCGAGAGACGCCGAAGCGGAGGTAGCGTACCTCGCCGCGCTCGCCGCGCTCGAGAGCGTCCCGGTGTCGTACGAGCATTTAGACATCAAGGTCAACCCGGGGGAGATTTTACACGCCATCGCCGCGATGTACGCCAACGGAGGCCGTCTGAGCGAAGCCGCGCTGCGATACGAGCGCGCGATCGCGCTGGGCGCGGAGCGCATGCGCGCGGCGGAGTCGCGCAACGACCCAGACCAGTGGAGGGAAGCCTCCGTCGCGGTGTCCGCGCGGCTGTGCCACCTCGGCGACGTCTTCGCGCGACAGGGCAGGGACGGCAACGCGGCGGCGTGTTACCTCCGCGCGACGACGTTTTCGGAGAACAACTTGGGCCGCGAGCACGAGCACTCGGTGTCGTGCCGCGTGCGATTGACCGCCGCCGGGGGCGTCCCCGCGTGCGCGTCCGGCGTCGGGCACGCCGCGGGCGTCATGCTCGACGCGGTCATCGCCGGGGAGTTCCCGCGGATGAGCACGCCGTTTAAGACGGCGTGGGGGCCGCTCGGCGGCGGAGGGACAACGTCTTCCGCGACGTCGAAGAGAGCCCCCGCGGCGGCGAACGCGAACGCGACTCTGGAGGCCGTCACGCCGGCGGCGCATCACGGCAGGGAGCGCGCGTCGAAGTACGCGCGCGCGCCGCCGTCGCCGTACCCCGCGCGCGACGCGGGCGAGCGTCCGGGGAGCGCAGCGTCCCGCGGCGCCGGGAGGTGCGTTCTATACACTGGTCCCCATACGGCCGCGTTGGCGTGGTGAACGCGATTCCTTAAGGACTTTCCCCGTCGCATCTCTCCGCGCACCCCTCGGTTTCAATCCCCGCCCTCGTTGCCTTTCAACTCCGCTTCTGACGCCTTTCAACTCCACCCCGACGTTCGCGCGAAGACCGGGGAGCGCGGCGATCGGCCGGCGGCCCGGGACGGCGCGGGCGCGGCGTCCGCCGTCCGCGGCGTCGAACGCGTCGACCGCGTCGGAGGCGGCAGACCTCCGCGATGCCGCGTCGAGCCGGAGCCGGCCGTCGTCGGCCGCGGAGGCGTTCCGATGGTGGACGGCCACGACGCCGGCGACGTTCGGCGACCGCGCGCCGCCGCCGCCGCCTTCGGTGGTCGACGCGCTCGCGGCGTACAGGCGCGTTCTGTTTGAACGTTCTGTTTTTCAACCCTTTTTAACCCTCCGCTCGGTTTCGTTTCGACGTTCGATCGCGTTGGTCCCTTTCAACTGACTGACCCCCCGTGAACGTAACGTTTTTCGCACGCGGTGCGACCATCATCAGACAACGCGAGGGCGCGCGCGCGGCGTGGCACGAGTACTGGACGCATCCCGCGCACGACGCGAACGGCGCGTTTCGCGAGGTGGCGGCCGTCGTGGAGGCGCTGGACGTGGACGGCGCGCTCGCGAGCGTGATCGACGACGTCGCGGAGAGGTACGACGCGGACGCGGACGAGCCCGCGGACGCGGTGAGCGCGGCGATCGTCGCGGAGGCGGCGGTCGAGGAGACGGAGACTGAGGAGACGTCGAAGAAAAAGACAAAGACGAAGACGCGGCGCGGGAAGCGACGAGACCGCGCGCCGCTCGGAGACGAGGACATTCTGGACACGACCGCGGACGAGGACGTCGTCCGCGCGCTCGAGGATCGCGTGCGCAGCAGCGTCGACGTCGGCGCCGGAGGCGGCGGCGTCTCGGCGTCGCTGGCGAACGACGACGACGACGACGACGACGACGAGCTGCCGACGCCGCCGAAGCACGACCCGTCCGCCGCCGCCGCCGCCGCGTCGAAGGAAAAATTCGTCGGAAACGACCTCACCGAGGAGGACGAGCTCCTCGAGTACTACCGCCAGAAGCTTCAGACGCGTCTCCTCGTGAAGGAGGAGGAGGAGGCGCGACGAAACGCGGCGAGGGAGGCGGAGGAGACGAGAGCGACGAAGATGTACGAGTCGTACTTCAAACCGCGGAGGAAGATGACCGCGACGGAGAAGCTCCGAGATCGACTTCGACGACGCGAGGAGAGGGAAAACGAAACGCTCGCGGCGTCGCGGCCGAAAAAGGCGCTCACGCGCGAGCTGTTCGACGACCACGACGAGACCGGGACGGATGGTGACGTAACCGACGACGACGACCCGTTCGCGCGGCTCGGGCTGCCGACTCGAGAGGACGCGGCAAAAGTCCTTAAGGATCGGCGTTCACCACGCCAACGCGGTCGTATGGGGACCAGTGAGGACAGCCCGCGGTTCTCCGACGCGGCGACGGAGGAGACGACCTCGGAGGTATCGTACTGGTCCCCGGGCGAGATCGAAGTCGCGGCGAGCTACCACGGCGACTTGGGCGCGTCCCTTCGACTCGCCGCGGAGGAGCGCGAGGATGTGCTCAGGGAGCTGAGAGAGCTTGAAGAGGAGAGCCGGTCGAGGGCGGCGAGTCGAGCGACGAGCGCGCGCCCTACGCCGGAGAAGCCTAATAAGCCCGCGGCGAACCCGGGGGTCTCGGTCTCAGGTGCGTTCTATACACTGGTTCCCATACGACCGCGTCGGCGATGTGGACGCCGATCCTTAAGGACTTTTCCCAGCGTCTCTCTCCGCCCACCCCTCGCATTCAATACCCGCCCTCGGCGCCTTTCAACGCCAACTGACGCCTTTGAACTCCACCCCGACGTTCGCTTGTATAGAACGGCCCTCAGTCTCGGTCGCCGCCGCCGCAAAAGCCGCCGCCGCCGCGAGGACGCCGCCGACGATTCCCAGACTCAACTTCGATTTGCCGAGCGTCGCCGCGGACGTGGAAGCGGAAGAAGCGCTCGAGAAGGAGATACGAGACCTGGAACGAGAGGTCCAGGAGCTCAAGCTCGCGGAGGACGTCGCGGCGGCGCGGCGGAGGGCGACGATCGACGACGACGCCGCGTCGACGGCGTTGACGTCCCTCGCGGGTCAGTCGTACACGGAAGAAGGCGGCGCGTCCCCGTCCGCGATCGTCGAGGCGAAGATCGCGAAGTTACGCGAACACAGAGCGGAGCGAGCGGAGAAGGCGAGGGCGGACAGGGCGCGCGCGTACTTTTACGAACAAAAGACGCAGACGCACGTGGAGCGCGAGATGAAGGCGAGGAGAAACGCCGCCGCCGCCGCCGCCGCCGAGCCGCCGGTTTCGACCGCGGCGCTCGCGTCGTCGCCGAAGGTCCGCCCCGCCGCCGCCGCCGCCGCTTCGGCCTCGACGTCGTCGGACGAAGACGAAGACGAAGCGACCGACGAAGACGACGGAATGTCCGACGCCGTGCGCGGCGCGTTGGACGAGACCATCGACGACGTCGACCTCGCGGCGCCGCCGGCGTTTTCCGCGGAGCCGAATCCGCCGCTGAACGGACGCGGACGTCGACGCGAGAGCCGGTACGACGACGCGAACGACCGCGCCGCGTCGTCGTACTCGCACTCGCACTCGCACTCGTACTCCGTCGGCGGGTCGCGCGAGACGCGAACCCACGGCGCCGGCGCGAACGCGCGCGACCACGAGGCGTTCAAGGCGGTCGAGAGAGGGAAACCTCCCGGGACGCCGCCCGGGTGGCTGCGGTATTCGCGCGAGCGTCCGATGGAGTACCTCCGCGGGGGGGGCGACCGGCGCGAGCCGCTCGCGCCGGCGCGCGGCTACGATAACGACCGCGCGTCGTACGAGCGGCTGATGCGCGAGGAGACGGGTGGGCGGTACGGCTTCAGTTCTCTGCGCGCGAGCGGCGCCGGCGGACGAACGAAGGCGTCGACGCGGTTGATGGAAGATTTGGAAGACGCGCGCCGGTCGCGCGCGTCGGCGTCGATGCGCAAATTCTCCAGTCAGTCGCGGCCGGGGACGTCCGGCGGCGGCGAGGGCGACGGCCATCGTGCAGCATCTCGCGATCGGGATCGTATGGGCGCCAGTCTCCGCTTCGTCTCGAGGTCCATCCCGGGGATGTCCGGCCCGGGCGGGGAACGGAGGGACGAGGAGGACGAGTGGATGTGGCGGATGCGTAAGAAAGTCGAGGCGCTCGCCGCCAAGAGAAACGCCGCGCGATGAACGAGTACCGTAGTTGTACCCTACGATAGCTACTGTAGCAGTTCTACGACTAAGGGTTAACCCCACGAACGACGAATACTCACGGCGTGCGCTGCAACAGCTTCGCGATGAGCGCCTTCTTATCGTCCCCCTCAGCGACGCGCGCGCCCCACGCTTCGCACAACTCGGCGAGGTGCGGACGCGCGGGGAGCGTCTGAGGCTCGAGGGTCCATGCGAAGCGACGTCGGGGTGGTTCAAAGGCGTCAGATGGAGTTGAAAGGCGTCGCGGGAGGGGGGCGTTGAAAGCGAGGGGTGGGCGAAGAGAGACGACGGCGAAAGTCCTCAAGGAACGGCACGGGACGCGCCTCGAGCTGCCCCGTCAGCTCGCGCCGCTTCCCGAGATACACCTTCTCCCCTCGCAACAACCTCCCCGCGCCGCCCGGGCCGCACAGCTTCAAGATCGTCAGCAGCTCGTCCGCGAGCCTCCGCTGCGCGCAGTGCCCCGCGACGGTCGCGTTCCCGACGTCGCGGAGAGAGAGATCGACGACGGGGTGTCTCGCGACGAGCCTTCGGAGCGTCTCTCTTCGCGCGCCGTAGGCGGCGAGGATGACCGCGGTGCTGCCGTCGCGCGCGTCCTGCGCGTTCGCGTCCGCGCCGAGGTCGACGAGCGCGTCCGCGGCGTCCGCGGCGTCCGCGAACGCGGCGTGATGCAGCGCGCACGCGCCGTTCGCATCGCGCGCGTTCAGATCCGCGCCCAGAGACGCGAGGACGCGGATCGACGCCGCGTCGTCTCGCTGCGCGGCGAGCGCGCAGGCGGTGAGGCCGCCCGGGTCGAACGCGACCTTCCCTTTGGGGTCGATCCGCGGCCGGGTCTTGCGGTTCACGTCCGCGCCGGGCATCTTCGCGAGGACCGCGAGCGCGTCCGCGTTGCGGGCTTCGAACCACCATCGTTCCCAGAGCTCCGTCTTGGCGTCGTCCGAGGCGGACCTACCTGTAGAGACCGCGATGGACTCCGACGCCGCCTCGGCGGGCGGCGGACCGTCCGCCGCTCTCGGCGCGCTCGCGCCGCGACCGCGCCGACGACGCGCGCGTCCGGGTGCGTCCCCGCCCGCGCGTCGTCGGGGAACCGCCCGAGGCGGGGCGACGCACCACCGCGCTCGCGCGGCCATCTCTAGTTGTACTGACGACGCGGGGTTCGCGAAAAGGTCGTCCCGCGCCACGTGGAAAGATCCTCTCTGCGCGACGAAGCGTGCGACTTCATCGTCTTCAAACCAACTCCGCCGTCGACGTCGACCCTGGCGCACTCTCGGAGGCGCACACAGCGCGCACTCGCATCACACCCCGCGTTTCGTCACCCCCGCGATCGCCATGGTGCGCCGCGCGATCGATCCCGGCTCGATACCTCGCGACCGACCGTGCGGATCCGCGCGGGGGATCGCGCGTCGACGCGATCATCTGCGTTCGTTCGACTTGGACGGGGATCGCTTTTCCCCAACCTCCCGCGCGTCCCTCGCGTTCGCCGCCGTGCCGTGCCGCCGCGCGCTCGCGTGCACGACACGACGACGTCCAACCCCCCCCCCTTCTCTGACGCGAGACCCGCCCTCTCGTCGCCCGACCCCTCTCGCGCCGCGCCGCGCCGCAGGAGCCCGTCTTCCCGGAGGCGCTGAAAACCCTCAAGGACGCGGACCCGGAAATCTACCAGCTCGTGCAGAAGGAGAAGCTCCGTCAGGCGCGTTCTATACACTGGTCCCCATACGACCGCGTTGGCGTGGTGAACGCCGATCCTTAAGGACTTTTGCCGTCGTCTCTCTCCGCCCACACCTCGCTTTCAATCCCCGTCCTCGACGCCTTTCAACTCCAACTGACGCCTTTGAACTCCACCCCGACATCGCTTCGTATGGAACGACCGTCAGATCCGAGGGATCGAGCTCATCGCGTCCGAAAACTTCACGTCCGCGCCCGTGATGGAAGCCCTCGGGTCGTGCCTCACGAACAAGTACAGCGAAGGCCTCCCCGGGGCGCGGTACTACGGCGGAAACGAGAACATCGACCAGGTGGAGAGGCTCTGCCAAGACCGCGCGCTCGCCGCGTTCCGCCTCGACAAGTCCAAGTGGGGGGTCAACGTCCAACCGTACAGCGGCTCCCCCGCGAACATGGCAGTGTACACCGCGCTCCTCGTCCCGCACGACAGGATCATGGGTCTGGACCTCCCCTCGGGCGGCCACCTCACGCACGGGTACTACACCGCGGGCGGGAAGAAGATCTCCGCGACGTCCATCTTCTTCGAGTCCCTCCCGTACAAGGTGAACTACTCCACAGGGTACATCGACTACGACAAGCTCGAGGAGAAGGCGATGGACTTCCGCCCGAAGATGCTCATCTGCGGCGGGAGCGCGTACCCGCGCGATTGGGACTACAAGCGCTTCCGCGATATCGCCGACAAGTGCGGCGCGATGCTCATGATGGACATGGCCCACATCTCAGGTTTAGTCGCCGCGGAGGAGCAAGCGAGCCCTTTCGAATACGCCGACATCGTCACGACGACGACGCACAAGTCCCTCCGCGGTCCGCGCGCGGGGATGATCTTCTTCCGCCGCGGTCCGCGCCCCTCGAAGCGAGGCGAGCCGGAGGGGCAGACGTACGACTACGAGAGCAAGATCAACATGGCGGTGTTTCCGGCGCTGCAAGGCGGCCCGCACAACCACCAGATCGGCGCGCTCGCGGTGGCTCTGAAATACGCCACCGGGCCGGTGTTCAAGGCGTATCAAGCGCAGGTCAAGGCGAACGCGGCGGCGCTCGCGAACGCGCTCATGTCGCGCGGGTATAAGCTCGTGACGGACGGCACGGAGAATCATCTGGTGCTGTGGGATCTCCGCCCCAACGGCCTCACCGGGTCGAAGATGGAGACCATCTGCGATATGCTGCACATCACGCTCAACAAAAACGCGGTGTACGGCGACGCGAGCGCGCTCACGCCCGGGGGATGCCGGATCGGCGCGCCCGCGATGACGTCGAGAGGGTTGAAAGAAGCGGACTTCGTGACCATCGCGGATTTCCTCCACGAAGCCGTCGAGCTCGCGCTGGAGGTGCAGTCGTCGCACGGGAAGATGCTGAAAGACTGGAAGATGGGCCTGGAAGGGAACCCGAAGGTGGACGAGCTTCGGGCGCGGGTGGAGGCGTTCGCGGAGGGATTCGACATGCCCGGGTTCACGCGCGGGGACGTGGACATGTGAGGAGTCAGGAGGTTCTTTTGGCTACTGTAGTCCGCGGATGCCTCGCCGATAGGGGACGGGACGCTCCGCTCGCTCCCTGTGATTCGTTTTCCGCCGCGACGCGCGAGAGGCGGTCGACGCAAACCTCCCTCGATCACTCACATTACTGTTTATACGTATGAATTGATTCCCCCCAACTAAGTCGCTCGACTACCTACGCTACCGCGACTGCTGCGTCTGCGTTCGAGGCTCGTCTGAATCGAGCTCGTCCGCGCGCGCCCACGCGCGCAGTTTCGCGGACTCGTCCGGGCTCAGCCCCGCGGAGTCCTCCGAGCCCGACGCGTCGTCGTCGTCGCCGTCGTCCTCCGCGGTCGGCGTCGGCGCCGCCGCGATTCTCATCGACAGCAGACGATCGATGTCGTGCAGCAGCGCGGTCTCGCGCACCGCGGCTTCCTCTATCGCGTCGTGCGCGCGGTCGGCGAAATCGAACGACGCGGGAACAGAGCTCGACGACGCCGGCGGCCTCCGCTCGAAGCGGCGCCGCGGCGACGGCGCCTCCTCCGGGGGCGACGACGACTCGACGCTTCGTTCCCGCGGCGGCGACCGCGGCGGCGGCGACGGCGGCGGCTCGCGCGCGGTGACCGCGGGCGACGACGCCGCGGACGCGATGCGACGCGCTTCCATCTTCCGCGCGTACGCGAGCTGCATCTCGAGCAACTCCGCGCGCTTCGCGCGTCGTCGCTTCAGCTCCCTCGCCGTCTTTTTCGAAAACGCGACGCCGTCGTCGTCGTCGTCGCCGGTGGAGTCGTCGTCGCCTCCGCTCCTCCTCTTCTTCTCCTTCTTCTTCTTCTTCTTCGTCTTCTTCCCATCCCCTCTCGACGATGTCATCCTCGCGTCGTCCACTTTCCCGCCGACGTCAGGGATCGCCGCGACCGCGCGAAACCCGCGACTATTCTTCGCCGCCGGCGACCCGTAGTCCCTCTCGCTCTCCCACGCCCGCCGCTCCCCTCCAAAGTCGGGATCCCGCATGATGAGGTCGCGCATCCGGAACCCGCCCGCGCCGGAGACCTTCCCTCGGTTCACCTCGGTCCCCGACGCCGGTCGCGACGACGCCGTCCGCGCGGCGCACGGTTTCCTCGGCGGCGTCGCGAGCTTCGTCATCTCCCGCAGGTACAGACGCGAGCGATGATGCGCGGCGCTCGCGTCCTCGTCGTCGTCCAGATCCGCCGCCCTCCGCTCGCGCGTCCTCCCTGTCGTCCCCGCGCCGTCGCCGCCGCCGCGGTGTTCCTTCCCCAGCCTGGCGAGTCCGAGGAGCGCTAAGACGTCGCTCTCTCGAGGCGCGGCGCCCGGCCGCGCGAAGTCCTCGCGGCGGCGCATCGCATCCCGCGCGGGTCGGAGTGCGCGTCGTCCCTCGTCGGATCCGACGGCGGGAACGCGAAAACGACAGCTGACGCGAAAAAGTAGTTTCGTTTTTCGTTCGGCGCCGACGCCTAACCAACCGCGCGCTCAAGAGACGCGCACACGCGCGCGTCCAAACTACGCGCACACATATCGCGTCACATCACGTCTACTACCTACCCAACACGTCTACTACGACTCGAAGTCGATCGCTTCGTCCCCCTCCGAGCCGCTATCCGGCCGCTCGTCGTCCTCGGAATCCCGCGCGTACACGATCGTCCCCGCCGCCTCCGCCGCCGCCGCGCCGCGCCGCCTTCCTCCCCCGCCGACGCCTTCGATCCCCGCGCTTTTGCGCGCCGCGGGCGAGGGACGGTGCCGACTGTGCGTGCCGACAAAAGTCGCGGACGACGGCGGGTCCCCGCCGCCGCCGCCGCCGCCGCCGCCGCCGCCCGCGGCGCGCGGGAGGTACGACAACGCGTCGCCGTCGTCGTACGCGCGGCCGAAGCCCTCGCCCTGGTGCTCGAACGGGAGGTCGACCGTCGCGCGCGCGGCGGCTTCGCTCGCGGTGACGCCGAGGTTGAACGGCACGGACGCTTGGAGTTTGCGCGCGGCGTTCGCCTCGGCCTCGGCCTCGGCTTCCGCGGCGGCCTGCGCGGCGGAGAGGCTGGACGACGACGACGCCGCCGCCGCCGCCGCCGCCGCGGGCGCGGGCGCGAATGTCGCGCGCGCGCGCCGCTCGCGCCGATCGCCGTCGCCGCCGCCGCCGTCTCGCTCGAACGTCACGCGAATCGACTCGATATCCACCTTCGTCCGTCCCGACGTCCGCACGTGCTCGACGCGGAGCAGCGCGTCGGGAAGGTCGTTCGGCGCGGGACCCGGCGCGGGACCCGGAGGTACCCCGAACGGGACGACGTCGACGAAGCACGCCGCGCGCCGCCGAAGCGCGCGCGCCACCCTCCCCACGTCGTCGTCGCCGCCGCCGCCGCCGCCGCCGCCGCCGCCGCCGCTGATGAAAACCACGACCACCGCGACGCGCTCGTCCGCGCGCAGCGCGTCGATGAACGCCACCGCGTCGTCCGCGCCGACGCCGGCGGCGAGATCCGCCGCGCAGTCGACGTAGACGCACGCCGTCGCCGACGCGGGCGGGGAGTACCCCCACAGCCCCGAGCGCTTCCCTTTCGTGTTCTTCGCGGTCGCGGTGGTCGCCTTCGCGTCGTCGGCGGGGGCGGGGGTGGAGGTGGGGTCGGGACGCGCGCGATGGCGGCGGCCATCCCGCGCGTCGTCCAGCGCGGACGCGACCGCGGACGCGAGGAGGGAGACGTTCGTCGCGCCGCCGTCGCATCGCCGCGTCGTCGTCGTCGTCGTCGTCGTCGTCGTCGTCGTCGTCGTCGCGTCGCCTCCGCGTCGTTCGCCGCCCCGCGTCGTCTCGCCGACCCATCCGTACGGATCGGAGTGGACGTCGATGACGAACGGATGGAACGCTTCCAGGTCTGCGGGGTTTGCGTCCGGCGATGGGTGGGGGCGGTATCGCGCCGCCGCGCGATGCCCCGCGACGAGGATCGAATCGCGCGCGTGCGATTTCCCTCTCGCGGTGGCGACGCATCCGCGCCTGGTGAGCTCCGCGAACGTCTCCCACCCTACGTCGCCATACGATATCGACGGATCGTCCGCGAGGACGATCGCGCACGCGGAGGACTCGTCCGCGCGCACGGCGGCGCGAAGGCACCGCACCGCGCCGTCCATCGCGCGGCGCGTTCTGACGACGACGAGCGGAGAGAAGAACGAGTGCTGCGATTTCTTTCGAGAATTCCGAGAAAGAAGAATGCATTAATCGCGCAGGTCGGCACCATAACGTCAGCGCGCGCGTACACCCTCCCTCCGTCGTCAGGGACGCGAAGGCGCGCCTCGACGCGTGCACCATGACCTCGCCGACGCGCCCGCAGCGCGGGGAGTCGAAGTGGGCGACGAAGAAGACCGCGGACGTCGCGCCGGCGCCGGCGATCCCACCCACTCCGAAGACGTCGTCGTCGAATTCTCCGATCGACCGCTTCCGCGCGAGCGTGGAAGCGCGCGACGACGCCGCCGCCTGCGCGGCGCTCGACGAGGTCGCGACGCGAGCGAGAGACGCCGCGACGCGCGCGTCGCTCGCGCGCGAAGGCGCGCCCGTCGTCCTCGCCGCCGCCCTCGCCGCGGTCGTCGAGATCGAAGCCCCCTCCGCGTTCGCGTCTCGATCCGCCTATCTCCTTCCGCTCCTCCGCGCGCTGCGGTGCGTTCTATACACTGGTCCCCATACGACCGCGTTCGCGTGGTGAACGCCGATCCTTAAGGACTTTGCCCGGCGTCTCTCTCCGCCCACCCCCCGCTTTCAATCCCCGCCCGCGACGCCTTTCAATTTCAACTGACGCCTTTGAACTCCACCCCGACATCGCTTTGTATGGAACGGCCCTCAGAAACTGCGTCGCGGGCGAGCCCGTCGCGCGCGGCGGCGCGTGCGGCGCCTCGACCGGCGTCCACGTCCTCCCGAACGCGCTCCGTCGCCTCCTCCCCGCGCTCGCGACCGCGGCGGAGCGCGCGACGGACGAGAACGACGACGCGGTGAGCGAGTTGGTCGTCGCGACGCAGCTCGCGTGCAACTGCGCCGTCGGCGGCGGCGCCGACGCCGACCTCGTGTGGCGCGCGGTGTTCCCTGACGGCGTCGCCGCCGTCGCGGCGCTGAGAGGACCCGCCGCGCGGCGCGCGCACCCGCCGCTGTGCATGCTCGCGCACGCGCGCGTGATGAGCGGCGGTCGCGGTCGAGAGGAGAGCGGGGAGGAGGTCGGGGAAGAAGCCAGGGACGCCGTGGACGACGACGACGTCGTCGGGTTTCGCGCGGGACGCGCGCTGTGGTCGCCGTTGCTCCGCGCGGCGTGCGACGACGCGATCGGCGCGGGAGGCGGCGGCGGCGGGGAGTGGTTGCCGCGGTTTGTGAGGGCGGCTTGCACGCACGGCGGGGAGCGGTTCCCGGCGCTGTGTCGGTCGCTGCCGAGAGGCGCCGCGGACGTCGCCGCGGCGAGGGACGACGCGTTGCGGAGGAAAATTTTAGCCCTCGCCGTCGATGGCGGCGGCGGCGCGAAGATCACCGAGCTCCCGGACGAGACCACGACCGAGAGGTTCTCCCTGACGCAGGCGACGCTCCTCGCGCTCGTGCACGAGGAGATCGGGAGCTCGCCGCCGCCGCCGCCGCGACGCGACGCCGACGCCGACGCCGCCGCGCCCGGCTCCGCCGAACCGCCGGCGCCGTCGCCGTTGTCCGACGGCGCGCTCGCGTATCTTTTGGACATGACCTCGCGCGCGGCCGCGGCGGTGCACGCGTCGGCGTCGGCGTCGACGGAGGTGAAGGCGATTCCGGCGGCGAATCCCGACGACGACGACGACGACCAGCCGGCGGCCGCCGCCGCCGTGCTCCGCGAGAGCCTCAAACTCGTCCGAAGACTCACCGAGCTCGAGATCCGCCCGTCGTCGATGAACACGCCGCATGACGTCGTCACCGCGCTCGCCGCGATGGGCCTCCCGAGACTCCTCCTGGGCCTGACCGCGGCGCTCCCGCCCCCGATGGGCGCGGGAAACACGTCCAAGGCGCGAGGGCCGACCGCGGCGCCGAGGTTGGACCCGGACGTCGTCGGGGGCCCCGCCGCGTTGCGGGACGGCCACGCGCCGTTTCCGACCGCGCGGCCGTGGCCGGGGTACCGCGTCGACGCGCTCGCGCCGCTCGCGAACGCGATGTTTAACCGCCCGGGGGTGTGCGACCAGGTCGTGAAGCTCGGGGGCGTGCCGATCATCCTCGCGGCGACGCGTGGGGAGGATGGCGAGGATTTTCTGCGCGAGTGGGCGCTGTGGGCGACGCGGAACCTGTGCCACGGGAGCGAGGACGCGAGGAAGGAGATCGAGTCGATGCAGCCGGAAGCCGCCGCGGACTCGCAGGAGCTCGCGGCGATGGGATTGAACGTGAGCGTCGACCCCGCGACCGGGAAGGTCAGGGTGAAGTCGATCGGGAAGGAAGGCGGCGCGGGGGAGCGGTACGACGGCGTGGGGACCGGCGGGACCGGCGGGGGGGGGTCGGCGGCGGCGGCGGCGACGACGACGACGACGGCGACGGCGACGACCGCGGGGACGGCCCTGGGGCCCGGGGAGCTCCTCATGACCCCGGGCGGGGCGAGAACGCCCGCGGGGAGGGCCGTCGCCGCCGCGCTCATGGCCGGGTTCGACGCGGACCAATTTAAAGACGCGGGGGACGACGACGACGACGACGTGGACGTTCCCGCGCACTGGAAAGTCGCCGACTTGAGCTAAGGTTTAGCGGTTTCCCGAGCGCGTCGACGCGACGGGACCGCTCGTCTATCCTACGTAGCTCCTAATATATGCTGTACTATATCGCTCTTCGGACGCGCGCCATCCCCCGACCGCGGCCACGTTCATAGCCCTACGTCATCGCCGCCTCCGGAGAAGCATCGCGACGACGGCGCCCGCGGCGAACGATGCCGCCCCCGACCCCGCCGCTCGCCTTCTCCGCGTCCCCGCCCCCGACCCCGCCGCCGCCGCCGCCGCCGACGACTCCAACGCCCTCGCGTGCGCCCTGCTCGCGTCCCTCTCCGTCGTCGCGATCACCTCGTCGAACACCCTCTCCACGCGAACGATGCTCCCCGCCTCCCCGCCGCCGCCGCCGCCGCCGCCGCCCCCGAACCCGGTCTCCACGACGGTGGCGCCGAGCGACGCGTAATACTTCATCAGCCGCGTCGACGCGCGCTCCACCGTCGCCTGGACCTTGGGGTAGCCGCGCTCGTGCGCCCAACACTGCGCCTCTCGCATGATCCACGCGCCGTGGCCTCGCCCTCGGTGTGGTCGTGTCACGCCGAGGTGCATGCCGTACAGGCTCGCGGTGTACGGCGTCGCCGCGGCGAAACCGATGAGCGGTCGCGGCGCGGGGGGCGGCGGCGGCGGCGACGTCTTCGCGTCGAAAATCATTTCATGGGCGGATCCCTCGGCTTCGATCGCGGGGCCGTCGTCGTCGAAGAGGAGGAACCACGTGATGGCGTCCTCGTCGTGGCACGCGGTGACGCGGTCCCAGAACGCGGCGTCCGGCTCGTCGTCCGCGACCTCTCCTGGGAAGCACTCCGCGTGCACGCGTCGAACCTGTGGACGGACGGAAGGTCGCCATCGAGGTGAGGGAGGAGGCGCGCGAGATCGGGTTCTGTTGGGACGGAGACGACGACGACGACGAGACGCGCGGACGACCAGACGACGGCGCGAGGGGGTAGGGAGACTGGCCGGGGAGACGCACCTCGTCGACGTGCGCACGCACCGCGGTCGCGTCGAACACCTCGACCCGCATATCGTGCGGCGCGGCGCGACTCGTTGTGGCGCGCCGCGTTCGCGTTCCCGCCGATTTTCTGAAGTTTCGCTTTCGTCGCGTTCGTCGGCACACCAAACAGAACAAAGCGCGCGTCATCAGATCGCCCGGCGCCGCGGCCTCGCGCCGCGACCGATCGATGTCGAAACTCGACGCGTTCCTCGCGAAGCTCGCGGCGAAGAAGCGCCTCCTCGACCGCGAGGAACGGCGCGACCGCGGCGAGGACGTCTCCGACTCCGACTCGGACGCCTCCGACGACGCCGCCTCGAATCATCCGAGCGGCGGGCGCGCCGTCGTCGCCCCCACTTCGGACGCGTCGTCGTCGTCCGCGTCCATCTACGGCAGCAAGGCGTATTGGGACGCGCGGTACGCGACCGGGTGCGTTATCGGCGCGAACAGCACGAGGGGGGAGGTATCGAACGAGTGGTACGTCGGCTACGACGCGATCGCGGCGTTGCTATCGTCCGTCGGGGTGGAGAAGACGTCGTCGATCCTCCTCCTCGGCTGCGGGACGTCGACGCTTGGGGAGGATCTCGCGGACGACGGCTTCGTCGCGGTGACCGCGGTGGATTACTCCGAGAACTGCATCGACGTCATGCGGGAGACGTCGTCGAGGAACCAAGCGAGGTGGCGCGCGGACGCGGTCGCCGCGGCGGGGGTGGAGCCGGACAGCGACGACGACGACGACGACGGCGACGACGGCGGCGAACGTCGCGCGCGCGAAGACGACGAAGACGACGAAAACGCGGACCCGCGGCCGCTCTCGGTCGCGACGCGACGCCCGGTGCGTTACGACGTCGTGGACGTCACAGACATGGACGCGTACGGCGACGGCGCGTTCGACGTCGTGTTAGATAAAGCGACGCTCGACACGATGTGCCAGCTGGACGACGACCCGGAGACGGAGGGGAGCCGCGCGCGACGGATGTTGCGAGAGAGCTGCAGGGTGCTCCGACCGGGGGGGACGTACGTGTGCGTGACGTACGGGGACGCGGAGGACAGGCGAGGGCTGCTATTGGACGAGACGTTGGAGTGGGACGTGACGCCGCCGACCGCGGCGGAGGTGGAAGAGGACGTAACGGGCGGCGGTGGGGGGTTAGGGAGGATCATACGGAAGAACAAAGCAGTGTTCTACGCCTACATCGCGGTGAGGAGGTAGCGGCACTGAGGGAGGTGCCTACTTTCTGTATTTTGTGACACGCGCGCTGCGCTGCTGCTGCTGGATGATATGACACACTGTGACGAAATCCTCGACCAGCCGCGACGCCGCGGCGGCTGGTCCGTCCGCGGCGGCATACCCCGCGCGCACCGCACGGGCGTGGCATGCTCGCGGTCGGAACGTACGTCGCCGCTCGATTCGCGCGCGCGCTTCCGCTCCGTCGCGTCGCGACGTCCGTCGCCGCCGCTCGTCTCTCGTCGTCCGCGCCCTTCGCTCGAAACGCGCCTAAGGCGGGGCGTTCGCGATCGCGACCGCGTCGCTCGTTCGCTCGGTCCTCCTCGCCGAAGGATCTTCTTCGCGACGTCGTCTCGCCCGCGGCGGCGCGACAACAACGCTATCCGGCCGACATGCCGGATAAGAACTGGGAAGAGATGTGGGCCGCGGGGCTGAACCCCGGGGACGCGTTCGACGCGCGAAGGGCCGAGCCCGCGCTCGCGGATCTCGTCGATTCCGGCGCGCTCCCGAACGGGGTCGCGCTCGTTCCTGGGTGCGGTCGCGGATATGCCGTCGCCGCGCTCGCGTCCAGCGACCGCGCCGTCGTCGGCCTCGAGATCAGCGAGACCGCGAAGGCGGCGTGCGAGGCGTACCTCGCGACGTGCGGCGACGTCGTCGGCGAGCGCGCGAAGGTGGTCGTCGACGACTTCTTCGCGCACGCGCCGCGGGAGAAGTACGACCTGGTGTACGACTGCACGTTCCTGTGCGCGATCCCGCCCGGGCGAAGGGAGGAGTGGGGGAAGCGGATGGGCGCGCTGGTCAAACCGGGGGGGGAACTCGTGAGCTTGGTGTTCCCGATCGGCGACTTCGAGGGCGGGCCGCCGTTCGCGCTGAGACCGAGCATCGTGGAGGCGCTTCTGAGCGCGAACGGGTTCGAGGCGATGTCGTTGACGGAGGTACCGGAAGCGCAGTGGGCGCGCGGGAGGCAGGAGTACCTCTACCGGTGGAGAAAGAAGTGACGGACGGAGATATCGTTCGAACGTACACGTAATGTATCTACGACGCGTCGTGTGACTTTGAATGAATGTAATGTATGATCCGATATCGTTCACGTCGTCAGATCAAGCTATCGCCAAAGGGAAGCGCCGCGGACGGCGGCGGCGCCGGCGGCTTCGGCGGCGGCGGCGGGGTCTTCGCGTCCTCCCGCATCGTCAGCTTCGTCGAGAACGTCGGCGGCGTCTGCGACACGAGCAGCTCTCTCAGCCACGTCTTCCTCGCGACGAGCGCGTCCCTTCGGTCCTCCGTGCGCTTCACGTCCTCTCATAGCGTTTTCGTCGCCTTGGACTCTCTCGGCGTCCCCGCCTCGGGCGCCTCGGAGCCGTCCTCGCCCGCTGCCGACGCCGCCTCCGCGGCGACGCCCGCGGTCGCCGCGTCGCCGTCGCGCTCTGCCCCCGCGCCGGGCGCCTTCGTCCCCCCGGGGCCGGGGCCCGCGTCGTCCCTCGCCGCGCCGCCGCCGCCGCCGCCGCTCGTCTTCTTCGCCCCCGGCTTGAACCGCGCGGCCCACCCTCCGGCGCCGAACGCGTCCGAGAGCTTCGAGATGTTCGACCCGAGGTTCCCGGCGAGGTCTCGAATCGCCCTCGACCCGGACTCGCGCACGCTCCTCGCCGCGGCGGCGAGCGCGTCCGATCCCACGCCACCTCCTCCCCCGCCGCCACCCCCGCCGCCGCCGCTCCCTCCGAACATCACGCTCAGCGGCACGTCGCCGTCGCCGTCGAGCCCCGCGTCCTCTCTCTGCGTCCGCTCCGACAGCTCCTTCGCGCCGCGTTCGGCGAGCTCCGTCGCGCACTCCGCGGCGGCGTCGACGACGGTGACGTATCCCATCGCCACCGCGGACGTCGCGTCTCGCGCGAACTCCGCCCACCGCGACGTCTGCGTCGCCCAGGCGTGCGTGACCTCGTCGCCAAACTCTCGGACGTCCGCCGCGATGTCCTCGCACTCGGGGACGAGCGCGGACGCGCCGCGGCGTCGCAACGACGCGCGCGCGGCGTCGGCGACGCGGTCGAGGCGTTTGACTCGCGCGTCCGCGTCCTGTTTCGCTCGCGCCGCGTGCTTCCCGACGCGCTCGCTGTGCGCGCGGTCGCGCTCGATGGCGTTGCGGCGGCGGGTGATGGCCTTCGCGGCCGCCGCCGCGGCCGCGTCCGCCGCGTCGAGGCGAGAGATCTCCACGTCGAACGCGAGCTCGAGCGCCTCCGGGGAGCTCGAGACGTCCGCCGATGTCCTCGGCGCGTCCTCCTCGGCGCCGTCCGTCGCCGCGGGCTTCGGCGTCGGCGTCGACGACGGCGGCTCGAACGCGCCGTCGACCGCGCTCGCGGCCGCGCGCGCGCTCGCCGCGGTGGCGGACGACTTCCGTCGCCTTCGCGCCTCCGCCGCGGCGAACCATTCCGTCAGCGCGGTCGCCTTCGCCGTCGCCTCGGACGCGAGCCCAGCGCGCGCGGCGGCGACGTTCTTCTCCAGCTTCGGGAGGTCCGCGGCCGCGTTCGCGTTCACCGCCCTGACGAGCTCGAGCAAGGACGCGAGCTCGGCGTCGAGACGCGCGACGTGCGCGCGCCTCGTTTCGTCCAAGACGACGACGTCCGGGGGGTTCGACGGCTTCTTCCTCCACGTTCCCCCGCCTGGGACGGACGCGGAGACGTCTTCCCAGCGGTCCGACGCGATCCCGCCGCCGCCGCCACCGCCGCCGCCCGCGCGGCTCCCTTCTAAGGGCACGAACGCCTCCCCGCCATCGCCGACCGCGCCGCCGCGGACGGTGTCCACGACCCAGGACAGCTCTCGAGTGATCCGTTCGAGTCGTTCGAGGAGCGCGTCCCCGCGCCGGACGACGTGCTCGAAGAGCGAGTCCGACCACGCGTTCCACAGCGGCCCGCCCTCGTCCAACCCGTTCGCGGCGACGCCGGAGCCGCGCTCCCACGCTAACCCTTTCGACCCCATCGCGAGCGCTCTCTGCGTCAGCGCGCGGAACGCGGTCGCGTCCGCGGCGAAGTCCGCGCGGAGCGTCTCGAGCGAGGAGCTGTTCAGAGCGCCCAACGGTCGCGTCGCCGTCGTCTTCACCGCGCGCGTGAATTCAAACCGATGCGTCGGGAGCTTCCGAAGGCGCTCGTCCAATCGCGCGAGCTTATCCGTCAGCGACGACACCTCGCGCGCGGAGAGACCGAGACCCTCCACGGGGAGGAGGTACGTCTCGGACGCCCTCGCCGCGGGGTTTAGAGCCGACGGCGGCGGCGCGGTCGACGGGGACGAGTCCGCGTCGCTCGAGTCCGCCGCCGCTCGCCCGCCAAACGCGGAGAACGGATCGTCCCCGCCGCCGCTCCTAGACGACGGCGATCCGACCGGAGACACCATCGGCGAGTCCGAGAACGACGCGGCGTTCGCGGGCTCCGGCGCCATGGATCGGATCGCCGCGATCTCAGCGAGGAGGCCGTGCTCTAACGCGTCGTCGTCGTCCTCCGCGCCGGGGACGCGAATCATAAGCTCGAGCGACGACGTCGACGCCGCGGGCGGCTCCGTCATCTCCCACCCTTCGAGCTCCTCGCCCTCGACCGCTTCTTCGGCTCCGCCGCCTTCTTCCTCCGCGTCGTCGCCTTCGCCTTCGTTTCCGCCGGTCACGAGCTTGAGCGCGCGCTCCGTCGCGTCCGCGAGCGCGTCCGCCCGCTCCAACGCCCGCGCGGACATCACGTCGGAGAGGTCGCTGAGGGTCGAGGGTCGTTTCATATGAGCGAACGTCGGGGTGGAGTTGAAAGGCGTCAGAAGCGGAGTTGAAAGGCAACGCGGGTGGGGATTGAAAGCGAGGCGTGGGCGGAGAGAGACGACGGCGAAAGTCCCTAAGGATCGGCGTTCACCACGCCGACGCGGTCATATGGGGATCAGTGCATAGAACGCGCCTCACGATCCCCGAGACGATCTCGTCCGTCTCCGTCAACGGCGGCGTGTCCCTCACGGACTGCGGGAGCCCGTCGTCGGACTTTCTCCGGCGCCTCCCGCGCTCGCGAGCGACCTCGATATCGAACTTCGAGGGGTGTAACGGCCCCTCAAGAAGCGTTTTCACCCTCGCGACGAACCCCTCCACGTCCACCTCGCTCCCCAGCCGCTGCAACAGCTCGATCGCCTCGCCCATCTCCGAGCACGCCATGACGTCGTCCGCGCTCGGCGACAGCAGCGCGAGGCACGACGCGAACAGCGGCGCGCGGTTCTTCGCCTTGAACACCTCGTCCCACACGCGCATCGTCGCCTCCGTCGGCAGGACGTTCACGAACAAGGTGAGCAGCCACTGCGAGCTTATGATGCCGCACACGATGTTATCCGGCGCGAGCGACTCGAGGTGGAGTCCGACCCCGGGGAGGTGCGCGTGCAGGAGGCGCGAGAAGACCCTCTGATCTAACTTCGCGCTCGCCATGCCCTCGCTGAAGTACCCCGGGACGACGACGTTCACGAGCGCGCACAGGGACCAGAACGCGTCTTCTTCGGAGACGCCGGCGAGGAGGAGAAAGGCGGCGAGGAAATTCATGGACTGGACGTAGCCCGTCCGCGGGTCGTGCGCTGCGTAGGCGGTGAGGACGTTCCGTAGCGAGTCCCACATCGGCAGCCCTGGGGAAGGAGACGCGCGGAGGTCAGCGTCGTGAGGAAGCGCGACGTTACGCTCACGCGCGGGGGAGGGCGAAGCGCTCGTTCGATCGTTCGTTCGTTCGTTCGTTCGTTCGATCGTCCGACGCGGAGGAAAGGTCGATCGCGTCCACGGTCTCTGTATCCGCGCACCTGGCTTGAGGAGCCCTTGCACCGCGAACGTCGCGCCCGTGCGCGGAAGGTCCTTCTCGATCTGCTGCGCCGTCTCCGGGGTCTCCCCCGCGAGCGCGAGGAGCGCGGCGTAGTGGTTCGGAACCCTCATATCGCGCGCGAGCAGAGGCCAGGTCGTCGCGCGCGTAGATCCATCGGGCGCGACGTGCCACGCGTCGTGGTCCGTGTTCAGCGACGGCGACGGCGACGGGGACGGGGACGACGGCGCGGGGGGCGACTCCGAAGCCGCCGGAGGCGGAGGCGGAGGCGGAGGCGGAGGCGGAGGCGGATCCTCCTCCATGCGCCCCTGGGTGTGGGCGAGGCGCGAGGGAGGGACTGGAAGGGACCTGATGACTGCCTTTTTTCCTCGTTCTGTTCCGTTCACAGCTGTGCGACACTTTCGCGCCGCGCGCCTCTCGGACGACACGCGACGCGCGACGCCGCCATGCCGACGCTCGACCTCGGCTCGCCGTCCCTCGCGGGCACGTTGACCCTCTCCTCGCCTCTGTCCTCGCGGCTTCTGAAGCTCGAGACGCCGCTCGGCGACGTCGCCGCGGCGTCGACGTGCGCGGCGCTCGAGCGGTCGTTGAACTCGGAGGTGAACGCGTTCTGCCGCCGCGGGGCCTCGGACGAGGGCCAGAGGCTCGCGAACGACCCTCCCTCGACGCGCGTCGTCGTCCTCCGCGCGACGGCCGACGTCCTCGTCGTCGTCACGGACCACGCCTTGCATCAGCTCGTCGGCCTGTTCTGCAGGATACCGGAGACGGCGCGCGCCGCGGGCGCGCGCTTCGCCGTGGTCGAACCGAGCACGACCGCCGAGAGCGCGGACGTCGTCCGCGCGATGCTCCCGCGCATCCTCACGCGCGCGATGATCGAAGGCCCCGCGGCGGCGGCGACGCGTTCATGGATCGGGTTCGGAAGCGCGCCTCGGAGCGGCGCGCGGCTCCTACACGCGGCGCGCGGCTCGTACTTTCCGACGGCGCCCGACGGCGCCGTGTGCGTGGACGCCCTCCTCCTCTCGCCTCCGGTGTTCATCGCCTCCGAGCTCCCGAACGCGCGCGTGGTCATCCCGTCCGTGACCACCGTCACGACGCGATTAAAGAGGATGTCCCACCCGGTCGCGGCGATGCGATGCGCCGGCGTCGCGAAGGAGGTCATCGAAGCGACGCTGCGGCGCGGCGAGGACGCACAGCTGTGCGCCGTCGACGACGTCTCGCCGTTGGACGACTACGGCGACGACCGCGCGGACGACGACGACGGCGCCGCCGAGCCGTTGCTTGTGACGCCCGCGCCGATCCTGCACAAAGAAGCGAGGGTCGTGTCGTTCGTGTTCACACCGCCGGCGGCGTACGGGCACGAAGACGCCGCCGCGTTCGAGCGCGCGTTTTCCGCCCGGCACGGTCTCACCGACGGCGTCCCCCCTATGATCGCGACGACCGAAGACGACGACGACGGCGACGACGCGGCCGACCTTTCGAAGATGCCGCCGTACGCGGAGATTTCGTTCTGCGACGACCGCGATCCCCGCGTGCGGCACCTGTGGCCGACGTCGTTGCTGTTGACGCGGACCGGGGCGACGGACGTTCCGGCGGCGATGACGGCGGAAAAATCCATGGATTTGATTTCGCGGTTCGCGGAGGACGTGAGGACGAGCGCGTTCATGGGCGTGCGCGTCACCCTGGACCGCGTCGGCGGCGGGAACGAGGACGAGCTGAAGCAGCAGACGGCGGACACGGCGGACACGGCGGCGGCGGCGACGACGACGAAAGGGAAGAAGAAGAAGGGGGGCGGAGGGAGCAAGAAATCCGCCGTCGCCGCCGCCGCCGTCGCCGCCGCCGACGCGGTTGCCCAGCCTGGGGTCGCGACGTACGCGATCACAAACTGCGATTTGTTCCACACCGCGACGTCCCTACCGGGCGACGCCGGGAAGAAGACGCTGGAGCTCATCAACGCCGCGGCCGCGGCGCTGAGCGTCCGCGTCGAGGACCCCGCGGAGGACGAGACGCCGATGAAGCCGCCGCCGCCGCCGCGGAAGCAGACGGGGCCGCCGCGGACCGTCGCGCTCGCGGGGTTCGCGAAGAGAGAGGCCGCGGCGCGGTCGCCGTCGCCGCCGGCGCCGCCGCCGTCGCCGCGCGCGAATGACGGGACGGCGACGACGATCACGCCGCCGCCACCGCCGCAGCCCGAGCAAGTCACGAAGCCGAAGCCGCGGGCGCCGGTGATGGCGACGCACGCGCCGCCGCCGCCCGCCGTCGCGGCGACGACGGCGGCGGGGGGGCGTCCTTCTCCTCCCGCGGTCGTCGTCGCGCCTGAGACGCTGTCGCCAGTAGTCATCGCCGCGGCTCCCGCGATGGCGCGCGCGCCCGTCTTCGCGAAGGCTTCAGCGCCGGCGCCGGCGCCGACGCCGACGCCGGCGGAGACGGACGCGGAGGACGACGGCGACATGACCGCGGAGATCTATGCGATGTTCATGGCCGAGAACGACGCCGGAAACGAGGACGCCGCGAAAATTGCCGCGGACGCGGCGGCGATGCCGCCGCCCGCGCCGAAGCCTCGAGCGCCGGCGGTCATGAAACCCTTCGGCGGCGCCTCCGCCGCCGCGGCGGCGGCTCCGAGACCCGCGCTTTCGAAATCCAAACCCGCCGCCGGCGTCGTCGCCGCCGCGGACGGCACCGCCGGCGCGGAGAAACCGAAGAAAGCGCCGAGGAAGCGCAAAGTCATCGACCCGGAGCTCAACGACGCGGCCGTGCGGAAGCGTTTCAAAGACGAAGGAGCGGACGCCGTGGCGAAGTTCCCGGGCGACGAACTCATCGCCTTTCTTAAAAAAGCCGGCGCGACGGGAAATTTCGGGAAGATGAAAAAGGACGAGCTCGTGGGGAAAGCGAAGGAAGTGCTCGCGTCCGCGGCCGTCGTGGCGTGAGAGGGACGAGACGAGAGGGAACGGACGAACGAAGAAACGCACGCACGCACGCACGCACGCACGCCGCGGTAACTCTTACCCTTCTTCTGAATTGAGTTTATTTTTTCGTTTTGTTGTCATCTACTCCCGATCCTCGCTCTTCGACGCGGCTTCACTCGTACAACGTCTTCAGCTTCGCCTCCACCTCCGCGGTGAGCGCCGTCCCCGGCGCGGCATCGATCGCGGCCATCACCTCCGGGATCGTCTCGCGCGCTTTCTCCACCGCCTTTTTCGTCAGCGCGGCGGCGGCGTCCGCGTTCATGTTTTTCACGTGCCCGCGCTGTAACCCATACACCCCGACGACGGTCTCCGACAGCGTTGACGGTTCCCCTGGGGTTTGTCGTAACACCCCGCGGATCGACTGCGATCGCGACCCCATGTAGTCCTTCTCGTCGCCCTCGTTTCCGAACGCGACCATGTCGTCCGCTTGCATGACGTCCAGACGTATTTGCATCATGTCGAGCGATTTCAACGGCGCCGCCGCGCCGGGGGTGCCGATGCGCGACACTGAATCTTTAACGCTGATGACCCAGCCGTTTTTCGGAGAGTACGAGTCCACCATCACCTGACCGTCCGTGATGCTCATGAACTCCTCGACGAGCGACCGCGGTTGGATAAACTTCTCGTTCGCCGCCGCGACCGCGGCCATCGCGGCGTCCTTCTTGGCCTCCGCCGCCGCCGCCGCCTCTGCCGCCTTCTTTTTCTTCTCCAGCGCCGCGGTGATCTTCGCTTTCATCTCGTCGCTCATCTCGTCGAACCCGCTCGGGAGCGCAGCCTCCGCGGCGAGATCCCCGGAATCCTTCTTCGACCCTTTCCTGCCCTTGTACGCGCCTTTTTGGTGCCACATGCATCCGATCAACGAGAGCGATCCGCCTCCATTCTTATCGTTGAGACGCGCGCACCTCTGCAGCGTCATCCCCAAGAACCTTCTCCTCTCCGCGAGCAGCGCGTTGATGATCATCCCCTCGTACTCCACCATCCTCTCCACGCCGTCCTCCTCCGTCGGCGCGCTGTTCTCGAGCTGCGGCGAGAGCTTCGCCATGTCCACGGTGAACCCGATCAGCCCGGTGAAATCGTCGAGGACGAGCAAGACGTCCTGGCCCTCCGCGCGCGCGCCCTCCGCGACCGCGAACGCCGCGCACGTGGCCGCGTACCGCTCCGCCATGCTCGCGTTCGGGGAGCACGACACCACGGTGACGTGTTCCATGACGCCGTTCTCCGCTAAGGGCCGTTCCATACGAGCGAATGTCGGGGTGGAGTTGAAAGGCGTCAGTTGAAGTTGAAAGGCGTCGAGGGCGGGGATTGAAACCGGGGGATGGGCGGAGAGAGACGCCGGCAAAAGTCCTTAAGAAACGGCGTTCACCACGCCAACGCGGTCGTATGGGGACCAGTGTATAGAACGCGCCTAATTCGCCGGCGATTGCCATCCCGCTGTCCTCCGCGGACGCGCCCACGGCGCCGTACACGCACCGCACGCCGCTCTTCGCCTGCGCGGCGACCGCGGAGAGGCCGAGCATGTTTATCCCGGTCCCGAGCTCGCCGGTGAGGAGCATGCACTGGCCTCGGCCGACCGGGGTGAGGACGTCGACGGCTCTGATCCCGGTCACGAGCGGCGTCGTGATCGGCTTCCTGTCCTCCACGCTCGGGGTTTCCATCATGAGCTCGCTGCCGCCGCCGGCGGTGACGTCGCGGAATTTACCGCCGGGGATGGGCCGCGTCGGGCGTCCGTCCAGGGGCTGCCCGAGCGCGCCGAGGTGCCGGCCTCTCACCTCGGCCTCCGCGGGCATGACGAATTTCTTCTTCTTCAAAATCTCCACGGCGTCCCCCGCCTTGACCTTCGCGGTCCCGGGACCCAGCGCGATCGCGCCGCAGCCGTTCTCCTCGCTGCCGTCGTTGAACATCAGCGCGAACGACTTGGGCTCGCGATGGGACAACAGCACAGCCTTGGCGCCGTCCGCGCCGAGGTGGACGATCGTGCCCGGAGCGACGTCGCCGCCGACGCCCTCGAGAACGACGAGCGAGCCGTCGACGAGCGAGCTCACCGCGGGCGGGAGCTTCGGGTTCGCGTCCTCGCCGATGTCGATGTCCGAGACGTTCGCCTCCGCGGCCGCGGCGAGCGTGAGGCGGCGCGCGCGGTGGCGGGGGATCGGGAGGAGCGTCGTCCCGCGGTGCGCCGCGAACGACGACGTCGACGACGACGCGAGGACGCTCGAGAAGGACGCGGCGGCGTCGCGCGTCGGCGCGGACCCCGGGCGAGGCGCCGCGGCGGCGGCGCGGAGCGAGGAGAACGCGCATCGCGCGGAGCGTCTCGCCGCGGACGCGAACATCGACGCCGGACCCATCGCGTTCGTTGTCGCAGAGGTCATGAACGAGAGAGAGAACTGGCGGCGGCGGTGCTTCGGAGACCGTCGATCGGATGGATTCTCGCGCGACGCAGCGACGACGCTCTCCTTTGCCTCCTTCGCGGTGGGTGAATACCGCGCTCGACGCGAGCTGTGCGAACGACGCGAACGCGGTCGAGACGACGCGATAGGTGATGAGCCGAGCGCGCGCGTGCGGACGCGACGGCGCGTTGTGAAGCGAAGCGCGTCGACGCGAAGGACTGGATAAAGACGTGCGGTGCGGTGACACATCCGAAAAAGCGCGAGAAGAGATGACTGGCATCGCACGTCGGCGGCGGCTGGACGCCGCCGCGCTCACATCGCGTCGCGCGCGGCGAGGATGGCGAAGAAACGCCGCGACGGCGCCGTCGCGGCCGCGGAGATGACGCTCAAGACGAAGAAGAAGAAGAAAAAGAAAGGCGTCTCGCCCGCGGCGCTCGCCCCCGGCGTCGTCGGCGCGTCCAACTGGGGCGCGCTCGCGACGAAAATCGGCGCGGGGCGATCGACCAAGGCGAAGCGCAAGCGCGACGAGAGGCTCGCCGCGTCCGCGGACGACGCACGGACGCGGCACGGCGGCGCGTTTCACGACGACGACGCCATCGCGCACGTCTCGAAGAAACCCGCGCCGACGGGAAGGAACACCGCGCTCACGGACGTCATCGCGCTCGACTGCGAAATGGTGGGCGTGGGCGAGGACGGCCGACGCTCCATCCTCGCGCGAGTGTCCGTCGTGAACGAGGACGGCAACGTCGTCCTCGACACGTTCGTCGCCCCGACGGAGCACGTCACGGACTACCGCACCGCGGTGTCCGGCGTCCGCGCGCAGGACCTCCGAGGCGCGCCGCCGTTCAAGGAGATCCAGCGGAAGATGGCTGACATCCTCCGCGGCCGGATCCTCGTCGGGCACGCGCTCAAAAACGACCTCCGCGCGTTACTCCTGGACCACCCGAGACGCGCGACGCGCGACACGGCGACGTATCGGCCGTTGACGCGGCCGCTGCGATCGCGCGAGCGCGCGCAGGCGGACGGGATCGCGCGCGGGCGAGGGAGCCGGTCGCTGAAGGAACTCTGCGCGCGCGAGCTCGGGTTGGAGATTCAAGCGGGAGAGCACTCGAGCGTGGACGACGCGCGCGCCGCGTTGCTGCTGTACCAGAAGTGCGCCAAGGCGTGGGAGCGGAGCGCGATGATGGAGGGAGGAGGGATCCTCGGGAGCGGGGGCGGCGGGGCGAGGGGCCCTGGGGCCTTGAAGGGCGCGGGCGGGACCGTACTTGGCGCGGGCGGCGGACGCGGCGGCGGCGGCGGCGGGGGGAGCGGCGACGGGAGCGACGACGACGACGCCGCCGCCGACGGCGGCGACGCGAAGCGAGGGAAGAGGGCGAAGAAGAAGGGAGAACGCGCGGCGACGAGCGGCGGCGGCGGCGTGTTCGCGCCGGGGGCGCCCAGGGTCGACTTATTTAATCGGTAGCGATGTCATAGACGAAGGAAGACGCTAGACTAGCGAGCTGAGAACGGTCCCCGCCGCCAAAGGACCCAGTGATGAGTTACGAAACTGACCTCTCCGTCGCCGTCCCCTTTTACGTCCCTCGATCGGCGAAGAGGCGGTCAGTCTCCGTGCACGATGGGCGTCCTCGTGGAGACCTCCCAACCCGCGAAGGATGGCCTTCGCGGGTACTACAGCGCGAAGATCGAGGAGTACGAGATCGCCGTCAGGGATAAGACGCAGAACCTCCGGCGGTTGGAGGCGCAGCGGAACGAGCTGAACCACAAGGGTGCGTCCTCTCGCGACCCCCGCGCTCGGGCGCCCCCTCCCGCGCGAGATCTCGCGTCCGCGCGGCGGATCTCGCGAGAGGACGCGGCGTTTTCGCGTCCTCGCGCGGCGTCTTCGTCGCTGGAACGCCGTGAACGTTCGCGCGACGGCGACGCGACGCGTCGTCCGCGATGGACGCGCCGTCGTCGTCGCCGTAGGGTTGCCCCGGCCGGCACGGTCAGATTTCGTATTTTTTCCATCCCCGCGCTGACGTCCCCCTCCTCCGCGTCGATCCGCCACCCCTCGCCCGCAGTCCGGATGCTTCGCGAGGAGATCCAGCTCCTGCAAGAGCCCGGATCGTACGTCGGTGAAGTCGTGAAGGTGATGGGGAAGACGAAGGTCCTCTGCAAGGCGCGTCTCGTCCCGCGCGATCGGTCGCCGCGACCCTCGACCCTCGACCGCCCGCCCGCCTTCCCTCCCAGTGCGGTCGTCGTCCGCGCGGTTCCGAAAAAAAAACCAAGATCATCCGTCTGACCGCTCGCTTCTCTTCCTCTCTCTCCTCCGCGCCTCGTCGTCTCCCGCGACAAACGTCAGGTTCACCCCGAGGGTAAATACGTCGTGGACATCGCGAAGGACATAGACATCAACACGCTCACCACCGGCGCGCGCGTCGCGCTGAAGAACGACAGCTACGCGCTCCATCTCATCCTCCCGTCGCTCGTGGACCCGCTCGTGTCGCTCATGAAGGTGGAGAAAGTGCCGGACTCCACGTTCGACATGATCGGCGGCCTGGACGAGCAGGTGAAGGAGATCAAAGAGGTGGTGGAGCTCCCGATCAAACACCCGGAGCTGTTCGAGTCGCTGGGGATCGCGCAGCCGAAGGGGGTGATCTTGTACGGACCTCCGGGGACGGGGAAGACGTTGCTGGCGCGAGCCGTCGCGCACCACACCGACTGCTGCTTCATCCGCGTCAGCGGGTCGGAGCTCGTGCAGAAGTACATCGGCGAGGGCGCGCGGATGGTGCGCGAGCTGTTCGTGATGGCGCGGGAGAACGCGCCGGCGATTCTGTTCATGGACGAGGTGGACTCGATCGGGTCGGCGCGAGGGAGCGGCGGCGGCGACAGCGAAGTCCAGCGCACGATGCTGGAGCTTTTGAACCAGCTCGACGGGTTCGAGGCGTCGAACAAGATCAAGGTGATCATGGCGACGAACCGCCTCGATATCCTCGACAGCGCGCTGCTGCGGCCGGGAAGGATCGATCGCAAGATTGAGTTCCCGAACCCGACAGAGGATTCGCGCGTGGACATTTTGAAGATTCACTCGCGGAAGATGAACTTAGTGCGCGGGATCGACATGAAGAAGATCGCGTCGAAGATGACGGGCGCGAGCGGGGCGGAGAGCAAGGCGGTGTGCACGGAGGCGGGGATGTTCGCGCTGAGAGAGCGCAGGGTGCACGTCACCCAAGAGGATTTCGAGATGGCCGTGAGCAAGGTGATGATGAAGGACTCGGAGAAGAACATCTCCGTCGCCAAGTTGTTCACGTGAGCGAGCGGCGAGCGGCGCGCGCGCGGGGACGAGCGCGAGCGCGTCTCGCGACGATGTAATCAAACCACCGACGAAGAGCGTTTCGAAGAACGAACGATAACGATTGAATTGATCGCTGTTTCAAGGGTTAATGAACCTCGGGGATATCGTACTGTAGAGAAGACTGCTGGGGATCCGTTCGTCCGTCCGTCCGCTCGCTCACAACGCGGAGACGTACGCGTCCCACCCCGCCTTGCGATACTCCGCCGCGGACGCGACCGGATCCGCAGCCTTGTAAATCCCCCTCCCGACGATGATCACGTCCGATCCGCACTCTTTGATGACGCGGTCGGGGGTGTTGTACTGCTGCCCTAACCCGTCCCCGCCGCCGCCGAGCTGCACCCCGGGCGTCATCTGCACCAGCCCGCGGGACCACGCGCCCTTCCACGCGGAAGGTCTCGTGGAGATGAACCCCATGACGAAATCCGGGTGCTTCGCCGCCATCGCGATCGCGTCTTCGGTGTACTGGCCCTTCGCCATCGTCCCCGCGCTGGACATCTCCGCGAGGAGCAACAACCCGCGGCCTTTCGGCAGCCCGACTTGCTTCAAGCCGTCGATGATGCCGGCGCCGGGGACGATGTGCGCGTTCGTGATGTGCGACCAGTCCGCGATCTTGTGCACGCCGGAGGAGTACTGCCCGACGACCGTGTTCCCGATGTCCGCGAACTTGCGGTCCTCGAAGATCATGAAGTCGTGCTTCGCGGCGAGCTCCAGGAGCGTCGCGCCGAACGCGTCGTCAAAGTCTGGGTATAAATCGCAGTGCGTCTTCAGGATGCAAATCTCCGGGCCGATCTTGTCCGCGAGCACGATGAGCTCCTTCGCCGTGCCGACGTCCGCGGCGACGCACAAGTTGGTCTTCTTCCTCGCCATGAGGTTCCACAAATCTTTCGCGCACTTGTTCTCCGTCAGCGTGGCTCGGTGTTCGTAGGAATCGCGTTTGAAGACGGCGGGCGTCGGCGCCGCGGCTGCGCCCATCTCGTTCCCGCTCGCGTTCGGCCCCGTCTGGTTCGCCGCGATGAACGCCTTCACGGTCGCGACGAGCTCCGCGCTCATGAGGTTCTTCGCCTCGAGCGTCTTCAGCACCCGCGACAGCGGCAGCACCGCGTGGAGGCGGAGATCGTGCGATCGCAACCGAGCCTCGCCGCCCTGCTCGCGGTCGATGAGGACGACGACGTCCTTCGTGACCAACCCGACGTCGTTCAACGGCTCCACGGTCTCCATCACGCTCGCGCCGGAGGTCACGAGGTCTTCGACGATGAGGCAGGTCTGCCCCGACGTGAACGCGCCCTCGATCGCCTTCTTCGTGCCGTAGTCTTTCACCTCCTTGCGTCGCATCAGCATCGGGCAATCGTTGTTCAAGGACATGCACGTGGCGATCGGCAGCGCGGTGTACGGCACGCCGCACATGTTGTCGAACTCCGCGCCGTTCCTCTTCAGAACCTCCCACATGCATCCCGCGACGGAGGCGAGGACGTCCGGGTACGACACGATGACGCGCAGGTCGACGTAGATGGGCGACACGAGCCCGGACTTGAGCGTGAACTCGCCAAACTTGACCGCCTCGATCTCGTGCAGGCGCACGATGAGCGCGTCGATCTTATCCTCCGTGGACATGACTGCGTCGGGCGTGGGCGTCGCGTGGGAGGTAGGGCGCGTGGGGGAGGTGGGGTGAGGGGAACGGCGTCCTCGGGGGGGGGATAGGGGGGCGACGGGCGAGGTCCGCGCGTGCATCAGGTGGCGCGATCGCGCCGCTTTTCAAACAGAAGAGCTGCAGAAGAGTAAACAACCGAGTTTTCTGTTCTTCGAAACCAGCCAGGCAGAGTCTACCGGCGCGAGCGCCGCGGGCTACGTGTCTATGAAGTACTGCCTCCTATCGTCCCTCTCTCTGTTTCTTCCCGAAGAACGCGTGGATAGAGCGCTGATCCGGAGGCGAAGCGGCGGGTTTCTTCCCGCGCGGCCGCGACGGCGACGGCGACGACGGCGTCTTCCTCTTCGCGGGGGCGCCGTCGCCTTCGCCGCCGCCGTCGTCGTCTTCTAAGAAGCGCGCATTCGCCCGCGGCGACGCGCCCTCGCCCCCGCGCGCCGGGCTCGCCGTCGCCGCCTTGCGGAACAAATCCGCGACGCTCCCCACGTTCTGACGCACTTTCGGCGTCGTCTCCTCGCAACATCTCGGCCCCTGAAACTCGATCTTACTCATCTCCGTCGTGACCGCGTGCCACCGCAAGTCCTCGCCGTCGTACGGCTTCAGAACCGCGGACGCCCTCTTCTCCTCCTTCTTCGAAGACGAACCAACACCCCGTGGCGCGGCATTCGAACCGTCGCCATTATTATCGCCCTCTTCTCCCGCCAGCCACCGCTCCACCTCCTCGTCCGTCCTCAAAATCGCGGGCATGCGGTCGTGCAGCCATCGCAGCCTACGCGACGACGCCACGGTGACGATCGCGCACGTCGTCAGCGGCGGTCCGACGCGCGGCCGCCACGTGTCGTACACCGCCGCGCACCGCAGCAGCACCGAAGACGAACCGTCACCCCCGGCGGCATTCGAACCGTCGTCGTCGTCGCCGCCGCGGTCGTTGCCGGTCAGGTGGACGTAGTACGGCTGCTTCACCGAGCGCGATACCGCGCCGCCCTCCGCGCGCCACTCGTAGAAGCCGTCGAGGAGGACGACGCCGCGTCGATGTCGTCGCGACGTCGCTACCAGGCGCGCGAACGCGGGCTTCTCCGCGAGCGTCTCCGCGCGCGCGTTGAACATCGCGAAGAAGTTCGGGGAGGACTCGTCGCTGGCGTACGACGGGACGAGGCCCCATCGCATGTAGTCCACGACGCGTTCGTCGTCGTCGTGGTCGGACGCGTCGGATGCATCCGACGCCGATCTGAGATCCGCGGAGACGGAGGTGGCGCGCCGTGTTGCGCGGTCGCTCGGCGTCGCGAGCCGCACGACCGGCACCGCGGCCCCCGGCTGCGCGTTGTACCGCGGCTCGTACTGGTCCCGGTTGACGAACGCGGACGTCCCCGCGGCGGCGGCGACGTCCGCGTCCGTGCACGTCACCCGCGCGCGCCCGCACATTAGTGCCGTCTGCTGGGCCTCGGGGCGGGGCGTCGACGTCAGCGTCATCCCGTCTCCACCGGTCCCTCGGTTTCAACATTTGATCGCGCCCCCTTTCAACTGACCGATATTGTTGTTCGGTACGGAATCGCCGACGAGCGCGCGCCCGACGAAAGGGGATCGATTCGCTCGAGAGCGCGATTCGCCACTCCTCGCCGCGCGCGCGCACGCGTCGTCGCGCGCGTCATGGTCGCCAACGCCGCCGCCGGGCGCGAGCGGAAGATGACCACGCGAGAGCTGAAGGAGTGCATCAGGGAGACGAGCGCGATACGAGACACGAAGCTGTTCCGCGACTTCGCGGCGTTCGCCGAGATTCGCGACGAAGAGCGCGCGTTCCACGCGCACCTCGCGGGGGAGGAGCGGGTCAGCGCGCTGCCGCCTACTAGGAAGCCAAAGCCGGACGGCGGCGGCGACGGCGGCGGCGACGGCGCGCACGTCCCGAGCACGTCCGACCCGGTCGCGCTCATGATGGACGCGGCCGCGAGGAAGAGCGGAAGGGAGCGCAAGGGCGTGTGGTCCGAGCCCGGGAAGCCGTACGCGTGCGGGAGGTACGTCGTCCGCGCGCCGCGCGCCGCGCCCGCGCCCGGCGACGGCGCCGCCGCGGGCGGCGAGGTCGAGGCCGCCGCGAAGGAGGAGCGCGACGGCGCGCCGCACGACGTCGTGAGAGACATTCGAAGCACGTTCCCGAGGCGGACGTTGCACCCCGACGACGCCGAGCGCGTGGAGGCGGACGAATCGGAAAAAGCGGAGGAGGAGAGAGCGGCGACGGAGGAGCGGAGGAAAGAGGAAGCGCGCGAGGGCACCGAGGGTCTGCAGCCGCTGCAGGACCTTCTGAAGGATCGGAATAATCCGGACGCGGCGGCGAATGCGGCGGTCGTCGCCGGGGAGGAGCCGCCGCCGCCGATTTTGAGGGTGGGTCAAAAGTTTAGCCACTGCGCGTTTTTGAAGGCGTCCCGCGCGCGCGTCGCCGCCGCGAAAGCCGGGCACGCGCCGCCGCGAGCGAAGGACTCGGCAAAGAAAGAAACGCAGGACGGCGATGCGTTCGAGACGATCACGAGAGCAGTCCACGCCGCGCACCAGTGGCAGAGGAACGCGAGGAAAGCGGCGGAGAGCAGAGCGTCGAGGGCGGCGGCGACGGTGCGGACGAAGCGCCGCGAGAGAGACCCGACGAAGAAGGTTGACGCGTGGCGGAGCGAGTTCGCCGCGCAGGAGAAGAGCGGCGTGGATCGCCTGGAGGCGCTGCTGCGGCCGCCGGAGGAGGAGCGGTGATCGGTGATCGGTGAGCGACCGCGACCGCGACCGCGACCGCGACCGCGACCGCGACCGCGACCGACCTCGTCGTGTAGCTAGAAGACTATCTATTCTATGTCGTTAGATAAAATCGGGCCGCGTCGTCAGTAATTCAACGCCGCCGTCGACCCGACTTTCACCCACGGCAGCTTCGGCGTCTTCCCCGTCCACTTCCCCATGTCCACGTCCCCCGTGCACGGAAACAGATCCCCTATCTTCGCGCACCGCCGCTCGTCGAACTTCTCCACCGCCGTCAGCGACCACGCGGACGACATCGGCGCGTAACACCCGGGCCAGCTCGGCCGCCGCGGTCGAATCGAAAAGGTGCTCACGGCGCCGAGGTGCTCGAACAAGTTATACCGATACACGATCAGCTTCCGCGCGTTCGTGCGCTCGCGGACGTCCGCGCGCGTGCCCTCGACCCACTCCGTCCACAGCAGATCCGGGGGCAGCCGCGCCTGGTGCCTCAGAAGGTAGTCGCGGAACCCCGGAAGATCCTCCGAGCGGACGACGACGCCGTTCAAGCCGTAGGACGTCCGCAGACCGAGCCACTCCGGGTACACCGTCCGCGTCTTCTGGACGAGGTACCGCAGCCCTTTGAGCGCGCCCTCGCACGTCCTGAAGTCATCCTCCATGAACATGAACAGCGGCGACGGCGGGACGAGCGGAGGCACCGACGCGTCGTCGTCGCCGCCGCCGCCGCCGCCGCCGCCGACGACGGCGTCGAGCAGGGACACCACGTCGGACGTCTGCTTCCGAACCGCGCGTCCCGGCGTGCTCGTCGGGTTGTGCAGATCGTCCGGGTCCCGCGCGTCCGGCGTCGGGTCCGGGTGCGCGTCGAGCGGGGCGTCGAAGAACGTCGCGTGAAGCGCCGCGCGCGCGCCGGGCGGCGGCGCGGACTCCGTCGCCCTCGACGCGAGCGCGACGACGGCGTCTCGGACTTTTTCAAACGCGCGGTGCGAATTTCCCGTCCCGGCGCCCGCGGCGTTCATCACGACGACGCGCGTCTTCCCGAAGTGCGCGGAGTCGTCGTCGTCCGGGAGCTCCGCGATCAGAGCGTCGATCGTCGCGGTGAGGTAATCGACGTCGTTCGCCCTCGGCGCGGTCGGGATGCCGATCGTGAGCCACGGGTCGACGGCGTCGAACTTTTCGCGCGCGTTAATCACTTTCGCGTTCGCGTTCGCATTCGCGTTCGCCGCCGTCGTCGTCGCTTCCGTCGCTTCCGTCGCTTTCGTCGCTTCCGTCGGCCAGTCACCGCCGCGCTCGTCGAGCTCGTCGCGAGTCGCGGCGTCGGTCGGGAGGCGGATTCGCCCTTCTCGCCCCTTGACACGAAGCCACCAATTCGCCGCGTCCTCCTCCTTCTCGTCCGCGTCGTTCGGTAGTGGCAGGCCGTCCAGCTTGCTCCGCAGCGACGCGAGCGCCTCCGCGCTCCTCGTGATCTGCTCCTCGATCTTCCTCAAGTTCGCCTCGCGGTCGTCCACGCGCTCGCCCTCGTGCGCGCGCCCGCCGTCGCGCGGCGGCGGCGGCCGCGGCGTCGTCCCCGCGCTCGATCCGGTACCGACGCCGACGTCGCGCGCGTCGGGACGCGCGCGCGCGTCGTCGTCGCCCGCGCGCCCCCGCGCCCCACCCCGCGGCGTCGCGTCCGCCGAGGTCACGAGCGTGTATCCCAGGCTCATCTTCAGCAGGTACCCGGCGCACAGGAGCGCGACGCCCGCGGCGATCCACCGTCGGTTCGCGCGCGCGCGCCACGACGTCCCTCCTCCGCGTCGTCGCCGGCGCGTCGGTCCGAGCGGGCTCCCTCCCGCGGCGCGTCGCTCGAGAAGCGCGCGATGCGCGCGCGAGGACGGGACGCCATCGCTCGAGGACGCGTACGACCGCTCGCCGCCGCCGGTCACGGTCGCGACGAGCCGCCGCGAGCGCTCCGCGACGAGGTCGCCGCTCATCGATGTGGTGCCGTTCGACGACGAGTGTTCAGTCGAGCCGAGTAAAATTGCACACCGCCAAGCAAAGAATGTGCCGCTACGAGCATTACAAATCGCTATGTACACGCCCGACGCGGGCGACGGTCCGCTCCTCCCGGGTGAGACCCAGACCCCCGTCCGTCTGTCTCTCCCTTCGCGCGCGCGGACCGCGCCTCCGCCGCCGGACGTCCCCGATCGATCGATCGCCGCCGCCGAATCACCACAAATGATCATCGCCGAATCCGAGATCGACCCGCCCCCCCCTCGCGCGCTCGCTCGCCGCGCGCCGCTCAGAGCTTGACCTCGATCTCGACCCCCGCGGGAAGCTCCAACCCCATGAGCGCGTCGATCGTCTGCGCCGTGGGCTGGTGCACGTCGATCAGACGGTGGTGCGTCCGCGTCTCGAAGTGCTCGCGAGAGTCTTTGTTCACGTGCGGCGAGCGAAGCACGCAGTAGATGCGTCGCTTCGTCGGCAGAGGCACTGGCCCGGAGATCTTCGCCTCGGTCGCCTCCGCGGCGGCGATGATCTTATCGCACGCCGCCGCCATGTGGTTCACCTCGAAAGACTTCAATCGGATGCGAATCTTCTGCGCGGCGACCGCAGCCTGGACGGGGGCGGGAGAGGAGGAAGGAACGAATCGAATGAACGCGTCAGCTCTCTGCTGGAGACGAGCGACGACGACGACGGGACGGGACGCCGCGGGCGGGACGGGCGGCGACGCGACGCGGTCGACGGCGACGCGCGGCGCGAGACGCTCCGAGCGTCTACGTCGCGTCTGTCCGAAGGGTACGAGAGGGGATGGGGCGCGCACCGCTTCCGCCCTGACCGCGAAGGCAGCCTTCACCGGCGCGCGAGCCTGCGACGACGGCGAGCGGAGCGAGAGCGGAGGGAGAGGATAAAGTCAGCGACGCGGACGCGACGGAAGAAGCGACGCGTCGCGGTCGACGCGACGGAGCTCGAGCGCGAGCGACGCGCGCGAGGCGACCGTCGTGGGCGTCGGGATGTGCGCCGCGCGAACGCGGCGGCGTCGACGCGCGCATCGCGTCCGCGCGACGACATCCCGGCGCCGCGACCGCCATCCGCGGTCGCGACGGTGTCGCGGAGCGCGGACGAAATTTCCCGCGTCGCGTCTCCGCGGCGACGACGCGCGCGCGAGACGAGGAGGAGGACGCACCGGCTTGCGCGCGGTCACGCTGTTAACATGCCTAGCGGAGAGGCTCACCGAGGACACACCAGCGCAAGCGAACGCCATCGTGATGCGTGGTCGCGAGGAGTGCAATGAGACCGCCGCGGAATAACCCTAGCGCGAAAAACCTCGAGCGTCGACGTGCGAACTCGCGCGGATGTTTTCGCGACAGACAGTCTACAGCAATTTATTTCCCTTCGAAGCGGGCTGGCGCCGTTCGCGTCGACCTCTCGAGCTATTTTAAGATACCGGGACCGACGAACGCGCGTCTCCTCCTCTCCTCCTCGCTCCCTCCTGTCTCGACCCGCGCGCGCGTCGCTCCTCGCGTCGCGCGTCGTCCCGCCCCCCACCCCAAAGTCCTTAAGGATCGGCGTTCACCACGCGAACGCGGTCGTATGGGGACCAGTGTATAGAACGCGCCTGACTCCATCTCGGTCTGGGTCCGTCAGTCGTACTGTCCGTAGTCTCCCGAGAACCCGTCGCCGTCCCCGTCGACCATGTCCTCGTCCTCCTCCGGGTAGTAATCCCCGCCTAACCCCGCGCCGAGCCCCCCCCCTCTACCTAACATCCCGTCCCCCGGTCTATTCTTCGCCTCGTCGACCACCTTCATGAGCTCCTCCAACGGCTGCATCTCGCTCGGCGGCGGGCCGTCGTTTTCAACCGCGTGCCTGAGGGTCGTTCCATACAAAGCGACGTCGGGGTGGAGTTGAAAGGCGTCAGTTGGAGTTGAAAGGCGCCGAGGGCGAGGATTGAAAGCGCGGGGTGGGCGCAGAGACGCGCCGGGCAAAGTCCTTAAGGATCGGCGTTCACCACGCCAACGCCGTCGTATGGGGACCAGTGTGTAGAACGCGCCTGAGCTCCGCGGGGAGGTTCTTGAGGAACCACGCGTGCGACTTGATCCCCGCGATGTTCAGCCGTTGCGACGTGTCCACGACGAATATCCGCGCGATGAGATCCTTGCACTCGTTCGACAGCGGTATCGCCGCCGGGAACGCGTAGTTCACGGACAGGATCCGTTGAATCGTCTTTCTGAAATTCCTCGCGTCGGACGGATCCTCAAATGGGTACGCGCCGACGACCATGACGAACAGCGTCACGCCGCACGACCACACGTCCGCGGCTTTCCCGTCGTACGCTTTCCTGGATAACACCTCCGGGGCGATGTACGCCGGCGTCCCGACCGTTGACTTTGGCTCGCTGTCGATGAGCGAGTGCTTGCTGTAGCCGAAATCGCAGATCTTAAGTCTCGGCGTCGCGCTTCCGTCGAGGAGCGTGTTCTCCAGCTTCAAGTCCCTGTGCGCGACGCCGTGGGTGTGGCAATACTCTAACCCGCTGACGAGCTGCTGGAAGAAGAACCGCGCTTCGTCCTCGCCGAAGCGACCTTTCCCGCAGATCCGCTCGAATAACTCCCCGCCCGCGGCGTACTCCATCACGATCGCGAGGTGCGTCGGCGTCAGGAGCACCTCGACGAAGCGAATCACGTTCGGGTGATCGAGCATCCGGTGGTTCACGAGCTCGCGCTTGACGTTGTCGTCGATCTTGTCCCCGCGCTCGATGTATTTGATCGCGAGGAGCTGCCCGGTGAGCCTCGATCGCATCAGCTTCGCGGTCCCGAAGTTTCCCTGACCGAGCGTCTTCGCGTCCGTCACCGGCTCGTACTTGCGGTCGTGCTCGGTCGTGGAGACGGACATGACGACGACGGCGACGCGCGCGCGTCCGTCCTCTCGAGGGGGCGCGGCGATCGAGAGGCGCGACGCGCGCGCGAGCGAGCCCTCGCGATCGCGGTGCGAAAGGGGCGAGAGCCGCGGACCGTGGCGTTCGCGGTCGCGCGGGACGGTCGACGACGCGGCGGCGCGCGCGCGAAGACTCGCGCGTCGTTCGTAGGTGTCGTTCGTGCCCCTCTCGGATACGACACGTTTCGCCCGCACAAGTCTGATGGGGTGCGTTCTTACAAACGTATTTCACCCATCGCCCGGTTTCAACATTTGATCGCGTCCACTTTCAACTGACCGATGAACATTTTTTGTATGGAACGACCCTGACAAGCAGCTGAGAGCGGCTGATGAGCGAGAAATATATTTTGGCAAGATGAAAACATCATCATCGCGACGCACAACGACCGCGCTCCGCGATGGAGCCCTCGAGCAGGCCGCGGGTCTCCCTCCGCGGGATGCACCGCGCGGCGAGTTCGCTGCAAGATTTCGTGGCGAGCTACTTCATGTTCCACGGCCTCGACGCGACGAACCCGGCGGACGTGTTCGCGCATCTTCCGACGTTGTACTTTGTCGAGGCGCGCGTCTACGAGCTCGACGACGTGAACGAGGCCGCGTCGCGGGCGGACGACGCGACCGCGGGCGGCGCTGAAGCGTCGGACGCGAAGATGGAGGACGCGAAAGATGCCGCTGTCGGTAGATTACGCGACGTGATGGACAGAATCAACGCGGCGGTCGACGCCGACGAGCGCGTCGGGGGGGCGTCCGCGTCGCTGGTTCGCGAGTTGGACGATTTCCTCGGCGAAGGTTTCGCGTCGCCGGCGCTGCTCGAGCACCTCGCGGAGGGAGAGACGTACTGGCGCGTGGAACGAGCGTTGGGCGGGATCGACGTGAAGAAGATGAAGGAAGATCTAGCGGCCGCGCCAGCGTACGGCTGGGTGCGAGAGTTTCTCGAGGACCACGTCGTGGACGCGTTGCGGCGCAAGAGCTTCGATTATCGAGCGATGAACGAGGTGTTGCGTCGGTCCGCGGCGCTGGCGGACGAGAAGGCGCGGACGGCGGCCGCGGAGGAGCGGCGATTACGCGGAGGAGCCGTGGAAAGAGGAGGACGCGATGAAGTTGAAGCGACCGGGGAAGCGACCACCGGGGACTCCGCCGCCGCGTCGACGACCGGCGGCGGCGGCGGGACGCTCGCGACGTCGGAGAAAAACGTCGCGGAGTTTCTCGCGGCGTCGGAGTTCCTCGTCGAGATCGCGGACGACCTGTACGACTACGAAGAAGACGTCGCGTCCGGGGCGTTCAACTTCTATCGATGGATGGTCGTCATACACGGCCCCGAGGGCGCGGCCGCGGCGACGGCGAGGATCATAGAAGCCGCGGAGACGACGTACGCGCGGCTGGAGAAGACGCTGGACCCGGCTTTGGCGCTGAGATACCGCGAACGGTGCCGACGCGCGACGCGAGAGGGCGCGGTCGGGGCGATCGACGACGCGAATCCGATGGGGACGTGGACGATCCCGGCCGCGATCGTGGACGAGGACGCGTTTCGGTCGAGGGTGGGCGGGGGGGAGTAGAGTAGTTCGTAGCGCGTAGTCGGAGGAGTCGGAGGGTAGGAGGGAGAATTCTGATCTGATCGCTCACAATGACATGCAGTGCGGCGTTTCCAGAATTTTGGCAAAGCGGCGCACTTTCGCGCGCATCGGACGATCACTCTCGGTCGCGCGGACGAGGACGGCCGCCGTGGACGCTCGTCGCACCACCACCCGACCGAAGCACCCGACGTCTGTCTGAACCTTGGCGTCATGCCGCCTAAAGCCCCCACGAGTTACACCCCCGGGGACGACGTGTCCAAGCTCACGGTGAAGGTTTTAAAGGAGGAGCTTGAAAAGCGATCGCTCCCGAGCGACGGCCTCAAGGCCGCGCTCGTGAAGCGACTGCAGGAGGCGGTAGACGGCGGCGGCGACGCCGCCGCGGCCGCGCCGGAACCCGCCGCGGAGGCCGCGGTGCGTCCCCCCCCGCGCTGATCCATCCGTTTCCCCGTCCATCGTCTGTCCCGCGCGCCCCGGACAATTATTAATCCGCCCCCGCCGCGCCCGCCGCTCACCGACGCGCCGCCCGCCGATCATCGCGTCTCGTCCCCCCGATCCCGCAGGAACCCGCGGCGGAGCCCGCGCCCGCGCCCGCGGCGGAGCCCGCGCCCGCGGCGGAGCCCGCGACCGCGCCCGCGGCGGAGCCCGCGCCCGAGCCCGCGGCGGAGCCCGCGCCCGAGCCCGCGCCCGCGCCCGCGGTCGACATGGCCGCGATCATGGCGAAAGCGCAAGCGATCGCGGACAAGGCGATGGCGTCGCAGCCCGCGGACGAGGGCGAGGGCGGCGCGAAACGCGAGCGGAGCCCCGGCGCCGCGGCGGCGGGCGATGACGAGCGCGCGGCGAAGCAGCCGGCGTACGGCGCGCCGGCGGGCGCCGACCCCGCGGCGGCGGCGGCGGCGGCGGTGGCGCAATCCGCCGCCGCCGCGGGCGGCGCGGCGAACGAAGTCGTCATCGTCGAGGGCACCGCGGGGCACGAGGGACGGATCATCGGCCGCGGCGGCGGGACGATCCGCGACTTGCAGGACAGGTACGGCGTGCGCATCCAACTCAAGCGCGAGCACGGCGTCACGGAGGTCGTCGGACCCGGCGCGCAGGGCGCCGCCGCCGCCATTCGCGAGATCATCTCGCAGGTCGCGGTGATGGGCGCCCCGCCTGGGGCGGACCGCGCGGCCGCCGGCCCCGTCGTCGGCGGCGCGAAGGAGACCATCCCGTGCGCCGGCGCGGAGTCGCGCATCATCGGAAAGGGCGGGAACAACATCCGCTCGTTGCGCGAGCGCACGGGCGCGTCCATTCGCGTGTTGAACGACTCGCAGACGTGCGTCATCGAGGGCACCCCCGAGCAAGTCGCCGCCGCGGCCGCGGTGGTCCGCGAGCACATTCAGCAGTACAACGAGCGCATGGCCGGCGGCGGCGGCGGCGGCGGCGGCTACGCGATGTCGGGAGGCTACGCGCCGAGCGGCGGAGGCTACGCGCAACCGGGCGGGTACGCGCAGCCGCAGGCGGGCGGATACGGCGGGTACGGACAGCCGCAGGGCGGGTACGGACAGCCGCAGGGTGGGTACGCGCAGCCGTCGTACGGGCAGCAGCAGGGCGGGTACGGGCAGCCGGAGCCGACGCCGACCGGGGCCGCGGACCTGCCTCCCGGGTGGCAGGAGCTGTCCGCCAACGGGCAGGTGTATTACTGGAACACGCAGACGAACCAGACGCAATACGAGAGGCCGTATTAAACAAAGGAACGTCCGTTCGTGATGCGTTACGTTCTACTATAAGATACGCGACGCGACGTGGGTGGCGGGAACGAGAGAGGAGAGGAGGGGGCGGGCGACGCGGGGTCTGTCGCCTTCGTACACTCGAGTCCGAGCGACAGACTCGATTTGCACATAACATACACGCACTACACTACTAATCCAATCGTCGATCGGACCGAACAGAAGGCGCGCGCTCGTCACTTGTGATTGTGCTTCTCGGAAGAAGAGTCCTCACGCAAAGTCGTCCTTCTCTCGTCCGCCAACGCCAACCTTAGCCGCCGCGTCGCCGCGTTGATCCATCGGCGTCGGCCGCCGCGGAACGTCCGGCTGGTACCCCGGGTTGTTATCCTCGTCCCACTCCGGCGGCATCACCGTCCCCATCCTCTCCACGAACTTCGACAGCGGGTTCAGGGACAGACCCGCGGGGACCTCGCGAAACCCGGTCCCGCCGTCCGTCTCCACCCAAAACGCCCTCTGGACGTGATGCCCGACGCTCTCGCTCCAATCGAACAGTCTCATCTTCGTGATCTCCTTCGCCGACGCCTTGATCTCTTTCCGCGTGAACCGAATTTCCGTCTTCGCGTCCACCCCCGCCGGGCGCTTCCTCGCGGCGAGGACGACGTTACACGGCGTCTCCACGAGCCACGACGTCGTCGGTCCGATCTTCTTCGTCAGCTCCGCCGCGAACTTCCCGACGCCCGTTCGCACGTCCGACCCGACGACGCCGTTGAACATGTTCGCGACGACGACGCCGCCGGGTGCTAACGCTCTGTCGCAATACGTTAAGAACTCCGGGGTGAGTAAGTGCGCCGGGACGTCCCCGAAGCCGTCGAACGCGTCGAGGAAGATGGCCGACGCCGGCGGCGCGGCCCCGGCCTCCACCGCGGCGGCGGCGTCTCGCATGAACGCCTCCGCGTCTCCCACGACGACGCCCAGGCCCGGCCCGGTCCCGGCGTCGCCGCCCCACAGCTTCGACGCGCCCATCGCGGCGCCGCGTCGTTTCACGTCCAGACCGTGATGCTCGCGAACGGCCTCTAACACGACGGGGTCGATCTCGACCACCTCCACGACGACGACGTCCGGGTGGAGTTCATAGGCATCAGTTGGCGTTGAAAGGCGTCGAGGACGGGGATTGAAAGCGAGGGATGGGCGGAGAGAGACGAAGGCAAAAGTCCTTAAGGATCGGCGTTCACCTCGCCAACGCGGTCGTATGGGGACCAGTGTATAGAACGCACCTCCACGGCGACGCGCGGGAACTTTCTCGCGAAAAACGCCGGCATCGCGCCGCTGCCCAGCCCGACGAAAATCACCCGCGGCGCGCTCGCCCGGGACCCGTCGAGCAAACAGTTCGCGCCGTCCATCCGCAGCATGACCGCGGCGACGCACGTCATGCACCGCAGGTACAGGTAGCCCAGCACGTCGTCGTCCGCGTCGCCGTCGGATTTGCCGAAGGCGGCGCCGTCGCCGTTCTCGAACGTGAACGTCAACCCTTGCTCGATCTGGTTGAAACGCAGCGACCGCCACGGCCCGTGGGAGACGACCCTCACGACGCCGTTGAGCTTGCTCTCTTTTTCGAACAACACGACCGGGTCGGACACGTGCTCGAGGTAGCCGTACTCCGTGCGTTCGTCCCTGTGCACGTGCGCGTTCCACTCGTGCCCGATCCTCCCCGCGGGGTTCCACCACGACGGCGCGGGCTGGTCTTCGTCCTTCGACGCCGTCGCCGCGGGCGCGTTTTCGGCGTCGGCGTCGGCGGCCTCGTCGTCGCCGCCGGCGGCCGACGACGCGCGCGAAGGGACGAAGCGATCGCGGCGCGACGTGGGCGCGCGGGAGAGGCGCGAGCGAACGCGCGGGCGATTCCGCGCGAGATTCGACGCCGTCCTTCCCTGGGCCCGCGTGGAACGCGGGGGAGGGGGGGTGGCCGCGCGAATTCGCGCGAGCGTCGTCTGCGGCGCGGACATCGCGTGCGCCGTGCTCGCGTCGGCTCGTGCGACGACACCACGCCGCGTGAGGGAAGCGCCGTGGGGTGTGAACGGTCGTGTGGCGGAATCGCGACGCTGGAACGCGCGCGATTTCCATCAAGACGACCTCTCCTCGGAGGGCGCGTCGGTCGAAGTCTCCTCGTCTGTTTGTTTATTTGTTTGCGGTGCTATATTAAATGTTGTTCGTTTTTGTTGTTCTCTCTACCGAGCCGCCGCTCGACGTCGAGGCGGCCGTCCCCCCGTCCAATCACTCGCGACGCGTCCCGCGCGCGAGCGAACGACGCGTCATCACCGACAGATGATTCGTTCTGACGACAGCCCCGCTCCACCCACTCTCTCCCGTCCCGCACCCTCTCTCTGCCCCCCTGTTAACTTACAGAACTATGTTATGATGTATTATCTTAATTCCCCTCGTCGCGCCACCGCGACAAAGCGCGCTGAGGGCTGGCTCCGACCGAACGACTCCGTCGTGGTCTCTCGCCGCGTTTCAAAATAGTAATCATCGCCGCCGTCGCGTTCACGCGCGAACGCCGGCGCCGTATCGCTCGTACACGTTCATCCCCGTCCCGCACCGCCCCTTCTTGTTCCCGGGATTCAACGTGCTCGACGGCGAGACCGGCGGCGACCGTTTCTTCGCGATGTTGGCAGCCTGGTGCGACGCCCCGTGTGGGGGCGCGGCGACCCTTCCGAGCGGCGTGGACGGTCCGAGGTTGTTCGTGCGTCGGTATCGCGTCCCGCACGCGTTGCACAGCATCGGTTTCGACGCGGGCCCGCGGCGCCACTGCGGGGAGTCTGTCGAGGAGGAAGGGAAGGGAGGAGGACGTCAGCGCGTGTTTTCGTGATGACGCGGTTCGAGAGCGCAGATCGCGGGGGTTTTAAGGCGGCGCGGCGCCTCGGGCGACGCGCGCGCGCGCGGTTCCGTCGACCGTCGCGCCGACGCCATCGGAGGGGAAAGCGCGATGAAGGATGGCTCTGGTAAAAAAAACCCGCGGAAGCGACGCGCGGGTCGTACCTTGCGCCCCGCAGTGGTCGCACGGCCCGCCCGGTTTCTGATGCGCGGCCACCTGCACCGGCAGCCTCAGCGGCCCCGTGTCCTCGCTGTACGGCTCCTCGCCGTCCACGGAGTCGTCCTCGCGCGACTCGTCCCCGCTGAGCGTCTGCCCATCGTTGAACGACGAGTCGTCGCTCGGGTCCTCGCCGCTCAGGATGAGGTCTTCGAGCTCCTGCAGCTCGCGGTCGCTGACGACGTGCCCGACGCCGCCGTACTCGTCCAGCTTGACGAGCGTGTACCACTGCTTATCGTGCGCGTCGTTCGCGAGCGGGCGGCCCGAGCGCATCCCCGTCGCGCGCGCGAACCCGGCCATGGTTTCGAAGCGCGGGGCTTTGTCGGTCGCGTCGGTGATGTTTTGGCGCGCTACGAACACGTCTCCGCCGGAGTCGAGCGCCTTCGACGCCTTCGCCTTCGTTCGTGACCCCTGAGGCCTCGCGAACGCTTCCTTCCTCGCGCGAGAAACGACCCTCGACGCGCTCGTGCTGTTTCGTGCCGCCCGGCGCCCGGATATGCCGCGCGCGCGAGCGTCCCGAGCTTTCCTCGCTCGCGATGGGCGGGGTAAAAAAAGAGAGGCCCCGGGACCTCGACGCCAGTTGGCATCCGGGAAAAATCTCGAGCGTCGCGCGTACGACGGTTTGGTTTCGTACGCGAACGAGTCAGAGTTCTCGACCCGAAAACGTACGAACGACGGAGTACTCGGGGGAAATTCCCCGGGGTAAACTCTCTCGGCGAATCGCAGAGCGCGCTTTATGCTTGATATTTTTCGAAACATCTGGAACGTGAGGACGACGGTCTATTAACTCGTCAAACGGTCGGGTCTACAACCTGGCATCGAAGAGAATAATTCCATAATTCATGTTGATGGTCGGTCGAATTCCAGCGCGGAGGGTTTCGCAGACTTAGGGCAATGTTGGCTGCTGATCTCGACGAGAGCGTGCGCGAAAAAAAGTTCGTTTGGATTCCCAGTCGCGAGCGCGGGGGCGTCGCGGGGAGCACGCGTCGCGGAGCGGGCGCACGCACGCGGCGCGCGGCGCGAAGCTCTGGGAGAAGTCTCCGGTTCGCGCGAGTGCGCGTCGCGCGCGTCGGTCGTGCGCGGATAGGTCGCGCGCTCGAGGGGAATCCGATCCGGAGGGAAGGAGGGCACCGACGACGATGCAGCGGACGAAGATCGAGGAGGACGCGTCGGCGCGAGATGTCGGCGCCGAGGGCGGCTCGCTCCTCCCGCCGCTCGCGCAGCCGACGCTGTTCTCGTACCGCGCGAACGACCTCGTCTGGGCGCGCACGGGGACGAGGGGGAACGAGCCGTTCTGGCCGGGGAGGATGATCGACGTCCTCGAAGCCCCCGAGGGCGTCCGACGCGATTGCGCGCCGAACAGCGTGTGCGTGCAATTCTACGGGCCGTCGCAGCGGAAGAACACCGAGCGGGACTACTGCTGGGCGAACGAGACGCAGCTCGCGCCGTTCGCGGCGAACCTCACATCGCTCTCGATGCAGTCCATCCCGAAGCGCGCGCGTCCGACCGCGTTCAAAGAAGCCCTCGAGGAGGCGAGGGCGCTGTTCGCGACGCACGGAGAAAACGTCAGCGCGTTGCATCCAAATCTCGCGGCGTTCGACGACGCGGAGGACGACCCGGACGCGATCGACCCGGACGACCCGGACGCGGGCGGGCCGACGTGCTCGTCGTGCTACGTCCCGTTAGATAAGGAGGGCGGCGTGAAGGGCACGGGGCGGTGCGCGCTGTGCGCGAAGTTGCACAAGGAGGGGCAATTCTGTCCCGCGTGCGACAAGGTGTGGCAGTGGGCCAACTGCCCGGCGATGGTCGGGTGCGACGCCCCCGGGTGCGAGTTTTGGGTCCACGCGTCGTGCGACGCGCGCGCGAAAGAGGTCATGGACGCGCCGGAGAACGAAGATATCGAGTACCACTGCCCGAGGTGCGTGGACAAGGCGGAGCGCGCCAAGGAGATCGCAGTCGTAAAAGCCGTCGTCGCGACGGAGAAAAAGGCGAGGAAGAAGGCGCTGAAGCTCGCCGAGAAGAAAGAGGCCGCGAAGAAGGCGACCGCTGCTACCGCGAAGAAGTCGAAGTCCCCCGCCCGCGGCGGCGGCGCGGCGGCGATGGTCAAGACCGAGGCGGAGTTCGACGCGGTCTCCGACGGCGACGACGACGACGCGCCCGCGCCCGCGCCCGCGCCGCCGCCGCGGGCGATCGCGGACGACGATCAGACCAGGGGCGTGGTCAAGCGCGGGCGCGGGCGGCCGCCGCTGCACGGCGGCGGTCGCGGTCGCGGGCGGCCGCGTCTGACGCACATCAAAGGGATCGACCTCTCGAACGCGGTGCCGTTGATCCAACACAAGAAAGCCCCGGGCGGGGTCCCGCGCCGGCCGAAGTCCGCGTGGCAGCTGTTCGGGTCGGACTTTTTCAAGGAGTTCCGAGAGCGGAACCCGCCGCCGTCGGGGCAGCAGACGAACTTCGCGGAGCTGTACAAGATCCAAGGTCAAGCGTGGAGGGACCTGCCGGAGGCGGAGCGCAAGAAGTACGAGAACCTCGCGAAAGAAGAGGCGGACAAGTTCCGGCAGATGGTCGCGTCCGTGACGCCTCCCGGGCAGCGCCCGCCGGTGGTCGGTCCAGGGGAGCGGCCGCGAAAGTACGTCAAGAAGATCGATCGAAAGGACTACAAGCCCGGCAGCGCTGGGGACGACGACGGCGACGGACCGATCGTGCTCGACGAGCACGGCCGGCAGGACATGGGCGGGGGGATCTCCAAGGACGCGAAGGGCAAGCTGTACGGCCCGAACGGGTTGCCCCTGACGAAGCAAGAGATCGCCGCCGCGGAGGAAGGGTGGAAACCGAGAGTCGATCGCAGGGCGAGCCACTGGAGCCAGCACTTCGACCCGAAAGACATCGCGAATCGGCCGGACGTCGCCGCGGTGATCTGCAACGGCGTCAAGGCGGACTTCTTGGTGAGAGAGTTCAGGATGCGGTGCAACTGCAGCTCGTGCAAGGGCGCGGCGCCGACGATGAGCGCGACGGAGTTTGAGAAACACGCCGGGATGGGCCAGGCGAAGAAGTGGAAGGCGTCGATTCGCATGGTCGAACCCGTTCGCATGCCCATCGGGCGATGGCTCGACGGCGGCGTGCGGCGATCGCGCGCGGCCGCGGGTGGCGACGAAGACCGCGGCGGCGGCCGAGGCGGAGGAAGAGGCGGATCCGGAAGAGGCCGCGGCCGCCCGCGCTCGGAGAGCTACATCTCCGAGGACAGAAAACGGCTCGGGTACGAGATCATCCGCGTGCAGTGGTCCGTCGATCGATGTGCGGTGTGCGACGACGACCGCGACTTTGACTTCGACCAGCTCGTGACGTGCGAGGGCTGCGCGATATCCGTCCATCAGTCGTGTTACGGCATCCCGGAGATTCCGGACGACGCCGTGGGGTGGCTCTGCGCCGCGTGCGAACACACCGGCGGCGTCGTGTCCGAGACGCCGCTGTGCTGCTTGTGCCCCGTGGAGGGCGGCGCGCTGAAGCCGACGACGAAGCCGGGGCGGTGGTGCCACTCCGCGTGCTGCCAGTGGATCCCGGAGACGACCGTGCTGGACGTGGACACGATGCAGCCGATCGATCAGATCGACACGATTCAACGCGAACGCTGGGAGCTCCTGTGCACGGTGTGCAAACAGAGACACGGCGCGAAGATCCAGTGCGATCACCCGGGGTGTTACCTCGCGTACCACCCTCTGTGCGCGCGCGCGTCCGGTCTGTTCATGGAAGCGCGCCTCGGCGAGGACGACGGCGAGGACGAGGACTCGCCGCTGATGATGGTGTCCTACTGTCACCGGCACTGCCTCGTGGACACCGAGCGCGCGGCGTTGTACAGCGGCGAGGATGGACTGAGCATCGGACGCAACGGATTGAGAGAGCCCGCGAAGCAGGACCACACGGTCAAGCTCACGAAGGGCGTGAAGCGCAAGATGGAGGAGAAGGCGCGAAAGGAAGCGTTGGAGGCGGATGCCAAGAAGTTAGCCGCGGAGGACGCGCTCGACGAGCCGGAGGATGCATTCGGCGCCGCGCGATGCCGGGTGTACGCTCCGCAGGGCCACCCGCGTACGGAAGCCGGCGACGAGGTCATCGTCGCCGCGGATAACCCTTCCACGCGGCGCGCGTTGAAGCACGGGATCGGGCTCGGGCGGTCCCCGGGCGGGGGCGGTCGGTCGAAACGGAGGGAGAGAGAGGCGTGGGTGCAGTGCGAGAATTGCAACAAGTGGCGGCGCGTTCCGCAGAGCAAGGCGGAGGAGTACACGCGCGCGGACGCCGGGGAGTGGACGTGCGAGGTGAGCACGCACCCGCGGATCAACAGCTGCGACGTCCCGCAGGAGCTCCCGGACGACGACATCGACGCTCGGATCGCGATGGGGGAGAATTGCCCGTTCTACGACGACGAGGATCTCAACCCGCCGGAGACGATCTCTTCCGCGCGCGGGGGGAAGAAGGACGAGGACGAGGACAAAGACGCGCCGGAGCTGGGCGCGGGGGGCGACTCCGCGACGGACGCGGACTCGGACGCGGACGAAGAAGAAGAGCCTGAACCTTCCTCGGACGACGACCTGCTCGTGGAGGGCGGGCACGGGCACGGGACCGACGACGGGATGCACGGGACGCACGGGTCGGGTCCGCTGGGAGGGAACATCCCGTCGGGGGAGTGGGAGGATTTCGTCATCGACGGCGATCCGCACCCCGCGGACGAGATCGGCGCGCTGGTGGACGAGCACGTCATGCGCGACCACGTGCACGAGTCTTTGGTGGATTTAGACGACGAGCCGTCGACGAAGCGCGCGAGGACGCAGCCGGCAGAAGAGACCGTGGCGGAGCCCCGCTGGGAGAAGACGGAGAAGACGGAAGAGGCGGACGAGGAGACGAAAGAGACCGAAGACGACGCGTCCGCGCCCTCGGCGGCGGTCGCCGTCGCCGTCGCCGCGGAGAAGATGGTCGTCAAGAAGGAACCTCCCGCGCCGGCGCCTCGAGAACCGGTCGAGGCGCCGGTCGACGCGAAAGCCGAGTCCACGCCGGAGCCGACGGAGCCGCCGCCGCCGCCGCCGACGACGACGACGACGGAGAGGCTGGCCGAGAAGGCGGACGATACCTCCGTGTGGGCGGTGGTCGCGCAGCAAGCGAGCGCGAGCCAGCCGCCGTCGCCGTTCGTCGGCGGCGGCGCGATGGACGTCGACGCGGCGGCGGCGGAGGTCAAGCGCGAGGTCAAGATGGAGGACGACGAGCTCGAGCGCGAGCCGCTCGAAGCTCTGCCCGCGGCGAAAGAGCCACCGAAACCGAAGCCGCCGCTGTCGAACCTCCCCGACGTCAAGGTTCTGTGCCGGAACATCGAAGGGGTTTTCCGCCCGCGGGATAACATGATTTACTGCGTCTGCACGCGCTGCGAGCGCGAGTCTAAAGCCGCCGCCGCGGGGGAGGAGAACCGACGGTTGTTCGAGCCGAACCGCTGGGAAGCGCACAGCGGGATGTCGCAGGCGAAGAAGTGGAAGACGTCCATTCGCGTCGTCGACCCGAAGCTTCAGCCTCAGCCGCCAAAAGCCGGCGAGGGCGGCGACTCCTCCGAGGAGACGGAAGAGGTGGAGACGTTCCTCGGGACGTGGCTCGACGACCACGGGATCGAGATCGAGATCGTCCCGGGTCGCCCGCCGAAGAAGGGCGGGGACGACGCGAAGCCCAAACCGATCGTTCGCTCGGGGCTGCAGAAACCGAAAGGCCCGAGAGGGAAGACCGCGCTCGCGGGACTCGCGATCGACCTCGACGTCGACCTCACGAAAGGCAGCGAAGACTTCGAAGAGAAAGCGCGCGCGCTCGTGGGTCTGCGCGTCAGCATAAACGCAAACGCGGGGCCGGAGGGCGCGCAGCTGAACCTCGGCGGCGCGCCGAACGTGCCCCCGAACTGGGTGACGGGCACGATCGCGGACGTCAAGAGCAGCCGCGGCGGGTGCCGGCACCGCGTCGCGTTCGACGACGGCGGCGACGACTGGTTCACCCTGAACCGCGTCCAGGTGGAGTGGCCGGGGATGGACGAGGAGGACTGGCCAGACCTGAGTTTTCTCCCGGAGACGGCGATCATTCCGAACGCGCATCGGAGAGGTTTAGGCGGGTTCGCCGCGGTGTTGAAGCTGTCCAGGGCGAAACCCGCGATCGTGGGGAAGCACGCGCCGCCGAAGCCGAAGCCCGAGGGCGAGGACGAGGACGACGCGAAAGAAGATCCGGCGAAGCCGCGGAAAAGACGACGAGACGCCGAGGCGTGGACGCAGTGCGCCAACGAGGCGTGTCGAAAATGGCGCCGAGTCCCGGAGTCCGTCATCGCGCGTTTGGAAGACGAACGCGCGGACGCGGAGGAGAACGGCGAAGACCCGCCGCCGGAGTGGACGTGCGCGGACAACGGCGACGTCAAGAGGGCCTCGTGCGACGCACCCCAGGAGTTTGACGAGGAGGAGATCGCGCGGCGGGTCGCGCTCGCGGCGTCCGGCGACGCGCCGCGGTCGATGTACGAGGACGGCAACGTCTGCGGCGACGGCGAGGGCGGCCCCGGTAGCGACGGCGAGGAGGACGACGGGCCGGACAACGGCCTCATCGGCGCGCTGCCGGACGACTTGCCCGACTGCGTCACCGTCGTGTGTCGGCACAGCGCGGGGGATTATCACCCGCGCACCGGGTATATTCGGTGCCTGTGCAAGCCGTGCTTCGCCGCGCACCAGGCGGACGAGAACGATAAGACGTCGCTCATGGAACCGAGCCGGTGGGAGATTCACTGCGGGATGGGCCAGGCGAAGAAGTGGAAGGCGTCCATGCGCGTCATCCTCGAGAACAACAAGACGATGCCCGCGGGGAAGTGGCTGGAGACGTTTGGGATCGCGGTGCGTCGCGCGCCGAGAGCGCCCCGGGTGTGGGGCGCGAAGAGGGCGAAGCTTCAGAAGATGAAAAACCGCGGCGAGCTCGAGAACGAGGAGAACATCTACCGACGGCTGAAGCCGATGAAGGTCTCGAAGCGGTTACTCCTCGAGGGCGCGATTCAAGGCCCGCCGCCGCGGAGCGGGAAGCGCGCGTTCGTAGAGCTCATCCCGTACGTCGTCCGCGGCTCGAAGCTGCACAGCAAGGGCGGGAACAACACCGGAGGATTCGCGCTCCCGGGCGCGGGCGGCGTCGGCGGCCCGAACGGCTCGACGGATCCGACGCGCGCGGAGGGCGCCGCGCTCCCGGAGTCGAGACGCTTCACGCCCGAGGAGTGGGAGGCGGAGAACGCAGCGCGTCTCGCGGCGAAGACGTCGGGGGCGGTGGCCGTGGCCGCGATGGAGATCGCCGCCGCGATCGTGGACGAGGGGAAGGGCGTCCGCGAGCGCATGGAAGAGGCGCACGATTTCCTGCACGAGCGGTTCACGTTTGGAAAGTCGAACATCCACGGGTGGGGCCTCATCGCGAAGAAACCGGTGAAAGCCGGGAGCATGGTGATCGAGTTCCGCGGCGAGATCGTCAAGCCGCACGTCGCGGACTTGAGAGAAAAGGCGTACGACGACGCGAACATCGACTGTTACTTGTTGAAAGCGGACGAGAAGACCGTCATCGACACGACGATGCGAGGGAACATCGCGCGGTTCACGAATCACAGCTGTAACCCGAACATGTACACGAAGATCGTCTCCGTGGACGGCTCCAACCACATCATCTTCTTCGCGAGGGTGGACGTGCAGCCGGGGGAGGAGATGACGTACGACTACCGGTTCGACGCGGAGAGCGGGAAGGTGCCGTGCTACTGCGGCGCGCACAACTGCCGCGGGTTCTTATGCTGACGCGTAATGCTTCGAGCGAAAGGCGGAACGATAAGTTAGGTACCTTCGTGCCTTCTGCGAAAGGCGGAACGATAAGTTAGGTACAGTACCTAAGTGCCTTCTGCGGGCGGAACGATAAGTTAGGTACCTTCGTATATCCTAGGTATAACAATACGATGTTCTGCCCTCACCCTCACCCTCACCCTCACCCTCACGCGCCGTCCATGCCCATCCCCTCGGTGCTCGGCAACGACATGCTGTCCTTCACGTAGTCCGCCATCAGCTTGTCGTTCTCCGTCGTGAGCTCCTCCACGGCGAGCGACGACATCCCTTTGAAGTCGAACTGCCCCTCCGCGTACGCTTTCCTCACCTCCAACACCCTGAGCGCGGTCAGACGCATGTTGTTGTCTTCGTGCCGCATCAGCGCCTCCAACCACTTGTTCCCGTCCCGCAGCGGGTTCTCTTGGAGGTAGTCCTGCAGCCCTTTATACGTCGGCGTCATCGCGCCGCCTTCGTTGTCGTACCCCGCTGAGGGTCGTTCCGTACGAGCGAACGTCGGGGTGGAGTTCATGGGCGTCAGATGGAGTTGAAAGGCGTCGAGGGCGGTGATCGAAAGCGAGGGGTGGGAGGAGAGAATCGCCGGGCAAAGTCCTTAAGGAACGACGTTCACCACGCCGACGCGCTCGTATGGGGATCAGTGTGAGATAGAACGCACCCTCTTGAGCCATCACGATTCGAACCGCGACCATCGTGAAGAGGCTCTTCAGCGCGCTCGCCGCCTTGTACTCCGGGGACATGCCCCCGAACGCGTCCGTGGGGACGTGCATCCGCCCGTTGTCCCCGGTGCCGCCGCCGACGGAGCCTTCGCGGTCGTCCCCCGCGCGCGCGCGGAGCGAGGACGCGCGACGACGCGCGAATGCGCGTCGGTCTCCGAGCGAGGCGCCGGTTCGCTCGGAGAGCGGGTTTTTCGACGCGAGCGACGAGGCGAGGGGCGCGACGGGACGCGCGCGCGTCGCGCCCCGCGCGGACGCGCGCGAGCTCGCCGCGGGGACGACGACGTTGATCGCGATCGACGCGAACATTCGAAGAGGAGAGGACGGGGGTCTCGTGCGGTGTCGCGTCGCCTCGCGCGACGAAGAGTGCCCGTCCGTTGGCGCTGACGACGACGCAACGAAAGCGTGACTCACGCTCATCCAGTCGTCACCGACTCGCGACTGGAAGAGCCCGCGCGCGATTTCCCCCCCGCCGCCACAGCGGCGAACGCAACCACGCCGCGCGGCGACGATGTCCGTCTACGAGAAGACGTTCACGCTGAAAGACGAGGACCACACGATGGGCAACGCGATACGGTACATGCTGAACAAGAACCCGCAGGTGGCGCTCGCGGGGTACAGCGTGCCGCATCCGATGGAGCGATCCGTGAACGTGCGCGTGCAGACGACGGGGGAGGTGACCGCGACGGCGGCGATGCGCGACGCGCTGCTGGACATCATCTCCGTGTGCGATCACGTCCACGACACGTTCGATCTCGCGATCGAGGAGCACGGGGAGAAGAACGCGACGGCGATGGAGACGGACGTCGCGGGGAAGGGGGGGGGCTCGAAGAAGAAGTGAGGAGAGGCGTCCGGGGATGTGGGGGAGGGCGACGAAATTAGAAGGAGGGATACGTAGGAACCTTAGCCGACGCCGCCGCGGGTCTCACTCAGCGAGACGCGGGCGCGATAGCGCGCGCATGTTCGAACGAGTGACGTCAGTAGCACAGAAACCTCGCGCTACGCCGTCGAACGCGCTCGAACCCGTCCCGTTCGAACCTCGACGCGCTCCGCTACGACGGACGTTCCCCGCCCTCCAAAGCAAAGCCTGCCTTTTTCGTCGAATCGATCCTCCCTACGTGCGGGGCGCGCGCGACGCCGTCGGCGACGCCGCCCACTCCCCGCGTCATCAAATCAACGTCCCCATCCATCGATCCATCGACCCATCGATTCATCGACCCATCGATCCATCGATCCATCGATCCATCGCGCGCGTCAGTCACATCACAATCACAGCGTGAACATGATCAACGACGCGGCCATCACCGCCATCCCGATGAACGTGCAGTTGGTGACGTATTTGTCGTGCGGGTCGTACTTGAGCGCCGTGGGGAGGAGCTCCTTCAGCGAGATGTACACCATCATCCCGCCGACGATCCCAAACAGCGCGCCGTACGCGCTGTCGCTCATGACGGCGCTGTAGAGCACGAGGAACCCGCACAGCCCGCCGAAGGGCTCGCTCAGGCCGCTGACGAACGACCACCAGAACCCTCGCAACTTCGAGCCCGTCGCGTAATACACCGGCATCGCGACGCACACGCCCTCGGGGATGTTGTGTATCGCGATCGCCAACGCGAGCGCGATCCCGAGCTTCGTGTCCGCGAGCGCGGCGACGAACGTCGCGAGGCCTTCCGGAAAGTTATGCAAACCGATCGTGAGCGCGGTCATGAACCCCATGTTCTTCAGGTGCTCCTTCTCCGGGGTGTCGATGTCGGCTATGATCGCGGATTCTAACGACATCTCGAGCAACTCGCGCTCGCTGTCCGGGCGCTGCTTCGACGACATCCCGCCGATCGTCGCGGGGACCTTCACCGGGGAGTCCCTCGCGCTGTCTGTGGACTTCTCCGCGTCCTCCCTCACGTCCAGTTTCACCTCCCCGGCCGTGACCTCCCCGCCGCGCGCGCCGCCGCGCTCGTCGTCGGCGTCCTCGACCGCGCTCACGGCGTCGGTGAACAGCGCGCGCTCCCCCGCGAGCATGTCCGCGGGGTCGGAGTGGCACACGCACACCGCCGGCGCCTTTTTCAGATTGGACCGATTCTTTTGCCACATCCCGATCTTGTGCACGAGTCCGTCGAGGAGGTAGGTCAGCCCCGCGCCGCAGAAGAAGCACAGCGTCGCGAGCTTGTCCGCGTCGTTCGGGTAGCTCGTCTCGAACCCCTCGATCGCTTTCGTGGCGAAAATCTCCACGAACGAGACGTAGATCATGACCCCCGCGCTGACGCCGAGCGCGCCGGCGAGGACTTTCGTGTTGGCGTACGACGTGCAAAACACGAAGGCGCTGCCGATGGTCGTGCACATGCCCGCGGCGATGACGAGCCCGAAGGCGAGGCCGACGTTGCCTTTCGCGACGCCCTGAGGTGAAGATGGACGGAGAGACGGGGTGAAGGGCGGGGGTCAGCGTGGAGGATTGGAGGAGACGACGCCCCCCGCGGCCCGCCCGCCGAGGAAAAGCGTGCGACCCGACGACGGACGCGAGAATCCGAAGATCTGACTGAATGATGGCGAGGACGAGGAACGAGGGCCGCGGCGCGCACCATGACGGCTTCGAGCGCGCCGAACGACGCGTTTCAGCCGAGGACGAAGCGACCGTCGATTCTCGCTCCGCGCGTGTCCGCGGACGACTCGCAGTGCGCGCGAGACGCGGCGCGCGGACACCCTTCACCCGTGTCGGCGGCGATAAGTGGCTGGAAAATCGCATCCAGAGATTCGCGACTGCCAGCAGGCCGCGGGCAGCGGGGGCGACTGTAGCGGCGGTGAACAGTCCGTTCGAGGCGGGCGGGGCGCTCTCGCGATGAGTCTAATAAGGTCGTCCTCGACAACGCTTCTAAGCACGACGACGCGCGCGCGTCACGCCACGGGCATCCTAACGTCCAGCTTCTCGTTCCTGAGCCGCAGCAACCGGCTCTCGATGGACGCGAGCATCGGGTGGTACGCCCTGCCGACGTCGCCGCCGCCGATGATCTCCGCGGCGAGCTTCGCGCTCGCGGCGTCTTTTCTCGACGCGGCGGCGGCGGACGACTCGGCGACCGGCGCGTCGCGCGTCGCCTGCGGCGGCGCGTCCGTCGTCGCGTCCACGACCGCGGCGACGGCGCCGGCGTCTTCCCCGCCCGGCGTCGCTCCGTCGCCGCCGCCGCCCACGTCCGGCGCGTCCGCGGTCGCCGCGGTCGCCGCCGATTCCGCCGCGTCCCGCTCCCACTCCTCTTGCTCCGCGAGCATCTCCATGAGACGCTCGCTCCGCGCGCGGCTGCTCTCGAGCTGCGCCAGCGCTCGCTCGCGCTCCTCCTCCACCGCCCTCGTCTCCTCCATCGCGGTCTCGAGCGCGTCGTCGACGCGGTCCAGCTCCGTCGTCTGCGCGTCGATCTCCGACAGCAGACGTTCCTGCGTCGCGTCCAACGTCCTGATCTTCGCCCGCAACGCGTCCTCCGCGACCGCGCGCTCGCGCCGCTCGTCCGCCAACGCGGTCGTCGCCGCCGCAATCCGCGCCTCCGCGTCCCTCACCGCCGCGACGGACGCCGCGCCGTGACCGCCGCCGGACGCCTCCGCCTCGAGCGAGGCGCGCTCGAGCGCCGACTCCGCGGCGTTCGCGCGGCGTTCAAACGCCGCCGCGCGCGCCGCCGCGTCGCTCGCGCTTCTCCCCGCCGTCTCGAGCTCCCCTCGCGTCCGCTCCAGCGTATCGCGCGCGTCGTCGCGCTCGCGCTCGAGCTCTTCTGAGCGCTTCTCCGCGCGCGCCCTCGCGGCGGCCTCGTCCGCGAGCTCCGTCCGCGCCTCTCGAAGCCGCGCCGCCGCCGCCGCCGCCTCCGCGGCGAGCGCGTACCGCTCCGCCTCCTTCGCCGCGGCCTCCTCCGGGGTGAGACTCCCGGGACCGTAGCGCGTCTCCGATGTGACGTGGTTCCCTCGCGCGGGTGGGTCCCATCTGTCGTCCCCTTCGCTCGTCGTTCCCCCCCCGCCGCCGCCGCTCGGGGGTTCGCGGCGCGCGGCGGTCTCCTCGAGCTCAGGGTCGTTCCATACGAGCGAATGTCGGGGTGGAGTTGAAAGGCGTCAGATGGAGTTGAAAGGCGCCAAAGACGGGGATTGAAAGCGCGGGATGGGCGGAGAGAGACGACGGCAAAAGTCCTTAAGGATCGGCGTTCACCACGCGAACGCGGTCGTATGGGGACCAGTGTATAGAACGCACCTCAGCGCGCGCGGCGTGCAACTCCGCGCGAACGGCGGCGGCTTCGTCCTCGGCTTTGATCTGCTCCTCCAACGCCTCCCGCGTCTTGCGCTCCGCGAGCCTGCGCGCGGCGACGGCGTCGTCCCTCGCGCGGATCGCGTCGTCGCGCGCCTCCTCCGCCTCCCTCTTCGCGACGTCGGCGCCGCCGGTGAGCGACTCCGCGGCTTTCAGCGACCGCGCCGACGCGTCGCGCGCCGCCCTCGCGACGACGAGTTCGCGCTCGAGCTCGGACGCTCTCGCGGTCGCGGTCCGCGCGGCGTCGAGCGCGGCGTCGCGCTCGGCGGCGAGCGCGGCTTTCGTCGCGGCGGTGGCGAGCTCGAGGGACGCCGCGCGCGCCTCCGCGGCTTCTCTCGCCGCGTTCGCATCCGCGTTCGAGTCCTCGGTCGTCGTCGTCGTCGTCGTCGTATGCGGCGGCGGCGGCGGCGACGACGCCGGAGGCGGCGCGTCGTGTCGCGCTCCTCGCGGCGGCGACGTGACCGCCTCTGGCGTCGGCGATAACGACCGGAACACCTCGGTGACGTCCTCTGACCGTCGCCTCGCCTCGTTTTCGTCGAGGAGGATCTGAGGCGGACGGCTCTCGACGCTTCGCCCGCGCGCGACCGCGGCGTCGTTCGCGGACGCGTCCGCGAACGCCTCGCGCGCGGGCGACGGCGGGAACGGCGGCGGACCCGCGAGCGGCGAGGGAATAGGCTCGCACGTCGCGGTCGCCGCCGTCGCCGTCGTCGTCGCCGTCGTCGTCGTCGCGTCGGCGTCCTGGACGCGAGCGGGCGCCGGCGACGCGAACAGCGGACCGGACGCGGCGACCCACGCGCGCGCGGGCGGCGGCGGCGTCCCGGGCGACGCGTCGACGCCGATGAACGACGGCGGCGGCGCCTCGCGCGGCGGCGACGGCATCGGCGGCGGCGACGGCGCCGCGAACGACTCGGGCGCGACATCGTCGGACGAGGAGACGTTCGACCCGCCGCCCGCCTTCGCCGCGGCCTTCTTCCTCTTGAACGCCTCGAGCTTCTCCCGCCCCGCGGCGCGCATCGCGTCTTTGCTCTTCTTCGGCGGCATCGCGACGGAACCGCGACGCCGCGCGGTCCGCCACGACGCGCCCGAGCCAATGCGTCGACGGCGCGAGGAGAGGCCGCGGATTACTTACCGCCTTCTCGGAGCTCCAGTACAGTCTGTTCGAACCCCCGAGATTTTCAGCGCGCGACGCGTTTGAGGACGACCGAGCGTCGAGCGACGACGGCGAATAAGATGTTAACGACATACACAGTACTAGTAATACTACCTCTCGTACAGCTCGCTCGGGGGCACGTCCGGTCGCCGCCACCCGTACGTCTTATTCTTCGCGTCCATGGGAAGCCACTCCTTCTCCGGCGACGCCGCTCGCGGCGGCGGCGGCGGCTTCCGAACGACGTCGTACTGAAACACGCACCGGTCCGTCCCGCCGACGCTCAGCAGCCGATTCCCGCACGGAGAGAACGCCACGCCCATGACGTGTGACGCGTGCCCGACGCTCCTCCTGTGCGGCGCGTCCTCGACGACGCACGGGTAGGCAAACAACTTGACGACGCCGGCGTCGTCCGCGGTGGCGAGGAGCTCCCCCTTCGGGTCCCTCGAAGCCGCGTTGACGTCCGTGCCGTCGCTCCCGGGCGGCCACAGACCCATGACGGGAAACCCCAACACCCTGGTCCACGTGTGCCATCGCACGTCGTTCGTCGCGCTCGTGAGCTGCTTCCCCGTGGACGCGTCCCAGTGCAGAAGCTCGTAGTCCGCGCCGTCCGACCCGAGCGCGCGAGAGTCAACGGACCAGTCCACGTGCCTCACCGCCGCGGAGTGCCCCCGCAGCCGAAACACGCGCTGGTACGTCTCGTTCTTCCCTCGGACGGCGTACACATCGATCATCGCGTCGCGCGACGACACCGCGAGCTTCGTGTCGTCCGGGGAGTACTTGACGTCCTCGACGCCGGCTTTCCGCGCGCAGTCGTGGAAGACGACGCGGAGATCGCGTTCGTCCAACACGCAGAGCTCGCCGCCGCCGCCGCCGATCGCGACGTGATGCGAGCGGTCCGGCAGCGTCCCGTCCGCCCTCGCCTGCGCGCGGTCCGCCATGGACATGAACGGCGCGAGCGCGTTGTGCGTGCACGCGACCGTCCGCGCTGTGAACCCGACGTTCGTCCCTCGAGCGACCACCGTGTTCGCCGCGTCCCACCAGAAGACGTCGCCAGAGCCGGCGGCGGTGATGAACACGTTCGGGGTGCCGTGGTGCCAGCACGCGCCGCGCAAGTTGCCCAAAGGCGCGGGGGCTTTCATTATCACCCTGGCGTTGATCCCGTCGACCTCCCACACGTCGCACTTGTCCGTGCCGACGACGAAGACGTCCGAGCCGGGGTGGCAATCGATCGAGCGAATCGCGGGGATCGAATCCGCGCCGCTCGCCGTCGCCGTCGACTCGAGCTTCGTGGGCTCGCACACGACGTCCCCGATCGTGTTCTCGCGCGCGTCCCAGGACATCACGACGCCGTCCGCGCCGCCGGTCAGCAGCGTTAACCCGTCGTCGCGTAAACGAAGCGCGCGGACGCCGCCGCCGAACGCGACGCTTCCGTCCGGCTGAATCGTCTTTTTCCCTCGCCCGTGCGCCTTGACGCGTCTCACCGCGCGTCCTTCCCGCCACACGAGCAGGGATCCGTCCGGCATCCCGGTCACGATCGCGCCCTCGGGTGGTTCTTTCACGCTCTCGTCGTCCCTCCCGAACCGCCCGAACCACTCCCCGCCGCCGCCGCCGCCGCTGCGGGAGTCCTCCGCGCCGTCTTCGTTTTCAAAGTCGTCCTCGTACTCCCCAAACCCGGGCGGGCACAAAAACTCAACCGCGGCGACGTCGTCGACGCCAAACTCGCCAAAGCTCTGCGCGACGGATCGCCACTCGCTCTCGTCGTTCGCGTCGCACGTCCACACCTTGAGATGTTTCTTTCCGTACGTCGCGAACCGCGCGCGCCCCGGGTGCGCCCACGGGTCGAACTTCACGCCGAAGACGCCGACGGGGCGCTCTTTGAACCCCGCGCCCTGGGCGATCAACCCGGCGGGTTTCCCGCGCTTCCCTCGCGCGCCGGTGAGCGCCGCGCAGTGCGCGACGCGCCAGTCCCACACCATGACGGTGTGGCTGTTATCGCACCCGACGGTGACGAGCAGCCGGCCGTCGGGGGAGAACGCGCACGCGGCGACTTGCCTCGCGTCGCGCGGCAGGCGCACCCTCGCAGCCTCCGTGCACGTCCGCGCGTCCCAAACGCTCACGTACGGCGTTTCAATCTCCTCGTTGTCGTGGTCCTCGAGCGCCTTCTTCTGCCCGGTCGCGATCAGCGCGTTCTCCGGGTACCTCACCTCGCGATGCGTCACCTCCGCTTCGCATATCGCCATGCACGTGATGTCGTTCGTGTGCCCCAAGAAGTGACTTTGCTTGTCCCTCTTGTCGTCGTACACGACGCCCACGGCGGCGGCGAAGTACGCGACGGAGACGGAGGTCCTCGTCCCCGCGTTGACGTAGAACAGATTCGGCGCGTTCGCGACGACGCCGTCGTACCCGTACACGAAGTTTAGCTCCAGACGCGCGTCCGGCTCCATCGTGGATCGGTCCGCGAGCGCGGGGGTAAAGTCCGACGGCGCGAGCACGCCTTTCCGGCACCGCGGGTAGACGATCTTCTTCGCGAAGTCGTCGTCCGTCACGGGGTAGCCCTTGCACACGGGCGCCTCCGCTTGCGCCCTCGCGGGGCCTCTCGAGACGCTTTCCACGAACGCGCCCACGTCGATGAAGTCCCCCGCGGCGTCCGCGCCGTTCCGCGACGCGAACGCGCGGCACTCCGCCTCGGTGAGTTCCAACCCGAGCGCTCTCCACGCGTCTTGGAAGTCGATCCACGTCACCTCGCCGCCGTTCCCGTAGTCGTACTCCTTCAACGCGTCCACGAGGCGCTCCCGTCCGCTCTTGGACACCGAGTGCATCGCCTTGATCTCCGCGCGCATCGCGCGCTCGAGCTCGCGCACGCGCGACGGCGGGACCCCGTGCGCGGCGGCGGCGGAAGCGGCGGCGGTCGCGCGCCGCGCCGAGGCTTCGGACGTCGACGCGCGCGCGGCGGATGCGGCGGGGTGGAGTTCAAAGGCGTCAGAAGCGGAGTTGAAAGGCGTCGAGGGCGAGGATCGAAAGCGAGGGACCCTGGACGGAGAGACGCGCCGGGCAAAGTCCTTAAGGATCGGCGTTCACCACGCCGACGCGGTCGTGGGGACCAGTGTATAGAACGCACCTCGTGCGGGGTCGTCCGGCCTCGGTCTTCGCGGTCTCGGCTTGGGCGCGTTCTCTTTCTCGCTCTCTTCCGTGATGATCCCTCGCTCGCGCTTTTCCGGGATGGACAGAAGTTTTCCGAGCGGGACTTTGCCTCTGCCGCTCGTCGACGCCTTCTTCGAGGCGGCGGAGGACGACTTCGCGAGGCGAGGCGCGCCCGAGTCGGAGGATCTGGCTCCCGACGCGGAGGACCGTCCGCTCCCTCCCGACGCGCTCTTCGTCCTCGTCGCCGTGGACGACGTCGGCGACGACGACGTCTTCCTCCCGCGCGCGGACGACGTCAGCTTCGTCTCGGACATCGTCGCGGACTTGTTCGACGAGCGCTTCGTGCCGTCCATCGTCGACGCTCGACGACTTTCGACGACGACGACGGATTCGATGGATTGACCGCGCTGACGCGGCGACGCGCGCGTCGTCGGGCGCGGGTCGCGTCTCTCGCGGGACTCGAGTCTCTCGAGGTGATCTCTGAACGCCCCCGAGCCGGCGTGTGTTCGCGCGCGCGTGCCGCGCGACGACGACTGCGCGCGCGGGCCGCGTGTCGGGGGAACGCTGCGCGGAGTGAGCGTTTCGCTGACCGAACGGTTGAAAAATCAGTGATGAACTTCTCATCAGTTGCTTACGCGCGCTCCGCGCTTTTTTCATCGAAAAAAATGCAGACTAACTGCGCATACAACGCGAAAACCTTATCTGCACCGTCGGTTTCGGCTAAGGACGGACGACAGGAGCCAGACAGTCGCCGCGGTCGTCCGTCTCCTCCGACGCGCGACGCTCGCGCCACTGTTCCGCGCGCGAACGTCGTGATCCTCGCGACCGTTTTCGCTCCGTCGATCACGCATCGCTCCCCGCCGCGCTCCTCCTCACACGGCGGCGCGCTCGTCCGTTCCCTCACCGGTCGGCGACTCTCGACAGCGAAGAAAAGCAGCGCGTCCTCCACGCGAACGATGAGCGCCTCCATCGTCACCGCGCCGCTCTCCGCGACGCGATCCGCGTTCCGCGGCAACGCGCGCGCGATGACCGCGAAGAAGGTCGTCCGCGCCGGATCCCGATCCGTCGTCACGAGAGCGGAGGTGAAGGAGATCCACATGCCCGCGCTGTCGTCCACGATGACCGAGGGCAAGATCGTCAGCTGGCTCAAGGGCGAGGGCGACTCCATCTCCAAGGGCGAAGCCGTCGTCGTCGTCGAGTCCGACAAGGCGGACATGGACGTCGAGACGTTCTACGACGGCTACCTCGCGTACATCGCGGTCGAGGACGGCGAGATGGCGACCGTCGGCGCGCCGATCGCGTACGTCGCGGAGACGGAAGGGGAGATCGACCAGGCCAAGGCGATGGCCGCTGCCGCGGGCGGCGGCGCCGCGCCCGCGGCGGCGCCCGCGCCCGCGGCCCCGGAGCCCGCGCCCGCGGCCCCCCCGCCCCCGCCCCCGGCCCCCGTCGCGGCGGCGCCCGCGCCCGCGCCTGCGCCGGCGCCGGCCGCGGCCGCGCCCGTCGCCGGCCGCCCCGACGGCCGCATCATCGCGACGCCGTACGCGAAGAAGCTCGCGAAGAAGCTCAAGGTGGACCTCGCCACCGTCGCGGGCAGCGGTCTGAACGGGCGCATCACCGCCGGGGACGTGGAGTCTAAGGCGGGGGTGCCGTCGTCCACGGCGCCGAAGAAGGCGGCGGCGACGGCGCCCGCGGCGGCGGCGGCGCCGTCGGCGGCGTCGGCGCCCCCCGCGCCGCTCCCGGCGCCGGCGGGCGCGCAGACCCCGCTCAGCGGCATGCAAAAGGCTGTCGCGAAGAACATGATGCCGAGCCTCCAGGTGCCGGTGTCCAGGATCGCGATGAGCATGTGCACGGACGAGCTCGACGCGCTGTACAAGAAGGTCAAGCCCAAGGGCGTGACGATGACGGCGCTCCTCGCGAAAGCCGTCGGCGTCGCGCTCGCGCAGCACCCGATCATGTACGCGTCGCCGGTGCCCGCCGGAGACGCGGTGGTGTACAACGATAAGGTGAACATCGCCGTCGCGGTCGCGCTCGAGAGTGGTCTCATCACGCCCGTGCTCGCGGACACCGCGGGGACGGACGTGTACGAGATTGGCAGGGTGTGGAAGGATCTCGTGAAGAAGGCGCGCGGCGCCGGGCTCTCTCCGGCGGATTACGCCGGCGGGAACTTCACGATCTCGAACCTCGGGATGTTTGGCGTGGACGCGTTCGACGCCATCTTGCCTCCGGGGCAGGGCGCCATCTTGGCCGTCGGCGCGGGTAAGCCGACGGTGGTTCCCGTGAACGGGATGATCGGCATCAAGACGCTGATGACGGTGAACCTCACCGCGGATCACAGGCACATCAACGGCGACGTCGCCGCCGAGTTCTTGAAGACGTTGAAGGCGGTCATCGAGGATCCGTCCGAGCTCGTGTATTAAATCATCTCGGTCGCGACGAGGATCATCGAGAATCGAGGGGGTGTACGCGTCGACGAAAGACGACGACGACGACGACGTACTTTTTGGCGGAGAGGAGGCGAGAGAAGAAGAGACGGCGGCGGATGGAGGATGGAGGACGGCTGCCGCGGCGTCTTCTGATTTACTAGGAGAGCCGCAACGTGCGCGGGGGCGTCGGTGTTGCTTATTAATAAGACACGGAGCACGATGGATACAAAAATAAAACACTTCTTATACGTTCGTGTTACAAGCGCGCGAACCGGGGTGCCCTCGCGCGCGGCACCCCCTCCGAAAGAATCACGACCCCCCCTGACGCGAAAAAAATAAACGCGTCTCTCACAACTGCGACGACGACCAACTCTTAGACACGGCGTCCATGAGCCGCTCGTGCAGCGCCGCGCTCGTGGCGACGATCCCGCGATCTAACGTGTCGAGGTACCGCCCCCCCGCCCAGTCCAGCGGCGCGCCGCCCGCGTCCGTCACCTTCCCGCCCGCTTCTTCGACGATGATCACCCCCGCGGCGTGGTCCCAAATTTTCTCCTTGTACCCGGCTTTCGGAAACTTCATGAAGACGTCCGCGTCCGCGCGCGCGACGCTGCCGTACTTCACCTGCGAGTACACCCTCAGCGGTTTCGACGCGATCCCGAGGTTATCCGCCACGGACGCGGTGAACCCCTGCGAGCTGTTCGCCTTCATGACCGGCTCGCAAAACTTCGCGCTGACGGGGTCGAACGCGTCCGACACCGTCACCGGCGTCGGCGCGGCTTTGATCCTCGCGTCGCACGGCTCCACCGTGCACCCTCGGCCCTTCACCGCGGCGAAGATGCAGCCCTTGTACCACCCCACGGACTCGCCCGCGAGCATCTTCGTCACCATCGACGGCGAGAACCCGTACGTGTACGACGAGTCGTACTCCAAGACTTCGCCCGTCTTGGGCATGTTCGGGCACCCCATCACGCCAACCTTGAGGTCGCCGTCCTCCATGAGCGCCAACGCGATCGCGTACTGGTCCCCGCGCACGAACCCGAGCGTGCCGTCGACGGGGTCCAAGATCCAGTGGCGGCCTTTCCCGCCCTTCCCGCCGCCCTTGTTGATCGCGGCGACGATCTCCGTGGAGGACAGCGTGGGCGCGGCGTCGCCCTTGTGCTTCGCGAGCGTCTTGTTCACGAGCGCGGTGATCTTTTCGAGCGTCTGCGCGCCGCCTTCGCCGCCCTCCGTCAGCGCCTCCGCGTCTTCTTCGCCCACCATCGTGAAGTCCGGCCACTCTTGCTGGATCCGCCACGCGATGATCGCCTGCGCGGCGTAGTCCGCGAGCGTCACGAGCGACCGGTCGTCCTTCGTGTCCGCGGTCTCGTCCTGTCGCATGAGCTGCGCTTGGACTTCCTCGCACAGCGTGGACGCCATGCGCACGGCGTCGAGGCCGACCTCGAGCTCGAGGGCGTACGCGCCCCCCGCGGGGGACGACGCGGGCGCGGGTTTCGCCGCGGACGCCGCTCGGATCGCGGTGACTGTCGTCGGAGATGGGGTGGGGGAGGACGGCGGGGGCGCGGCGGGGTGAGACGACGAGCGAGCGAGAATCGCGCGGAGAGCCATCCGGCGCGACCCTCCGATTCTTCTTCGAGCGAGAGGCGCGCGACGAGGGCGCGCGCGGGACGGGACGCACGTTGGCGTCGCTTCTTCGGCGCGGCGTTTCGGCGCGCCGCGTTCGCGAGCGCGCCGGAAAACGTGACGGAGGCCGCCATGGACATCCTGTGTTGCGACGCGATGCGCGGCGTGCGCTCGGGCAGTGGCGGCCGGGGCGAAGAAGCTCTCTCTCGGGCGAGAAGAGCCGTCGGCGCGATCGCGCGCCAAACCCTTTTCCGCTTGACCCTCGTTCATCGATGGAATCGACCCACTTCGTGGATCATGACGTTCAACGCACCGATCAAAAACCTTTTCACCGGAGATCTCGGATTGTTCGCACGGAATATTCGGTCCTCTCGAGCTACGAGCTGTCGACAGAGCCGGTCGCGCCCGGCGGCCGCGCGGCATGTCGTCGACGGCGACGCGGGCGGTCTGCGCGCGAGCAACCTCGTTCCGTCGCGCGATCCGATCCCACGGCGCGCGCGCGACGTCGCGTCCTTCGTCGTCCTTCGCGCGATCTCGCGCGTCCGACGGCGACGAAACGTCATCTGATGAGATGTCAGCGATTGCTGAAACGTCCACGACCGACGTCAGCTCGCGCGACCGCGGGTCGTCCTCGGCGTCGCTCTCCGCCGCCGCCGCGTCCGTCGCCGCGTTCACGACCTTCGCGACCGCGTCCGCCGCGCTCGCGGCGGCGACGGGCGCGGACGCCGTCGTCGTCGACGCGTCCGACGCCGCGAGCGCCGCGAGCGTTCTCGACGTCGCGCGCGACGTCTTCGCCGCGATCGACGCGGCGCCGCGGTGGAAGTCCACCCCGGCGTGGCTCCTGCTCCTCATCCTCGCGGAGATGCTCCCGCTGGTCCCCACGCAGCCGTTCGCGCTCTTGTCCGGCGCGCTGCTGGGGCCGACGTGCGGCGCCGGCGCGTGTCTCCTCGGGTACGTCGCCGCGGCGTCGGCGTCATACGGCGTCGCGCGCGGCGCCGGCGCCGCGTTCGCGCGCGCCGTCGTGAAAGAAGAGGTGGAGCAGGGCGGCGCGGACGACGAGAAGGAGGACGCGAACGCGTTCGCGGCGCGGTGGAAGACGATCCAGGCGCGGCTCGCGTCCGCCACGCCGACGGAGCAAACGGCGCTCATCGCGTTGTACAGGTCGACGCCGCATCCGTTCTCCGCGTCTTCGTATCTCTTCGGTCTCGCGCGGACGCCGTTCGCGCCGTACGTCGCGGGCACCGCGCTCGGATCCGCGCCGTGGAGCGCGCTGTACGGCGCCGTGGGCGCGTACGTGCGCGAGCTGCTCGACGGCGGGGAAGGGATCGAGCGCGCGCTCGCGGACGGGAGAGCGTTGCTCGAGGCGGACGTTCTGGAGGCAGAGACGGCGGCGCTCGCGATCGGGTCCGGCGTGCTCTTCACGGCGGTCGCGCGGTGGGCCGCAGCGAGGTGGACCGAGAGCCGTTCGAGCTAGCGGCCTCGACGACGGACGGACGCGCGATGAGAGTACTGATGCGTACGCGTGCCGTGCAGCGTGTATTTCAACGAGTCGCGCGCGCGTCGCGCGCGTTCATGCGAATCAAACGTCGTTTCTTTCGTCGTTTCTTCTTCGTTCGTGCTCGTGCTCGTCTCGCGCGCGCGGCGAATTAAACGACAGAGGAGCGCGTTCGATTCACGGCTTCCAGTCGAACGGGTACGACACGTCCGTGTCCCCCCCGACGCTCTCGAGCATCTTCCCGAAATCCTCGAGCAGAGCCTCCGTCCCCGGGCGCGTGAACTCCTCGTCGCACCCGAGCTGCTCGTTGGTGCTCTCCCCGAGGAGCTTCTTCCCACGCGGCGGCGAGCTTCGCGCACGCGGACTGCATCTCGTCCCCGTCTTCCCACATCTCGTTGTCGCGCGCCCACGTATCTTCCTGTTGCAGCGCGTACGTCAACGCGAGCAGGTGGTCGAACCTCGCGGGCTTCGACGTCCGCGCGACGGCGCGCGCGACGGCATCGGCGATGCCGGCGACGACGGCGTTTCCGGTCGACGTGTCGAACATCACGAACCCGCCGTCGTCGTCGCTGTCGCTGTCGGATCCGTCGCGCCCCATGGCGAATTTCTGCGCAGCCTCGATGGCCGCCGCGCGTTCCTTGGTGATCACCAGGATCCGACAGGCGGCGACCTCCTCCTCGCCGGGCGAGGCGGCGTCCTCGTCGATGCCGCGAACCAGGGCGATGCCCAGCGCGTTCAAGCGTTTCACCGCGGCGTTCTGTCGCTGCACAAAAGCCTCCTCGGCCGCGGAAACGGGGGCGTCGGCTTCGTCGGAGGAGGACATGGCTCGAGAACGGGCGAGGGGACTCGCGCGGTCGGAGAGCGCCGGCGATCAGCGCGTTGCGTCGGAGCGCGCCGCGAGATCTGAACGGAGATTGGATTCTCGGTTGATCGCGAATCGACATTTCATCGCGAATGTCGACATTTCATCGCGAATATTTGATCGCGACTCGATATTTGATCGCGAATCAATAGCTACCTGACAGATCAAGCTCACATCACAGCGCGTACGTCGCCTCCAGGTACTCCACCATCGCCGCCGACTCGAACATCTCCACGCCCGTGTTCGGATCCTCCAAGAACGGCACCTGAAACGTCCCCGTCTTCGCGATGAGCTCGTCCCGCTTCGCGCTCCCTCGCGGGCAGTACCTCACCACGTGCGGGATCGCGAGCTCGGTCAGGACCTCCCGCACCTCCTTCGTGAACGGACTCGCCTCGTACGTCCACAGCGCGAGCGGCTCGACGGGGGTTCCCGCCGCCGCCGCCGCCGCCGCGCGCGACGGACGCGCTTTCAGGCCCTTCAACCGCGCGAGAGCCGCGGCGTAGCACGTCAGGTTCGTGATCCCGCCGCGGCGGAGCATGAACGGCACGCCGAGCGTCGTCGCGTCCATGTCGTCGACGTCGGGGTCGCCGGCGCGCGGGCCGTAGTTGCGGAACAAATACTCCACGATGTCGTCGCTCTCCGTCATCGCGGCTCCGGTGTTCGCGTCTTTCATGTACGGGAACGTCTTCGCGCCCTCGGCCTTCGCGGCGGGGCGGTAGAACGCCTCCCCGCTCGGGCACGGCCTGTAGAGGACGTCCAGATCGAGCACCGCCGCGGCCTCGCGCACCTTGCGGCAGTACGGACTGCCCTCGTACTCGAACACCTCGATCGGCGTCGCCGGGCGCGGGCCGAGCTCGGACGCCTCCGCGAGGCGCTTCCCCGCGACGCGCGCGATGGAGTACACGCTGGCGTCGTCGTCGTCCACGAGCGAGGGCGACCAGCCGTTGATGAGCGCGCCCGTGCCCGCGCGAAGCACGAGCGGGATCGCGGAGTGCGCGACGGTGCCGAGGCGGCCTTCCGAGACGGTGAACTTCTGCGGCGTGGGCGGCGTCCACCCCTCGGGCTTGGAGATCCCGGAGGAAGACGCGCGCGGGATCGCGACGCGCCTCGCGCGGGCGCGGGTGCCACGACGCGCGGGGGCGAGCGTGGCCCCGGGCGGGGCGGCGAACGCGTGCGTCAACGCGCTCATCGTGTCGATATACAATGTCGAAGACGTGGCGCGCGCTCTCGCGACGAGTCCAGGGCCATTCCATACAAAAACAGTTCTCCGGTCAGTTGAAAGGGGTTGCGATCAAGTGTTGAAACCGGGCGATGGGTGAAAAACTTTTGTACAGAACGCACCTGAACAGACGAGTCAACGGTTCGGGCACCCCGACCACAGATCCGCGCGCTGCCCCCGCGACGATGGGCGGCGTGGACGGCGGGGACTCGTCCGTGGACGCGATATGGGCGTCCCTGAAGGCGAAGACCGCGCCGTCGCAGCACGCCGCGCGCGCCAAGGCGCTCATCAGGGGCGCGTCCGACCGCGGCTCCGCCTCGCCGTCGTCCTCGAACCGCGCCAACAATTCCGCGTCCGCCGGTTCAAAGTCGCCCAAGCCGTCCGAGCGCGCGCGCGACCTCCCCGTCGCGCCGTCTCGAACGCGCGGCTCCGCGTGCGCGTCGTCGTCGTCGTCGTCGTCGGCCGCGCCCGCCGACGCGGACGACGCCGCGCTCGCCGAATCTCGCGCGCCGACGACGCGCGCGTTCGAGACGGCGGACGAGCTCGGCGCCGCGATCGCGCGCGATCTGAACGCGCTCGCGGACGCGCAGGGGTCCGCGGCCGGGCGCCTCCGCGCGCTCCGCGCGATCCGTCGCGTGATCGACACCGCGTCCCCGAAGCTCCTCGCGGACGCCGCGGCGTCGATCCTCGCCAAGCCGCTCCTGCGACGGTTCGAAGACGTCAGCGAGCAGTGCCGCGAAGCCGCGGTGGACGCGCTCGCGGCGCTCGTCGCGCGCGGCGGCGAAGACGTCACCTTGGACCTCCTCCCGTATCTCATCCCCGTCCTGCGCGATCGCTTAGGCCCGCTCGCGACGGACGGGAAGGACCCATCGGAGCCCGCGGAGGAGATTCGCGCGTCCGCGCACGCGCTGTTGACGAGCGCGACGCGCGACGCGGGGACGGGGATCGCGGCGTACGCGTCCGACGTAGCGGAAGTGCTGGAGTTTACGTGCGAGGATAAACACGTGGACGTCGTCGTTCAGGCGTGCGCGTGCCTCGAGCAGCTCGTGACGCACTTGGGGCGACGGCTGCAGCCGATCGCGAAGAAGCTCGCGTGGACGTTCACGCCGAACTTGACGCACAAACGCGCGAGGGTGCGCGTGGAGACGTTGAAGGCGCTTCGAGTGTTGATGCACTGCAGCGCGCACGAGACGATTCTGGACCTCGTCGCGTTTAAGCACCCGAACCTCGTGCCCATCAAGGCGTTCTACGGCGACGACCAGAAGGTGAACTACTTCGGGAAGCTCGCTACCGACGGCGCCGTGCACGTGCGGAGAGAGTTTATTCGCACCGTCGGCGACTGGATGACGACGCTCACGGAGCGGACAGACCACGAGAGCAGGCTGCTTCCGTACGTCATGTCCGCGCTGACGGACGAGGCGAGCGTCGTGCAGGAGGACGCGATGGAGTTGATGGATAAGCTCGGCGCGCAGTACGAGCGAGAGCACGAGAATGACTTGAAGAGCACGATGGCGTACATGCCGGAACATTTCGGCGGGGAGGCGGCGTACGGCGCCGGCGACGACGCGCTCGTTTTGCCGCCGCCGTTCACGACGCGGCCGCGGTTAGGGTCGCGGATTTTGGTGAAGAACAACTTCAGCGCGGTCGTGAACCCGGTGATCGGCGAGATGTCGTCCTGGCAGACGGAACTCCGAGGTAAAGCCGCGACGTTGCTTCGGACGATGATGGTGTACCTGGAAGAGAACGCGACGCAACACTGCGCGCAGCTCTGCGCGTCGTTCGTCGTCGCGAGCGCGGACGATAACGTCAGCGAGAACGTCCGCGACTGCGGGAAACTCTTAGGCCGCTTCGTGGCCCCGAAAGAGTGGCTCTCCGTGCTCGTCGAGAAGCTCGGCGCGACGAACGACACCGCGACGCGAACGGGCGCGGCTCGCGTGTTGGCAGCGTGTTTAGCCGGCGCGTCCGCGGACGCCATGGCGGCGACGGACGACGCCACGGGCACTCCGCTCGTCTCCGTCGTCCTCGACGCGCTGTCCGACCCCGAACTCGTCGGGAGCGCGGACACGTCGCTTCGAGCGGCCGTGTGCGGCGTCGTGGAGACGTGCGCGGCGGAGAAGAGCGGGACGTGGAGCGACCGCGTCGCGGCGCTCGTCGGCGTCGCGATTCGTCTCGGCGGCGGCGAGGGCGTGGAGCGGACGCCGTTGGCTTCCAGCGCGGCCGCGGTCGCCGCGCGAGGCGCGATCGACGTGGACGACGCCGGGGACAAGGCCGCGGCGGCGATGCGGCGGGCGCTGAGCGCGCTCGCGAGCGCGGGAGGACACGCGGACGCGTCGGCGCTCGTCGCGTCCGCGCGCGGGGCGCTTCTGACGCCGCTCCGAAGCCTTCCCCCGAAAGGGTGGAAGCCCGCGGACGCGGCGGTCCTCGCCGCCGCCGCGGAAGCGCCCGGGACGCCGTCCCCGGAGGAGACCTCCGCGCTCGTTCAGCTCTCCGCGCTCGTCGCGGAGCGCGCGGCCGGGGCGGACGTGCGAGAACGGTTGCTGTCGTTTCCGTTCATCGCGCGGCCGTCGACGTCCGCGGCGTTATCCGACGGCGACGTTGCGCTGCTCCTCGGCGCGGCTCTGAGGGCGGCGGCCGCGGACGCGTGCGTCCCCGGCGGCATCGCTCGCGACGCGCTCGCGGCGTCGCTCGCGGCGTTGCGACCCGGGGCGTGCGCGTCGTCCGCGGCGGCGGCGGCGGCGCGCGACGCGTCCGTCGCGTTGTCCGACGCGATGTCTCGCGTCGACGCGCCCGCGCCCGTCCGTCGCGACGCGATCGAGGTGACGCGCGCGCTCGTCGAGCGCCACGACGAGACGTGCGCGATCGCGATCGAGACGGTCGTCAGGGTGGTCACCGCGCTGAGGGCGCGTCTGGACGACAGCGCGGACGACGTCCGCCGCGCCGCCGCCGCCGCGCTCGCGTCGACGGCGTCGTCGTCCTCCGCGTTTGCAACCTACCACGCGTGTTTGGCGACGCTGCAGCCGCACCTCCTGAGCGACGACGCGTTTAAAAACGACGCACGCGGCGTCTTACTCGCGGGAATGAAATCGCACGCGGTCGCGACGTCCGCGGCGGTGGACCGGTCGCGGGTGCGCGCGACCGAGCACGCGGACGTCTTGAGCGGCGTCGGCGGAGGGACGTGGACGGAGAGCGACGTGGAAGGGTTCGACGACGCGATGGCGACGTTCCGCGCCGCCGAGGCCGCGGCCGCGGAGGCGCGAAAGGCGGAACAGAGATCGGAGGAGGAGATCGCGGCGGACGGCGCGACGAAACGTCTCGCCGCGGTCGGGATCGACGTCGACGCGCCGGTGGAGAGGGCGGCGGCGGCGGCGACGCGCGAAGAAGACGCGGGCGACGACGACGAGCCGTTCGATCTCGATTGAGAAATAAGGTTAATAAGAGCGTTCTGTAGGCTACTATTCGCGCGACCGCGATACCTCAAGGTAATATTCGCTTCCCCAGGTCCCCCGCGTTCATGATCTTGAAGCTGTACGCGTAGTTATCCAGCTCCACGACGACCTTGTATTCGCTCTCTTCGATCGGCGTCAACCCGGTGGCGACGCGCAGGAACCCTTCGACTTTGTCCGCCTTCTCCGCGCCTAACGCGCTGACGATCGCGTCGTCGAACCACGCGCCAATCCCAGTGTTCCCCGCCGCGTCTTGCGACGCCATGATATCTCTCTCGTCCGCGGAAGGAAGCTCGCACCGGTCAGGGTACGGGGGCGGCCACTCGCAGTTCATCCCTTCCCCGTCCTCGCTCAGCTCCGCGGAGTAATCTAAATCGTTCAGCTCGATGACCCCCCAGGTGTACGAGTTATCCGTCCGCGGCACCGCGCAGTACTCCCCGACCCTGAACTTATTCCCCCGCGAGAACGTGAACCCGCACCCGGGCGCGCCGTTGACCCACCGCGCGCCCGCGCGTTCGCCGGCGATGACTTTCCCGATCTCGATTCGCGTCTCCCCCGCCCGCGCGTTCCCTTGAACGCCCTTCCCGCCCTCCTTCCCCCCACTCGCCTTCGCGTCGCCGTCGTACTGCCGCGTGATCGCCTCCATCAGCGTGCGACTCGCGGTGTTCGGGAGGTCCGTGAGTCGGCGTTGTAAGACGCCGACCTCTCTCGTCGCGGACTCGATGACGCTCGCGGTGGATTTCGTGGCGCCCGCGACGCCGTCCAGCACGTCGTCCGCGGTCGTCAGCGTGACTTGCAGCGCCGCGCACGCGACGTTGATGCTCTGCGCGCACTCGGACACCGCTCGAGACGCGATCGTCGCTTCCCTACACGCGCGCACCATCTCTCGAATGGCGACGAGGAAGCCCGCGACGCACGCGGTCAGGACCGCGAGCGCGCTCGCGGCGAAGAGCGACGCCGCGACGGCGAATCCGGTTCCGCCGGGGAGGAACGTGGACAGCCACGGCGATGATTTCGCGGGCGTCGTCGCGATCGCGGCGGCGAGCTGCGTCATCGGCGCGGCGGGCAGGAGTGCGGCGGCCGGGGACGGCGTCGTCGTCGCGCCTCCTCCGCGGGTCGCGCTCGAGCGAACGACGAGACGCGACGGCCGCGGCGCCGTCGCGCGAGTCGGACGAAGCGGCGCGCGCGCGCGATGGGGAGCGTCGCGCGGACGCGGTCGCGCGTGCCATCGCGACGACAGCGTCACCGCCGGCGCGGACGCGGCGGCGGCCATGACGACCCGGCGCCCCGGACGCGGCGGAGGACCGAGAGTGGGGCGATGCGATGAAAGTATGACACACGCAAAAAGAAAACGAACCTGTTTTCGACTCGGGAAATCCCAAAGCGGTCGGTCGGCGATCGGTCGGCGTGTGCGACTGCCACGCTGGCCGCGCCAACGGCGGAGGAAGGACCGGAGGAACGACCGACGCTTCGCCGCTCCGTCTCCACTATCCGCTCCCCGTCGCGCGATGTCCGCCCCCGCTCTGACCTCGAGCCCGGTCGCGGGCTTCGCCGCGCGCTCCGCGAAGGCGACCAAGTCGCGCGCCGCGTGCCGCTCCGCGCGCGCGGCGGTCGCGTCCGCACAGCCCGCGGCGCCCGCGTCCCATCTCGAAGTCGTCGATTCGCTGAAGGGCGTCACGCTGACGTCCGCGTCCACGGGCGAGGCCGTGGACGCGTCCTCCGTGATCCCGACGAGAGGCCGCGTCCTCGTGCCGTTCATGACGCAGTTCGCGGACTTCGACAGCTGGGAGCTCGCGCAGAAGCTCGTGGACGACCTCCCCGCGCTGAGCGACGCGGGCGTGACCGTCGTCGGCGTCGGCATCGGCTCCGTCGACGCCGCGAGAGAGTTCGCGCGTCGGACGAACTTCCCGCTGGAGTCGCTCTACGCGGACGACACCGCGGCGGCCTACGCCGCGCTCGGGTTCGCCCCCGGGTTCGGACGCGCCGGCGGCGAGTTCGGCTGGATCGAAGAGAAGCTCCCGCCCGTGAGCGGCATGGCGAAGCTCATGGTGATGTGCGCGGGCGTGGGCTCCCCCGGGACGCTGAGCGCCGTGTTCGGCGGATACCTCGGGTCCAAGTACAAGAAACAGCTGTTCAACGAGGGGTCGAACTACGACAACCCGACGATTCGTAAGCTCATGGACGTCACCCTGGGGAAAGGGTACCAGCGCCCGTTTGAGCTCGCGACGTTGCGGCTGAAGAACATGATCGAGATCATCGGCGACTGGGAAAAGCTCGCGCCCTCGGACGACCAGCTCTTGGTGCAACGAGGCGGGTCGCTCGTGTTCCAGGACGGGAAGGTCGCGTTCAGGCACGACGACGCGGGGATCTTAGGGTACTGCGACGTCGACCGCCTCGTGGAGAAATCCCTCAGCGACGACCCCGCGGCGGCGCCGGATCCGATCGCGACGCTCCACGCGGCGGCGAAGGACCGAAGCGCGAACGTGGACGACGTCTACGCGTCCATCTCCTCCCTGGAGAAGATGAAGAAATCCGAGCGACCCAAGGTGGAGGGCGAGAAACTCAACGGGAAGTGGCGACTGGTGTACACCTCCGGGACGAAGAAGGTGGCCGCGAACTTGAACAAAGCCGGGTTCGGGGGGTCGTACTTCCCGATTCCCGCGGTGCAGTCGTTCGACGTCGACGCGCTTCGCATCCGCAACGGCATCTACCTCGGCCCCGTGAAGTTCTTCTTCGACGGACCGTTCATATGGAGGGACGCGCTGTCGATGCTGGAGTTCACGTTCACGCGCGTCAGCCTCGGTGTAGGCCCGATCGGGCCCGCGGGGGTGGACATCGACGACGGGAAGTGGGACGCGGTGAAAGCGGCGGAGCAGAGCGCGTCGAGCGGCGGCGGCGGCGTGGAGAAGGCGAAGGCGTCGAAGCCGGGGGCGAACCCGTTCTTTAAGTTCGTGTACGCGGACGATAAGTGCATCGCCGCGCGGGGGCGGGGAGGGGGGCTCGCGCTGTGGGCGAGAGAGGGCGACCCGGAGACGGACGCGAACGAGGCGTAGAGCCGTAGACCTTGAGAAGCAATAACTGAACAGAAGCGAGACGAAAATCAACTTCACTACTGTAAGTGTCTTTCGTTCGCCGCTCGTTCATTCGCGAACGGCGCGCGGCGGCGCGGTCGACGCGATCGACCCGGGTTCGTCCATCGCGCGTCGCGTCGTCAGATCGCGCATGCATCGGGCGCGGGGATGAGCGCGCCGGACCCGGCGGCGATCCTTCGCGACGCGAAGGCCGCCGCCGCGGACGGCGACGCGAGACCGAGCGATGGCGTCTTCGTCTGCGGCGTGTGCAACGTCGCTCGCGCGAAGTACACGTGCCCTCGGTGCTCGCGGAGGTACTGCGCGCTGGAATGCTACAAGACGCACGACGCGCGGTGCGTGGACGGGTTCCACGGGGAAAATTTCGCGAACGCGCTGAGAGGGTTGACCGTGGAGGACGAGGAGAAGAGGAAGATGACGCAGATCCTGAAGAAGTTTCACGACGAGCGCGAGGACGAGGACGACTTCGCCGCGGGGGCGTACCCGCCGGACGGGAAGGATCCGCGCGGCGGCGGGCGCGACGGCGAGGACGGCGAGGACGGCGAGGACGGCGAGGACGGCGAGGACGGCGAGGACGGCGGCGCGCCGGACCCCGGCGCGTGCGCGCTCTCGGAGGCGAATCTAGAGAAGCTGTCGCGCGGCGAGGAGCTCTCGCTCGAGGACCTCACCCCCGAGGAGCTCGCCGCGTTCGAGCGCGCGGCGGCGACGGGCGAGCTGTCGCACATGGTGCAGCCGTGGAAGCCGTGGTGGCGTAACCCGGACGCGAGGGAGCTCAAACTCGCGAGGGACGGGCGAAGGATGATCGTCGAGCTCTCCGACGCGCCGGCGCCGCCCGCCGCCGCCGACGACGGCGCCGCGCCGGAGACGCCCCCGCCGCCGCCGCCGGACGCGCCGCTCCCGCCGCTCTCGAGCATCACCCCGGTGAAACCGCACAGCGCGCTCAAGTGGCATCTCCTCGACGTCCTCGCCGCGTACGCGCTCACGATGCGGTCGCACGACGGCGACTGGTCGTCGTCGCCGTCCTCCGCGGCGGCGTCGCTTCTCTCGCTGTCCTCGGCGCTCGCCGCGGGCGCGCGGAGGCCGCCGGGGAAGGACGCGCGCGGCGACGCGCGCGACGCCGCCGCGATCATTCTTCCCGAGACCGCGTCGTCCGCGCTGCACGGCGTCGCCGCGCGCGCGGCGGCGTCGCCGAACGGCGTGATGGCCGCCGCCGCCGCGACCGCCGCGGACGGCGCGCTGCTTCAGGACGTGTACGACATCGTTCGCGGCGGGCGAGGCGCCGTCGTCCTCGCGCTGTGCGACGTGCACAGGATCGTCCAGGCCGCGATCGCGGAAGACGCGGACGCTTCGAGAGCGGCGGCGAAGACGGCGCCGCGGAGGAAAGACGCGTCTCTCGCGCGCGTGGAGAGGAAAGCGTTTTACCTCTTGTGCTACGCGAACGCGCTGACGGACGATACCGGGGACGTCGCGAGGGCGACGACGGGCGAGGGAGAAGGCGAGGAAGGCGAGGAAGGCGCGCTCGAGCTCGCGCGGCGGTGGCTCGCGCGCGAGATGAGGGAGGCGGAGACGCGGCGGGAGACGGCGGCGGCGGCGGCGGCGGCGCCCTCGGTCGCGGCGGCGGCGGCTGCGGCGGCGACGCGCGCGCCCGCATCGGGTCCCGCGAAGAAGAAGCTCATTGAGGAGCTGTGAGCGGCCGCGAGCGGCGTGAAATCGCGGTTAGGTCGCGCGCGCGCGCGCGCGTGTTATCATTATTAGTCACTACTGTTAGGATCCCTTCGACGCGCGTCGCGTTCTCGTCGCCCGAGCGTCGACGGTGGACACTCACTCACCACAGGGATTTAGTAGAGGGATTAGGGCTAGTAGCAAAATCGGGTCACCCCACCCGATTTTAGACCCGATTTTGCAACGACCCACCCGAATTCGGGTGAACCCACCCGATTTTAAAACCGGGTGGGTCAAAATCGGGTCTAAAATCGGGTGGAAAATCGGGTGGGGGTCATCAGGCGAATCAGGGGCCGCGGGCCGCGGGGGGACATGGCGGGTGTTTTTTACAAAAGCCGGGGCGCTGGCCGCGGGTAAAGGCAACGCGCGAAACGCGCGATAACGCTTCGGACGCACGATGCGCGCCTTCAGCGTCGTCCTCGCCCTCGGGCTCCTCGCGGCGGCGACGAACGTCGCGAACGCGCAAAGCGGTGAGTTCCGCGCGCTCGTTTTCCTTCTCGCACCACCCCGCGGCGTCAATGTTGAACGCGTCTTCGTGATGGCCTACTCGAAACGGCGGAGACTGCTCGCGTCGCGAGCGCGCGCGTCGATCCCACGCGCGCGCGTCGTGAACGCTTCACAGCAAAACGTTACGAGAACGAGCCCGCGGTTTTTCGAGCGTTCACGCCGCCGGGACGCGCGCTCGTCGTCGCTGAGAGAGAGAGATCTCTCGCGAACCTTCAACCCCGTCCCCTCGTCGTCTCTTCTGAAGCCTTCTTCCACTCTTCTCTCCAACTCTCGCGCACGAACAGCCGGTGCGGCTTGGTGCGATCAGCAAACCGCCGCGCCGCTGTTCGCGTGCGTGGACGACGCCGCGGGCAGCCCGTCCACAGCGTGCTGCGAGGCGCTGTGCCCTACGTCGCCTACGCCGAACAGGGTTTCAGTGTATAACCCCACCGGCCCCGCTTGGGTGGACGTCTTGCCCTTTTTCGAGGGCGCTTGCGCGTGTACGCCGACTATTTACAACTACAACACCGCGTGGTGGGATGCGTTGTACGTGCAAGCGAAAGCGTGCAAGGCCGCGAACACGGGTTGCACAACCGCTACGGATGTTCATTACACGAACGGTCTAGCCGACGGGTTCACGACCTGCGCCACGACGCCGACAAACTCCTTCCAGACGACGCCGGCAAACATCAAGACGCTCGTGGTGACGAACCAACCGCCCTCTTTGCGAACACCGCCGGCGCCTACGTCATACGGTTCCGCGCCAAATCCGGTAAGTCTTGCCACGTACACCGAGTTCGTCGTCGACTTCGTCTTCGAGGCGTTCACGCCGACGAGCGTTCCCGCGACGCTCGCCGCAGATATCGCGACCATCTTCAACGGCGCAACTGGTGTATCTGTCGCGACGTCTCAAGTGTCCCTTGATTTGACGACGAAAGGATTGTCGACGAGCGCGGAGACGTTCGTGACGGCGACGATATTACCAGCGACAGGATCCTCCACGTTTACGAGCACCGAGTTGAACGCGCTGCGCAACACCGTCATCACTATCCAGACGCAGGCGAGCACGACCGTGAATTCTATCGATTGGACGTCGAGTATCGGCACGTCGTGGGGCACCGCGACGCAAGTGAAAGCGACCTCGCCGATCACGACGGCGGCTCAACCGACGGAGCCGACGACTTCGACGTACACCTCGACCGCGACCGGGACCGCCGAGAAGCTCGGTCCCGCGGCGACGGGGCTTCCGAGGATCAACCCGATCGGCGGCGACACGTACGATGGCGGTTTCGACATCACCGACGACGATTACATGATGTCCCTCATCGGGCAAGGCATTCCCGGGATCGCCATGGGGTTGGTTCTGATCGTCATCATGATCCTCATGCTCGTCGTGTACATCTTGTCCAGACTGTTCGGCGCGACGTGCTGCAAGTGCTGCAACAAGGCGTACAAGCCGCGTAAATTCACGAAGCGAGACGTGAAGATCAACCGGATCGCGATGTTCATGTTCGTGATCGTCATCGCCTGCGGGTCCTTCCTCGTCTTCGCGGAGGGCCCGGTTCTCATCGACAACACCTCGGCTTTGACGGCGGCGCTCGTCGAACAAACGACGGCTCTCGTCACCGACGCGAAAACGATCCAGACGACGATGAACACCGCGTCCGCGGACGCATCCATGAGCTCCGTCTCCGTCAGTAGCGCGACGAGCGGTTTAGTCACCGCCGCGCAGGCTGTCGAGAAAGAAGCGCAAAATATGCAAGACCTCATCGACAAGTCGTTGGAACCGGCGGGGCTGTACATCACGATCATCGCGGGCGCGATCTTTGGTCTGTCCATCACGATGTGGGCGCTCGGTTTCTTCGGGTTGTTCCGCCTCATGATCTTCTTCACGATCTTCATCTCCCTCATGCTGATATTGTCGTGGATCATCTTCGGCCTCATGGCCATCGTCGCGACGCTCGTGGACGACGTGTGCTGGGCGTTCGAGCAGTACCTCATAGACCCGACGAACTCCGACCTCTCGGATTTCATCCCGTGCATGGCGGCTGCGGACGCGGTCGAAGCGTCGAACGCCGCGCGAGAGCAGGTCGTCACCGCAGCGAACTACATCAACGAAATAATAGACACGTACGCAAGCACGAACGAGTACGTGAAGTACGTCTGCTTACCGTACGCGAAGATCAGCATGGCGACGTTGTGCACGGGGACGACGCCGTTTTACGCTCAAGACTACACCAAGTTCGTCTGCGACGCGTACACGAAGAATTTGCTGACGAAGCTCACCGCGGACGCCGACGGGGTCGTGTACGCGTACCCCGAGGCGGACTGCACCGCGGGGTACCCAACGGCGATGTACACCATGGGCTTGTCCACGTTCTCCACGGACGCCGCGAGCATCAAGTGCGATTTCTCCTCCACCTCAGACCCGATTCACGGCCTAGGGATGTGTTACGCGAACAGGCAAATTCCGTCGGACATATGGACGACGTACAAAGCGAGCGCGTCCGCCGCGACCGGCGTCAAGGACATCCAAACGACGTTGGATAACATGCTCACGTGCGGTTTCGTCGACGACGCGCTCAGGGCGATGGGCGGGCCGTGCGACAACATGGCGGCGGCGTCGTACAACCTTTGGGTCGGGTTCATGTTGATATCGATGGGGTATTTCATGTTGTGGGTCGGCGCGCTCGTGCTGATCTCTCGGCTGCAGTACTACAACGACTACTGCCGCGATTCGGACGTGTACTCGAACAAATACTACGGTTGACCAGCCCGAAAGTCGGAGCAGGAGAAGAGGGAGGGTTCGCGGCCAGTCCTCGAACCATATGCACAAACCGCCGAATCGGCAGCGCGGAACGCGACGATGCTTTCGCTGTTTAGATTACTTTCGTTTCAATCGACTTCATCGTTATGTCTATTCGCTAATTCATCATCGCCCCGCTCTCGAGTGCTCCGTCTCGTGCGCGGGGGGCGGGTTCGTCATCGCGGGATCCCGTCTCCACTCCGCCGCCGCGGCTTTTTTCGCCTCGAGCGCCGCGAGCGCGTCGTTGCTCTTCGTCGCCAACGCGACGTTCTTCGCGAACGCGACCGGGTTCAACGGGGTGAACCCCTCCGGCATCGTGTGTCGCGGGACCTTCCGCGCTCTGATCACCCTCGGCGGCATCTTCAGCGGCACGAGCGGGACGTCGTCGAACGCGTGCGTCTCCCCCGGGAACACGCGCAATTTTCTCATCATGTCTTTGCGAAGCTTGTTCTTCGGCAGCATCCGCTCCACGGCCTTGCGTATCAAAAACGTCGGCTCTCGCTCCATCATCTCCTTCGCCGTCCTCGTGACTAAGTTCCCGACGTACCCGGTGTGCCGGTAGTACTTCTTATCCTCCAGCTTGCGTCCCGTGAGGACGATGTCTTTCGCGTTCGTGACGACGACGACGTCCCCTTCCGCGCGGTGCGGCTCGTACGTCGGCTTGTCCTTCCCCTGCAGGACGCGCGACACGCACGCGGCGAAGCGCCCTAAGACCTCCCCTCGCGCGTCCGCGAGCCGGTACCGAAGACCGTCGGTGACGACGTTCTTGATGCGCGCGATCCCGCCGGTCTGTTTGTACGCCATCGTCGTCGCGCGCGCTCGCCAACCCTAAATCAATCAAATCTCGTCGAGCCTCGCGCGATCGACGCACGCCGCGCGGGCGAGGAACGATCGGCGCGCGTCGAACCCCGCGCGGAGCGTTCGGTCGTTCGGAGGAGCGCCCGTCGCGGGTCTCGTCCGCGCGGCTCCGACGCCCGCGTGCGCGGTGGGGGAGTGCGAGGGGCCGCGCGAACAGGGCGATTTTCCGTCGGTCGCAGCAGAGCGCGTTTTGGAGCTTCCGAGTCGATCGCAAAACGCGTCGTCCTACTACTTATACCTCCGCGGACGCACTCCCGCGCGCGCGTTCCACGAGATCGAGCGACACATCGTCGTCGGAGCGACCGTCGCGTCACGCCTCGCGTCGAGAACCACCGCACGCGGAGGCACGCGCGAACGCGCATTCGCCACGCCCTCGACGCGCGGTCCGAACGCGTGACAGATGGCGGCGACGGCGATGACGGCGCGATGCGTCACCGCCCAACGCGTCCGTCTCTCCTCCGCGAACGCGCCGGCGTCGCGCGCGCGCGCGTTCGCGCGCCCGCGCGTTCGCGCCGCGCGACCTCCCTCGCACGTCCTCCGCGCGTCGCACATCGGCGGCGAAGAGATGGACGTGTACGACGACGCGGACGTCGACTACAGCGGCAACCTGTGCTTGTTCCTAGACAGCGCGTCCGAGGAGGAGTGGGCGAAGTGGCTCCCGTCCGGGATCTTCGCGGGGGTGACGACGAACCCGATCATCCTCGAGCGCGACGGCCGCGAGTGCAACGTCGCCGCGCTCACGGAACTCGCGAGACAAGCGCTGGAGTACGACGCGGTCCAGGAGTTCCAAGTCCAGACCTGGGGGGAGTCCTCGGATGAGATGTGGAAAAACGGCATCGCGTTGGCGAAGTACGACCCGGACGTCATCGTCGTGAAGGTGCCCGCGACGTTCGACGGGATCAAAGCCGCGAACGCGCTCGTCGCGGACGGCATCCGAGTCACGCTCACGGCCGCGTACGCGTCGCATCAGGCTGTTCTCGCCGCCGCCGTGGGGGCGAATTACGTCGCGCCGTATTTAGGGCGAATGAACGACGCCGGGCGGGACGGGTTCGGGACGATCGTGGAGATGCAAAAGACCGCGGATAAGTTAGATTCGGACATGAGGATCTTAGTCGCGAGCGTGAGGAACGTCGCGGACATCGCGAAGCTCGCCGCGGAGGGGTGCGACACGTTCACGATTAGCGCCAAAGTCGCGGAGGACATGTTCGCGGACCCTCTGACGCAACAGGCGGCTATCGACTTCGACGCCGCCGCGGAGAGGATCGGCGCGTACGCGGAGGAGAAGGCGGCGGCCGCGGCGAAAGAGAAGGAGGAGAGAGCGAACGAGGGGAAGGGGAACGACGACGAGGAAGCGAGCGCGGGGGAGAGTTGATCGTCGTTCGAGTGAAGAGGGCGAGCGAGGTCGACGACGACGAGCGTTCTGAAAACTGTCGTCGACGCGAGGAAAGATCGATCGTTTGGTTTCGTTCGGTCGCGGGTCCGACGCATCACTTCGCGAACTCCTCGATGACGCCGCGCTCGACGAGCGCCGGCACCTCCGCGGCGAGCCACGGCGCTAACCCTAAGCACAGCGCGTGCGCGATCCCAAAGTGCGGCGCGTTCTTCGCCCACAGCGGCTTGAAGTGAATCGTCAGGCACACCTTCCCGCCCCTATACATCTTCGCGGTCTTCCCGTCCAGCTCCGGGAGCTCGATCTCGAACGGCGTCGCCGGGTACGTCACCGGGACCTCGAACTGCAGGGCGAACTCGTACCTCACGAGCTCGTGGACGTACCAGCACTTCCCGCTCCACTTCGTCCCTTCCTTGTTGCTGCTCACGGTGAACCAGTCGTTGTCGTTCGCCTTGTTCGACTGCACGTACCCGATGAGCGCGGTGTACTCCTCCTTGAGGCGCGCGACCCACGCGTCGCCGTCCCGGGGGCCCGCCTTGTGCGTCAGCAGCGGGATCTTCTTGACCGTCGATAGCGTGCTCGAATCCCACGACTCCATGGCGGCGGCGCGGCGAGGAATGTGCCCGACGTCGCCTCGACTTCATCTTTGTGAGTAAAAAAAAGTCGGCGCGATCGAGACCAACCGAGTCATTCCGAGATGTCGGCGGACGACGGCGTCGACGCGCTCCTGCGCGAGTTCCCCGCGCTCGCGCGCGAGGGCGATGGCCGGGTGAAGTGCACGCTCACCGGGCACGTCATGGCCGCGCGTCAGGAAGCGATCGCGCCGTACGTCCGCGGGAAGAAGTTCGCCGCCGCGCTCGCGCGGAGACGCGATCTCGATTCCCTGAAGCAGTTCGCGCCGCACATCGTTCCCGCGAAGTACGCCCCCGGGAAGCTGTTCTGCAGGATCACGGGGCGGTACGTCCAGGCGAAAGAGGCCGCGGTCGTGATGCACAGCGCGGGGAAGCGGTTCGAGAAGGGCGTGGAGATGCTCACGAGCGGCGATTCCGGGGCGAAACTTTTGACCGAGCGTCCGCCCGAGGAGGTCGCCGCGGAGCGAGAGCGAGAGGCGAAGGAGCGCGCCGCGGCGGAGAAGCGGAAGAAGAAAGCGCAGGCCGCGGCGTTAGAGGCCGCGGCCGAGGCGAAACAGCTCGCGAAGAAGAAGCGACGGGAGGAGAAGGCGGCCGCGGCCGCGGCCTCGGGCGGCGGCGGCGGCGGCGGCGGCGGCGGCGGCGGCGGGAGAGAAGCGCTCGACCCGACGGCGGCGGCGAAGGAGCGTCTCCGCGTGAACGGCGGGTTCTCCGAGGAGCAGGGGTGCTGGGTGCCCCCGGCGCACGTCATCGACACGGACGAGGACGACGACAGTGAGGACGACGAGGACGGGGACGAGACGTCGTCTTCGGAAGAGGACGCGAGCGACGACGACGGCTCCGAGGACGCCGACGAGGACGCCGACGACTCCGACGACGACGCGGAGGACTCCGACGACGAGGTGCTGATGCCGACCGTGCGCGCGCCGAACTTTGCGAAGATCGCCGCGCGGAGGAAACAACGCGATGTCGCGAAGGAGGAGCGGGAGGGGAAGAAGCAGAGGAAGTGAGCGGACGGACGATAGATAGCAGCAGCGGCGCCCGTGATAAAAAAACGCTTTCCAATCGAGCCGGCGCGCTGGTGCGGTGCGCGTTTTGTCTCGGGGGTACGAAACTTCGGCCGCGGCGCGTCCGCGCGCACAACCCGCGCCCCCGGTCCGCGCGCGAGACCCAGCGCGGAGCGAGCGCGATATCAGCGCGAGAGAACCGCGGGAGCGCGGCCAGGTCGCGCGCCGTCGCGTCATGAGCGTCGCGTCCTCGCCCGCGCGCGGAGGCGCGGAGGGCGAATTCGGCAACAACGACGACGACTTCGTCGCTTCGCTGCTCTCGCCGCCGCGACGCGCGGACGCGGCGCCGAGCACGGAAGAGATCAGCGGGTACCTCGCGATGTACTTCGCGTCCCAGGCGGTCGCGATGACGCGCATAAGCGGCATGAAAGGCGTGAGGGAGCGCGCGAACGAGATGCGCGACTCGTGCCCGCCGTCTCGCGCGGCGACGGTTCCCAACTCGCCCATCGTCAAAGCGTCGGCGCCGCCCGCGGCGACGGGGAACGCCCCGCGCGCGGAGGAGCTCGCGGCGGCGATGAACGCCGCGTTCACGGCCGCGCCCGCGCCCGCGGACGACGACACGCCGTCGTCGTCGGACTCGTCGTCGGCGCCGGAGTCGGCATCGCGACCCGCGCGTCGAAGGCTCGAGATGCCGCCGTCGCCCGAGCGCGCGGCGTCGTCGTCGCCGGCGGCGCCGCCGCCGATGCCGGTCGAGACGAACGAGATCGAGCGGCCGTCCTCGTCGTCGCGGGAGAACACCCGCCACAGACCTGAATCGGTAGACAACGTCGGGGACAGCGTGAGCAGCGTGGAAGGCGTCTCCGCGTCGTGGGGGAACGACTCGAGCGACGGCCGCGGCGGCGGCGGCGGCGGGGAAGCGAAGGCGACGACGACGACGACGACGACGACGACGACGACGATCGAGTCTCCCCCGCGCGCGGACGTCCCCGACGACGCGAAGAGCGAGGCGACGACCGTCGTGATGACGGACGAGAGAGAGGTGAGCATCGGCGCGCGCGTGACGTCACCGCGGAAGCGTCGCGCGCGGCGGCGGCGGCGGCGGCGGTTTTCGTTTCCCGTCGCCGTCGACGCCGTCTTCGCGCTCTCGAAGAAGACGGCGTCGGACGTCGCCGCGTTCGCGCTCCGCCCGGAGAAGGCGCTCGCGCAGGTCGCCGCGCTCGCGACGATGTTTCTCATCGCGCGATCGAAGAGACGCCGACGACCGATGACGTGGGCGAGAGAGCGGCGCGCGGAGGGGGGAGAAGACGACGAGGTGCACGAGATGTACGTCGCGGACGCGCCGGAGGGATCGTCCGCTGCGATGCTTCGCGAAGTGTTCGCCGCGTGAGCGCGAGCGCGAGCGGGCGGCGTACAGTAGTGTGTTCTTATTCTTTGTGTACCGTAGGAGCTAGTGGTGGTGCTAACGCGCGCGCGCGCCGTCGGATATCGGAGCGCGTCCCGCCGGGGTGCGTCGGCACCCTCGGTTTAGGGACGCGGTCGTCACCGCCGCGGCGCCGTCGCGCTCTCGTCGTCGTCCGTCGTCGCCCGCGCCCGCTGTTTGTTTTTCCGCGCCTCCTCTCGACGCGCGCGTTCGCGCCATCCGAAGACGTAGTAGAACGCCCTCGACGCGGTGTGCTTGATTCAGTCCTTGTGCTCCTGCGAACGAGACGCGGTGGGGTGAGGGTGAACGGCGGTCAGGAGGCGCGCGCGAGGAGGGACGACGGGTGCGTCGCGTCGCGACCACGAACGATTTCGCTCGCGGACGCACCGTGACGGACGCGCGGCGGAACCTGTCGACGTAGCAGCTCACGCCCGCGAGGAAGTCCGCGCTGACGTCGCACGCGGGCTCGTCGTCCTCGCGGCCGGACCCCGACGCGCACGAGCTCTCGTCTTCGCCCATGCGCGCGGTCGACTGTGCTTCCACCAGCGCGCCGCTGCGCTGCCAAAAAAAAATTAACATTTGCAGAGTTCATCATGAACCCTCTCGTCTCCCGCGCACTTCCGCGCGCGCTCTCGGCTCTCGCCATGGGCCTCACCGATCGCCGCCGCGCGATCGTCATCTTCGGCGACTCCCTGACGCAGCGCTCGTTCCAGCCCGCGGGATGGGGCGCCGCGCTGGCGATGAGATACCAGCGCCGAGTCGACGTGATCAACCGCGGATACGGCGGATACAACTCGCGGTGGTGCCTCGCGATGGTCGACGAGCTCTTCCCCGCGTCCGCGCGCGGACGCGACAAACCTCTCCTCGTGACGGTCATGCTCGGCACGAACGACGCGGCGCTGCCGGAGGTCGAGCCCGCGCCGACGGTGCCGCTGGAAGAGTACCGATCGAATCTGGACGCGATCGTGGCCAAGCTGAAACAGCGCGCGGAGCACGTCGTCGTCATGACGCCGCCGTGCATGGACGAGCCCGGGAGGCTCGCGTACCAGAGAGAGACGTACCAGGACGACGCGGTCGGGAGGCTCGAGCGCACGAACGCGAACACGCGCAGGTACGCGGACGCCGCGATGGCGGTCGCGATGCTTCACGGCGTCCCGTGCGTCGATCTGTTCGCGTCGACGTCGGACGCGTTGGAATCCGCCGCGGCGTCGACGGACGGTCCGACGACGCTGTTCGACGACGGCATCCACTTCAACGCGCTCGGGCAGGAGGTGGTGTACGCGTCGTTGGTCAGAGTCATCGAGTCCGCGCCGGGGTTGGAGGATCTCGACCCGGAGAAGATGCCCCCGGACTGGCCGTTCGGGCCGGACCTGCGCGCGAACCCGGACGCGTGGCGGGAGACGTTCGACGCGCACCTCGAGAAACGCGGGGGAGGCGGCCGCGGCGGCGTCGCGTCGCCGCGGTCGAGCGTGGACTGGGAGGGCGCGAGGGGGTGGATCGTCGCCGCGGGGATGACCGCGGCGCATTTCGCGTCGCGCAAGCTGCTGGGAGCTCGATGAGAGTGCTTCTATGAGTGAAGACTAAGATTTACTTCCTTCTGTTGACTAGTCGCCGGCGGCGGCGGCGAGCTCCGTCCTCCGCGCCGACAGCCAAGACGCGAGCTCGGCGTACCCCTCCAACCGCGCCATCTCCGCGGGGGTGTTCCCGTCCGCGTCCGCGCGCATGTGCTTCAGCCCTAACCCCGCGACATCGATCAGCCACTCGCACGCCCCCCGCCGCCCTTTCGTCGCCGCCTTATGCAACGCGCTGTGCCCGTTTCGGTTCAACACGCCGACGTCGACGCCGAGCTCGGCGAGAAGCTCTAACGCCTCCACGTCGCCGTTCATCGCCGCCCACTGCGCGGCGTTGCACCCGAACACGTTCAGCGCGGTCGGGTCCACCCCCGCGTCGTCCACGAGCCATCGCATCGCGATCGACCCGCCCTTCCACGTCGCGAGCATGAACGGCGTCGTCCCGTCCGTCGTCGGCGCGTCGGCGTCCACGCGCGCCGCGTTCGTCAGCCATCGCATGACGTCCACGCGGCCGTTCCTCGCCGCCCAGTGCATCGCGCCGCGGCGGTCTCTCTTCGTCTGCGCGCGGCGCGGGTCCTCGCCCACGACGTCGACGAGGTATCTGACGATGTCCACGTGGCCCTCGCCGGCGGCCCAGTGCAGCGCGCACGATCCGCGCGCGTCCACGCCGACGCCCTCGACGTCGCTCTTCGGGTCCCATCCGTCCTCGTTCACGAGCCGCGCCACCTCGCGCAGGTCCCCGCGCGCGCACGCCAGCAGACCCGGGTGCGTCATCGCCTTGGACGCGGCGGCGCGCTTGTCGCGCCACGACGACGGCTCCGCGTCGTCGTCGTCGGCGGCGGCGGCGGCGGCGGCGGCGTGCGTCGTCGTCGTCGCGCTCGCCGCGGACGCGACGAGCGCGTTTCTGTTGTCCGCGACCGCGCTCAGCGCGTCCTCGTACGTCCGCGCGTGCCTCACCTGCGTGTGCTCCCGAAGGCCGCGGTCGCCCGCGCACAGCCACGCGCAGACGCGGCACGCGAGAAGGCCTTCTCGGCGCGCGGCGACGAGCCTGGCGACGGTGGTGAATCTGAGCTCGCCTCCCGGCGTGACGCGCACGTCCGCGACGCGCGAGGCCAACGCCCTCGGCTCCATCGCCTCCACGAGCGCGTCCGCGAGCGCGCGCGCGTCCGCGTACGCGCGGCGTTTGCGCACGCCCATCGGCGTCGTCAGCCACAGCGTCAGACCGGCGGCGGTGCCGTCGTCGCTCTCGGCGATGAACGCGCGGCACTCGCCCCGGGGCGCCGCGCGATCCTTCTCCTCCTCCGCGTCGCTTTCGCGCCCCGCGGTCGCCGCGAGGGCCTTGAACAGGACGGTCGCCGCGCGGGACTTGAAGTCCGCGGCGTCCGTCTGCGGCGCGAGCGAGGACGCCGCCTGCGTCGCGTCGACGCGCGCGGCCGGGCGCGAGAGCACGGTCGTCGCCGCGACGGGACCGACGACCTCGCGCGCGGCGGCGAGGAGCACGGCCTGAAGCGCCGCGGCGACCGAGGCGACGGAGGAGGACGCGTCCGCGTCCGCGGGGTCGTCGTCCGCCGAGGGCGCCATCGCCGCCGCGCCGACGGGACCGGCGGGGGGCGCGACGGCGAATGCGCGCGATCTCCAGTTTGTGATCTCGGAAACGTCGACAGCGTTAAACGTCTACGCGCGCGACGCCGCGACGCCGCGGGGACCCCGCGACCCCCCGCACTCGCCCTCTCTACCGCACCACCTCTATCTCTATCCCCTCCCCCGGCGTCGGCCACTCCACCGTCGTTCGTCCCTCGCCGAACCGCGCGTCGCACGCCCTCGCGAACGCGTCGCGCGTCGTCCCGTCCGTGCCGAGCCACCCCGCGCTCGCGCCCTCCTGCTCCAGCTCGCCGTTCCTCAGCGGTAGCACGACGCGCGGGACGCCGAGTCGCTCGAGCAGCGTCGCGGCCTCGGCGCCGCCGCTCACGAGCGTGAACCCCGCGACGTCGACGCTGCGAATCGGTGTGACGCACGCGTCGACGCGGCCGCCGGCGGCGCGCGTCGCCGCGCGCACGGACTCGGGGTCGTACGAGCAGTGCGGCTCGTAGTACAGCCGCGCGCCGTCCGCGCCGTCCGTGAGCACGAACCCGGCCTCCCTGGTCGACCACGGCGGGCCCACGAGCGCGCCCTCCGTGGCGATGATGGCGAGCCCTTCGCCGTCGGCGTCGGCGTCGGCGTCGGCGTCGGCGCGTCTCGGGCGAATCACGGTTCGCGCGTTGGCGCGCAGCGAAGTGACGTTCGCGAAGCCGAGCCCGCGCGCGACGTCCGCCGCCGCCGGGGACCCGACGACCGGGACGTCCGGGATCGTCTTCAGCAGCGCCTTGAGCGTCGGGACGTGCGCGTGGTCCTCCCACCCCTGCGAGAGTAAGATCACGTCCGCGCCTCTCGCGAGGTCCAGCCATCGCTCGCTCTCCGACAGCGCCTTTCGTCCGACGTACAGCGCGGGCATGTCGAAGAACGTCAGGTCGCCGACGAGCCAAGGATCGCACAGGACGCGCACGTTCGAGACGCGCATCTCCGCGAACCAGCTGTTCCCGCCGAGGTACGTGTATCGCATCGCGCCCGTCTCCGTCGTCTCGGACGACGACGACGTCGACGACGTCGTCGTGCCGTCGCTCGTGGACGGGGACGACGACGCGCGGGCGCGCCGCGTCGCCGACGCCGCGCGCGCCGCGCGTCGGGGGATCGACGCGCGAGCGCGCGAGGACGTCGCCGCCGCCGCCCTCGTATCCGACGATGCGAACGCGACGGACGACATGACGTCCGCGGCGCTTCGCGGTGTGCAATGCATTTGCTACGTGGAGGACGACGTCCACGTCGAGCGCGAGCTCGAATCGAGCCCCGTTTGATCGATCAACTCTTGAACGTGCTCATCGATCATGCACACGGCATCCCTGGGTTCATTTTGACCCAAGCCGTGCCTTGTTTGAACCCGAACCTGAAAACCCTTCGTGACAAATCGTGACAAAAAAAATCAATGTCTCGCGCTGTAATCTCGGATTCGTAGCTTTTATGTACAAAATCTCGTGTAGGGCTATGCAAATCAGTCTCACTCAAAAAAAATATGTACACGGTTCATCGGCTTGAACCCGAGCTTGACCGGCCACTATCCACGGGGGAATAATAATAATATCCGACAAGTGTTAACACCGCGGCGGAGACACTCCCCAACGCACGCGCGCGCAAACACCCGCTACCTCCACAAAAAATGTCCGCCGAAGGCACCACGATCGACTACTCCAAGGGCACGCTCAAGGATATGGGCAAGGCCACGGCCCAGGTCGTCACGATGGGCGACAAGACGTCGATGAAGATCACGCTCAATCCTGGGTTCGACTGGAAGGCCGAAGTGAGCCCGAAGTTGCCGGGCTGCCCCGAGTGGTGCCCCGCGAACCACTTCGGTTATCTCGAGAAGGGCACCATGAAGGTCAACTTCCAGGACGGGACGACGAACACGTTCAACGCGGGCGACTCGTACCTCATCCCCCCGGGCCACCTGCCCGAGGTGGTGGGCGACATCCCGGTGCGTCCCTTCGCTGACGTCGCGCTGAACGCACTTTATCCATAAAACGGTCGTTGTGCGGGATTTTTGTTTTTTTCTCGCCGCGCGACTGACGAACCTTCCCACGATTCCTGCAGTGCGTCATGGTCGAGTTCTCTCAGTCTACCGCGGCGGTCGTCAACTCGATGAAGAACTAATTCAATGGACCAGGCGACACTCGATGAAGAATTAATTAAATGGTCCAGGCGACGCGCGCGTCCTCCGCGACGAATGTGTCGCGCGTCTTCGATTTTGTTTTATCACACGTGCACTCCAAAAAAAAAAGACTCTTCCGTCTGTCGTCGCGTCGTCGCGCGTCACCGCGTCATCTCCGCCTCGATCTCCTCCAGCGACTTCCCTTTCGTCTCCGGGACGGTCAGATAAATAGAAGCCAGCGCGATCACGCCCATGACGCTGAAGATGTAGTACGTCCCCGCCTGACCGTACGACGCGATCATCGTGGGAAGGTACAGCGCCACGAGGTAGTTGGACGCGAAGTTCGTCAACGTCGCGGTGCCCACCGCGGCGGATCGCACGCGCTGAGGGAAAATCTCCCCCACGAGCAGCCACGCGATCGGACCGAAAGACACCTGATAAGCGCCGACGTACGCGAAGATCGCGAGGACGGACAGACGCGCGGTGTTCAGACTGTCCGCGGGGTCGCCGGTCGCGAGCGCGTCCGAGCACGCGCCCAACGCGACGGTCGCGAGCATCATCGCCGCGACGCCGCCGAGGAGCAGCGGCCGCCGTCCGACGCTGTCGACGTACTTCACCGCGAACCCTGTCATGACGAGCTTGAAGACGCCCAAGATGACGCTCACGCCCGCGCCCTCGGACGCGTCGAACCCCGCGGCGATGAACACCTGCTCGGCGTAGTACAACACGCTCGGCTGCCCGGTGATTTGCTGGAACAAGACGACGGAGAGGCCGACGAACAACGGCCGAACGTTCTTCTTCCTCAGGAGCTCGCCGACGCCGCCGACGCCGGACTTTTCAGAGGCGGCGGTCATCGCGCGCATCTCCGCGTCGATCGTCCCGGGCGTCGCCTTATCTCCTCTCAAGATCTTCAGCGCCGCGCGCGCGTCGTTCGCGTCGCCGCCTCTCTGCAGCGACCACCGCGGCGAATCCGGCAGCTTTAACAACCCGAGCGACAACACGCCGGACAGCGCGACGGAGGACGAGAGCAGCACCCGCCACCCGCCTTCCTCGCCCTCGATGAGATACCCTCCCGCGTAACCGAGCAAGATCCCGCCCACGATGAAGCACTCTTTCAGGGAGATCAGCAGCCCTCTGACTTTCGTCGGCGCGGTTTCCGCGATGTACAACGGCGCGCCGTGCATCGCGAACCCGATCCCGAGGCCGTACGTAAACCGTCCCAACACGAGCGTTTCTAATGAAATCGCCCCACCCTGCACCAGCGCCCCTCCTGCGTATAGCAGCGCCGCGAGTTGCAGCTCCTTGCGGCTCCCGAGCTTATCCCCGAGCTTCAGCGCCGCCGTCGCGGACGCCACGAGCGCGCCCGCGAGCGACGTCGAGACGACTAAACCTCTCTGGAACGGATCCAACGCGTACCAGTCCATCCCCGCGGTGTTCGGGTCCGTCAGCGACTGCAGCGCCCCGGACGTGCTTCCGATGTCCCATCCGAATAACAGACCCGCGATCGCGGGGAAGATGAACAGCAGCGCGGTCGCGCGGACGTCGACGTCGTCCGCGATCGGTCGTTCGCCGCCTCCTCGGTCGTCGTCGAGAAGCCGACGCGCGTCGTCGTCGCCGCGCGCGAGCTCGGCGTCGTAGTCGTCCACGCTCGCGCGCGCGACGGGGGACCACGCGTCGTGTCTATGACGCAGCATGCCGTCGAGTTTCGACGCGCGGCGCCGTCTCGTCGCGTGCGCTCGGTCGCGATCGGCGTCGGCGACGCTATCGACCCCGGGATGGATAGATCTAAGAGAGTTGTCGCGTCCGCCGAGACGCGCGGTCGCGCCGACGGCGCGTCTCCTCCTCGCGGACGCGGACGCGGTCCCGGACGCGAGGACGGCGACGCTCGCGATAGAGCTTTGCATCCGCTCGCGCGACCTGGGCGATACCGCGGTGCGACGGCGCGAGCTGGAGTGGGGCCGGACGCGTCGAGCGATACGTTCTTTCACGCGCTCCGAGGCCCGGACGCGGTCGGCACCGCCGAGATTGCAAAACAAGTTTGAACGACGACGCGCGTCTGATCAGATCGCCCGCGCGCGGGAGCAGAGACGCGATGTCCGATTACCCGTCGTCCTCGCAGAAGCGGTTATGGACGCTCACGAGCGATGAGATCGAAAAGCGACGCGCGGCCGCGCGCGCGCGCGCGATCGACGCCGCGACCGAGGCGCGAATCACCGCGGGCGAGCCGACGACGTCCTCCGCGTCGTCCCCGCTGAGCGACGACGAGGAGACGCTCCTCCGCAGGTACTACGAGGTGAAGATCCAAAACGTCTGCGCCGCGTATTCACTCCCGACGAAGGTGCAGACGACCGCGCTGCTCCTGTTCAAGCGGTTCCTCCTCGGGACGTCGCTGCTGTCGCACAACCTGAAGATCATGTTACTCACCGCCGTGTACGTCGCGTGTAAGGTGGAGGAGAACTACGTCTCCGCGGAGGAGCTCGGACGCGGGATGAAAGAGGACGCGTCTCGGGTGCTGTCCGCGGAGGTGACGCTCCTGTCCGGGGTGAACTTCCAGCTCGTGACGTACTCGCCGTACCGCGCCGTGGAGGGGTTCAGAGCGGACGTCGAAGAGAAGGTCGCGTCGGGGGAGGTGAAGGGAAGCGTCGCGAAGGAAGAGCTCGACGCGTGCGTCGCCGCGGCGCATAAGATCACGGAGAAGCAGATGCGGACGGACGCGCCGTTGATGTTCTCCCCGGGGAAGCTCGCGCTGTGCGCGTTTCGAGCGGCGGGGAAGGAGCGAGGCGTCGCCGTCGTCGCCGCGTACGTCGACGCCGTCGCGAAAAACGCAGAGGAGAAGGAAGGCGACGAGCTGAGGAAGAGCTTGGACGCGATCGACGAGATGACGAGAGAAGGGGGGGAGGAGCCGAAAGAGGACGTCGTCAGAGATATCGACAAGAAGCTGAGGGCGTGGAGGTCGTCGAACCCTGTTCCCGCGAAGAACGCCGAGGCGGGGAAAGCCGACGGCGACGCCGGGAAGAGCTCGAAGCGGCACAAGAGCGCGAGCAAGGCTGAGAGAGAAGCGGAGGAGGACGCGGCGCTGGGGTAGGCACGCGCAGCGCTCTAAGCGTTTACATCGTATTCACGCGCTAAGGAAAACGACCCGACCGGAAAACGCTCTCACGCGAACGTGAACACGCGAAGGGAGAGCAGCGTCTGCCGCACCGACTCCGTCAACGCCGCCTTCGCCTTCGCCGCGCGGTCCAACCCGCTCTCGGACGCGACGCCCTTCAACAGCGTCAGCGCCGTCGGGCTGAACTTCAACGGCTCCAACGGAGTCTCCCTGCCTTCCGCCCTCGCCGCGACCGCGAGATGCCCGACGTTCTCGTCCCTGCCGTCGTTCATGAGCAAAGTCAAATCGCCGGGTACTTCGGCTATTTTATCCTTCGCGTCCACGAGCGTGCACCCTCTCGATTGCGTCAGCATCACGTGCACGGCCTCGCGCTCGCGCGTGAACACCTTGTCCGCGTCCTCCGCGAGCGTCAGGTCAAAGTCCGTCACCTCCGCGATGCGCACCATGCAATCCCTCGACCCGATCGTTCGGTTGAACCGCGAAGACGCGAACATAAACGACGGCGACAACAGCGCGACGTCTTCGCACATCGCCGCTTCCAACGCCGCGTCCTTCTTCTCGATGCCGACGTACGCGCAGTCCTTGTCCTCCAGCGCGAGGTGCACGCCGCACTTGGACAGACGCGCGAGTAGTTTTCTCGGCGCGAGCTTCACCCCGAGAAGCGAACGCAGCGCGGGCTCCGCGTCGCTCGCGAGCGCGCAGACGCCTTCGCCGACTTCGATCTCGATCGGCCGCCCCCCGAACCTCTCGTGCTTCGGCGTCACGGACACGATCACGGACTCCCCCGTAGAGCTCGGCCGCGTGCTCCATCGCGTGTACGGCGCGCACGCGACGCGGCTCTGCACGAGCGCGTGGTGCGTCACCTTCACGGTCGAGTACGTCAACGTTCTGTCCTTCAACGAGACGTCGGTTATTCCATCCGTCTTCCACTCGCTCGAATCGTCGTCCCACCACGCCACGGACGGCGTCTCGTCCACGAGCACGATATCGTCCGGAATCTCGTACGACAGCATCAACGGCGGGACGTCCGCCATGTCGACTTCGGTGGTCTCCGCGCCGGCGACGGGTATCGGATACGGCAGCCGTTCGACGTCCACGGCGAGCGGGGACATCGTTCGCAGCGTCGTCCCTTGCACAACCTTTGGCAACGGCGGGAGCGTGAGTAAGTCGACCGTGCACACGCCGCCGACGGACGTCAACTCGTTGTTGCAACCTGGGCTCAAGGTGTCGTACGCTCGGTGGATCACCCTCACCGCGACCGTGGCTAACGTCAACGGTTTCGGGAGCTCCACGCTGACGCGTAACTCTGGGACGTCGACGAGTTTAAACCGCGGGTTCTTCACGTGGTTCAGCCACAGGACGTACTTGAACCCCTCTCTCGAGTCGAACACGATGATCTCCCCGTTTTCGTCCTGGTACTCGTCCGCGGTGTGCATGATCCCCGCGGTGGATCTATCGATCACGACGTCGGTCAGCGCGCGGATGCGTTTTTGAAACCCGCCGACGGCATCCGCGAACGCGTCCCTTCCCTCCGCGATCGCCCAATACCTGTACGTGTCGCCCTCGTTGACGATCTTCTCGTTGTCCACCGCGAGCTCTAACGCGGGGCCTAGTAACCGCGTCTCCTCGTCCGTTATCGCCATCTCGTACGTGTTAATCTCCTTCTCCCGTTGCGGGTCCGGCAGCGCGCTCGTCGCGAGGTGTCGCTCCCACTCGTACGCATCCTTCACCTCCGCTCTGTGCGCCTCGAGCGCCGCGCGTCGCTCGTCCAGGAACGGCGTCACTTCCGCGAGCTCGGCAGCCTTGATCGCGTCCGCGGCGGCTATTCTCTCGTACTCCAGGTCCGATATCGCTTTGTTCTCCGCTTCGATTCGCGCTCGCTCCGCCTCCTCCGCGGCGATGCGCTCTTGCTCGATCCTGAGCGCCTCCGCCTCGGCTTCCTCGCGCGCGGCGATCTCCTCGGGGGTCTCTTCCTTTGGCTTCTTCGCCTTCTTCCCGCCCTTCTTCTCTTTCTTCTCCTTCTTCTCTCCCCCGCCCTCCTTCTTCTTCGCCTTCTTCTTGCCCGCCTGGGAGGGGTGGGGAGGGGTCGGTCAGGTCGACGGTGGCGCCTACCTAATCGGGCGCAAAATAATGTGACGCGAATGATTACTCGCGGCGAGCGGGGCGGGGGGACGGATGCGCACCATCTCGGTCGAGCGAGGACGGCCGAGGGGCGCTCTGCGGCTGTCTTAGGGTCCCGCGATGGTAGGGAAACGCGACGCCCGCGCGCTGCCGTCCGCGGCGTCCCGACGAGTGACGGGGGAACCGCTCTTCGTTTTTTTAAGACCTGTTTTGGCCGGGCCGAGAAGAGCGCAGCGAGCGAGCGCCGCGCCGCGGCGTCCCGAAAATCCACGACGAGCGCCCGCGACGTCACTCTTCACGGCGCCGCTCGTCGACCTCGCGATGAGTCTCCGGCGCGCGCTCGCGCGCGCGGCCAGCGCGGTCTCGTCGACGTCGCGACCCTCCGCGGACGCGACGTTCCCACGCGGCGTCCCCGCGGCGACGGCGTCGCGACAGCGTCGCTGGTACAGCCCCCTGGACGACGTCAACGTGTACGGCAAGGACGCGACGCAGGTCATCGACACGTACACCCCGCGCGGGTTCGTCGTCGGCGGCGTGGAGTACCGAGGGAGCGTGTTCCTGTACCAAGAGCTCTCGCTGCTGTGGAGCGTGAACGAGCTGCGGGACGTCACCCCGGAGTCTCTCCTCGCGGCGCGCGCGGTGACCCCGCCGCCGGCGCTGCTCATCGTCGGGACGGGGAAGACGCTCGAGCCGCTGCCGAGGGAGACGTTGGACGCGTTCCGCAACTGCGACACCGCGCTGGAGGTTCTAGACACGCCGAACGCGATAGCGACGTTCAACATCTTGGTTCAGGAGGGGAGGTCCGTCGCCGCGGCGATGATACATCCCGGGTACTCTCAACAGTAAGTTAGCGACGCGCGTTTCCTTAGGCGTAGGCGTAGATAGGCGTAGTGGTATTAAATAGAACATCATCGTCAATCCTTCAGCTTCCGCCCGCCCACCGAGGAGGTGTACACCGCCGCCTTCGCGTCCGGGGGCTTCGGGACGAAACACGTGAAGCACGACTGCCGGTTCTTTCGGTTGTGCCCCCCGCACGCGTCGCACTCCCAATCCCCCCACTGCCCGTGCTCTTTCGGTATCCGCCGCGGCGCGCCCGAGGGATTGAACCCGCCCGCCGGGTTGATGAACCGCCCTTGGTTGTCGAAGAACCGCCCGATCTGTTTGTTCCCGCTCACGCCAGCGCCCGCGCCGGATAGCCCCCCGGCGAGATCGCTCGGCACCGCGCCCATCCTCGCCTTCGCCGCGTTCTCCATCGCGGTCTGCAGAAATTTCCTCTCCCAGCCCGCGTCTTCGGAGTCGGATTCCGAGCTGCTGCTGCGACTCCGTCGTCGTCTGCGATGCTTCTTCCGCCGCTTCTTGTGCTTCTTCCTCCGTTTCTTCCTGCTCCGACTCCTGCTCCGACTCCTGCTCCGGCTCCTGCTCCGGCTGTCGCTCCCGCTCCCGCTCGCGCTCCTGCTGCGACTCCGTCCCCGGCGCTTCTTCCTCGACCTCGACCTCGACCTCGACGTCGATCGTCTCGACCGATCGCGGCCACCGCGCTCGTCCCTCGACTTGCGAGCGCTCTTCTCGCGATCATCCCCTCTCCCGTCGCCGTCCTCCGCCTTGACGTCCTCCTTCCCCTCCTCCTCGACGTCCTTCTCTTTCCCCTCGTCTCCGCTCATCGTCCCTGCGCTGCCGTGGAGTGACCGACGTCGGCGGAATCGAGCGCAATTCTAGGGCGAGTCGCTGCGTGCAGTCTGGTGCGTGAAAAATAAGAGCTGAGCGGGGAAAACTCAAACGACGAGATCTGACGCCTCGGGTCCGCGTCACTCTCCGCCGCGCAAATCTCGCGGCGACGGCGTGCATGTCTGCGTGAACGCGCGCGTCCGGCATGGTCGAGTCGAGCGCGGGCGCGGGGGTGTACCTCAGCAGCGACATCGACCTCGACGTCAGGCTCAAGGTGAAAAACAAACAACGACGTCCTTCGCCCCGCACATTTCGTTTCGTCCTCACTCTTCTCCCTCCCACGCTGAACCTCGCCTCCTCGCATCTTCTTCACAGGTCGTGGGGGTGAACGGACGGCTACCGACGGTACGCGCGCGCGCTCTGCTCCCCTGAACGCCCGCGCGGCGACCGCGCCCCGACCGCGCCTCTCTTCGCGACTCGGCACCCCCTCACGTCACGTTTACTGATCGATGTTTTTTCTTTCCACTCCGCCGCGTCTCGACAGGATCACGTCGGCGAAGACGGACGCGCGGAGTTGCGAGCGACGTTCCAGCTGTTCACGGATGACGACGAGCCGCTGACGAGCGAAGTGAGCTCGTCGTCCGCGGCGTTCGAGGACGCGAGAGGGGAATGGAACGAGACGCTGTTTTTCCCTCTGAAGTACAGAGACGTGAGCGCCGACGCGCGACTGGAAGTTAAAGTGTGGGACTCGAGGGACCTGTCGAAAGACGTCGTCGTCGGCGAGAGGAGCGTCTCCATGTTCGACGAGAACCTCTCGCTCCGACGCGGGCACCAGCGCGCGGCACTGCGCTTGCGCGCGAAGACGACGCGCGAGCCGCTGCCGTTGGACGCGATGCACGCGTCCCCCGGCGGGGACCTGACGACGGCGGAGACCGCGCTGAAGAAGTACGAGCAAAACGAGATGTCCCCGCTGGAGTGGTTAGACCAGCTCACGTTCAAGCGCGTGGACGAGATGCGCGAGGCGGCGCGTCTGCGGAGGATAGCGGACGGGGAGATGGAGATCCACTTCGAGTTCCCGACGTTCGCTTCGCCGGTCATTCACCGAGAGAACGCGCCGGCGAGCGCGTCAGCCGCGGCCGGGGCGAAACCTTCGCTAGATCAGTTGATTTGGCTCGTCGACTCCGAGGTGAACGCGGGACTAGAGAACCCGGCGGAGCGCAAGCACGAGAAACTCACGCGGTCCGTCGGCCGAGGCGTCGTCGATCACGACTTGAAGCCGAACGGGAACGAGAAGCGGTCGCTCGCGGCGGCGATTTCGCTGCCGCCGACGCGGCACCTCACGCCGGAGTACAAGCAGCTGCTGTGGAAGTTCCGGTACTCGTTGCGCTCCGAGAGCGGCGCGCTCACGAAATTTCTCAAGTGCGTCGACTGGAGCGACGCGAACGAGGCGAAAGCGTCGCTGGAGCTACTGTACGAGTGGGCGCCGATCGACCCGGCGTCCGCGCTCGAACTCCTATCGCCAACGTTCACGAACAACGAAGTCAGAAGGTACGCGGTGAGCATCCTCGCGGACGCCGCGGACGACGAGCTCTTGTGCTACCTCCTGCAGCTCGTGCAGGCGCTTCGATACGAGAGCGCGGACGACAGCCAGCTCGCGAGATTTCTCGTCGAGCGCGCGGTCGCGAACCCGGTGCTCGCGAATTTTTTGCACTGGTATCTCGTCGTCGAGTGGGAGGACAAGAGCTTCGCGTCGCGGTCGTCGAGGACGCACCAGCTGTTCGAGGACGCGTGCCGTGCCATGGGCGCGAAGGGCGAGGAGCTGTGGGACGCGCTGCGAAGGCAGTCTGAGGTGATGGCGCAGCTGACGTCGATCACGCGAGAGCTCGCGGGGATGCGAGGGCAGCCGAAAAAAGTCGAGCGTCTGCGCGCGATGCTCTCGGATGAGGGCGCGTGCGGCGACCTCGGCGCGTTCGCGCAAGCGCTGCCGCTGCCGATCGACCCGACGATCAACGTCAACGGCATCGTCCCGCAGGAGAGCACAGTGTTCAAGTCCGCGCTGTGCCCGTTGAAGCTCGCGTTTAAGACGACGGAGGAGACGCGCGCGAACATGATTTTCAAAAAAGGCGACGACTTGCGGCAAGACCAGCTCTGCGTGCAGATGATATCGCTGATGGACCGCCTGCTGAAACGCGAGAACCTGGATCTGAAGCTGACGCCCTATCAAGTCCTCGCCACGGGCAGCGACACCGGGCTCATCGAATTCGTTCCCTCGCAAGCGGTCGCGGACATCATCGCCGAGCACAAGACGCTGACGAAGTACATCGCGTTGAACAACCCGGACAAAGACGGTCCGTACGGGTGCTCGCCGGAGTCGTTGATGCGGTTCGTGAAGAGCTGCGCGGGGTACTGCGTGATCACGTACATCCTCGGCGTCGGCGATCGGCATCTCGATAACCTCATGTTAGCCCCGGACGGGCGGATGTTTCACATCGACTTCGGGTTCATATGCGGACGAGACCCGAAGATTTTCCCTCCGCCGATGAAGTTGTGCAAGGAACTCGTCGAGACCATGGGCGGCATCGAGAGCGAGCACTTTGGGAAGTTCAAGACGTACTGCTGCGAGGCGTATAACATCTTACGGAAGCACGTGGTGCTGATATTGAACTTGTTCTCGCTCATGGCGGACGCGAACATCCCGGACATCAGCCAAGACTGCGAGAAGGCGCTTCTAAAGTTGGAGTCGAAGTTCGCGCTCGACCTCGACGACGAAGCCGCGATGCAACACTTCCAGGTGCTCATCACCGAGTCCACGAACGCGCTGTTCCCGCAGATTTTCGAGACGACGCATCGATGGGCGCAGTACTGGCGGTGAGTGATAAGTAATAGAAGCTAGCATTACAACACGACGAGCGTGCGATCAAAAGTCCCCTTCGTCCATCGACTGGTTGTTCGGTTTTTGACTCACCGACGTCGCGTTGAACGTCGCCTCGCGTTTCACCCTGTCGATGATGCTCATCGCCGCGACGGAACCCTCGCGCTTCATGAGAATCGCCTCCAACTCCTTGTACGACGGCTTCTCGTCGAACGTCTGAATGAACTTCGGCTCCGTGTCGTTCGCGTTCATGTCCGTCAGGACGTACAGCGACCACGGGTACGGATAACTCTTCAGCAGACGAATCGTCTCGCCTTGTATCCGCTGCTCAGAGATCCAGTACGCTTGCTCGAACGTCGCGAGGAAGTCCTCGTTTTTCTTCTTCCACGGTCCGATGCCGAGGTCTGAGATCAAGTTGCTCCCTTCGCCGTTCATGATCTGCGAGTTCACGATCGCGAGAGTTCCGCCCGTCTTCTCCTCCGCCGCGGCGAGCTTCTTCAGCTCTGGGAGCGTCTCCGCGGTGAGGAACACCATCGCCTTCGCCGCGGGGGTCTTCAGCACGACGACCGCGTCCGAGTCGTCTATGACTTGCTGTTTCACGTCCGCGTTGTCGTCCCCGCCTACCCTCTTCAGGAACTCTCCCACCATGGGCGCGACCGCTTGGTCTGTTGGGAAGAAGAGCGATCGATCGACCGTCAGCAAATACTCATCGGAGCGATCGACGGACGGAGGGTGCTCACACGAGGAGGAGGAAGAGAGAGGAGGACGACGACGACGCGCGCGGGGGGTGCGCACATTGCTGCCTGACCCCCCCCGGCCAGTCGTCGAGGTCCGTCGCGCCGATGAGCGGGAGCGAGAACTCGATCGAGAAGAACTTCTTCCCGCTCGCGGCGGCGCGCGCGACCGCCTCCGCGGCTTGCTTCGCTTGCTCGCGAGGCGATCGCGGCAGTCGCGGCCCCTCCCCGACCTCGAACGCCGCGCGTGCGACGGACGCGCGCTTCGCCGCGCGAGGAGCGCGCGCGCGACTACCGAGACGAGCGCCTCCTCGACGCGAGGAGACGACGGAATGACGATGCACAGCGCTGGCCATCATCGTTCGCGGGGGCGGACGCTGTCGCGCGCGACCGAGTGACGGAGCCACGTCGCACGCGACGAGGACAACGACAACTGGCGCGAGCGTCGCGAGGTCGCTCGCGAAATCGGCACCCGCGCGGTTTCGCGGGTCGCGAAAATCGAGAAAAATGCACGCGAAATCAAAGAAGAGCCAGTGTTAGGGCTAGCGGCGTCACATCTCGTCGCTCGGGACGACGCGCACGCCGGCGAGCGCGCGCGGCCCGCCGCGTCGATTCCGTGCCCAGGTCACGCACCCGCGACTGGCGAGGTGGGAACCCCCGAGCGGTCGTCGCCGAGGTCGACGGGACGCCGTCCGTCGAGCTGAACACGCGCGACTGCGCTGAGCGAATCTTGTTCGTCGTGAACCGAGTTTCGCGTCGGCGTCGGCGGGGGTCATGGACGCTGCCCGTGAGTTTTACACGAACAAAAACATCCTCGCACCCATGGTGAGGGTGTGCACGATGCCGACCCGGCTGCAGGCGACGGAGTACGGAGCGGACATCGTGTACTCGGAAGAGATCCTTGACTACAGGTGCGTCCGCCGCTGAGGGAAAATCTCGCCGGTTTCGACGCCGACGCGACGAGTCGACCAAACGTCGGAAGAGGGAGGGCCTCCGTTCGACGCCACGGACCGCCAACGTGACGACACGATTAGGCCCCATTCGATACTGACACGACTCTCCTCCCCGAACTCGCAGCCTGATGAGGAGCAAGCGGGTGGAGAACCACGCGTTTGGCACGGTAGAGTTTGTGAACACCAAAGAGAACAGCAGCGGTTTCAGAGATGTAATTTTTCAGACGATACCCGAGGTGTGTGACGAGTAAATAAACCGTGAATCAATCATCTATTTTCCTGCCAGCTCTGGGAAAATTTCTTTTCTGACTCCGTTTCTCTCGCGTCCACATTTTTCTGACAGGAACGAGGACGACTGGTCCTGCAGTTAGGAACCGGAGACGCGACTCGAGCTTTAAAGTGTGCGCTCCTCGCAGCGAAAGATATCTCCGCGGTCGATATAAACATGGGCTGTCCTCTTAAATTTTCAACGTCGAGTGGGGCTGGTTCCGCGCTGTTGAAGAAACCAGAACAAGTGCGCGATATCATGACGACGCTGCGACGTAACTTACCAAGCGAAGTTCACGTCACCTGCAAAATTCGTCTATTAGAAACGACGGAAAAAACTATAGAACTCGCGCGCGTGATCGAAGCTTGCGGGGTTTCTGCGTTTGGCGTTCATGCGCGTTACGTTTCGCAACGACCGCGCCAGCCCGCGCACTGGGATTTAATGAAACACGTCGTAGAATCGGTTTCGTGTCCAGTTATTGCAAACGGAGATGTTTTCAAACACGAAGACTTTGAGAGAATTAAGAGCGAGACGGGCGCTGCGAGCGCGATGTGTGGACGCGCGGCGTTGTGGAATCTTTCCGTGTTCCGCGAGGAAGGTTTGCTTCCGGCGAGGGAAAATTTGAATAACATTTTGAAGAAGTGCCTGGAGTGGAACCACACGGTGAAGAACACGAAGTATCTCCTTCGGGAACTGCTCATTAAATCGACCGGGCTTGAGAACGAGGAGGGCAACGCGCTGAATAAAAGTAAGACGCTGGAGGAAATTGCGCGCACATTTGAGGTTCCAGAAACTCTCATAGGGAGTAAGCGGCGGGAACATCTAAAAAGACCGTGTGAAGAAGATGCACTTAGCTTAGACAGCTAACAGCTGAAATAATAGATTAGAAACATCTTCGAAACAGCGGTAAACAGAGATGTAATCGTCGCAGCACCGCCTTATGTCGATCTATACATTAAACACATCGCCCTCTTCGGATTCATTGTGAAGTTACTGGTGGACAATCGCGAGTCTAACGCGAAAAACAACTCTGGAAAATGAAAGAACCTAGAATATTAAATAACGAAATTAATCAAAATTCCGCGCGTGGACATTCATTCCATTCGATTGGTTTCGATGTGCATCGCGCGTGACTCGATGTTGACAGTCTATTTTACGTCAAATGCGGCAAGTTTAGTTTTCTCGCGTCTGTTTTAACATGATTGACGACGTAGTAATCGCCTGACGTTCCCAAAAGCTGCAAAATTTTTCTCTTTATCACTCTTTTCAGATCGGAATTTCGTTCGGAACGCGAAACGCGAACGTTTTTCAATTACTTTTTCCTAGCTTCGTTGCGGCGCAATTAGAGTCACCGAGTTCGGCCGCCCGGCTCTTGTAATTTTTACGCAATATTGAGCAATCTTCATTTTATGTCGTAGTCGAGCGCCTTGAAATGTGACGCGTTTTGGAGGTTGAACTTCGCGCGCATTTTTTTATGAATCATCCTCATAGCTGTTGCGCTTGCGTTGATGTCGATGTTCTGTTCACTTTCATGTGACGTTCCGCGCCACTTTTCAATTTTTCCCACTTTCCGTATCACTGTCAGAGCTCAGTTCGCCGGAACGCTAGTTAGCTAGCTACCTTCTAGTTAAGTTCCGATTCGTTTACCCTGCGGTTCTTCTCTTGTTCTCGCAGGTCGCTCGAGGAGTCAATAGCCGCGAATTCATAGGTTAAATCAGGTTCAAAATCCGGGGTCATGCGGTCTGAAACGCCGGGATTTCATCGCGGGAGGCGCCTCTCATTTCCGCTGAATTTCCGCGTTACCCCGATCAACGTTTCCGTCAAACTCCGCTGCGTCGTAAATTTTCATGCAGGGAAATTTCTTGATTTCGGTCTAAATTTTTCTGGCAGAGGGTTCTTTCAGCTGTTGACGAATTTTCTATCGTTCGTCATTCCAGTGCTAAAGTTGAGTCTAAAAATCACGGAAACGGCTGGTGGTGCGACGCTCCCGGGTAGCGGTACGAGCTCGTCTGCTTATCCCATCTCGGACCTCCGTACGGGTTCGACGCGTTGGAGTAATGACTCCGGTAACCGTTGGTTCCCCCCACGCCCCCGGTCAACCCCGTCCGCCTCTCGATCGTCGGCAGTTTCAACTCCCCCGCGCCTGACCCGGTCTGACCGGACGGGCGATACCTCGCGTTTCGCGCGTTCCTCACGTAGTTCCCGACGCCCATCCTGGACGAATAACTCCCACTACTACTCGACGCGGCCGAGTGCCCGTACGGATTCCTCGTCGGGTCGTCCAGCCCGCTGTAAGGATACTTGAACCCCCCGTAAGTACCGTTACGTCCCGCCGCGTACGACGGCGCGAGATTCTCGTTCAGCCGCGTCGTCGTCGCCTCCTTCGTCGCCGCGCCGTGGCTGTACAGCCGCGACCCCTCCAGCCCCTCGAGCGGGCCTCTTCCGCCGACACCGTACCCGCGCGTCGTCACCGGATCGACGTGCGATCCCCCGTACCCTTTGCTTTGCGTCCCGTAGTTCCCTTTGTTGTTCAATCCCAGGTACGACGCGCTGACGTACTGCGAGTTGAGTTTCGGCGGCAGCGGCTTGAAGTTCGAGCTGCTCCCCACGAGCGGTTTACTCAACAACGGGTCCTTCATCGCGGCGCCGACTTGGTGCTGCGACTGGATCTGTTGTTGATGCTTGTACTGCGCGTGGTGATCGTGAATCGGGCGTTTCGGCGAGAGGACGACCGGCGGCTCCGGTCGTCGCGCGGGCTCCGCCGCGCGCGGTTTCGGTTCCGCGCGTCGGACGATCGGCTCCCTCGGCGCTTGCCGCGGCTCCACCCTCGGTTTCGACTCCACCTTCGGCGGCGTTTTCACCGCCATCGGTGAGAGCCCGCGGAAGAAAGGCATCTGAAGGCACTGCAGCGCGGTAGGTCGCTTCGACGGGTCCCACTGAATGCACGCTCGGATAAACTCCACCGCATCCGCGCTCGCGTGCGGCATCAACTTTTCAAGCGGCGTCTCTTGAAACTGCGGGAACCGGAACCCCATCTGCGTCGCGAGCTTGAGACCTTCCGGCCAGTTCCGCTCCGTGGGCGTCCCGTTCACCGCGCATATTTTGTAAATCTCATCTTGTTCGCTGCTCCCCGGGAACAGCGGACGGAGCGTGATGAGCTCCGCGGCGATGACGCCGATGGCGAAAATATCGATCGGCGCGTTGTAATACGGCGACCGCAGGAGCACCTCCGGGGCGCGGTACCATCGCGTGGAGACGTAGTCCGTGTACGGCGGCCGCGAGCGGATTTCTCTGGCTAACCCAAAGTCCGCGAGCTTCACGACGTCGCTGTCCTGCCCTTCGCTGATCAACAAGTTTTCCGGCTTCAAGTCCCGGTGGAAGTACCCGTGCTTGTGCAGGTACGCGATGCTCTGCACGATCTGGTAGATCCAGGACTTCACCCTCGCCTCGGGGAAGTACCGGTCGCGGTCTTTGATCTGCTGGTACAAGTTCTGCGTCATGTACTCGAACACGAAGTACAGCTCGTCGTTCTCGCGAATCACCTCCTTCAGCTTGACCACGCACGGGTGGTTCAGCTTCCTGAGCGACTTGACCTCGCGAAGCGCCATGCACTCCTCCCACGTGTAGAACTTCCTCTTCATCTTCTTGATGGCGACGACCTCGTTCGTCTGCCGATTCGTCGCCTTCCACACGCTCCCGTACGTCCCGTCCCCGAGCTGGGAGTGGACCTTGTAGCTGTTCGAGAAAAAAAAAGACGATCGCGGACGCGTCAGTCGACGGGCGGGACGCGACCGCGCGCGGGGGCGGGCGCGGGCGCGAAGCGAGCGTTCGGGGACGGCGTCGAGATATCGCGGAGAGTGAGAGCACGGCGACGCACCGATTCATGGTCACGAGCGAGCGCGGCGAGACGCGCGCGTCGCTGTGACGATGGACCGCCAGCACGAACGGTCAACCCCTCGTCGAGCGATCCGAGGCGGGGGGCACGAAACGCGCGCCTCGAAACGCGCGGCAGTCAACAGCGGCCACGAAAAATATTCGTCTCGAGCGACCTTCCGGCCGGACCTTCCCGGTGCCAGCCAGACCTTCCCGGCGGCGGCCGCGGCATCGCGCGCGGCGGCGAGCGAAGATCGCACCGCGGGGAAGCGCGAGCCACGCGAATCCTCCGCGCGCGCGTCCTCGCCTCAAACGCGGCGTCCGCGCGTGGGCAGTCGGCACGCACGACAAAAGCGATGCGGCGGCTCGTTTCCCTCACGCGCGCTCTATGTCTCTTGTCTCTCCTCGCGTGCGGTCTCGCCCCCGTCGCCCTCGCGCGCGACGCGGACCCGTACAAGCTCCTGGATCTCAGCCGCGGCGCCGGCGACGCGGACATCAAGCGCGCGCACAGGAAGCTGTCGCTGAAGTACCACCCTGATAAGCAATCGGGGAAGACCCCGGAGGACGTGGAGAAGGCGCAGCAGCGGTTCATGGCCATCCAACGAGCGTACGAGACGCTGTCGGACCCGGAGCGAAGGCGCAACTACGACTCCACGGGGTACGCGGATCCTAAGGACGCGTACAAGGAGCAGCAGCACGCGAGCGCGGGGAAGAACAGCGGGAGAGGGAGAGGGCCCCACGTCCGCCCGGGCGACCGCGGCGGCTGGGACTCGGGCGCCGCGGGGGGACGGCACGGCGGGCCGGGGCCGGGGGGGTATCACCAGCCCGACCCGATCACCTCGGACACTCTGGATTTGAAACCCGGGAACTTCGCGAAATACGTCTTAGACGGGAACCGCGCGTGGCTCGTGCAGGTGTATCACGACGGCAGCGAGCGGTGCCACAGGGCGGCGCCGGCGTGGGAGCAAACGTCGCGCGCGCTCGACGGCATCGCGAAACTGGGGAGAATAAACCTCGCGCACTACCCCGCGTTAGCCGCGCAAGTCGCGCCGAAGCATTTGTTCTCCGCGACGCACGCGGACTACAAGGACCTCCCCGTCGTCGTCGGTTTCGCCCCCGGGTGCAAGAAGACGTGGTGCAAGCGAAAGTACCGCGGCGTGATGAAAGAAAACAAGCTCTCCGCGTTTGCGATGGACCGACTTTTACGATACGCAGACGTCCCTCTACACACGAGGGACACGCTGCCGTCGTTCCTGGAATCCGAACCGGAGAAGGTGAAGTTTGTGATGTTCTCGTCGAGGTCGTCGACGCCGCCGGCGTTGCTGAAACGCGCGGCGACGGAGTACGAAGACGACGTCTCGTTTGCGAGAGTGATTCACGCCTCGGCGGATGCGAGTTATTGGATAAAAAAATTTAACGTCGTCGCGCCGCCGGCGGTGCTCGTGATGAAAGAGGGGAACGCGCGCGTCGTCGAGCACGAGGTGTCGGGTAAGGACAAGCTGAAAGCGTTGCTCATCGAGCACAAGCTCCAGACGCTCCCGCAGCTCAGGGTGTCGAACGTGAAGTCCGTCGGGTGTCAGCCTGGAGGCTTGGTGCAAACGTGCGTCGTTCTCCTCGGCGTCCGCGGTTTGGACGCATTCGAGCGCGCGCGTTCGACGCTTCGCGACGCGAAAGCATCGCTTCAGTCGACGACTGAAGACTTCGCGACGTTATCGACAGCGCTCGAGGCGAAGGAACTCGCGTTCGCGTGGGTCGACGCGAAGACGCAGGCGAGCTTCTGCAGAGCTTTCTTCGCGCCGAGCGACGCGGCCGGCGCGGCGGCGTGCGGGAAAGCGAACGCGAAGCCGCGCGTCGTCGCCATGCGATTCACGCACGGGCCGGATGTGATCGAGCACGCGGTGTACGACGGCGAGATGGACGCGCGCGCGATTCTGTCGTGGGTCGCGAAAACCTCCGACGCGGAAGGCGGGTCCCTTCGCGAGGCGAACCGCGGGGATGCCCGCTTTCCCGAGCTGACCGCTCCTAAACCGAGCGCGATCGAATCCCTTCGCGAGTGGAAGACGGACGCGACCGCGACCGCGTACGACCTCGCCGAGGAGCTGATGTACATCTGCGTCGAATCCGGGCCGGTCGCGCCGATGTTCTTGTTGATCGTCGGGCTGTTGGTTCCCTCGTTTGTGCGTCGCCCGAAAAAGAGCAAACGCGTGAAGAAGAAGCGCGAGGTGGACGACGACGCGGTGGTGGACTGGAGCGACGACGACACGCTCGCGTCGTTGAAAGGATCGCAGAGCGGTATGGTGGTGGTGATGCTCGTGGACGGGTTTAAGACTGACCAAGAGGTGTTCAAACGTTTACGCGGGTCGTTTTGGCGTGAACCGATTCTCAGTTTCGGCACGGTGAACATCGCGAAGGTCCACGCGTGGGCGGAGTTCGCGGAGACGATCGGCGCGGCCGCCTCCACGATCGTGATATGGCACCCGTCGCGGACGAAGTATCGGATAATAGGAAACGGCGAGACTCCGCACCCAGAGCTGTGCTCGAAGATCGAGCAGTTCCTCGACGGGATCTCCGGGGATCTCTGGGTGGAAGGCAACTGGCCTTCTACTTCTAACAACTAGGCGCCGCGCGAGAGGGTATTATTAGATAAATAATCAAACTCGCTTGCGTTAAATTTAAACTATGGTCCTTACGTTCTATAATAGCTCATCTCGAAGCCGGCACCGCGGCCGGCTCTTCGACCGGGGGGTTCAGCCCCAGGTACTCTTGCACGGTCCTTTCCAACTTGCCGCGATCCGCGCCTCGCATCACGTGAAGCAGCTTCTTGCCTCGGTAAAACCTAAATTCCGGCGTGCCTTGAATCTCGAGCACGTCCCGGCACAAGTGCGCCGCCCCCGGGCACGCGTCGCCGAGAACTTTCAAGAACAGCTGTGAGAAGTTGAAGGGGAAGCGCGGGTGAAGAGTGACGACGGGAAAAGTCCTTAAGGAACGGCGTTCACATCGCGAACGGGGTCGTATGGGAAGCAGTCTCACCGCGTCCTGGTACTTCTTCGCGACGCCCTCGTACGTCTTCTCGAATTTCATGCACGGTCGGCAGTGCGTGTACCCGCACTCGAGGACGACCAACGACCCGTCCTCGTCCGTCATCGTCCCGCCGGTCGTCTCTACGTTCACGGTCTTCTCTTGCCACTCCTTGACGAACCGGTTGAACTCATCCTCGGAGTGCACCTCGTGCACGTGCGCGACGGCGAGTTTCAGCGCTCTCGCGAACCACGCCGTGAACTGCTCCGCAGTCGCGACTTCTTTCATCCCTCCGGTGAAGTCGCGCAGCAGACCTTTGACTTCCGCGTCCGAGAAGCTCGTGCCAAGGAATTTAACACCCTGAAGTAGGTCGTCGTGGCTGATCACGCCGTCCTTGTCGCGGTCGAGCTTTCGGAAGATCCACAAGAGGTCCTCTTCGAATAATTCCCGTGGTTTTGGGTCGCCGACGATGGTGTTCGTCACCGCCGCGCGTAAAACCTCCCCGGCTTGGCGCCTGCCGAGCTCCACGTGCGCGCCGATCGCGGCGCCCTTCACGAGCGCCATCGTCGGGAATTCCCCCATCACGATCGTGTCCCCGCTCAACCCTTTGCTCGCGATCCCGGGCTGCAGAAGCGCGAAGAGCGCGTCCTCCGGTAACTGCGACGCCGCGCCGGTCGTGAGGAGGATGATCTTATCCGGCTTCACCGCGCCCGCGATCTTCTGAAGGTACTTGTCCACGAGCGTCGCGTACGCGAGGATCGGCCGGAACGCGGCGACTTCCTCTTCCTCGAAGTCGCGCGTCAAATCGCCGTCGCGGCGGTACAGCGGCCGCGCCGGTCCCGCGAGCGCGTACCGCTCGTGAAGCACGGCTTCGTCCTTCTCCGGAGGAATGTCCGGCGCGTACCCGTCCCACCCCCACCGCTCGCGAAGCTTCCCTAGCTCGCGCTCGTACGTCCACGTCAGGTGCTTCAAGTCCGAGTTGCGAACTTTCTGGCCGTTGTTGTACGTCACCGTGCCCATGCCTTTGCCGATCGTCGCGACGACGACGACGCCGTGTTCTTTCAACCCGGGGCCGAAATACATCTCCGCGTACCCCGCGGCTTCCGTGTGAATCATCGTCGCTACTTTGCCTTTCGTCTCGGGCATCATCCTTTCTAATCGTTTCGCCGCTTGCTGATTCCCTAACGTCCGCATGATCGCCCTGGTGACGCTGACGCCGACGGGGCCGTTCCAGTTGAAATGTTTTATGACTTTCCTCACCGCCGCGCGCACGGACTCCTCGGAGAGGTCCTCGAGCTCCGCGGTCACGCCCGGGCGCATGAACTCCGCGTTCGCGGTATCCACGGGCGCGGCTTTCAGCGAGTGCATGCGGAGTTCCATGCCCAAGATTAACTCGCCCTCGGGGTAATCCCTGCGCGGTCGCGACGAGACGAGCGAACGAGCCGAGGTCAGAAGAGAATGCGACTGCGACGACCTGACGGGGGAAGAAGTATAGCACAAGATGCGGTCGGGCGCGGGCCCTGGGGGGGGGGCGCGTCCGCGTTCGACGAACCCGGGGACGAGGACGCGCCTGTTGGATAACGTCGCCGACTCCTTCGCCGACGCCTTCGCCGCGTTCGTCGCGGTCAGACTGCACCTGGGCGCGGGGAAGGGGCGGGGGGCGACGGCGTCAGCGACGCGTCTTTTCACGTGGCCACGAATCGACGCGAACGGGTAGCGAGTGGCGCGTGCGTCACCGAGCTCGCGCGCACCTCCGCGACGCTCGCCGGGCGACTTTGACGCTCGAGCTCGGCTTCCTATCGCGACGCGAGAGCGCCGCGCGCGTCGCATCGCGCGCGGATGCGCGAGCGACGCACGCCGGGCTCGCGCACGCGCGCGACATCGCGACCGGAAAAGTCGTTGGACAGCGTGCAGTCAGTCAATCTATCCACTCGACCGATGGATGCAGCGCGTCGCCACGGACGGGCGCCCGAGCGCTCGCGTCTAGCGGAAAGCTCACCAGAGGACCGCGCGCGAGCGCGACGCGGAGCGAACCCGCGCACCGCGCGCGTGGAGACGTCGGCAGAGCGCCCCCTCTGTGCGCGCGCGTCGGAGCGCGTCGACGCTTTTTGGCGCCGCGAAACGCAAGGCGGCGCGGCTCTACAAATGTAAAAATATCTGAGTTGTCTGGTTTGTGCGCGCACGAAGCGTCGCCGTGCGTGGGGCGGTGTGTTATCCGCGGTCGGCGCAGCGCAGCGTCTCGGACTCTTTTTTAACGTTTGATTTTTCCAAACTAAAAAAGTCCGCCTCTAACTAGTCCTCCTCGTCGATCGCGCCCGTGTATTCCGCGATCGCGTCTAACGAGAGGGAGTGCACGCTGAAGTCGTCGTTCAGCTGCACGCTGCCCGCGTCCCCCGACTTCTCCAGGAGCTTCCCTCGCTTCCCTCGGTGCGCGCCGGCGAGGACGGCGACGCGTCCGCCGCGCTTCGGAAGCGCGGTTTCCAACGCGCGCTGCGGCACGTTCGACAACACCTCGCCGTTCTCGAGCTCCAGCGTGCACTCTCTCGGGGATACCACGTCGACGACGACCGCTTTCTTGAGGTACAGACGGCCGCTCTGGAACGACTTCGAGACGATCCGGACGCGAATCGCGGGGTACAGCCACGGCGGCGGCTCCTCGCGTTTTCGCTTCTCCTTTTTTTCGTCGCCGCCGCCGCCGCCGGTCCTCTCGCGCTTCTTCCCGCCGGTATCGCCGCCGCCGCCGCCGCCGCGGCCTATCCCCATCGCTCGATCCGCGGGGCCGGACCCAAAGTCCGCGAGCTCGCTCGTGCGCACGGTCACGACCTCGCCGCTGGTTTTAAGCTCGACCTGCGCGCGTTCGCTTCGCCCCTCGCTCTTCGTCAGCGTCAACACGCGACACTCGAGCCCGCGGTGCCGCCCCTCGACGACGCACATCATCTTGCCCTCTCTCGGCCCAGGCTCTTCCCTCTTCACGAGCTTCTCGTCCAGGGACTTGACGTTCCGCGACTTTCCCTCCGGGCCTTCCGGTAAGACCATCACGTCCGCGCGTTCGCGCGTTTCCCCGGGCTTTATCCGTCGCGCGTCGGAAACCTCCGGCTTCGGCGCGGGCTCCGCGCCGAGTCCGAGCCGGCCGGCTCTCGGGACGAACTCGACCGCGGCGACTAACCCTTTCGAGTTCCTTCCGACAGGCTTCCCTTCCTCCCACCCCATCCCTCGAAGCATCGCCGCGCCGAAGTCCTCGATCGGCATGCTCTCGTAATCATCCAAACTCGCCTGCTCCGGGAGGTCCTGCACGTCCTCGCGGAACGCCTGCAGCTCCTTCTCTTGCAGCGATTTCCCGATGAACGACTCGTTCGCGGGCGGCGGCGGCTTCTCGTCGTCCTCCAGCTTGACGTCGCCGTCCTTCGGGCCCATCTTCGTGAGGCCGTACACGGTGCCGCTCCCTTGCGCGGTCTCCCCGCCGCCCGCGGTCAACCGCGCGGCGACTTCGAATCGCTCCGCGTCCTCCTCGATCGCGGCGTCGTTCGGGAGAAAACTCGGCGCGCGATGCCCCGCGGCTTTCCTCTGCCGTCCGGTGCCGACCTCGAACGTGTTCGCGATCGCGGGGATGGACTTCACGACCTTTTCTTTCTTATCCTTGAGCTCCAGACCGCCGCTGCCCATGCCGGTGAGGTACTCCTTCTTCGCGACGTCATCCTCCGCGCCGTTCGCGGCGACGGTCTTCTTCTTCGCCGCCTTTTTCGCGAATCCAAACGTCGTCTTCCCCGCGTCCGCGCCCGCCATCTTCGCGCGCTGCGACGCGGAGGAAGAGGCGGGGGTGTGGCGGGGAGGGGGTTGGCGATCGACTCCGCCGCAGATCCCCCGTCGTGCGCGCGCTCGTGCGCGGGTGAGTGCGGGGGGATCACGCGCAAATGCTTGGTAAGATCTCGCTGGTGCCCACTGAAAATTGCGCCCTTTCCGTTTCCCTCTTGGCTACCGCGCGAGGTAGCGGAAAATCCCCGAAATTCAATCCGAAATCAAACATGTGCACAGTGTATTTTTTGAGAATACGAAGAACGCGTACGTACTCGCCTGCCGGCGTTTCCTGGCCAAGCAAAAAGTTGGACGCGGTCGCGGTCGAACATCAAAAAAGTAGATCGGCCCCGTCGCGCACTTCCTCTCGCGCGTCGAGTGCGTGCCCCCCTCCCCCAACCGGAAACAAGCCAACCATGGAGGGTTACTACTGGCTTCAGTTCGGCATCCTCGCGATCGCGTGCGCGGGGCTGGAGATGCAAAAGGCCGGGAACAAAGAGCGCGTCGCGATGCCGGACACCTTCATCTCGTTTCGCAACCTGTACCTGTTCGTGTACTCGCTCATGATGGCGGGCGACTGGCTGCAAGGCCCGTACGTGTACGCGCTGTACCAGCACTACGGATACAGCACGGGCGACATCGGCAAACTCTTCATCGCGGGCTTCGGGTCGTCCATGATCTTCGGCACCGTCGTCGGATCGATGGCGGACAAGTACGGACGGAAAAACGCGGCGCTGACGTACTGCGTGACGTACATCGCGTCGTGCGTCACGAAGCACTGGAGCGATTACAACGTCCTGATGCTCGGGAGATTCTTCGGCGGGATCGCGACGTCGCTGCTGTTCACGTCGTTCGAGTCTTGGCTCGTCGCGGAGCACTTCAAGCGCGGGTACGAGGCGGAGTGGTTGGACAAGACGTTCGCGAAGGCCATCTTCCTCGGGAACGGGCTCGTCTCGATCGTCTCCGGGCTGCTCGCGAACTTCCTCGTGACGGACATGAACATGGGCCCGGTCGCGCCGTTCGACGCCGCGGCGTGCTTTCTCGCGATCGGCGGCGTCGTCATCCTCTTCACGTGGAGCGAAAACAAGGGCGACGCCAGCGAGAGCACGACGGTGCAGCAGGGCATGCAGCAAGCGTACGCCGCGATCGCGTCGGACAAGCGCGTCTTCTACCTCGGCGCGATGCAGTCCCTGTTCGAGGCGTCGATGTATTCGTTCGTTTTCTTGTGGACGCCCGCGCTCGGGCCGAACGGGGAGGACATCCCGCACGGGATGATCTTCGCGACGATGATGGTCGCGTGCATGGTCGGCTCGTCCGTCGCGTCGAGGATAATGTCCCGGCCGGACACGAGGCCGGAGAAGTACATGCAGACCGTGTTCCTCGCGTCCGCGGCGTCCCTGTCGATTCCCGTGCTGACGCGGTCGTTAGGCATGGAGAGCGACGGGTACAAGGGCGGACCGATCACGTTCGAAGGGAAGGTGCAGATGCTCGGGTTCTTGGTCTTCGAGGCGATGGTTGGAATTTTCTGGCCGTCGATGATGAAGATGCGGTCGCAGTACGTCCCGGAGGAGGTTCGGTCGACGGTGATGAACTTTTTCAGGATTCCGTTGAACTTGTTCGTGTGCGTCATCCTGTACAACGTCGCGATGTTCCCGCTCGCGGCGATGTTCGCGATGTGCACGCTGTTCTTGTTGATCGCCGCGGCGCTTCAGAAGAAGCTCGAACAACTCACGGAAGGGCCGGTGTACAAGAAAGCGGCGGGGATGGGGCCGCCTTGATCGGATCGGGGATCGGGGATCGGTGGATCGGTGTACGTACATATTTTTTCGATTTACAGTACGTGTATGCGTTGTGCGTTGATGAAATTTCTTCGTTACATTCGCGTTCAAAATACAATCTTATACAGCGTAGGCGTACACGACGAGCTCGTCGGTTCTCGTTCGACAACCGAATGAATCAGTACGGAGGCGCGAGGAACTGTCCTCCCTCGTCCTCGTCCTCTTCGTACCCCGGTCCCGGGAGACCGGGGATGGGAATCCCGCCCGGGGGAATCGGAATCCCCTCCCCCGGAGCCATCCCCGGGAAGATAAACATCCCTTGCGTCGACTGCTCGTTCGGACGGTCGTCCAAGGTGAGACCGAGGTCGACTTTATTTTCCCCGCGCATCACCTTCATGGAGATCTCCTGACCGACCGTGAGTTTGTCCAACGTCCGGTACAAGTCGCTCGAGTTCTTGATGAGCGCGCCGTTCAGCTCGACGATGACGTCGCCGAGGATGAGCCGCCCGCTCTCGTCCCTCGACGTGGACTTCACCCCCGCGCGCCACGCCGGCCCCTTCTCCCTCGCGTCCAACACCAAGACGCCGCCCAACCCGAGCTGCTCGACGGCTTGATCCGGCGCGAACGTGATGCCGAGGATCGGCCGCGTCACCCTCCCGGAGGTGATGATCTGGCTCACGATCCCGGAGACCATGTCCGACGGCAGCGCGAACCCGACGCCGGAGGAAGACCCGGACGTGCTGTAGATAGCGGTGTTGATGCCGATGAGCCGTCCCGCGCTGTCGAGCAGCGGCCCGCCGCTGTTCCCGGGGTTGATCGCCGCGTCGGTCTGAATGATCCCGTCGATCGGGCGTCCCGTGTTCCCGGACTGGATCTCTCGGCCGAGGCCGCTGATCACGCCGGTCGTGAGCGTGTGGTCCAGGCCGAACGGGTTCCCGATCGCGAAGACGCGTTGCCCGACTTGGAGGTCGGACGACGTGCCGAGCGGGACCGGTCGAATCTCCGCCTTCCCGCTCGCCGACTTCAACGACGTGTTCTTGCGAATGCCGTCGTTCGCCTCTTTCATCGCGGGCGTTATCGCGTTCTCGTCGATCTTCAGAACCGCGATGTCTTTGTCCTCGTCGAAACCGACCACCGTCGCTGGGTAGACGGTCTGATCCTGGAACGTCACGCGCACTTGGTTCGCGCGCGCGATGACGTGGTAGTTGGTGATGATGTGCCCGTCGTCGTCCCACACGATCCCGCTCCCGGCGCCCTGCGGCGCTTCTGTGATGTTCAGCGTGAACACGTCGCGTCGCTGCGCTAAGTTCGTGATGTACACCACCGAGGGGGTGTTCTCTTTGAACAAGGATATCGTCGCCTGCTCGTCGGACGTGAGCGAGCGCATCGCGGGCTCCGGCGCGCGCGCGGACGGCGGCGAGCCCGTCTTGAACGTCGGCGCGATCATCGCGTTCTCTTGCCCGGCGGGGACCTGCTCTGCCCACGCCGCGAGGGGCGCGAAGTCGCCCGCGAGGACGGACGTCGTCAACGCCGCCGCGGAGAGCGCGGCGAAGACGCGAGGCGCGCGAGGGGCGACGTCCGCGTCGTCCTTCTCCGCCGCGGACGCGCGGACGACGCGCGCGGACGTCCGCGGGGACGTCCGCCGCATCGCGCGCGGTCGCCCCAGCGCGGAGCGCGACGTCCCGATCGCGAGCGACATCGCGCCGTGCATCGCGAGCGCGGTCGGCATCCCCCTCGGTCAAAGACGAACCGCGGTTCGCGTCCTTTCGATGAAGCCTTCCTTTTTTCTGGGAGCGCGCGACGCGACGGACGTCGACGGCGACGAACGGGTCGACGGCTCGAGGGCGAGGCGCGAGGCGGGTCGTTCGCCGAGAGGAAAGACGAAGTGGCGTTCCGTTCCGCGCGCGGTCGCGCGTGTCGAAGTGCGCGCCGCGGGAGCCCTGACGCGTCTCTCCGCATTCACTTCAAAAACGTATGACGTATGTGGCTTCAAAACGTTTCGCGCGCTTTTCCGTGCCACGTGGAGTTGTGGAGATATTTTCTACTAACCGTCTCACGTTGCGCTACCTACTATACTATCTGCGTGTTGAACCCGACGCCGACCTCGCCTCCCCCCATCGCGAGCGTCACGTCGTCGTCGCCCGCCTCGCGAATCCGCAGACCGAGCCCGCGCATCCACAGCGCGAAGCTCGGCTCCTCGGTCGGGAGAAACGACGCCATCAGCTTTTTCCGCGCCTCCGGGGCCAACGCGGCGATGGGCGGAAACCAAACGTTCTGCTCGTGCTCCGCGTCCACGTGACCCGGCGCGAGCCTCGAGACGACGTATCGCGCCTGGGACGACCCTTCGGTGACGATCTTCAGCGACGGGATCGGGAAACGGTCGCGAGTCAGCCGTTTACCGAACGCCGCGAGCGTCTCGCGCGCGTCGCGCGACCGCGCCGCGTCGCTCGCCACCTCCCTCCCGACCCACCCGAAGACGCAATCCCCGGCGTCGAGGAACAACACCGCGTCGCCGCACAGCGCGAGATCGCTCGCGGGCACGCTGACGAATCCGCCCGCGCCGCCCGCGCCGTCGCGTTTGAACAGTCGCGGCGACAGCATCGGCGCGGCGACGTCGACGCCGGCGGAGAGAAAAATCCCGCGCGCCGCGGCGCGTTCGTCCGCGTGACCGAGCATCTCGCTCAACATCCCGCCCCGGCACGCGTGATACATCGCCTCCGCGAACTCGCGCAGCGCGCCGGGGAACGGGCGGTTCGGTGGCGGCGCGCTGGGGGGCGAGAACACCTCCGCGAGGTGCATCACGCGCGCGCGGAGACGCTTCGCGGCGCCGAGGCGACCGATGGATTCGTTCGCGGCGTCGAGCGCCGCCTTCTTCCCCGCGAGTATCCCCGCGACGGTGTTATCCACCGCGGCGAGGTACTCGCGTTTCGTGCGGACGGTTGGAATCCGAATCGACACGACCCGCGCGACGCGCGTGCCGGTGGGGGTGACGTCCCACGACGCGAACTGCGCGTGCGCGTACGCGTCGGGGGGGAGGTCCCGGGAGAATTGAAAAAATACCGCGATCGCCTGCGGGGAGGAATGGAGAGAGGAAGGAAGCGCACGCGCGTCAGAGGAGAGAACACGACGGCGAAAGCGTCTCGAACGACGTCCGAACGAACGGTGTGGCGCTTCTCGCGACTCCGCGCTGGCCGTGAGGGCCGCGTCGAGCGCGCGAAACGCCCTGGATGGGTTCATATCGCGCGGCCGTTTAACTCGAGGCTCGTGTGGTTTCGAGCGGCGAGCTGGTAAGCTACGCACTGAGGAGGCGGGCGGGCGGACTGGCGGACGAAAATAACCAAGATTTGCAACCCACACGAAGCCCGCGAACGTACAGCGAACAAACGGAGCTCTTGGCTAGGGGTTAACCGATCATCTCTAGCGAAGCAATTTGGCCCGACGCCTCCCAAGTTAAGTACGAGACGTCGGGCTGGTTATGCCTCGCGCGCGAGCGAAAAAAAAAAAAAAAAACGCTCCGGGGAACGAGCGGAGGGCGCGCGCACCTGCGTGGGATCGTTCGTCTTCAAACGGACCACGTCGCTCGCGTCCTCGAACGCGGTCGACCCACACCGCGTCGCCGCCGCCGCGGCTTCGCGCGTCATCGTGCGAACGGGTCCGATGACGCGCGCGCACTGCACGCCGTGCGACAGTCTCACCGTCACCGCCGGTCCTCTCCCTGGCCGTCTCGCCGCCGCCCTCGCCGCGTTGGATTCGAACGTCGCGCCGAAGTCTTCGACGAGGACGACGGATCCACCGGTCGCGTCCGCGAGGGGGGCGAGCCTAGCCGCGCCGATGGCTTCTCGTCCGCCGGAGATGATGTCCACGGTCACGTCAAGCGAAGCGATCTGTGGATCGATCGAACGGAGACGAGGGCGCGAGTCAGCGGGGAGTATCCAGAGGTTGTGGTTTCGGCGTGATCGCGAAAAAAAAACAGCCGCCGCGGGTTTTGCTCTCAGTCAGGTTGTCATTAGCGTCTTCACGAGGATAGTCAGCAAAGATTAAGCTGTAAAAACATCACAGAGCAAAACCGAGAGACGCGCGGGTTCGGGGAGACGATGACAAAAATCAAATCACGCGAATCAGCGGGGGTCGCGTGGAGATTTTACGCACCGTGCTCGACAGTTCGTCCACGTACGCCGCCGCGGTCGCTCTCTCGAAATCAAAAAGCTCGGACTCGTCGTCCGCGCGCACGCCGCCCGGCCCTCGCGTGCACGGCCCGCCCGCGCACACGAGTATCCGACCCGGGCCGCCGCGGCGTCGAATCATCGCCGCCGCCGTCTCGATCGCGACACCCGCGCACCGCGCCCTGCCCGCGACGGGCCCGGCGCTCCGCCCCGCGGGTTTGATCGACGAGATGACCGCCTCGAGCGCGGCTCGACACGCGCGCGCGGGCGCGATGAATCGCCCGATCGAGCCGCCGCCGTCGCCGCCGCCGTCGTCGTCGTCTTCTTCTTCTTTTCCTAAAAACGCGTCCAGGTCAGCCGCGCGCGGCGACTTCGCGCCCGAAAGCACTTCCGCGCTCGCGACGGCGCTCGCGCCGCCTAACTCGTACACCGCGACGGACGCGGCGTAGGTCACGAACCCCACGCTCTGCGACGCGTCGAGACCGGACGCGACGCGGGATAATGACGCGCGAAGCAGCGCGGCCTCGTCGTCGTCGAGCGCGTCGTCGACGACGAAAAAAACCACGCCGCCGTTCCCGCCGCCTTCGCCGTCCCCGCCGCCGCCGCCGCCCGCGGATCCGTCGCCGCTCCCGCTCTCGAGGTGGTACTCCACCACCGCGTTCGTCAGCTCCGGGAACGCGTCCCGCCCCCCGTTCGACCCGCCGCCGCCGCACGCGTAGAGCGCGTCGACGTTCCCGACGTCGCACAGCGCGCACCGCCACGCGCCGAGCGTCAAGTCGACGCGGCACGACGCGGACGCGAACGCGCCGCAGTGGTAGCACGACGCCGGGTCTCGTCGCAGCGTCGGGACCGCGTCGTCGTTCGCGGCGTCGGCGTCGGCGTCGGCGTCGGCGGGGGCGGGGGCGGGGGCGAAGAGCGAGAGGATCGCGCCGATGGGGAGCGCGCCGCAGTTGGCGACGATCGCGTCCGCGGGGAAGGCGGACGCCGAGATTCGCGCGAGGCGATTCGCGATCCCCGTCTTCACCGCGTCGACGCGCACCTCCTGGGAGAAGTCCGCGGACGACAGCGTGTCGTACAGCTCGCTGCCGGCGACGGCGTTGGACGCGGACGAGTGCGCGGGCGCGGCGCCGCCGCGCGCTTTCATCGCCGCGTCGCGTCCCGCGTGTTTGTCGTGCCGCAGCGGTATGAGCGGGCCTTGCTCGTTCTCCCTTCGTATCGCGTCCAAGCCGATGCCCATGTCCATGAGATCCATGGCGCTCGCGTCAGGACGCGCCTCTGTCCCGTCGCGACGCCCGCGACGCCCTCCGTGCGCGGCTCCGGACGCGTCTCGCGCCGTGCACACTGGTCGACCGCCGATTATTCTCGCCGCGCGCCGCCGACGTCGATTTTTCATCGGCGGGTCCGAGCCAGCGCCAGCTGGCAGGCTGGCATACCTCGACCGCGCCGTCCACCGCGTGCACGAGGCCGCGATGCACCGCGCGGGTCATCGCGCGAGCGAGACGTCGCTGTGGATCGCGGTCCTCGAAGGGAAGTGGGATGTCGTCCAGAACAAGGTGCGCCCGCGCGACGCTCCGCCCGTCTCCCGACGCTCGTCGAAGATTAAGATGAGCGTCCGCCGCTCTCGAGATTCGTCCGCTCACGCCACCTCTCCCCTCGCCGTCTCGCGCAGGTTCTGAGAGGCGCGACGACCGCCGCGGTGTACGCCGCGACCGCGTCGATCATCTCGACGTTCCTCCTCTTCGTCGCGTTCTTCCTCGTCGTCGCCTTCCGCTTCATCGTCGTCCCGACCGGGCCGTCGTCCACGCATCAAGAGCTGATCTTCGACGTCACGTCGAGCGCGCCCGTCGCGTCCGCGTCCTTTCTCTCCGAAGAGAAACGCGCGTACCTGCGCTCCCCGGCGGCGTTCACGAAGCCGACCGCGGACGCCCCCGCGACCATCTCCGACAAGGCGCTGCGACGCGCGCGCGTCCTCGACCCCGGGACGCGGTTCGACGTCACCGCGACGCTCGTCGTCCCGGACGCCGCCGCCGCCGCGACGGGCGCGGGCGGCGTCGACGGCGGCATGTTCCAGGTGTACGCGTCGCTGACGAACGAGCGGGGCGACGCGATAGCGAACGCGACGCGCCCGGCGACGCTCAAGCGCGTCAACCCTGAAGTCAGGCTCCTCCGGTTCGTCACGCGGTGGCCGCTGTACGCGTTGGGGCTGATGGAAGAGACGCAGACGCAGGTGCGTTCTATACACTGGTCCCCATACGACCGCGTTGGCGTGGTGAACGCCGATCCTTAAGGACTTTTCCCGTCGTCTCTCTGCGCCCACCCCTCGCTTTCAATCCCCGCCCTCGACGCCTTTCAACGCCAACTGACGCCTTTCAACTCCACCCCGACAATCGCTTGTATGGAACGACCCTAAGTGGATCCGGCTGCCGATGTTTCGCGGCGTCTCGGAGGACAAGTCGAGCCCGTTCACCTCCGTCGTCGTCGTCGTCAAACCCCGCGCGGGCGTCCCCGCGAGCGCGCTGCCGATCATCTACGCCGCGCACGCGGACGTGCACGTGGAGATGAACGCGCTGACGAGGGCGATCAGGAGCTACCCCGCGTCGAGTTTCGTGCTGATGTCGATCGCGGTGTGGGGGTATCTGTGCGCGACGGCGACGGCGTTGTTCGGCGTCGTCGTGCTCTTCGGCGCGGTGCGCGCGCCGTCGTCGTTCGCGAGCGAGGTGATTAACCGGTCGAAGCAGATCGTGAGCGGCGGGCTGAGCGGGTTGAGCGCGAGCGCGAGGAGCGAGTACGTCGGGTGGAACGAGTACGTCGCGGGCGGACTGAGCACGTCTTCCGACGACGAGGACCGCGGCGGGTCGTCGCGGAACAGCGAGGAGGGACGGCGCGGGAGCGTCGGGGACGACGGCGACGGCGACGGAGACGGCGCGGGGGACGAGACGTCGGGAGACGACGGCGGGATCGCCCCGGACGGGCTGCGCAGGCGCGTCGTCGCGTGATTTCGTTTCAATTCTAATTCTCTCCGATGGATGCTACAGTGCTCGCCGCGCGCTCGCTCTTCGCGATCTCGTCCGTCGCGGCGTCGTCGTCGTCGTTTTCGTCGTCGCGCGAGGATGAAAAAATAAAGCGCGTCGTCACTCCCCGCCCCCCGCCGCCGCGGCCGCCTTCCCCTCGAGCTTATGCTCCACGAACTCGTCGATGAGGTACGGCCACGCCCCCGCGGGATCGTACCCCTCCAACTCCGGCCCTATGCTCCTCGAAAACTCCAACGCCTGGCTCCACGTGTCGCGCGTGATCGCCTTCCCGTGCTTCTCCGTCAAAAAATCGCACCACTCGTCGACGAGCGCCCACCGCGCGCGCCCTGACGCGTCGTCGCCGCCGAGCAACACCTTCCACAGCGCGCACGCGGACTCCAACGCCAGCGACTTGTGGTTGTCCTCCTTCGCGAACGCGAACGAGTACTCGTACACCTCTTTGAACTCGTCCGGGTCTTCTAGATCCTCTCTCAGCTCCGGCACGAGCGCCCTGAGCTTCGACGTCGCGTCGACGCCGACGTCGCGCATGCCGCGTCGAAACTCCTCTCGGGTGTACACGCCCATGTTCGCCGCGCGCATGCGGCACGAGATGACGAGGATGACCGGGTCCATCGCGTCGATCCCGAGGTCGGCGCAGAACCGCTCGATCCCCGACGCGTCGATGACGTCCTCGTCCGCGTCCTCGGATCTGTACGACTCGAACATGGCGTCGATCGCGGACGCGTCCGCGCGAGAGCCGACGTCCATCGGCGTCGAGAAGAAGATCTCGAGGCCGACCTCGAGGTCCCACTTCGCCTCTTTCAGGATCTTCAGCGCGAGGTCCTCGGGCGCGTCCGCGACGGACGCGAAGCGCTTGACCTTGTCCTTCTGGCTCTTGTTGAGCGCGGGCTGGAGGGGCGGCGGCGACGACGACGGAGAGGGGTGAGCGAGGGTACACGTTTCTTCGTCGTCTCTTTCGCGAACAGATCGAACGAGACGCGCGCGCGATCGCTCAAGGATCGACGCGCCGGCCGCGACGGGGCGACGGGGTGGGGGACGACGGCAATGGAGGCGCACCATCGCGAACGTCGGACGGATCTCCCCGGTGCGCGGGGTCTCGCGCCTGGCCGCCGGAATCGTCCGGGGCGCCGCGCAGTGGCACGTCGCGCACGCGGGTCGCCGCGGTTCCAGTCACGCAAGTCGAGGCGCTCGCGCTCGCGCCGCTTGAAACTTGCGACGAGCGGAGCGGAGGTCAACCACGGCGGACAGATGCAAAGCGAGGCATTCGCTTCGCGCGCGCCGCCGCAGCACGGGGCGTCGCGTCCGCGTGACCAGGTGAGAAACCGCGGACACGCGAGGCATTGGACGTGCACGACGACCCGCGAACGTCTCGGACTCCGGTCGCGACGCGTCATGGTGCGCTCGACCGGGGAAAGCCTTCCCCTTTAGCGCTCTCGGAGCCGACGACAGACAGATTCAATTCGTCAATGCGTTTTTCCGATTCGCGCTGACCTACCAGCCCCCACCGTCCGCGTCGTTTGTCCATGGAAACGCCGCGACCGCGCCGCGAAAGCGCGCGGGGAACGCGAAAACACCATCTCGCGGGAGCCCGCCGGAGCTCGTCCCGCGGAAGCGCAGCCTCGCGGAAGCGGTCGGCTCTCCCCACCCTCCCGAATCACTCCTGAGTCTCTCCGCGAAAACGGTGGCGCGATCCGTCAGCGAAGGCGCGACGAACGACGCGCGGGATCCCGCCTCGCCGTCGCGTCCTCCCCTCGACCTCGAGAGCCTCCCCCCGGACCTCGCGCAGCGCGTCTTCGACGTGCTCGCGCGCGCGAACGAGCTCACCGTGGACGCGCTCGGACGCTTCGAAGGATGCTTCCTCTCCGACGCGAGCGGCCTCGACGCGAACGTCGTCACCGACGCGTTTCTCGCCGCGCTCCGCGACGTCGCGACGAGCCTCTCTCGGATCGACCTCACCGGGTGCGACGCGCTCACGAGCGGCGGGCTGCGGTCGAACTTCCCGTGCTGCGCGCGAATGACGATCGTGAACGTCAGCGAGTGCGCGGGCGTGGACGACGACGCGTTGGCCGCGATGGCGTCCGCGACGCACCTGAAGTCGTTTTTCTGCGAAGGCAACGACGCCGTGACCGGGTCCGGGGTTCGGCACCTCGCGTCGCTGACGTCCTTGCGCGAGCTGAGCTTCGAGCGGTGCGCGAGGTTGAGAGAGGGGATGTGCCACCTCGCCGGGTTGCGTAATTTGCGATCGTTAAACCTCGGGTGGTGCGGGAAGCTGAGCGCGAAGGAGACGTCGCGCGCGCTGACGCCGTTCTTCCCGGCGTCGGCGTCGGCGCCGCGGTCGACCCCGATCGAGCTCTCGCTCGCGCGAACGGGCGCGAACGCGGACACCGCGCGCGCGCTCGGTCAACTCGCCGGTCGACTAGTCGCGTTGAACGTGTCCGGGTGCGCGATGAACGACGACGCGTTGCATTTCCTCGGAGGATTGATCAACCTCCGCTCGCTCTCGCTCGAGCGGTGCCGCGTCTCCGACGTCGGCGTCCGCCAGCTGTGCGGTCTCCGCGACTTACGCGAGCTGAACCTCGGGTACACGAGAGTCACGAACGACGGCGTGCTCGCCTTGGCGCCGCTGACCGAGCTCAGAGTCGTGAATTTGGACTCGCTCGGCGACGTCGGGGACGCGGGGATGGAGGTCGCGAGACGGTGGGAGAAGCTCGAGTCGCTCTGCGTCAGCGACACCGGCGTCGGCGACGGCGGCGTCCGCAAGCTGAAGTCCTGCGCGCGCCTCCGCGATCTGAACCTGGGCTACACGAACGTCACGGACGACGGCTTGGAGCACCTGGAGGACATGACGTCGCTGAGGAACTTAAACTTGGACTCGAGGCTCATCACGGACGACGGCGTGCGGCACCTCGCGAACCTCGGCGCGTTGACCGCGATTGATTTATTCGGGGCGAAGATAAGCGACGAAGGCGCGTCGCGGCTGTTTAAGTGCACGCCGAAGCTGGAACGCTTGGAGCTGTGCGGCGGGAGCTTAACGAACGTGGGCGTCAAGCGCATCGCGGAGCACTGCAAGGGGATGAAAACGCTGAACATCGGACGGAACGCGAAAATCACGGACGACTGCGTCGACGACGTCGTCACGATGCGCGAGCTCACGAGCTTAAACCTCGCGTTCAGTAAGATAACCAGCGATGGCGTCCGGAAGCTCGCGGCGCTGCCGTGCTTGACGTCGCTCGCGATCAAAGGGTGCGAGTCCGTGTCCCTCGCCGCGGTGGAGCGGCTGAAACGAGAGGCGCCGGCGTTGCGAACGGTGGGGTTCTCGATTTAATTTTCATATTCGCAGAGCGGACGACGTCTGCGTTCTGTCTTAGCTGGCGCGTGGTGGTAACACTCGCTTCATTTGAATTAACGATATCATTATCACATCATTAACTCTGTAATCAATCAATCGTCTTAATACTCAAACAACGTTTACTCGTACATCCCCTCAGAGCCCCGCGTACGTGGGCAGCCCCTCCATCGTCTCCGCGAAGTGATGCGAGTGCCGAATCGGAATCTGGTACCGATCCCGCATCATCTCGTCCGCAGCCTTCAGCTTACTCACCTCGAGCACCACGGTGTTCCCAACGTTCCCCCTGGTCACCTCCAACCGTAAAAACTTCTCCTCGCCGGACACCCCCGCGGCGATCATCGACACGAACGCGTCCATGTCCGCGACGAGCTCGCCGTTGACGGATTTCACGTAATCCAACCCGACGGCGTCGAACGTGAACCCGACGTTGCACTCGTCGGAGAGCACTTGCGACAAGACGACCACCTCGCGCTTGTTCGGGCCCGAGATGCCGTCGTAGTACTGCTCCACTAAGTGCGTCGGCGCGTCTTTTAAGTCCCCGCCCCAGGACTGGAGATACTCTAACGACAGCGGCTGGAACAAAAAACCGCCCATGATGACGTACGACGGTCGGACGTCGTACTGCCCCCTGGGCACGAGCTGCCGGAGCGCCTTCATCGTGACCGCGACCTTCATATACTCACCTCCGCGGAGTAACCGAATCGGTACCTCGTCGCCGACGTACCGCGCTTGTAAGATGGACACCATCGCGAGTCGCTGTCCGAGGAACACGCACGAGCCGTCGTTGGCGAGCTTAATCCCGTCCACCTCCAGCACGACGTCCCCGGCTCGCAGAACCCCCTCCGCGGAGCTCCCGTGCTCGACGTGCGTGATCATCACCCCGGAGTCATCGTCCTTCATCTTGAGGTACTTTCGAAGGCTCGGAGATTGAAGAAGCTGCAGATGCACGCCGAGCGACGGCAGCGTCGGCGGCTTCCCGTCCTCGCTGGACTTTAAGAATCGGTTGATCACCGGCGCCGGGACCATGTGCCCTTGGTTCTCCACGCTCGAGCCCGCGTACCCTTGAAACGCGACGCCGACTAAGCCGCCCGTGGTCTGCGACAACACCGGCCCGCCGCTGTTCCCGCTGTTGATCGCCGCGTCCACGGTCACCGCGAGCGCTCTCTGATGCGAGTGCGAGTACGACTGCACCTCCACCCTCGACACGACGCCCTCCGTGATGGACAGGTCGTTCCCGCCGACGGGGAACCCCAAGACGTACACCTTCTCGCGCAGCTTCGGCAGCGCGACGTTATCGTCGGTCGGCACCGGCACCGGCTCGACGCCGTCCAGACCTTCGTCCACTCGGACGAGCGCGAGGTCGACCTCGTGCAACACCGAGAGCACCCTCGCGGGCACCTTGTCCGGCGAGTTCGCGAGCTGGACCTGGATGTAGGTGCTGTTCGCGACGACGTGCGCGGCGGTCAGGACGAGCCCGCCGCCGCCCTCCGCGTCGCGCTTGATGACCGCGCCGGACCCGGTCGATCGCTGCGCGGTCTTCGTCTGCCACGGGTTCACCCAGTCCGGCTCCAAGAACGTCACGAGAAGCTTCACGACCGCGCGGTACTCGTCCACGTCGAACGGGGTGTCGTCGAGCGCGACGGAGGAGGAGACGATGGACTCGAGGACGTCGTCGCTCGCGATCGCGGCGTCGTCGTGCGACTCCGGCTCGTCTATGGACGCGGCGGCGGCGGCGGCGGCCGCGAGCGGGCGGCGCGCGGGTCCGCGGCGGCGGACGGAGGACGTCGCGGAGGCGAACTGGCGTCGACGATGAATCGTGCCGATTCGCGCGCGGGAGGGTGGGGAGGATCGCGTCGAGACGCGAGGCATCGCGCGCGCGGACGCCATCGCGGTCATCGTGGACGCGGTCATGCCGATGAAGACGCGCGCGCGGGCGCTTCCTCGAACGCGAAATCCCTGCCGCTGCGCAGCGAGGTGTGCGCGAGGTGCGACAGCGCGATCGATCGTAGTGTCGTGTACAGGGTTAGGGTTATTGCACTGTTCGCTCGCAGAAGAGCGCTGCTACAGTAGGCTGCGCTGGCGAGCACTCTGGCGAGCACGTGTCCAAGAATACGATGGTGGTGTCGGTGTAATACAACCGCTCTCCGTGATCATCACCCCCCCCCCCCACTGCGCCGCTCACAGCTCGACCGCGTCCACGGGAAGGAGCGTGATGTCCCTCACCGTGTCCCCGTCGTTGAGCTTCATCAGCTTCACCCCTTTCGCGTTCCGTCCGAGCTGCGGCCTGAGCTCGGTGACGTCGTACCGGTTCAAGACGCCCGCCGTGGAGCCGATGATGACCTCCTCCGCGACGCACTCCGCGTCCCCAGCCTCTCGTAACGCCGGGTCCACGCCGGTTATGCACATCGCGGCTAATCTGCTGCCTTCCTCTAACCCGATCGCTTTATTTCCTAGCCCGCCGCGACCTTTCTGCCTGAACTGCCCGACGGAGATGCGCTTCCCTTGGCCCTCCGACGTGACGAGCAGCACCATCGCGCCGCACTCGTCCGCGGGTTTTTCATCCCCCGTCCCCGCGTCGTCGTCGTCGCCAGCCTCGTCGCTCTCCGTCGCGAGCTCGAACGCGGCGACGACATCAGACGGCACGATCGACATCCCCGCGACGAGCACGGGGAGGGCATCGCCGTCGTCGTCGTCGTCCGCCGCGCCGTCGTCCGCCGCGCCATCCGCGGCGGGCGCCGACTTTTTCTCCGCGTCGTTTTCCCTCCGCGCCTTCTCTTTCAAGTCCGCGGCTTTCACCTCGTACGGTGCCTTCTCCTCGTCCGAGAGTTCTCTCCACATCTTGCTCACCTCCGCCATGTTGTAAGACGTCCCTTCCGGCGCGTTCGCGCGCGCGTCAGCGGCGAACAACATGTGCGCCGCCGGCGGCTTCTTCGGCTTCTTCTCCGTCGCGCCCGCCGACGCCTCGCGAAATTTCATCGCCTTCACGCCGCTTCCAATCCGCGACTGCGCGCGAATGGAGTCCATGGAGAAGTGCAGGACCATGCCGTCCACCCCCGCGACCATGATGCCGTCGCCGTCTCTCACCAGTTCGACGTGCTTTAAACGGTCGCCCTTCTGTAACCCGAGCGCCCGCTTTCCCGCTCGATTGATGTTTGCGAATTCGGAAATCGGCGTCTTCTTCACGACCCCTCGCGCGGTGAGCATGACGAGGTGCTCGCCCACGTTCGAGCCGCGCCTCGACGCGGTGTCCACGGGCAACATCGCGGTGATCGTCTCGCCCTCCGCGAGCTTTAACACCCGCGTGAACGGCGTCCCGAGCGCGGTGGTGGACGACTGCGGAATGTCGTACGCGCGAACGGCGTACACGCGCCCGCGATCGGTGAAGAACAACACGGTGTCCAGCCCGTTGCAGTGCGTCACTTTGGTGACCTGGTCGCCGCCGCGCATCCTCCCGCCCTTCTTTCCAATCGTACCTTTGTTTTGGCGCGAGAAAATCTTCGGGTCGATCCTCTTGATGTACCCTTTCCCGGTCATCACGATGAGGTTATCCGCGTCCAAAGAATCGAGAGGGATGTTCATGCGTTTCGCGTACAACGCCGCCGCCGCCATCTCGCGCTCGGCGACGTTCCCGACGTCTTCGCCGCCGTCGCCGGAGGGAGGGCTCCGACGCCTCGCCTCCGCGACCTCGGCGGCGAGCTTCGCGGCGGAGTGATCGATCAGCGTCTTGCGCTCGACGCCGTACTTATCGCGGAGTTCTTTCGCCTCGGACGCCACCGCGGCGATGACCAGCGCGCGGTCGCTCAGAAGCGCGTTCAACTGCTCCACCTTCGCGGTGAGATCCGCCTCCTCCGCGCGCAGCTTATCGTGCTCCAGACCGGTCAACCGTCTCAACGGCATCGCGAGGACCGCCTCGGACTGTTCCTTGGACAGCGAGAACGGCGCCTCTTGAAGCGTCTTCTGCGCCTCCGGGCCGTCCTTCGCGGCTCGGATCGCGGCGACGACGGCGTCCGGCGCGGCTTGCACCGCGAGGTATCCCTCCACGACGTGCAGCCGCGAGCTCGCTTTCGAGAGCTCGTGCCGCGCGCGGCGCTCGATGCTCTCGCATCTGAACTCCAGGAACTCGCGCATGATGTCCATCAGCGTCAGCACCTTCGGCTCGCGACCGATGAGGCCGACGAGGTTCACGCTCACTCGCACCTGCAGCCTCGTCCGCGTGTAGAGCTGCTCGCGAACAAAGTTGGGATCCCCCGACCGCCTGATCTCGACGACGACGCGCATGCCGTCGCGATCGGACTCGTCCCGCACGTCGACGACGCCGTCCAGCTGCCGGCTGTTCACCAGGTCCGCGATCTGCCCGCACAGCGACGCTTTGTTCGTCTGAGGGTCGTTCCATACGAGCGAACGTCGGGGTGGAGTTGAAAGGCGTCAGAAGCGGAGTTGAAAGGCAACGCGCGCGGGGATTGAAAGCGAGGGGTGAGCGGAGAGATGCGCCGGACAAAGTCCTCAAGGAACGGCGTTCACCACGCCGACGCGGTCGTATGGGGACCAGTGTATAGAACGCGCCTGATACGGAATCGACGTGATGATCACCGCGTTTTTCGTCGTCGCGTTTTTTCCCCTAACCGACGTCTTGATCTCTTCGATGTGCGCCGCGCCTCTGAGCGTCACGCTCCCTTTCCCCGTGGCGTACATATCCCTGAACCCTTTCCCTTCCTTCGGGGCCATGATTATCCCGGACGTCGGGAAGTCCGGCGCGGGCATCACCTTCAAGAGGTCGTCCAACGTGCATCCGTCCGGATCCGCGGCGTAAACCGCGAGCGCGTCCGCGACTTCCCTCAAGTTGTGCGGCGGGATCGACGTCGCCATCCCGACCGCGATCCCGGTGCTGCCGTTGATGAGAATGTTCGGCAGGCGCGCGGGCAACACCGACGGTTCGTTCTGCGAACCGTCGAACGTTTCCGTGAAGTCGACCGCGTCCGCGTCGATGTCAGCGAGCAGCATCGCCTCCGCGACGGATCGCAGCCGGCACTCCGTGTACCGCATCGCCGCCGGCGGGTCCGCGTCCAGCGACCCGAAGTTCCCGTGCCCGTCCACGAGCTGCGCGGACATCGAGAAGTCCTGCGCCATGCGCACGAGCGCGTCGTACACGGACTGGTCGCCGTGCGGGTGGAACTTCCCCAAGACTTCGCCGACGACGCGCGCGCACTTTTTGAACGGCTTCTTCGAGTCCAAGCCGAGCTCGTGCATCGCGTAGAGGATGCGTCGATGGACGGGCTTCAGGCCGTCGCGGACGTCCGGGAGCGCTCTGCCGACGATGACGGACATCGCGTACGCGAGGTACGACTGCGACGCCTCCACGCTGAGCTCCGTGTCGATGATCCTCTCGTTCGTCGCGTCCTCGTCCACGGCGCCGTCGCCGTCGCCGGCGACGACCGCGGGGGCGCTCGGCGGCCGACGCGGGCGCGCGCGCGACGACGCGCTGGACGCGAAGCCGACGCGGGCGCGCGCGCGATCGAGCGCGGGGACGGACGCGAAGCCGGACGCGATCCCGGGCGTCGCCATCGACGCGACGACCGCCGCGCGCGGGCGCGCGCGATGCGCGCGGGCGGCGACGTCGACGTCGACGACGGCGTTGTTACGAGGCGCGACGACGACGAGCGCGCGCGATGACGATCTCGTCGTCGACGCCCCGGGCGCGCGCGCCGGCGCGACGCGCGCGGCGGCGAACGACGCGACGCGCCTCGCGACGCCGCGCGCGTTCGTCATTGGTCTCGCGCGAGGTACGTTCGCGTCGACGATACCGCTCATGCCACTCACTCGCGCGCGCAAGAGCTGAGTGGACGACGCGCGCGCGGCGGCATCGTCTTCGACGGACAGCAGGTTCAAATATCGATCGAAGGTGCGAACGTTTTTCACCCACCGATCGGTTTCAACACTTGATCGCGTCCGCTTTCAACTGACCGGTGAACTTTTTTTTGTATGGAACGACCCGCAGTCGGGAGTCGCGCCGTGCGTTCTATTCCGTTCACACCCCCGCGCGCTACGCGGGCTCTCTACTCCTCTCTCTCTCCTCCTCCTCCCCACGACCGCGCTCGCGCGTCCTAGTCGTTGTACGCCCTGTTCAGAAGCCTCAGCGTCTTCGCTCGGTCGTAATCCAGCCTGTCGTCCGCGCGCGTCTTTTTCCTTCGCAACTTTATGCGCTTGCCGCTTATCGCGTCGTACCTCTTATCGCTGCTCGACGACGACGACGAGGAGGAGGAGGAGGAAGAAGAGTCCGAGTCCGATTCCGAGTCCGAGTCCGAGTCCGATCGCCTTCGCTTCTTGCTCCGCTTCGACGAGCTCTTCCTCCTCTTCTTCTTCGCGTCACCGCCGCGCCTTTTCCTCCGCTCCTTCTCGTCCCGTCTCTTCCCGTCGCGAATACGCCTCTTGAGTTTCCGTCGACGCTCGCGCTCGTCCTCGAGCTCCTTCTCTAACGCCTCGCGACTCTTCCCGTCGTCTTCAACCTCGTCGTCGTCCTCCTCCTCGTCGTCGCGGTCTCGCTTCCGCTTCTTCCGCTTCGACTCGCCGCCCTTCTTCCGCTTCTCTCGCCGCCGCCGCCGCCGCCGCCGCCGCCCGCTCGACGACGACGACGACGACGACGACGAGCTCTCGTCGTCGTCGCTCGCGCTCGAACCCCCGCCGTCGCCCCCGCGACGACGTCCGCGTTCGCTCTCCGGCAGCGCTAACGTGGGCTCCTCCCCGCGGTCGCCTAACCGCCTCGTCCGTTCCGCGGGCCCCGCGGCGTCCTCCAACCGCAAACGCGGAGGAGGCGCGCGCCCCGTCGCGATCGACTTCTCGCGCGCGTCGAGGTGATCGCCGAACCCCGGCAACAACGCGCCCTCCCCCTTCGCGATCGCGGTCTCCTTCATCGCGGCTTTCACGTCCGCGCGCATGAGCTTGATGTAATCGCGGCCGTGCACGCCGCCGACGGGGATGCGTTGACGCTCCTCGATGCCGTTGACGTCCGCGCCGCGGCGGATCGCGGCGTTGCACTGGTCCTTGAGCTCGCCCACGGACGCCATCCCGCGCTTTACCGCGGCGATGACGGCCATGGACTTCTGCAGCGAGCGATCGGGGGGTCCCATCCTCGCGGTGGGCGACGCCCCCCGCGTGGCGCGCGCGGGAGAGTGCGCGCGCCGACGCGGCGAGAGGACGAAAATAATACTGTACCACACACGCCGCAGATCTCGCGTCGACGAGACGTCGTCGTCGCCACAACACGATGCGCCGGGCGATCGCGCTCGCCGCGCGCCGTGCGCTCGTCGCCGCGGAACCCCTCGCGGGCGCGGACGCGACGCGGACGACCACGACGCGCGCTCGCGTCCTCGCCCCGCTCGCGTTCCACGCGACGCAGACGCGAGATCTCTCCGCGAGAGCGCGAGGGCGATCCCGAGGCTCGAGACGCGCGGTCGGCGCGAGGCCTCCGCCGCCCGCGGGAGGCGACCCGAACGACCCCTGGGAGCGCGTGGAGGACCGAGCGACCGGGCAGATCTACTGGTGGAACGTCCAGACGAACGAGACGACGCCGCTGGGCGCGCCGAAGCCGCCGCCGGGGACGAGCGCGAACGTCCCGACGACGACGGGAGGACACCCGTCGCACCCTCCCGCGCAGCAGCAGCAGCAGAGCCGCGGCATCCTCGGAGGCCTCGGAAGCATCGTCGCGGAGGGCATGGCGTTCGGGACCGGGTCCGCGCTCGCGCACAGGGCGATAGGGAGCATGTTCGGCGGCGGCGGCTACGGCGGCGGCGGCGGCGCGGCTCCGGCGCCGGGGGGCGAAGCCCCGAGCGACGCCGCCGCCGCCGCCGGATCGGAAGCGGGAGGAGGGTGGGGGGACGACTTCGACGACGTGGACGACAGCGGCGGCGGGTTCTTCGACGGGTTCGACATGGGCGACTTCGACGAGTGAGCGCGAGAGCGCGCGCCGAAGATGAAACGTCGCGAATAAGATACACACACTACTCGTACTTTCGACGCTACGCACCCGGCCGCGTCTCTTCGCCCGAATGACTCTCAGCGTCGACGAAGGCGACGCGTTCCGTCGGCGTCACGCCCTCAACCCTAACGCCAGCGCGCGAGAGAGACCTCGTCCCAGGAGTATCGGCTGTAGCTCGTACAGATGGAACTCCTCCTCGTCGCCGTCTTCGTACGTGACGTGATAGTACGCCTTGCCGTCGTCGTCGTCGACGTCGACTCGATCGACGACGCCTTTGTAATAAGCGTCGCCAAACTTTTTCCGGACGCGTCGGCCGACGTACGACGACGGCGACGGTTCGTCCTCTCCCATCTTCTCCGCTTCCTCCGTCTCCTCCGGGTCTCCTGAGTCTCCCAAGAGCAAGCTCAAGATCTCGCGATCCGCCTCGGCTTTGCTTCTGGAGCGCGGCGTCGTCGTCGGCGCCGCCGCCGCCGCCGCCGCCGCGACGGGGGTGGCCGCCTCGGGAGGTCTGCCCCTCGGTCGCTTCGGCGTCGCGGAGCGCGCTCTGATCTGGGCCATGGAGCGCTCGTACGGGCTCGCACGCGTAGCTGCGTCGCCGGCATCGACGTCTAAACCGGGAGGGTGCGCCTCGCCCCCCGCCGGCGCCGCGGGCGTCTTCCGAGGCCGCCCCCTCCCTCGCATCGGCGTCGCGGCGGGAGCGTCGTCGCGCGTCTCGTTCGCCTTCTTCAGCATGCGACCGATCGCGGCGATGGGCACGTCGTCCGAGTCGTCCGAGTCGTCCGAGTCGTCGTCGTTTGACACGACGACGGAGGGTTTAGAAACCTTCGCCGCGTTTAGAGACGTTCGCCGCTTCGCGTCGCGCACGCACGCTTCCGCGAACGCGACGGCCGCGCACGCGCCGTACACGAGCGAATCCGCGAAGATCGGCTTCTGCATCCCGGGCGTCGCCGCGGCGCCGTCGCCGCGCGCGAGCGCGAAAAGCGCGTGGTGCGCGAACACGAAGACGCGCTGCAGCGCGACGGAGAGACCCGCGGCGACGTGCCGCCACGTCCAAAACCGGTGCCGCGCGACGTCTCGTCGGACGACGATCGCGAAGAGCGCTCTCGCGCCCGCGTACGCGAACCACGCCGCGCAGACGTGCTCGAACCACACGAACGGGAACGACGCCGGGAGCCAGAACGAGCCGCGCGTCCCGGGCGCGAAGTCCGTCAGGTGGAAGTGCAGCCCGCGTTTATGGATCTCGAAATAGCCGTACAACATCGACGCGCTCGCAGCGAAGAAGACGCGGCCGGTCCACCGATGCGCGCTCAAGTACCTCTTCCTCCAGCCCGGGTGGAGCTGGAACGGCGCGAGGAGCGACCACGCCGACGCGGGCAGCACGTGCGTGAAGCACACGACGGCGTGCTCGCGATACTTCAGGACCAAACTCGCGGGGACGACGGCGCCGAGTCGCCGCGCCGCGCGCTTCGCGCCGGCGTCCGAGAGCCGAAACAGCGTCGAGCACGACCCGGGGGAGAGCCATATCCAGAGCACCATCTGCGCGCACAGCGCTGCGGTGGCGAGGTACCCGACGAGGAGCACGCGGGTCGTCGAGCGCATCGCGGCCAGCATGCCGCCTATTCGTCTATCCCCGCGCGCGCGATTCAATCATTCCCGCCCGCGCGATAACAATCACGATAATAATCCCCACCCAACCCGAAGCGATGGACAGCCTCACTGCGTCGTCCTGCGGGAGTACACGCGCACGAGGCACCGCGAGCACAGATACCCGACCGGACCGGCGATGAACGACAGCGGAAGGCTCAGACCGATCGTCAGCGCCCGCGGCACGCCGTACTGCCCCTCGTTGAGCGCGCCGTGCGACGCGACGACGAGGTCGAACGCGAGGTAGTGGAGCCACCCGCCGAGCAACACGACGTCGTTCGCGAACAGCGACTTGATACCCTGCAGGGACGAGAACGATCCGAAGACGCCCACGCCGACGCCCGAGGTGACGACGTACGCCGCGAGCGCGCCAAAGTAGGCGACCGCGAAGACGATCGCGGTGAATCGGACGCCCTGCTCCGCCAGCCTCGTGACCTTTGCGATTTTTAGGAGCTCGTCTCTGTTGTTCGGCCGCGCGTTGTTCGCGACGTGCGTGCGCGCGACGAGCAGCGACCACGCGACGAGCGCGAGCGTGTTCGCGGCGGTGAAGGCGAGCTCGAGGCTGATCGCGTTGGGGTGCGGCGCGGGGGAAGCGGCGGGGCGCGGCATCGTCAATGGCGTCCAATTCGAGGATAAATTCATCGTCAGCAAGCAGCGCGAGCGACGGCTCTTCGTTTCACTTCGATCGTCATCAGTGCCGTTCGCGCGCCGCGCACGACGCGCGCGATGGCGGAGGCCGCGAAAGAGCGCGGGAACGCGCTGTACAAGGCTGGGAAGTTCGAGGACGCGGTCAAGGCGTACGACGAGTCCATCGCCGCGGACCCGGCGATAGCGGCCGCGCACGCGAACCGCGCCGCGGCGCTGACCGCCATGGGCCGCGCCAAGTTCAACGACGCGACGGTCGCGTGCGTTGAGGCGCTGTGCTTGGACCCGAGCTACGGTCGCGCGAAGAGCCGGCTCGGCGCGCTGTGCGTCAAGCTCGGCGACCTCGAGCCCGCGGTCGCCGCCGCGGAGGCGCGCGCGCGGTCGCACCCCGATCACTCCCCGTCGTCGTCGCTCGCGAAGGCGCTGCGCCTCCTGCGCGACGGCCGCGCGGCGGGCAACGCGGCGTTCAAGTCCGGCGACGTCGCGCGCGCGCTGAAGACGTACTCGGACGCGATGCTCGCCGCGGCGGCGGAGGCGGCCGGGAGCGACGCGGCGGCGGCGGGCGCGATGGACGCCGAGGCGCTGTGCGTCGCGGTCCCGGGCGCGGCGTTGCTCATGTGCAACCGCGCCGCGTGCGCCGCGAGCTTGGGGCGGCACGCGGACGCCCTGACGGACGCGACGGCGGCGTTGCGCGCGGACCCGGAGTACGCGAAGGCGTCGCTGCGCGCGGCGCACGCGCGGAAGGCGCTGGGGGAGCACGCGGCCGCGGCGGCGATCTTCGCGGAGCTGCGCGAGCGGCTGCCGGGCGACGCGTCCGTCGCGGATGAGCTCAACGCGTGTCGCCGCGCCGCCGGCGGCGACCTCGCGAAGCTGCCGACGGAACGCGCGGGGGTGATCGAGATCGAGTCGATGGAGCGGTACCGAGCGCTGATCGCTAAGGCGCCGCTGTGCCTGATCGACTTCACCGCGAAGTGGTGCGGGCCGTGTAAGCAGGTCGCGCCGCACTTCGCGGCGATGGCGCTCGCGAACCCGACGATTCACTTCTTGAAGGTGGACGTGGACGAGCGCCAGGACATCTCGGCCGCGGAGAACGTGCGGTCGATGCCGACGTTTAAGGCGTATCGGTACGGCGCCAAGGTGGACGAGTTCAGCGGTGCGGACTTGGGGAGGTTGCAGGGGTTAGTCGCTAGGTATCTGCCGACGTTGTCGTGAGCGCGGCGTGGGGCGCCGTCTGCGTCTGCGTCTGGTTGGTGGAAAAAAACAATCCAGCGCGTCGCGCGCGTCGTCGTCGTAAGTAACGCTTCATTTTCGTGCGTTCCTCCTCCCCCATCCTCCTCGTCTATCCCCCCCGAAGCTGAAGCTCCCTCATCACGTCGTTCTTCCGCTCTCCTGCAACGTGCACGAGAACGTCCCGTTCGTCCCCGACGTCGAATTCCGCCACACGCCCGTGATCTCCGGCGCCCCGTTCAACGCGTGCAACCGCCCCTCGTACTTCACCTCGCTCTCCGGCACCGGCCGCTCGTACACCTTCCGCAGCTTCACCGCGCGCGTCAGCGCGTCGAAGGTGCCTCTCAGCGTGAACCATATCACCGGCTCGCCCGGGATGTCGCCGCTGTCGTCGAAGGTGCCGGCGCCGAACGCGGACGGCGTCGGCGCCGACGCCGCGGGGTCGAGCGCGAGGGACCATCGGATCGGGTTCGTCGGGACCGAGGGGTCGATCGCGAGGAGCTCCGGGGCGGGCCAGCTCTCGCCGATCCAAATCCCCGCGATCGCGCGCTCGCGCGCGGGCGCGGCGCCGCCGAGCGCGGCGGCGATGTCGTCGACGTTCGTCGACGGCGACGGCGCGGGGATGTCATTATTCGCGTCGTTGGAATTATTGTCGTCGCTCGTCGCGCCGACGCGCTTCCCCGGCGAGCGCGGTTGGATGCCGCCCTTTCCCATCCTGGGTCGGGGGCGGGTGACGTGCGACGACGACGCGAAGCGCGCGGGGGTGGGGGTCGCCGCGAAGACAGCCGTGGACATGTGCGCGGCGCGCACTGACGACGGGGTAACAACGGATCTCGTTCTTCGGCAGCGGCACGTGGCAGCGGCACGGCATCGGCACGCACGCGCACGCGCTCGCTGGCTCCGAAACGTGGATAAAAGCCGACGCGCGACGACGCCCGTCGACGCGCCGCACTCCTCGCCGGCGCTCGCGCGGCGTCGACGACGACGCGCGCGATGACGGCGACGACGCGAACGACGGCCGCGATCGCGTCGGGCGCGGCCGCGGCGGCCGCGCGCGCGCGCCGCGCGTCGCCGGCGCGACGCGTCGCGCGTCCGACGAGCACGAGCACGAGCGGGAGCTGTCGAGATCGCGTCGACGTCCGATCCCGAACGCGACGCGCCGCGTCGTCGTCGACCGACGACGCGCGCGACCGCGACGCCAACCCGGTCGGGTTCCAGTCCATCGCGGACGACGACCGCGACGGCGGCGTCGTCCCGAAAGCGGTCCAGGACGACTACCGCAAGGTGGAAGACCCGGAGTGGCTGGAGCGCATGCTCCTTCGAGAGGAGACGGAGTACCCGACGTCTCGAGGCGCGGTGTTGCGACAGGCGCTCGTCAACGGGGACGTGAAGGGGGTGTCGTACGCGATGTCCAGCGTGAAGGTGGCCGCGGCGTGTTTCGCGGGCGCGTACGTGTGCTTGGCCGCCGCGGGCGCGGGCGCGGAGGAAGGGAGCGTCATCGCGGTGATCGGGAGCGGATGGAAATGGTTCGCCGCGTGCGGCGTCGCGTCGGCGGCGACGGAGCTGATTCGCGTGCTCGAGATGGTCTTAGGCGTGGAGGGGCGACGGAAGATGTAGCCCTGGGGGGAGAGGGGGATGTTGTAAAACGTGACGTATTGTTTTGGAGCGTTTAAACTACAGTAGGCGTGTTACGCGCGTTCGTTCGTCGTCTTCGCTTCATGTCAAAAGAACACGCGGCGGCGTTCTCCTCGCTTATGATACTCACCCGAACGCGAGCGTGGCTTGCGTGAACGCCTTCTTCGGGAGCTTCGTGTGCGGTATCCTGTTCGGGTCGTTCAGCACCGCGGACGCGAGCGAACGCTTCTTCTCCTTATTCGCCGCAGGCGCGTCCGCGACGCCGACGCCACCGTCGTCGTTCTCTTGGCCGTCCGCGCCGACGCGCGTCGATTTCGATTTCGATTTCGACGTCTTTCGCCTCTGCCACGGATACTTCCCCGCTTTCGTTTTTTTAACCGCCGCGGGAGCGGGCCGCGTCGACGTGTTCTCGTCGTCGTCGTCGTCGTCGTGGACTTCGATGACGTCGTCGTCGTCGAGCTCGCCGCCCCGCCCGCGGCTCCCCCCGCCGCGCCCGCGCCCGCGCCCGCGCCCGCCGCCGCCGCCGCGACGGGTTCCGTCCCCGGCGGCCGCGGACCACCTCTGCGCGGCGCTCTCTCTCCCTCTCTTCGCGCCTCCCCCGGCGTCTAACCCCGTCAACCAGTCGCTCGCGGGCGGCGGAGCGGGCGAGCGCCGCGCGTCGCGTCCGGTGACTTCGCGGAGGTACGCGTCTCGGGCGCGCGCGCCCGCGCCCGCGTCGTCGTCGTCCTCCTCCTCCTCCTCCTCCTCCTCCTCCGGGTCCGATGACCTGTCCGACAGGTCGTCCTCCGACGTGATGAGCTTCCCCAGGCGGCGTCGCGCGCGAGCGCCGTCCGCGGCGGGAGCGGCGTGTCTAGTGCTATTCGTCCAGCGCGGGACCTCGGTCTCGCCCCACCGCGCCGCCGCCGAGGACGCCGAAGTTTTCTCGCCGCCGCCGCCGCCGCCGTAGCACGCGGACCCCCACCGGCTGAACCACGCGGCGTCGTCCGCGGCGGCGACGGGATCTTCCTCCTCCTCCTCCTCCTCCTCGACGTCGAGGTCCAGCGCCGTGGTCTCTTTCCAAGGGTCGAGGCGCGTCGCGGGCGCGTCGGATCCGCCGCGCGCCCACCCGCCGCCGCCGCCGCCGCCGCCGCCGTCGGAGCGCCTCGGCGGCACCGTTTTCGCCTTGGTCACGCCGCCGCCGCTCGCGGGCGCGGCGGCGCCCCAATCGTCCCAGCGCGAAGTCGCCGCCGCCGCCGCGCTCGCGCTCGCCGTCGTCGTCGCGGACCACCTCGGCGGCGGCGGCGCGGCCGCGCTCGCGGGCTGCTCCGTCTTCCAGAACGGCTGCGCTCGTCGTCTGGTGTCGCCGCCCGATCCCGATCCCGGCGCGGCGCCGCCCCCGCCGGACCCTCCGCCGCCGCCGCCGCCGGACATCACCGCCCTGAACGCCTCGGTCACGACCTTGAACGCGTCCTCCGCGATGTCCAGCTTCGCCTTGTCCGGATGCAGCGCCTTCGCGAGCTCTCGGTACCGCGCCTTGAACGCGTCTCGCGACGCGTCGGACGCGAGCGAGAAGATTTCGTGCGGCGCGCGCGACGACGACGCGAGGATCGACGCCGCGAGCGCGGCGACGTCCGTCGACGTCGAAGGCGCCGCGCCGCGAGCGGTCGTCATCGCGTCGCGCGTCCCGTGACGCCGCGTCGCGCCGCGATGTCCCCGCGACGCGCGCGACGGACTCGCGCGTCGATCGATCGATCCGAGAAGTTTGAATTATTCGCATCCAGCTGTACTGTACGTGTACGTGCTTCGCCGTCGATTTCAACGCTGCTACTCGTACGCGCGCTCTCCCTCCGCTCTTTCCTCTCCCTCGCCTCATCACTTCGGCCCGTCGCCCTCGCCTAAGACCGTCCTCCCGCGCTCCCCCGCGCCTTCCCCCCACACCTCGTCGAACATCTCCAGCGCGTTCAAAAACGCCTGGTCCATGTTGAAGTACTTGTAACTCGCCAGCCGCCCGACGAAGCACACGTCTTTCCCTTCTCTCTCCGCCATCGCCTTGTACTTTTCGTACAACGCGTGATTCGCCGGGTTCGGCACGGGGTAGTACGGCTCGCCGTGATCGCAGCTGTACTCTTTGAAGATCACCGTCCCCTTTGAATTCCTCGCCTCGACCGGCTGGTTCGGCTTGTGCTTGTACTCCACGATCCTCGTGAACGGTACCTCCGGCCCCGGATAGTTGAGCTGCAGGCACGGCTGGTAAAACGCGCCGTGTTCGCCGCTCGGGTCCGGCTCGTGGTACTCCTCGCGGAATCGCAGCGATCGATACTCGAGCTTCGGCAGGCCTTGGCTCGCGTAGTACGCGTCGATCGGCCCGGTGAAGATTGTCTTCGCGCACTTCGGGAGCGCGTCCCTGCGTTCGAAAAAGTCGACGTTGAGTCGAATCGTGATGTTCGGGTCCGACATCACCATGTTCTCGAAGAGCCTCGTGTACCCGTCCTTCGGAAGCGCCTGGTGCGGGTCGCTGAAGTACCGGTCGTCGTCGTTCGTCCGCACCGGTATCCGCGCGAGCACGCTCGCGTCCAACTCCTCCGGGTACTTGTCCCACTGCTTCTTCGTGTAGTGCTTGAATATCGCGTCGTAGAGCTCCTCTCCTGCGCGCGTCAACGCCGACTCCTCGCCGTTCTTCGGGTCGTCATTGACGCTCCGCCGCGCGTTCAGCCACGCCTCCATCTCCTCCTCCGTGTGCACGTCCGCGTGGAACAGCGCGTTCACGGTCTCGCGGCTCGGCGGGATGGGCACGATCTTGTACCCTTCGCCGACGTCCACCTTTCCCTTCACGCGGTGCTCGTACGGGGTCCAATCGCTGAATCGATTGACGTACTCCCACACGCGTTCGTGTCGCGTGTGGAACAGGTGCACGCCGTACTGCGACACGCGGAACCCGCGCTTGTTGACGAAGTCGTAGCAGTTCCCGCCGATGTGGTCGCGCTTGTCGATGATCAGGGACTTGAGGCCGAGCTCGCGCGAGCCGCGCTCGGCAAAGACGCATCCGGAGATCCCCGCGCCGACGATGACCATGTCGTACGACGCCTCGAGGCCGTCGATGCCCGCGAACCACGACGGGTCGTGGTCGTTCCCGCGGCGGACGCTGAGGTCCATCCCCGCCCACTCGTCCGCGCCGTTCGACGTCATCGCAACGACCGCGACGGGCGCGGCGCGCGCGCGACGGGCGCGGCGGCGGGCGGGTCGCGAGGATGCGCCGGGCCGCGGCGCGGGGAGAAGTGACTCTTTCGATCGATCGACGCGTCGCTGAAAGGACGTGCAGTGACGCGCGCGTGACAAGACGTGATGCGCCGGCGACGGTTGCGGTTTCGAAGACTCGTCGGACGCGGAGACGAGCCACGACGCCGGTCACAGGCGCGAGCGCGCGACCCCGCGCGCGATGCGAGTAATCGTCGCGCACAGCGGCGAGACCGTGGAGCTCGAGTGCGACGCGGACACGCGGTGCGCGTCCCTCCCGGCCGTCTCGACGTCGCGCGCGATGGACCCGCGCGCGAAGAATCTGACGCGGCATTCCACGCGTCGAAGAAACGCTCACCGATCGTCGTCGAGATCTGAGCGCGACGCGCGGACCTCCCCCCGTCGTCCGACGCTGACGCTCCCCCTCCGCTTCCACCCGTCCTCGACAGCGTCGAGACGGTCGCGACCGCGCTCGCGGCCGCGACCGGCGTGGACGTCGCCGACCAGCTCGTCGTCTTCGCGGGGCGGCGACTCGAGTCGAGCGAGACGCTCGGCGCGCACGAGCTGCCGACCGCCGCGGAGCCGCCGCCGCCGCCGCCGGTCGACGACGACGCCGCGACGACGCCGCATCCGAAGCCGAGCCACGTGTTCATGTACATGAAGAGCTTACTGCGACCGGAAGCGACCGCGCCGCCGGTGCCGCCGATGGTCGCCGTCGCCGTCGAAGCGTCGCCGCCGCCGCCGCCGCCGCCGCCGCCGGCGACGACGGCGGCGGCGGCGGACCACCCCCTCGACGCGTCGCCGTCGCCGCTCGCGCGCGCTCTCCCGGACTACGAGCGCGACTTCCGCGCGCACGCGCAACGCGCGTCTTCGTTCGCCCGCGCGATGCGGCGCCGGTTCGAGCACTGCGAGCGCTTGATCCTCGAGACGCACGCGATGGCGCTCGCCGTGGACGCCGTCGCGGAAAACGTCGACGCGCACTTTTCGTACATCGCGCGGCGGCAGGTGCGTTCTATACACTGGTTCCCATACGACCGCGTTGGCGTGGTGAACGTCATTCCTTAAGGACTTTTCCCGGCGCATCTCTCCGCCCAGGGTCCCCCGCTTTCAATCCCCGCCCTCGACGCCTTTCAACTCCAACTGACGCCTTTGAACTCCACCCCGACATCGTGCAGCGCGCGTTCGAGACGGAGCGCGCGGCGCAGAGTTCGGAGCACGCGGAGACGCTGCGGGCGTTCGAGCGCGACATGGACGCGCTGCGGAGGACGCAGCTGCACCCGGCGATCGTGAGCGCGAGCGAGCGGGCGCGGAGACGGGCGGCGACGCGAGCGAAGGAGGAGGAGACGCGCGCGAGGCGGTTCGCGGCGAACGCCGCCGCGGGGGGCGGCGGCGGCGGCGGCGGGGGCGGCGGGGAAGATGGAACGTCAACCGTCGCGCCGACGTCGCCGTCGAGGCTCGGGGGGGTCCACCCGGACGCGGCGACGAGCGCGACGACGACGAGCGCGACGACGAGCGCGACGACGACGCCGGCGGCGCCTTCTCCGGCGCCGCTCCGTCGCACGCTGCTCGACTGCGTCCCCGAGGAGAGAGTCCGGAGGTGGGCCGCGGATTGCGCGCGGTCGCACGAGACGTTCGCCGCGAAGACGCGAGACCTCTCCGCGACGTTCAGGACCCTTCAGGACTCGGTGGAGGGCATGTTTGCGACCGCGCCGGACGTCGACGTCGGCGCGCTCGAGGAGGAGCTCGGCCGCGCGCGCGCGCTCGTCGACCGCGGCGACGCCGCCGTCGCGGCTCTCGAGTCCGACCTCCGATTCGTCACGAAGCTCGTGGAGGAGAAGGTGCGCGAACTCGCGAACGGGAATAATAACGCGCCGCCGGGGGACGACGCGCGCGATACTTTAGATCCGATGCGCGACGCGCACGTCGAGACGCTCGCGACGCTCGAGGCGGACGACGCGACGACCGCGGCGTTCCACGAGCACGCGCACGCGTGTAAAGTCGCGATGAGCGCGTGCGCGCATCGGCAGCTGCGGTCGATATCCGCGATGCAGATCAGCATCCGCGACATGCGGAATAAGCAGGTCGCGTTCACGGAAGTCGCCGCGAGGCAAGAGAACGCGTTCAGGGAGCTGCGGGTCGCGCGAAGACTGCCGCGCGTGTACGCGGCGTCGCTCGCGGAGGTGGCGCGGCGACGCGCGCGCGCGGAGGAATTCGCGTCGCGCGCGTCGGCGCTCTCCGACGCCATGCGTCGGCGTCGCGAGCGCGAGATGGCGACGCGCGAGACGTTCGCGCGCGCGACGGCGCGATACCTCCCGTCCGACGTCGTGGAAGCGCTCGGGTTGAACTCGCCGGCGCCGGCGTGCGTCGTCAGGGTGACGAGCGGCGGCGGCGGCGGGGAGGACCGCGGGGAGGCGGCGACGGCGACGGCGACGCCGTTGGCGATCGTCACGGAGGACGACCTGCGGAGGCTCGGGAAGGACGCGCTTCTGGGGACGCGCGCGAGCGGGAGCGGCGCGCTGTCTCTGTCTGGGGAACGGTCGTCGTCGTCGGTCGTCGTCGACGTGGAGACGGTCGCGAGGTCGACGGCGTCGATTGACGTCGCGGACGACGACGACGACGACGACGACGACGACGACGACGACGATGATGATGCCGCGCGTCGCGACCGTCGCGACGTCTTCCTCGAGAACGCGCGCCTCCGCGCGGACCTCGCCGCGCACGTCGCGACGCTCGCGACGATGGACCCGAACCGTCGCGGCGGCGGTGACGTTTCGTCTTCACCGCCCTCACCGCTTTCTTCGGCGCGAGACGAGGTCGCGACGGCGTTGAAGCTGAGGGACGACGAAGCCGCGGCGTTGAGAGCCGAGGTCGAGACGCTTCGATCCGCGGTGGCCGCGCGCGACGCGCGCGTGCAGTCGTTGCGCGAGAAAATGAACGCGATGGGGAGTTCGGTCGGGGAGTAGGCGAGCAAAGGAACGGGGCGACGCGCGCGACGCGATCGAAGCTACGTGATCGAAGCGAAGAGACGACGTACGACCGCGACTCGCTGCTACGCTGCTACGACTACGAGCGCGCGTCCGTCGTTCGTCACGGATATGTCTTCCGCGGCTTTCGCTTCGGCGCCTTCGGCGCCGGGGTGATCCTCCACTTCGCCCTCAGCTCCTCCAAATCCGTATCGAACTCCGCCTCGTAGTCCGCGCACATCAGATCCGCGCACCTCCCTCCCGCGCGCCACGCCCACGGATACAGCTCCTTCGCGAGGAACGCGCGGTCCTCCTCGTCTGAGGGTCAAGGGTCCACACGAGCGAACGTCGGGGTGGAGTTGAAAGGCGTCAGGTGGAGTTGAAAGGCGTCGAGGGCGGGGATTGAAAGCGAGGGATGGGCGGAGAGATGCGCCGGGAAAAGTCCTTAAGGATCGGCGTTCACCACGCGGACGCGGTCGTATGGGGACCAGTGTGAGATAGAACGCGCCTAACCGCAGCGGCGCCGCGAGCGTCGCCAACGCGGCGGACGGCATCCCGGTCTGCGCAAACTCCAACGCTTTCAGCGCGAGCTCGCCCTGCACCGTCGTCGGGCATCCGAACAGCACGTGCCACAGGTCGTGCGTCTCCCTCGCGCGCGTCGCCACGTACGCGAGCTCCTCGTCGTCGACGAAGCGCACGGGCGGGCGGTCGCTCGCGCGGAACTTTCGCGTTCCCATGAATGTCGCGTACGCTTTCCCGAACGTCCCGTCCGCGCATCCCCACGCGCGCTCGAGCGTGTCGTCGGTGACGCGAGGACGACGTCGGAGGATGTCGGCGCCGACGGCGTCGCGGCGCATGCGGTCGCGCATCCGTCGGAACGCGAGGTGGCCGGTGGTCTCGCCGACCGCGCCGACGAGGTCCGCGCGCTGAGGGAAGAGGATCGCGCCGAGGCCGCCGCCGACGACGAGCATCGCGCGCTGCAGCGGCGTCAGTTGGACGTGTCCGGGGTAGAGCTCTCGCGACGACGACGACGACGACGTCGACGACGACGTCGCGAAGTCGGCGGGCGGCGCGGAGGACGACGACGAACGCGACGACGACGACCGCGACGACGACCGCGACGACGACGACGACGTGGACGCGTCCGCGTCGCCGCGCTCCGCGGCGTCGCGATGCCCGGAGGCGTGGACGTCGCTCGGCGATCGGTCGTCGCCCGTCGTCGCGACGCCGCGGAGGGCGGCGACGCCGTGGCGAGCGATCCCGCGACCGCGGACCGCGCGCGACAGCATGGCGCAGGCGCGGAGTAATGAACGTGTCTCACGGCTCACGATCGATCTCGTCAGCGACCTGACAGAACGAATTTCGCCCGTCGCCGCCGTCGCCACAACGCCGGCACCGCCGCACGATCGTCGTCGCCGCCACCATGCACGCCTCCCTCGCCTCGTCCGCGCACGTCGGCGTCCGCACGAATGCGCGCGTCGCGTCCAACCCGCGCGTCGCCGCGACCCGCGCGTCGGGATCGGGCTCGGGATCGGGCTCGGTTTCTCTCTCCGCGCGCGTCGTGACGACGAATCTCCGCGCGGGCCGCTCGCGACGGGCGGCGCGCGACGCCGTCCGCGCCGCCGCCGCCGCGGACGACGACGACGACGAGGAGGACGAGGACTTCGAACTCAGCGCGGAGGACATCGAGGGCATCAGCGGCGGCGAGTTCGTCGTCGAGGCGTTCGACGACGAGAAGGCGCTCGCCATCGCGCTCGTGATGGAGGTGGAGGAGAACGCGAAGGCTGCCATCGACGCGCGCGGACACTTCGCGCTCGCCGTCCCGGGCGGCTCCGTCGCGAAGGCGCTCGCGGGGTTGAAAGACGCGAAGGGCATCGACTGGGAGAAGGTGCACGTCTTCTTCGTGAACGAGCGCGTCCCGGACGGGAAGTGCTTCAAGCTCGCGTGCGAGACGTGGGCGTCGGGTGCGTTTTCGCTTTCTGTTTTTCACCCACCCCTCGGGGTGAACATTTGATCGCGTCACCTTTCAACTGACCGATGAACATCGCCCGCATCCTCCTCAGACGTGCCCATCCCGCCCGAAAACGTCCACGCGTGCGTCCACGGCGGCGCCGTCGCGGAGGAGGCGGCCGCGTACGAGGCGGCGCTCCGCGCGCTCGGGCCCGACGTCGTCCCCATCGACGAGGTGAACGGTCTCCCGGTGTTAGACCTCGTCCTCCTCGGCATGGGCGCGGACGGACACGTCGGGAGCATCTACCCGGGGTCGGGTGCGTTCTGGTGCCCGACGCGCGGACTTTCGTACTGTACCGTAGCCCTATTTCACCCGTCGTTCGGGTTCAACATTTGATCGCTTCCCCTTTCAACTGACCGATGAACGAATCGCCCGCAGACGCGTTAGCGGACGAATCCGGCGCCGCGATCCTCGGCGTGGACATGCCGACGAAGAGAAGCGTGACGATGTCTATGGGGTTGATCAACACCGCGGAGAGGGTCGTCGTCGCCGCGAGCGGCGTCGGGAAGGCGGAGACGGTGCGGAGGGCGCTGGAGGAGGACGACGAGATGCTGCCCGTGAGCTCCGTGGACGCGTTTTCGACCATCTGGTTCTTGGACCTCGGCGCCGCGTCCAAGCTGGAGGCGTACCAGGACGTCGACGGGGACGACGCCGGCGACGCCGCGGCGAGGTGATGAACGGAACGGGGGGGACGCGCGCGCGAGTGTGTGTTATCATGAGGTATCGCGTTGTTGAAGTGAGGTAGGGCTACAGTATTCATATTTTTGTAGGGCTACACGTTGAATCGTTGATCGTCGTTAATATTGATACACTCGTTCGCGAAAGAATACAGCACGCTACCGAAAGAAAGAATGAGTCCGTATGTCCGCCGCCGCCGTCGTCCCCCCCACCGATGGATGATGCAAGCTCACGAGCGCGGTCGTCGCGACATTGTCGCGACGTGTCGTGTCGTTCGAGGAGAGGTTCATCAGCGCGCGCGAGCCGCTCCCGCGTTCGGGAGCGAGCTTTACCCGCGCGCGCGTCACTCGCGTCTCCGCGGCGGCGCCGGCGAGGCGACGAACGCGATCGATTCGATTCGCGTCGTCCCCCGTCCCGCGCGCGCCGCGGATTTCCCTCCCTCCTCGCCCGCCGCGCCCTGAGCCCACCGTCCGCGCTCTAGCATCACCCCCCGCCCCCGGAGCTCCCGCTCGCGCCGGCTTGCTCCGCGGTCATCATCCTCCCCTCCCCTCTCGGCACGGCGACGCTGCCCGCCGTCACCGGCCCCTTGGCCGCGCGCTCGGCTTTGGGTCGAGGGTCCATACGAGCGAACGTCGGGGTGGAGTTGAAATGCGTCAGAAGCGGAGTTGAAAGGCGTCGAGGGCGGGGATTGAAAGCGAGGGATGGGCGGAGAGATGCGCCGGGAAAAGTCCTTAAGGATCGGCGTTCACCACGCGAACGCGGTCGTATGGGGACCAGTGTAAGATAGAACGCACCTTTGTCCGCCTCCATCTGCGCGAGCAGCCGCGCCTTCTCCGGGTCCTGGCGCGCGCGGTTCCTCGCCGCGATGCGTCTCTTCATCTCCTCGTCTTCGAGTTTACGGAGCGCGCGGCGCGCGTCGTCGATCTCTCGCACGTCCTTCATCGTGACGGACGTCCCGGTCGGGAGGATCAGAAACTCGTCGTTTTCGACAAGCCGCCAGCCCATCTCGAGCATGACGCGGACGGCGCCGGGGACGTTCGTGATGACCGCGGCGATCTTCTCGTTCGTGAGGCGAACCTGGACGGGGTGTGTGGGTCGGGGTGGGTGGGTTCGGGTTCAGTGTGGATGGATTTCGGTCGGCATCGAGCGCGAGATCTCGCGAGATCTTCGACTCTCGGTGGTCGCGAACAGGAATAATGTGAGGCCGCGGGGGTCTTTGCGTCTTCCGCGACCGTTCGCGCGGACGGCGAGATCTCGTCCGGCGCGGCGTCGCCGGCGTCGAGCGGCGACGGGAATCGACGCGAAGACGCGCTCGACATCGCGAGGACGCGCGCGAGACGCGGCGACGACGAGCGCGAGCGTCGCGCGGCGTCGCGCGACGCCGCGCGCGTCGACGTTCGCGAAGCGACGCGACGAGACGCCTCCTGCGGTGGGAAACGTCGCACAGCACGCACCCTTCTGAACTTTTCCTCCGCGGGCGCCTGCGCGGAGTTCCGCGTGAGCTTCTCCATCGTCTCCAGGGACTTGTCGTCCTTCACCGCCTTCAGCGCCTGCTGCAGCGGCGTCGCCATGACGACCTTATGCCCCGGCGCGTAGCCGGCGTACCCCGAGCCTCCCATCTTCGCTCGCGACGCGCGGCGACGAATGAACGTGACAGATCTCGTCGGCAGGTTTCTCGGCACTCAGCACGATCACGCCGCTCGCCCGTCGGTTCGGACGCTCGAGGAGTGAAGCTGAAGCGCGCGGAAATCACTGATCGAGCCACAGAAGCGGGGTCACCGTCCCACGCCGCCGCGAGGGTCGGACCGAGACACCCTGCGACGCGCGGGTCTTCGCGCGCGCGCGCTCTCTGCGAAGCGACGCCGCCGCGACCGCGCGCGAACCCGGTCGCGAGCGGGCCGACGCCGCCGCGCGACAAGGTGCCCTAATTCTAATTCGATCGTCGCGCACCGATGGCCGACCCCGACGAGAAAGCGCGCCGCGTGCGCTCGCTCCTGTCGTCCTACTACGGCTCCAGCGGCAGCGACGCCCCCCCCGGTTCGGCGTCCGCGCCCCCCGCGGAGCCGATCGACACGGAGTCCTTCGACGCGGAGTCCTACGTCGCGTCCGTGGTGAAGTCGACGCCGCTGCCCGAGCTCCACGCGCGGTGCGCGTCGATGGCGTCCGAGATCGCGTCGCTGGACGGCGACATGCAGATGCTCGTGTACGAAAACTACAGCAAGTTCATCACCGCGACGGACACGATACGCCGCATGCGCGGCAACGTCGACGGCATGGACGAGAAGATGGAGGAGCTCAGGGCCACGGTGTCGGCCACGGCGGCGGCGTCCGACGCGGTCAATCTCAAGCTCGGCGCGCACCGAGAGCAGATCGAAAACCTCAACGGCGTGCGATCGCTCATCAAGAAGCTTCAGGCGGCGTTCGATCTCCCGGGAAGGCTTCGCGCGTGCGTGGAGACGAACGCGCTGGCGTCCGGGGTGGAGTACTACGTCGCCGCGAGGCCGTTGCTCGTGAAGTACGGAGACGAGGGCGCGTTCGTGGGGATCAAGAGAGAGAGCGACGCCGTCGCGGCGGTCGTAAAAGAGAAGCTGAAGAGAGGGATGGCGACGGCGGCGGAGCGCGCGAAGAAACGCGCGGAGAGGAAGCGTTTATTGGCCGCGAAAGCGATCGCTGAGGAGGACGGCGGGGACGAAGGCGCAGAAGAAGAGAAAACGACGCCAGCAGCCGGCGGCGGCGGCGCCGACGCCGACGCCGACGACGACGACTTCGGCCTCGACGTCGGCGAGTGCGTCGACCTCCTGGAGAAGCTCGGCGAGCCGCGAGACGAGCTCCAGGGCGAGTACCTCAGCGCGCGACGCGCGGCGTTAGACGACGCGCTGTCCGCCGCGGAGGCGCGCGCGACGGATGGAGAGACGTCTGGGGAGACGTCCGGGGAGAACCCGACGTATTTCGTCGCGACGCTCGATCGCGCGTTTCTGACGGAGTTTCACGCCGCGGCGTCGGAGTTCGCGGAGCTGTTCCCGCGAGACCGCGCGCCGCTGGTGACGTTCTCGAGGGCGATTTTCGCGAGGTACTTCGCGCTGTTGACGCGCGCGCTCGGGTCGGGCGACGGCGCGGCCGGTCGCGCGAGGCTCCCGAACGCGAAGGGATTGATGCGGGCGCTCGCCGCCGTCGCGGGCGACGTGCGCGAGTCGCACCGGCTCGTGCCGGAGATCAACGTCCTCGACCGCGCGTCCGAGACGACGGAGCGGACCGTCCGCGGGCGCGTCGAGGCGTCGTTCCGCGTGCTCGAGAGGAAGCTCGCGACCGCGCTGGACGACGCGGAGGAGATCGTCGCGAACGCCGCGGACGCGAGCTCGCGGGTGGACGCGACGCCGCCGACGACGCCGACGACGGCGGCGACGGCGACGGCGGCGTTCGCGACGCTCTCGTCCGCGTCGGCGTCCGGCGGCGAACAGACGCCGACGAAGAAGACCACGGACGCGTCCGGCGCGCCGCTCTTGCTGCGGCAGTTCGTGACGCTGTCCGAGACGTTGCTCTCCGGCGTCGGCGACGCGCTCGAGGACGTCCGGTCCCTGCTCGAGGAGAGGCCCGCGCTGGTGTCTGGATGGAGGGAGGAGTACGAACGCGCGGTCAAGGCGCACGTCTCGTCGCTGTTGCGGTCGCTGCTCGCGCGGTTGCGCGCGGCGTCCGGCGCGCGTCTCGCCGCGGAGACGCTCTCGCGACTCGCGACGGACTCGCCGCTCGCGCCCGGCGCGTCGCGTCGCCGCCCCGCGCCCGCGCCGCTGCTGCTCACGCTCGCGAGGCTCGCGACGTTTCTACGCACCGACGGGATCCCGCATCTCGAGCGCGAGCTTCGCGCGTTTTTCCCGACGACGTCGCGCGACGTCGACGATGCCGCGTTCGACGGCGACGAGTGGGCGACCGCCGCGGAGGACGCGGCGACCGCGCTCGTGGAGGCGTACGTCGACGCGAGCGGGAGACGCCTCGCGGTCATGATACGACGGAGCGTGGACGCCGCGAACTGGCTGGAGACGCGAGAGCCGAGGGACGTGCGGCCGCTGTGCGATTTTTTATTGGAGGATCTCGCGGGGATCGAGGCGGAGACGGGGCAGATTCTGGACGACGGCGGGCACGGCGCGAGCGACGGCGGGATGGGCGCGGGCGCGTCGTCGTTATTATCTCCGGCGCAGCAGACGCCGATCGGGCGACGGAAGATCGAGGCTGGCGTCGCGCGCGCGTTAGGGGAGGAGGAGGAGGACGACGGCGCGGGGAGGACGTTCGACGCGCCCATCGAGGCGACGCAAGCTTCGGTGCTCGCCGCGGTGACGCGACACGCGCTCAAGTCGCTCGTGGAGTGCGTGCGGTTGCAGACGTTCGGGCGCGCGGGGTATCAGCAGATGACCGTGGACGTCGCGTTTCTCGGGCCGCGGGTGCGGCGGTTCGTGTCCAGGGATGTGAACGGACGCGCGACGGCGGCGTTGGTGGAGGAGGTGCGAAACGCCGCCGCGGAGCGAAGCGTCGACCCGACGCCGTTGGATCCGGTGGTTCTCGCGAGGATTCTCGAGTTTCGGTTCAAGTGATGCGTCGGAAGAGGTCGTCGCGGAGGGATCGAAGGTAGTAGTTTCGTGTAAACGTGCTTCAGTAGGAGTATTCACATTCGTATCGTGTTCGCGTGCCGTTCGTCGTTCAGGCTGATCACGCTCCTCTCTTCTTCGCGTTCTTCGACTCGCGGAGCTCGTCGAATTTCCCGGGTGGAAAAATTCCGTTCACGACGCGCGAGCACGTCTGCTTGTGCGGCGGATCACCGCGGTTCCAGTCCCTCTGCTGGCACCGCTTGTCGCAGTACCGCACGCCGCGGCACAGCTTGCATCCCCATCGAGCGTCGGGCTTGCCGCACGTAACGCACGCTCGAAGCTTTTCGAGCTCCTTGTCCACGGCGAAGATTTTTCCGTCGTAAATTTGGGAAAGTTTGAACGTATCCTTCGCCATTCGAAGGTTCCTCTCGAGTCCACACCTCCCGTGGAGGAAGCATAGACCGAGATGGTGAGAGAAACTGCATGCTTTATGATCAGGAAGAGGTCCGGAGATGATCAATTTCACGGCTTTCGAGCTCAGCTTCACCCCAGAGAATTCCACAACGCCGTCGAGATTCACTTTTTTTAACGAACGAAGGGTACGAAGAGCAGGCTTAAGATCACGGTCGTGTGCCGCATTCATGATCAATATCTTCTCCGTTTCCACGAAATCGTTTTTCTTAGCATCCTGCATGTCTCCGAAGAAGTCTGGAAAATGCTCCATCAAAATCTCGTCTGCGTCTTTATCCCCGTTCGAGGAGGCTTTCGCAAACCACTCCCGCGCCTTCGACGAGCTTCTCTGCACGCCGTAGCCGTTGAAGTAGAAGCTCCCGATGTTGTACATCGCAATCGCGTTGCCTTGCGCCGCGGACTTCTCGAACCACTTCAACGCCTCTTCGAACTCGTGCATTTCGCTGCTGAGATAAGACCCGTAGCTGCATTGGGCTTTCGCATTCCCCTGCAACGCCGACTTGAGAGACAGCTCTGCCGCCTTCGACCTGTTTAGCTCGACGCCGCGGCCCAACTTGTAGCACCTCGTGTACTCGGCGCCGGCATCGCCCTGTGCCGCGGCTTTCTCGTACCATTCATACGCGACTCTAAGTTCACCTGCCTCCTCATTCGCGACGCCGAGTATACACTGCGCGTCAGCGTCCCCGAGCTCCGCGGCCCTCGTGAGCCACTGGCGTGCGAGCTCGTAGTTTTTCTCCGCGCCGCCGGTCCCTTCGAGGTAGCGCTGGTAGAGCCTGAGCGCCGATTCGGCGCACCCGCCGCTCGCCTTCTTCGCGAGGTCGCGGATCTTCCGCGGGAGCTTGATCTTCGGCATCGCGGCGCGCGCGGCGGCGTGCGGCGGCGCGAGCGAAGTGGGAACTCGGCAACCCTATTTTTTCCCCTCACTCTTGTCAGCCAGTTGTCATGTCAGCTGAAGTTTGAACAGCTGGCGGTTTTTCTCTCCGCGCGAGGCGCAGTCTCCCGCCGCGCGTCCCAGTCGACGCTCACCGGTGCGCGCGATCGCGCGTCGCACATGAGCGGCGGCTCCGACTTCATCACCAACTGGAAGAACTTCTCCGCGCAGGCGGCGAACGAGTCGAGCGACGTCGGCGGCGGCGGCGGCGGAGGCGGAGGAGGCGGTCTGCTGGGCGGTTTGGGCGGTGGATCTCAGAGCGGATCGCAGAGCGCCATGGAGAGCCTCACGTACGCGAACATCTCCGCGGCGGCGTCCGCGACGGGCGCGGAGCTCCTAAACTTCGGAAAAGAACTCTCGCGAGACGCGACGTCCGTCGGCGTCGCCGTGAGCACCTCCGCGGCGTCCGCGGCGTCGCAAGTCTCGCACGCGCTGCAGCATCTCTCGCGCGAGCGCGTCATCAGCTTCTTCGCCTTCTCCTTCACGTCGTGGCTGATGTTCAACCTCTCCCTCTTCGTCGGTCTGCCCACGCTCGCGCTCGCGCCCGCGAAGTTCGCGCTCACGTTCAGCGTCGGAAGCTTCAGCAGCATGATGGCGCTCGCGTCGCTCCGCGGCTATCTCGCGCAGATCGAACACATGCTCGCGCCCGCGCGGCTGCCGTTTAGCTCCGCGTACGTCGGATCGCTCCTCGCGACGCTGTACAGCGCGCTGTACTTGCACAGCTACTCGCTCACGGTGTTGACGTCCGCGGCGCAGCTGTGCGCGCTGGTGTACTACCAGGTGAGCTACTTTCCGATGGGGTTGGAGGGGTTGAAGATCGTGTGTAAAGCCGGGTTGGTGATCGCGAAGCCGCTCGTGTATCAGTGCGGGAGGGCCCTGGGGATCGTGAAACAGAAGTCGTACTTGCCGCTGTAGATAGCGCGCTGCCGTGGGTATAGTAGTTTGACTACGCGGTGCGATGGGTTAGGTACAGGGCGTAACACAGTACAGTAGTAGCGAGTGTTGTTGTAGCGGCGGCGCCGGGCGTTGACAGTTGGATTGCGAAAGAAAGAATAGTCTATTAATAAACAACATCGCGCGTCGTCACTTCGCTTGCTTCGCCGCGGTGGCCTTCTTCTCCTTCTTCGGCTTCTTCGCCGCCTTCGGCTTCTCCACGACGAGCACCCTCCCCTCCGTCGTCGGCGCCATCATCGGCAGCGGCCCCGCGTCGAACGCCTTGCCGACGTCGTCGCCGTCGCCCCATCGGATTTTATGCGCGAGGATGCGCACGCCGTCGTTCGAAGCCCGCGACGCGTACCTCGCGAACGACTCGCACGCGGCGCCGTTCGCTCGTATCCCTCCGACGTCGTGCCTCCCCGCGAGTAAAATAACCGCCGCGTGTGTGACGTTACCGTCACTGTTGAACGCGTTATTCCCCTTCCCCCTCGCGATGGACGACAACTCGCGCAAATGTTCGATCGCCCTCGCGCTGACCACCGGCTCGCCGTCCGGGCCTTTCTGGTTCCGCTTCCCCCACGGAAATATCCCCGCGCGCGTGTATTCGCCTTCTTCGTCGCCGCCGCCCCCGCCCAAAAACACCGGGTGCCCAGCCTGCGCTTCCGCCGCCTCCGCCGCGGTCCGCGCGTCGTAATCCGTGTCCACGACTTGTTTCGTCTCCAGCACCGTGGACGCGCCGTCCGCGTGCGACACGACAAAGTCGGGGCGATACCCGCCGCTGACGGACGTCGTCGCCTCTCGTCGCATCGTCACCTGCGTCTTCACCGGGCTCCGACACGGATCGTCGTCCGGGTCGTTTTTGTCGGACGGACACGTGGCACTGTCGGAGGACGGCGCGCGTCCGACGGCGGCGTGGAGTCGGTCGTCGAACGCGCCGCGCGACAGCAACGCCTCGACGAGCTTCTCGTTCAACTTCGGATGCGCGCTGACCCACACGCCCCCTCCCGCGATCCCCAGCGCGATGTCCGCAACCGCGTTCTCCGCCTCTTCGCATCGCAGGAGCTGGCAGATGAGCTCGCACTTTGGCGTGCCGTATTGACCGACGGTGTCCGCGAAGACGCCGGGCTGACGGCGGCACAACAGCTTCACGCCGGGGCGGCACTTCCCGCCGCTGTCGAGGTTCGGGAGGTGCGTCACCGCGACGGAGCCCGCGCGCGGGCCGGACGTGATCCTCACGTCGCCGACGTCTGCGCGCGGTGGAGAGAGAGACGGGGGGACGCGATGGAGTTGATGAACGCGTGCCGTGAGGAGAGAGGAACGAAGAATGGGAACGAGCGAAGATGAGATGAGACAGCAGAGAGAAGAGAGCGCGGGCGCGAGCGTGGACGCACAAGGCGAGCGGTTCCTCGCGGACGGCCGGCACAGGAGGACGCCCTCCTCGAGCGGGCCGAGGTCCAGCAGCGGCTCGGAGCTCGGCGGCGGCGGCGGCGTCGGCGGCGCGGCGACGATCGCGGCGGCGGCGACGGTCGTCGTCTTGCGACGCTTCGCGGATGGCATCGCGCGCGAGACGCGACGAGGAGGATCGGCGGCGTTCGACGCCGCCGCCGCGGTCTTCCCGCGACGTCCCGCGCTTCCGACGCGCTTCCGACGCGCGACGCTCGCGACGACGCCGACGACGCTCCGAACGAGGGAAGCGATCGCGCTCGTCGCGGAACGCGTCGACCGAGGCGCGCGCGACGACGTGTGAATGAAGAGCGACACGACTGTCGGAGTTGAGCTCGAGGTGATGACGTCACAGCATCTTTCGCCGCGTCCGTCGGTCTCCTGCTACCTACGCTCTCGTCACCCCTCCAACATCCGCTCCAACTCCACGCGCAGGGCGATCTCGTCCGCGCACGCGCTCGCGTCCTCCGCGCTCATCCCCTCGTGCGCGGCTCTGACGCTCCTCAGCGCGTTCTCGACGTGCGTCCCGCGGAGATGATCCACCGCCTTGGGCACCTCTTCAAAGTCCACTTTTTTCGCGCAGTCCACGATGAAGCGCAACGCCGCCTCGCGGACTTGCGCGAGCTCGACGTTCGCTCGCTCCGCGTCCTCCCTCAGCGCGACGTCCGCGACGGCGCCGAAATCGCGAGGGAGGCTGCCGCTCAACGCCGCGGCCGCGGCGAGGACGTACCCGGACTCCACGCCCGCTCTCATGAAGATCATGTCCAGCTGGCACAGATGCCGCGCCAGGTGCAGCACCTTCGTGCGGATCTTCGCGCTGTCGACTAACAAGCACGCGCGCAGGATCGCGAACCCGTCCCCGAGCGCGAACGCCTTCTGCGCGGCGACGCAGCCGCGGAGGAGGCACGACAGCGCGTACAGCGCTTTCGCGCGCGTGAGTTGAAACGACGCTCGCGTGCGCGCTCGCGCGGTCTCCTCGTCTCCCCCCACGGTCTCCGCCAGGTCCGCGTCTGAACACGGCGCGTCGCCGCCGTCCTTCCCCGCGGCCATCGCGAGCAGCGGCGCCATCGCGCCGCACGCGAGCGCGTCCGCCTGCGCCTTGGCGTGGTTCTGCACCGTCACCCCCAGCGCTTCCGCGCTCGCCGCGCGCAGCCTGGGGTGAAGTTCAAAGGCGTCAGATGGAGTTGAAAGGCGTCGAGGGCGGAGATTGAAAGTGAGGGGTGGGCGCAGAGAATCGCCGGCGAAAGTCCTTAAGGATCGGCATTCACCACGCGAACGCTGTCGTATGGGGACCAGTGTATAGAACGCACCTCGCGTGCGGCGATCCCTTCATCGTCTCCACGAGAGGCGCGAGCCCGCCGATCGTGTGCAGATCTCCGCCGTTGTCGATGCTCCCGACTCTGTCGATGAGCTCCTCCAAGAGTTCGCACCGCGCGTCGAGCTCCTCGGCGTCTATGACTTCCCTCGCGCGCGTGGAGAGCACCGCGGTGATGTCCTTCATTCGTTTGATCTCGTCGACGACCCCGGACGCGACCGCCTCCGTGAACCATTTTTTCTCCTCCTCCGAGATCTGCCTCGCGGGCTCCGCGCCCGCGTTCTCGTCCGTCTGCGCGAGCGACCACTTGAGGATCGCGTTCCAGTTCTTATCCGGCTGCGGCGTCGGTCGATCCGCCATCGCGGCGTGCCCCGTTCGCGATGACGAGAGTGTCGCCGCGCGCGCGCCGCGAGACTTCCGGAACCTTCCAAAAGTGCCGTCACTTTGGTTTCTTCAGAGCGCGACACGTGTCAGACTTCAGTTCTGACGACGTGCTGCACCCGTCCGTCCGAGCGCCCACACCACCGCGGCACGTCACCGCGCGCGCCACGATGAACGCCATCGCGAGCTCCACGACCACGCTCCGCGTCGCCGCGCCCGGCGGCGCCGTCCGCGCGCGCGCCGCCGCCGCGGCGGTCGCGCCGCGGCATCATCATCAACATCGATCGCCTCGCGTCGTCGCGGCGCCAGGTTTCTTCGCCGCGAAGCGCGCGGCGTCGATCGTTCGCCGCGCGGAGGAGGACGCCACCGAGTCCGCGCCCGCCCCGCCGCCGCCGCCGCCGGGGGAGTCCGAGGAGGATGTCAAGGGCGCGCAGATGACCGCCATCGTCACCGGCGTCGTCTCCGTCGTCCTCGCCGTGGGCTACCTCGCGCTCGTGCAGGTGATGGACTCGAGAGAGTTTCTCCCGCCGCCGCCGGAGGCGATGGGGAACGGCGAGTGGAGCTCGACGAAGGGGTTGTGATCGAGAGAGAGAGAGAGAGAGAGAGAGAGATGTGGGGCTAAGGGAAAGGAAATAGTTGGTTTACTACAGTAACAGGACAGTAACAGGGCAACCGCTCATTCTAAATCATCTCACGCGATGACCACCTTGTCCGGGTCGTCGGCGTCCGGCCTCGACGCGCCGACCCCCCGCCGCGGCGCCCTCGCCACCGCCCTCGCGGCGCGCTCCGCGCGCTTCGCCGCGTCCGCGCCGTCGGCGTCCTCCCCGCCGCGCGGCGCGTCCAAAAACGGATCCCGCGCGGGCGCGCGATCGAGCGTCGTCGTCGCCAACGGCTTGGGCTCCGCGCGCAAGCCGTGCACCGCGCGGTCCTCCGTCCACCCTGGGGTGAAGTTCAAAGGCGTCAGATGGAGTTGAAAGGCGTCGAGGGCGGGGATTGAAAGGAAGGGGTGGGCGCAGAGAATGCCGGCGAAAGTCCTTAAGGATCGGCGTTCACCACGCCGACGCTGTCGTATGGGGACCAGTGTAGAACGCACCTCTCGCGCCGAACACCTCCTTCACGTCGCCGTCGCCGCGTCCCGGCGCGGACGCGAAGTCCGTCGCGCGCGTCCGCGGCGGCGGCGACGGCTCGAGCGCGAGGACGTCGCCGCCCGGGTCGAAGCCGCCGGCGCCGTCGCCGGCGCCGTCCCACCGCGGCCGCGACGCGCGCATCGACTCGCGCCGCGCCGCCGTCTCCGGGTCCGCGACGCGAAGCGCCGCCATCCGCGCGGCGGCGTCCGCCACGCCCGGCGCGGACGGGTCTCTCGGGTCCAACACGAGCGCGTCGCCGCCGCGGTCGGCGACGCCGGTCGTCTCGAAGTCCGCGATCTCTTTCCGCGACGCCGAGGCGAAATCCGCGACGGGCGCGCGGGTCCGCGCCGTCGTCTTCGCGCCGGCGTCGGCAGCGGCGCTCTCGTCGTGATACGCCCCCGCGTCGAGGTCCCCGGTCGTCGTCCGATCGGTCGGATCGGTCGACCGCCCGCCCTCCCTCCCCGCTCCGGCGTCGAACCGCACCGCGCCGGTGCCGCCGTCCAGGCGCGGGTACCGCGCCGCGAGGACGTCGTCGTAGAGGTAGTCCACGTCGGCGGTGAGGCTCGGTCGAAGCGTCTCCGGTCGCGCGCCCGTCGCGGAGATGTCCGGGACGGACTTGTCCCTCCGCGGGTACACCGTCGCGTCCGCGGCCGCGGGCTCGAGGTATAACACGTCGCCGTCCGCGAACTCCATTTCGCGCTCGCGGCGCGGCGCGGATGCGGATGAAGCGGCGTCGCCGACGCCGGCGATGCCGCCGCGGCCGGTGACTTTCGAAAACTCGGGCGCGCCCGGCGCGCGACGCGCCGTCGCGCTCTCGTCGACGTCGTAGAAATCCGGCGCGTCCGGGCCCGCCGCGCTCGGCCGCGGTCCTCCTCCTCCGCCGGCTCCGCGTTCTCCGCCTCTCGATAGGTCCGGACCGCGCGCGTTTGCGCCCGTGCGAAGGTACTCCAATCCTTTTTGCACGTCGTAGAGCGCGTCGTCGGCGAGATCGGGTTCCCTCGGCGGCCGGTCCGCGGGGACGGGGGTGATGATCCCGCCGAGATCCGTCCGCGGGCGCGTGTATTCGAACGCGGCGGCGACGTCGACGTCCTCGGAAACGACGCGGATGTCCTCGGGGATGTCGTCGTCGTCGTCCGCGGCGCCGGCGGCGGCGGCGGCGGCCGTCGTCGTCGTCGTCGTCGTCTTCGGCGGCTTTGGAAACCGCGGCGGCGCGCGCGCGATGTCCGGCACGGATTTCACGCGCGTCGCCGCCGTCGTGACGCCGTCGTCCGGGTCGTACTTCCCCGGCCCCCGCGCGGCTTCGAGGAGCTCCATCTCCACCGCGCCGGACTTCTTATCCGTCCCGAGCCTCCACGTCATCGTCGCGAAATCCACCGCGCCCTGTAATCGCCCGCGGAAGTATCGATCGTCGTCGGGGTCCCCGCCGACGCGATCCGCCGCCGTCGTCGCAGCCGCGGCGTCGTCGCCCGTGAGCGCCGCGAGCTTCTCGTACGCCCGTCTCTTCGCCACCTCGCGCGCGTCCGCCATCTCCGCGATGCCCGCGAGCGCGCCCCAGCCGCCGGTCGCCGCGGACGCGGCCGCGGCGATCGATCGCGACGCCGCGTCTTCCGGCGTCTTCGGGGGTTTCAACGCGTCGCGTTCGATCCTTCGCAACCGTCGGAGCTTAGGGTCGTTCCATACAAGCGAACGTCGGGGTGGATTTGAAAGGCGTCAGTTGGAGTTGAAAGGCGTCGAGGGCGGGGATTGAAAGCGAGGGGTGGGCGGAGAGAGACGACGGGCGAAGTCCTTAAGGATCGGCGTTCACCACGCCGACGGGGTCGTATGGGGACCAGTGTATAGAACGCGCCTTACGCGCCGTCTCCTCCTCGCGCGGGTTCACCGCGCGCGCGAGGTCTGGAACGCCCGTCACCCTGGGCGCGACCGCGCGCGCGAACGCGCCGGCGGGGTCGAGCTCGAGAACGTCGCCGTCGCCGTCTTCGTCGCCCGCGGACGCCGCGCCGACGCCGACGCCGACGCCGATGGGTCGCCCCGCGCGCGAGAATCCAATCGCCGTCTCGTCGGGCTCGACGGCGGCGTAGGACGGGTCGTACGCCCCGGGCCCGACCCGCGGCGGGGTCGCGCCGTCGACGTCGCCGCCGACGCCGTCCCGACCCGCGGCTCTCGAGAAGTCCACGCCGCCGCGCGCGCGTTTTCGAACGAGCGTGAGCTTCACTCGGAGTTCCGGTCGAATCGCCTCCGCGAGCGGCGGCGGCTTAGGGTCGTTCCATACGAGCGAATGTCGGGGTGGAGTTGAAAGGCGTCAGTTGGAGTTGAAAGGCGTCGAGGGCGGGGATTGAAAGCGAGGGGTGGGCGAAGAGAAACGCCGGGCAAAGTCCTTAAGGATCGGCGTTCACCACGCCGACGGGGTCGTATGGGGACCAGTGTATAGAACGCGCCTTCTTCGGCTGCGTGACTTCGATCGGGCCGAGAATCGTCCACGCGGGCGCGCTCGGGCGCATCCATCCCTCCGCGGCTTTGATTGCCTCGTGCCCGAGCCAGTCCGGGCCTTCCTCTCCCTCTCGCGCATTTCCCGCCTTCCCCTCTCCTCGTTTTTTACGCGACGACGACGCCGCCGACGCCGCCGACGACGACGCGGCGGCGAGCTTGAAAATCGCCGCCGGCGTCGCGCGTCGAAGATAATCCAACGCCTCGACGACCGCGTACGTCCCCACGAACCGTCGTCTCCCGTCCTCAGCCTCTCTCTTCGCGACGCGGTCCGCGTACGCGTCGCCTCGCCCGAGGAGCAAGTCGAACGGCAGGACTCCGCGCCCCGTGAGCGTCGAGACCGGCCCGTGCGCGGGCATCGGCCAATTCACGGTGTCGAGCGCGTCGACGACGACGTCCCCGCGGCCAGTGCGCGCCTTTGGGTCGTTCCATACAAGCGATGATATCGGGGTGGAGTTCAAAGGCGTCAGAAGCGGAGTTGAATGGCGTCGAGGGCGGGGATTGAACGCGAGGGACCCTGGGCGGAGAGAGACGCCGCCGGGGAGCAAAGTCCTTAAGGAACGGCGTGCACCACGCGGACGCCGTCGTATGGGGACCAGTGAGAGATAGAACGCGCCTTCAGGAACCCCCACGACGGCTTCGACGGCGCGACCGCGCGCGTCCACGACGCCGCCGGGTCCGCGGCCATCGCGTACGACTCGCGAATCGCCGCGTCCATCCACGAGTCGTCGTCGTCGTCGGCGGCGGCGGCGGCGTTCGCGCGGTCTTTTCGGTCTGTCGCTCTCGCCCACGCGCCGCCGACGACGCGCGGCTCGATCACGTCGCGCTTCGCGTCGCCGCCGTCGGCGCGCCGCTTCGCGCGGACGATCTCTTTCGCCTTTTTCATCGCCGCGGCGACGGCGGCGTCGACCATATCCTCGTCCCACGGCGCCGCCTCGTCGTCGCCGTTCGCGGCGTTCATCTCGAGCTCGAGCGCGTCCGCGGCGGCGGCGGCGATCTCGGCGGCTTCCGCGTCGGCGGCTTCCGCGGCGGCGGCGGCGCGCGCCGCCTCCGCCGTCGTCACCCGCGGCGGCGCCTTCCAAAACGCCACCGACCCCTTCACCTTTCTCGCCTTGGCGCCGTTCGGTCCCTCCCACGCGGCGTCCGCGTCGATCTTCGACGCGAGCGGCCCGTCCGCGAGGTCGCGCCTGACCGCGTGTCGCTTCTCCGTCGGCGGATGCTCCCCGAACGAAGACGCCGGCGCGCGTTTCCGCGTCGCGTTCGACGCGTCCTCCACGCCGAGGTACGCGCCGGGTCCGGGGGCGCGGTCGACGGTCGACTCCCTGAGCAGCTCCTCGAGCTCGAGATCCACGTCCGCGCGCGGCGGCGGCGCGATCGTGACGGAGGGGGCGCGTCGGCGCGTCATCGAGTCGTCGACGTAATGCGGCGGCGACGGCGCGTTTTCGAGTTCCTTCGCCGCGCGTTCCAACGCCGTCGCGTCGACGAGTGCGCGGACCGCTTTCCTCTGCTCGACGTCGAGCTTCAACGGCGGTTCGCGCCGGCTCTCGTTCTTCTCGCTCCTCCATCCGCGCAGCGGGTGCAGCGGGTCGCGTCGTCGCGCGCGCGCGACCGCCGCCTCTGCTCTCGCCTTGGACTCGTCCGGGGGAGGCTTCGGCGGCGGCGGCGGCGGCCAAGCCGCCGGCGTCGTCATCCGCGGCTTGACGACGTCCATCGCGGGAATCGGCGGCGCCTTCGCCGCGGCGTGCGCGCGATGCGACACCCCGGGAACGGTTTCTCCGGGACCGTTACGACCGTTACGACCTTCGCCTTCGCGCGCGCGTCGAACCTCCGCGCGCGCGCGGCGGCGCAGATCGCGCACGAGCGCGCGCCCGTCGACGTCCGCGCTGTCGGTGCTCATCGTCGACGACGCGACTGAGCCGTCGGGGGACTCCGGTCGTCTCGCGGGGTCTCGCCGTCGTCGCGCGCCGCCGCCTGCGACGCGCAACGGCGCCCACGTCCCGCCGCCGCGGCTCGACCCCGGTCGCGTCTTATCCAGCGCGCGCGCGATCGCGTCGCGGTCGAGCATGTCGGGACCCTCCGCCGGGGCGGGCGCGCCGGCGGACGCCGGTTTCGCCGTCGGTGCGCTGAGGGTCGAGGGTCCATGCGAAACGACGTCGGGGTGGAGTTGAAAGGCGTCAGAAGCGGAGTTGAAAGGCGTCGAGGTGTGTCGGGATTGAAACCGAGGGGTGGGCGGAGAGACACGAACGCCGGCAAAAGTTCTCAAGGGTCGGCGTGCACCGCGCCGACGCAGCCGCGTGGGGACCAGCGTGAGATAGAACGCGCCTGAACGCCGCGCTCCGCCGCACGTTTTCGCCGCGCTTCCTCGCCAACGCCTCCGCCGCCTCCATCGCGCGCGCGGTCTCCTTCGCGCGCGTCGCGCTCGCGCGCGCGGCGTCGTCCGATTCGGTCGGTCGATACCGTCCCGCCGACGCCAAGGTCTGGCGAAACTTCTCGTCGTCGCCGCCGCGCACGCCGAGAAACGGCTGCCGGTACCACCCGGGCGGGCCCGCCCCGACGCCCAACGCGCGCCACTCCCTCTCGATCTCGTCCTCGTCCTCCGCGTCCCAGTCCGCGTCGAGCGCGGCTCTGGTCGCGCGCGTGAACACCGTGGAAGAAGAAGAAGAAGAAGAGAGGCCGCGCTTCTTCGCGACGCCGCGCCACCTTTCAGGGTGGAGTTGAAAGGTGTCAGTTGGAGTTGAAAGGCGCCGAGGGCGGGTATTGAAAGCGAGGGGTGGGCGGAGAGAGACGACGGCGAAAGTCCTTAAGGATCGGCGTTCACCACGCGAACGCGGTCGTATGGGGACCAGTGTATAGAACGCACCTGATGACGCCGCGCCTCAGGCTCCGCAGTCTTCTCGTCGTCGTCGTCGTCCCGTCTGAGGGCCATTCTATACAAGCGAAAGTCGGGGTGGAGTTGAAAGGCGTCGAAGGCGGGGATTGAAAGCGAGGGGTGGGCGGAGAGACACGACGGGCAAAGTCCTTAAGGAATGACGTTCACCACGCCGACGCGGTCGTATGGGGACCAGTGTGGGACGCGCCTGATTCGTCCGCCGCGCCTTCCCGCCTCTCTTTCTTCTCCTTCTTCTCGTTGGATTCCTTCTCTTTCTCTTCGCGCCACCGCGGCGCCCCCCCGAAGCTCGCGACGGGTGCGCGTTTCCGCGTCGCGTCCAACTTGACGGGGTCGACGGCTTCGCGACGCGCGCGCGCCGCCTCCTCCGCGGCGGCTTCCGACGCTTCCAAGTCTGGATGAAAGAGCGCGCGCGCGGCGCGACGCGATTGGTCAGGGATACGACGTTGGTGACGTGGAGGCGTGATGGCCGCGTGGTAGGGTGTACACGTGGACGTAGCGCGTGGCGCGTGTCGCGGCGCACCTCGAATCGCCGCCGCGATGCCGCTCTCGAACGGCAGCGCCGCGACGAGCGTCCGCGCGTCCTCCTCTCTCCGGCTCGTTCTATACGAGCGAATGGCGGGGTGGAGTTCAAAGGCGTCAGTTGGCGTTGAAAGGCGTCGAGGGCGGGGATTGAAAGCGAGGGACCCTGGGCGGAGAGAGACGACGGCAAAAGTCCTTAAGGATCGGCGTTCACAACGCGAACGCGGTCGTATGGGGACCAGTGTATAGAACGCACGTCAGGCTGACGCGCTTCGTCGCGGATCGTCGGATGGCGTCGGGCGGCGCGCGCGGCGGCCCCCACGCGACGCCCGGCGCGCGCGGCCGCTTCGCCGCGACGGAGGGATTATACAGAGGGGGATCGTCGTCGTTTGTGACGCGTTCTCTCGCGTTCTCGACGCTCTTCGACCGCGCGCGCCGTGCGCCGTCCCACGACGCGCGGACGAGCTGCGGCGCCGCGAGCGACGCGCCGTTCGCGTCCGCGAACCGCTCCGCCTTTCCTCCCAAGCGGTCGCGCGGGCCGTCGAACGCCCTCCGCGCGAGCGTCTCGAGTTTCGACGCGAGGTTGCCGTGATGAGAGGAGGCGGAGGCTTCGCTCCGCGACAAAGTTGACGCGTCGTCGTCGTCTTCATCTTCATCCTCCGCGGGCGGCAGCGCGACGCGCACGGTGAGCGCCTCCCTCGCGCGTCTTCTCCGCGTCTCGTCCTCCGCCAGCGCCGCCGCGGTCGCCGCCCACGAGGGCCCGAGCCCGATTGGCGGCGGGACGGATTGCTGGCGCACGACCTCGCGCGCTTTCGACGCGTCGACGCCGCGCGACAGCGCGCCGACGAGCGCGCTGAAGAGGATGTCGTCCTCGCGCGGATCTGGATCTGATGACGACGCGTCGTCGCCGTCGCGCTCCATCGCGTCGTTCTCGTCGTCGCGCTCCGTCCCCGCCGTCGCGGGCGGCGGCGGCGAAAGGTCCGCGTCCGTCGTCGTCGGCGTCGACTCCGCGCGCGCCCGCGCGCCGCGAGTCCGTTCGGCGCGCGTCGACGCCCCGCGCGCGACCGGGTCTGGCTTCGGTCCCGTCGTCGACTTTGTCCCCTTCCGGAGTTTGCGACAACGACGACGACGTCTCAACGGTCGCAAAATAATGTGCGACGACCGCGAAGGCAGTCGGCGTCCGCGCGGGGCACGCGCGCCCCACGCGCGCGATGAGCGACGACGAGTGGTGGGCGCTGAGCACGCACCCGTCTGAATGGGGCGGGACGCCCGCGCCGCCGGTGAAGACCGCGCGAGGCGCGGAGGTGCGCGGACGCGACGCGCGCGGAAACGTTTTACTCATCCTCCTCTCCGCTCGCGTGCTTCGCCTCGCCTCGCCTCGCCTCGCCGCGGATCGATCCCCTGACCCCTCCCCCCCCACACGCCCACGCTTCATCGTCGACGCAGATGGCGGACCTCGACGCGCGCTCGAGGATCGTGGACCACCTCGCGCGGCTCACCGCGCTCGCGTCGTCCGCGCGAGGACGACGCGCCGGCGACGCCGCGGCGGTCGCGGTGGAAGCGCTCGCATCCGACGCGCGATCGCTCGCGACCGCGGCGGGGGAGCTCGAGCGCGCGGAGAGGGACCTCGCGCGCGCGCGCCGAGTCCTCTCCCTCGCGACCAGCGCGTCCGCGGGGAGGAGGAGGAGGAGGAATGGGAACGGCGGCGCGGGAGGAGGGAGGGGCGGGGACGACGCGTCGTCGTCCGTCGGGATCTCTTCTCCAACCCCGCGCGCGTCGTGCGCGGCGGCGTCGGCGGCGTGCGAATGGCGCGGCGCGTGCGTCGGCCGGTTCCACCGCCACCACGCCGCGCTCGGCCGCGCGCTGCGTCACGACCCGCACTCGCTGCCTCAGAAAGAGATCGACGCGGCGGTAGAGGCGGAGCGGGACGGCGGCAGAGCGTCCGCGAGAGAGTTGCGCGGCGGCGGCGGCGGCGCGGGGAATCGTCGTCGCCGTCAGATCGAGTTCACCCCGGGCGGAGGGATCATGCCGCGCCGCGCGCGGTACGTTTCCCCGTGGGCGAAGCACGCCGCGAACGCGGTGCACGTCATATCCGACGCCGTGGACGCGCTCGTCGGGGACGGCGGCGGGCTCGTGTTCACCATCGGCGAAGGTTCGAGATCGAAATCGAAATCGACGTCCAAGCCGTCGCCGGAGCTCGCGTTGCCTTGGCTCGCCGACCGCGTCGATAGCGTGGGGTCGGTCGTCGCGAACTGGACGACGCACCGGCCGAAGCTTCGACCGACGGGGGTGACGCTGAGCGACCTGTGTTTGCTTCACAGCGACGTCGTGCACGTGGACGACGCGCTGACGCGAGCGGCGGCGTCGTTCGCGCGCGCGGCGGCGGCGGCGCGAGGACGAGGAAAAGAGGGAAAAGAAAACGACGACGACGACGACGACATCGATGGCTGCGGCGTCGCCGCTTCCGCGGCGACGACCGCGTCCGCGCGATACGCCATCAGACTCGCGCTCGGGAGGCTCACGGACGTCATCGCGCGAGAGATGACGACGACGTGCGATCAACTCTGGTCGGAAGCGCCGAAGGGCGCGTGGAGGACGAGGGGACCGACGACGAGCGAAAAAAACAAAAACGACGCCGTCGAAGCGCGTCAGGTGCGTCCTATACACTGGTTCCCATACGACCCCGTTCGCGTGGTGAACGCCGATCCTTAAGGACGTTTGCCGGCGTCTCTCTCCGCCCACCCCTCGCTTTCAACGCCCGCCATCGACGCCTTTCAACGCCAACTGACGCCTTTCAACTCCACCCCGACGTTCGCTTGTATAGAACGACCCTCAAACAACGCCTTCGGACGTCACCGAGCGCGTCTGCGCGTCGCTCCTCGCGCCGCTGCGCGACGCGCTGTCCGCGCTGGATCCGCGCACGGCGGCGACGATCGGCCCCGCGGCCGCGAGCGCGGCGACGCAGAGCCTTCTGTCGCGCGTGAAGCGCGAGGGGAAGGGCGGCGTCCGTCTCAGGCGCGTTCTGTACACTGGTCTCCATACGACCCCGTTCGCGTGGTGAACGCCGATCCTTAAGGACTTTCGCCGTCGCATCTCTCCGCCCACCCCTCGCTTTCAACGCCCGACCTCGACGCCTTTCAACTCCAGCTGACGCCTATGAACTCCACCCCGACGTTCGATCGTATGGAATGGCCCTCAGCGCCGGCGGCGCCGCGAGACTGCGTCTCGACGTGGAGACGACGATACGCGCGGCGGACGTCGACGGCGTCGTCGCCGCCGCCGAGGACGCGGGCGTGAGCGTCGCGGCGAGGACCGCGAGCGCGGCGCGAAAGAAACGGGCCGAATCCGGCCGTTTCGGAGGAGGCGACTGGACGTCGGACGCGTGCGCCGGCGCGGGGGCGACGGCGCTCAGGTGCGTTCTATACAAACGTGTTTCACCCATCGCCCGGTTTCAACATTTGATCGCGTCCCCTTTCAACTGACCGGTGAACTGTTTTTGTATGGAACGACCATCAGCGCGTGGCGGAGCACGGAGCGACGCGCGCGCGCGGTCGTGAGGGTCGCGGAGGCGTGCGGCGACGGGAAGGAGGGGAAGGACGAGGACCCTCACGCGGGGAGGGGGCTGAGCGACGTCGAGGAGTGGCGGCGCGTCTGCGTCGCGTGAGACGGACGCGTTGTTAGTTTCTTCTCTTTCATCACTTTCTGTTTGTTCGTCGCGCTCGAAGGATTTATTCGCCCTCACCGCGGCGCGCACGCGCGGCGTCGTTCCGTTCACGCGCGGCGTGGGATCTTCGCGGGGTTTCTCTTCCAGCGTTCCGGGGTTGGGCGGTCGGTTCCGTCCCAGGCTTTACCCCGGCGCTTTCACGTGCCCCCGCGTCTCCCCGCCGTTCGCTCGTCGGCTCGATCCGCCGCGAATCGATTCGATCGTTCAGTTCAGATCTCGTCCGATTCTCATCAACGATTCCCCCGTCCGTCGTCCACCCTTATTAGAGCGCCGCGACCGTGTCCGCGCCGACCTTGTCCATGTCCAGCGCTTTGAGCTTCGGAAACGGCCTCGCGAGGTTTAACAGCTCGACCACGGTCTTCATCTCCGTCTTGATCACGAAGCATCCCTTCCGGGGCTTCACCGGGTTGATCGATACGACCGCGCCCTTCTTCGCCTTCGCCACGAACGCGGCGACCGCGTTCGCGCGCGTCTTGAACGCGTTTCACGACTTGCACGCCTCGATGAGGACGCCGCCCTTGGGGACCGCGGCGACGGCGTCGTCCGCGGCGATCGGGGCGTTCTTGGCGATCGTCTTCTTGACGGCCACGGCCGCCTTCTTCGCGGGTGTCTTCTTCTTCGGTGCCATTTCGACTGACGTCATCGTTGAGCACGAGCAGTTCTCTTCTTCCTGTCGAGTCATCCGCATCCTAGTCCCTCAATCACTCCCGTCCGCGCTTCCCGCGACGACGACGACGACGATGGCGGCATCTATCGCGCGCGCGGCGACGCGGACGACGACGACCGCGCGGCCGACGCGCGTCGGCGGCGCGAGGCGGGTCCTCCGCGGCGCGACGCCGCGGCGCGCGCGCGGGCCGCGCCGCGTCGACGCGTCCGTCTCATCCGCGGAGGAGGAGGAGGAGGCGGACGACGCGAGGGGCCGCGGCGACGACGGAAGGGACTCCCTCGTCGCGTCGCCGCGAAGACCGTCGCGCCGCGCGACGCTCGCGAGCGCGCTCGGCGTCTTCACGGGTGCGTCGTCGTCGTCGTCGTCGTCGTCGTCGTCGTCGCGTCGCGCGTCGTCGTCCGTCGCGTCGCGTCGCGTCGCGTCGCGTCGCGCGCTCGAGGGTCTAGGGTTCGGGTGCCCAGATCGTCCGCCCGTCCGTCCGTCCGTCCGTCGTCCTGCTCATGACCTTCCCCCCTCCCGCGCGAAATCCTCGACGCAGGCGTCGCCGCCACCGGGTTCAGCGGTCCGTCCTCCGCGGGCGAGGTCTTGGACCAGCTCCAGAACTTCCTGAGCGACGCGGAGGCGGCGATGGAGGTGCGTTCTATACACTGGTCCCCATACGACCCCGTTCGCGTGGTGAACGCCGATCCTTAAGGACTTTTGCCGTCGTTTCTCTCCGCCCACACCACGGTTTCAATCCCCGCCCTCGACGCCTTTCAACTCCACCTGACGCCTTTCAACTCCACCCCGACATCGCTTTGTATGGAACGACCCTGAGGCGGACCCGGAGAACGAGGCGCTCGTCGGCCAGAAGAACTTTTTCGAGAACCAGCTCGAGCGGACGCAGCTCAACGCGCAGTTCGTCGACCGCACGCGTCCGCGCGTGCGTTCCGGCGCGACCAACTACGCGCAGCGCATCGTGTTAGAGGTGGACGAGAACCTGTGGGAGGACGAGATCTATTTCTGGAAAAACGCCATGGGCATGCGCGTTACGCGCGTCGACGAAGTCGCGGAGAAGAAGGAGGAGGGCGGCGGAAAACCGAAAGCCGCGTTTCTCGCGTTCGGCCAAGAGACGCTCGACGCGGACGACGGCGCGAAAGCGGGCGTGGAGATCCGCGCTCGCGGCGGCGGTGGAAACGGCGCCCCCGGCGTCGTCGGCACCGGGCTCGCGTACGTGTCGCTGTCCGTGCCGTTCGGCGTCAGGGTCAGTCGGATATACGAAGCCGGAGGAGAGCTCGTGTATGGATTCGGGTATTTCGACTGCAAGTCTCCGAGCGGCTACCGCGTCCGCGCGCGCGTCGCCGCGCGTCGAGACCCTCTCGAATACGTCGCGATCAACGTGAGAGACGTCCAAGCTTCGGAGCGATACTACGCGAAGAGATACGGCATGGTGAGCAGCGCAGCTTTGGACGCGAACCCCTACGCGCCGAAATCGCCGCCGGGGTCGAGGCTGCTCACGTTCGGAGGTGCGTTCTAGCTCGTTACACTCACTGGTCCCCATACGATCACGTTCGCGTGGTGAGCGCCGTTCCTTAAGGACTTTTCCCGGCGTCTCTCTCCGCCCACCCCTCGCTTTCAATCCCCGCCATCGACGCCTTTCAACTCCACCCCTGACGCCTTTCGACTCCACCCCGACGTCGACCCTCGCAGAGCCGCGGGAGACGCTCGGGATCCTGCTCCAGCCCGCGGCGGCGTCCTTCGACGACGTCGCGTCGGAGCTCGTGCTCGGCGACGTGTACAAGGGCGTGGTCATCGTGACCGGCGGCGAAGGAGGCGCGAAGGGGATACGGGAGGGGAACGAACGCGACGAGGACGGGTACGGCGTCGAGGTGATGTCGTACGACGCGTTCGAGAGGGACGTCGCGGCGGGCGCCAGGGCGCTGCCGATGGAGTACAACTTGCCGCCCGTCGTCAAGGAAGAGTGATAGACTATGACACGGTGTGGGTTTGTTTGGTGGTTGGTCTTTTGTGGATCCATACTGTAAGTAAACGACGCGTCGTGCCGGAGCGTACCGTGTGCTCGCGGCGCTCGCTCACGGCTCGCCGTCGTCCCACTCGTCCGGGAACTCGCCCTTCGCGAGCTCCCCTGCGTGGGTGAAGCGATCGGTCAGTCGAACGTCTTACCGGTCAAACGTACGTTGAAAGGGAAGCGCGGGTGAAGAGTGACGACGGGAAAAGTCCTTAAGGAACGACGTGCACCACGCGAACGGGGTCGTATGGGAAGCAGTCTCACCCGACGCCTTGCCGAGCACCGTCGCCATGAGGATCGGCACGTTCACCTTGATCTCCGCGCCGCCCCAGAAAGTCCCCTCCCTTCCCGGCTCCCACGACGCGGACAACACGCCGTACGTGATGCCGACGAGCGCGCCGCCGAAGGTGAGCGTGCTCGCGAGGAAAAACTGCCACGGCGCGACGTCTAGGTGCGCGAACACCTTGGCGCCGTAAAAGATGGGTCCGGTGCTGCGACGTCGGGGCGGGCGGGGCGGGCGGCGTTCAGGGGCGCGTCAGGCGGGCGGAGTTGAAAGGCGTCGCGGGCTGGGATCGAAACCGAAACCGAAACCGAAACCGAAACCGAAACCGAAACCGAACCGAGGCCAGCGCGCGCACCTGAACCCGAGGAGGAGCGGTACGCCGCTGAAGATGGAGATGCGCTTCAGCATCCGATCGGTCACCACCTGGGGGATGCCCTTCGCCTGCGCGCTTCGATACTCCTCCCGCTTCGCGTCTCGCTTCGTCGCGTCCTCCGCGATCTTCTCCGTCGTCGCCTCGCGGACGCGCTTCAGCGCCGCCTTGCTTATCTGCCCGCCCGTCTGCGAGGACGGGACGCCGCGCTTGCTGTACTTGACGTTCGCCACTCGCGGCGGCGACGACGCTTTCGACGCCTTCTCACCCTTACCCTTCCTCGCCGCCGCCGCGGCCTCCTGCCCCTCGATCTGCTTCGCGTCCTCGCGCTGTTGCGACTTTTTGTCCCTTCCCGCGAGCCGCGCGTTCTTGCCCTTCGCGGCGAGGACGACGAGCGACCCGCGCGACGACGACGCGGACGGGGAGGAGGAGGAGGAGGGGGAGAACGTCCGAGAGATCTTCATCTTCCTCGGCGCGGTCGTCGTCGTCGTCGTCGTCGCCGCCGCGCGACGAGATTCGCGCGCGACCGACGCCGCCGGCGCGCGCGCGGACATCGAGATCGCGGCGACGCGCGATGCCATCGTGAGCGTCGCGACGGCCCGCGCGAGGCGCGGTGTGCGCGGCGTCGCCGAGCGACCGACTGGAGTTATCTCTCGCGGTGACAAGTGGCGACCGAGGTCGGCGCCGCCCACACACGGCGACGGGAAGATAACCTAGGGTGGGGGGATTCGCTGTCCGACGCGGGCGTCGTCGCGGCGTCGCGTCATCACACCACCGCGCGCGAGTCTTCCCGACGCGCGCACGACTCGCGCGGAGGCCCTTTCGGCGCGAGCGAACGACCGCGCGCGCGCGACCGCGCGCGCCGACGCGTCGAGCGCGCGCTCGAGCTCGTCGAGCTGTCTGACGTTTATCATCAGCGGCGCGGCGTTCGAAGGCTTTCGAATTCGCCCCCGCGGCCGCCGTGAACGTCCGTCGTCCGCGACCTGCGACCTCCTACTCCTGGGAGAGAGTGACCAAACCGACGCCATGGGCAACGCGTGCGGCACCCCGGCGTCGGGCAGGGAACGCGTTCCCGAGCCGTCCGCGCTGGACGCGCTCATAAGCGAGAAGGTGAAGGACTACACGCGAAGGCATCCCGTGGAGGCGTCGAAGACGGTGAATCAGGTGCGTTCTATACACTGGTCCCCATACGACCGCGTTGGCGTGGTGAACGCCGATCCTTAAGGACTTTTGCCGTCGTGTCTCTCCGCCCACCCCTCGCTTTCAATCCCCGACCGCGACGCCTTTGAACGCCAACTGACGCCTTTGAACTCCACCCCGACATCGCTTTGTATGGAACGACCCTCAGATCGCGATGAAGTTTCCGTCGATGCTCTCTTCTTTCGAAGCCCTGCGCGGGATATTCGATCGCGTGGACAAAGACGCGAACGGGTTCATCGAGAAGCACGAGTTCGTGACCGCGGTGGAGGAAGGGTTCAGCCGCAAGGTGACGGTCGAGCGCGAGATGATCGAAAGGATCTACGACGAGGCGGATTTGAAACACGACGGGCGCGTCAACTACAAAGAGTTCGTGCTCATGATCGTGCTCCTGTATCTCGTCAGGTGCGTCGCGTCGCGTTGCGTTGATGCCGCGCGGCGGCTGAAAATCTTTCCTATGTGTTTTTCGTCCACTCGTCATCCGCACGTCTGCCACGTCATCATTCTCTAACCAATCGTCGCCCGCCACGTCACCGCCGCGCGTCTCGCAGTTGGGAGACGGACCTGAGCGTGGGGAAAGACACCGCGGTGAGCGGCTCCGCGGGGGAGGACACGCTCGTGCACAACGCGGTCCAGAAAGTCCTCGAGGCGTTTCTCTTCTTCGACGCGAACGGCGACGGGTACATACGCAAGGACGAGGTGTTGAAGAAGCTGGAAGCGCACGAGGGGGCGCACGCGAAGCAAAAGACCGAACACGGAGGACTCACCGCGGCGCGGTTTCGCGAGCTGGACTGGGATAAGAGCGGCCGGGTCGACTTCAAACAGTTTCTGTTCGCCGTCGAGGGGTGGTGCGGGATGGACGACGACTTAGACGGGAGCGTGGAGGGGGGTAACAACGCCGGCGGCGGCGCGTCGTAGGTAGTCGCGGAACGAGACGCGACGCGACGTCGTCGCTCGAACGAATAATTCTATCTTAGACCCGATGTCACGCGGCGACCCCGAGCTCCACGCGCGTGAGCTGCAGCAGCCGCATGTTCTCGTGCCCCGGGAAGTCCGCGTCCGCGGTCTCCATGCCAAACTTCCGAGCCTCGGACGCGAACGCCTCGCGGTGAAGACGCGCGGCCGGGTCGACGAACAACGCCATGGGAGGGCTCATCGGGCTCGAGTTCCCGTTTCCGTCCGCCGCGGCACCCGCGACCGCGCCCGCGAGCGCGAGCGCCCTCGACGTCGCCGCCGCGACGTGCGGCACCGCGTCCGCGTCGTACAGCACGTCCGAGGCGACGACGACGTCGAACGCGCGCTCCGGCCACGCGGACAGCTCCTTCCAATCCAACGTTAACGTTCGCGTCGTCGTCGGCGTCGACCCGGCGGCGTTCTGGGGCGGCGTCGAGAGGCGTCAGTCGGAGTCGAAAGGCGACGAGGTGTGTCGGGATTGAAAGCGTGGGATGGACGGAGAGAGAGGAACGCCGGGAGAGAAAGTCCTTAAGGAATGAAGTTCACGACGCCAACGCGGTCGTATGGAAACTAGTGTGAGCTGGGAACGCGCCGCCTTCTTCGCGGCGTGCTCCGCGCTTCGAGACGTCATCGCGAGCACGCCGGCGTCGACGTCCGCGAAGCACACCTCGCTCGCGCCCGCGCCCATCGCGGCCACGCCGACGAGCCCCAACCCCGCGCCGATCTCGAGGACGCGCTTCCCTCGCACGAGGCTCGGGCAGTGCGCGAGGAGACGCGCGAGCGCGACGGACGCGGGCCACACGACGTCGCCGGCGCCGTAGAGCTCGTCCCTGATTGGTGGGGGACGAGGCGGGAAGTGATGCGATTGGTTAGGTATTTGATGACGTGGACGTTTCATTGGACGAGAGCGACGGAGAGGGCGCCGGTGAAAGTCCTTAAGGAACGGCGTTCACATCGCGAACGGCGTCGTATGGGGACCAGTGCGCGATGAATGAAACGAGGACGCGCCTGAATCCCTCGAGCACCTCCAGCGAGACGCGATCCCCGGCGACGTCCGCGACGGCGTCGTCGCGCGGGACGTACAGCTCGACGGACTTCCCCTGGCCGAGGTCGATCGCGCGGAGTTCGCACCCTTCCTCGGTGCCCTTCCCAACGCCCGTGGTCCCGCCGCGCTCACGAGTCTTGCTCCGCTTCGCCTTGGCTCTCGTCGTCGCGTCGCCGGCGTCGAGCGGGCTGTCGTCTCGCCATCCTTTTCCGCGGGTCTCCCGCGACGCGCGACGGCGCGGGAGGCGGGCGGCGCGGGAGGGCGCGCGCGGGAGCGAGAGCGTCGGGGAGGCGCGGACGGTCGACGCCATCGCGCGCGGACGGCGCGAGCGGCAGTGGTCGCGACGCGACGACGGAACGGCAGATTGGCGCGTCGTGAGCTGACTGTGCTGTGGCTGACGAGGCGAGGACTGAAACAGCAAATATTGGCACCCCGATTCTACTTCCCTACTCATACTAGACTAAGCATCCGCCCGCTCGATCACGCCGCGACGCGGAGCTCGTGCGCGTCGTGACGCATCTTTCGCAGCGTCACGCTCGTGCGGTGCCCCCGCTCCACCCTCCGCGCGCTCTCGCCGTCCTCCGAGACTAAAACGTCATGCGACCGCGCGGCGATGCCGTGCCTCCACGTCCACCGCGCGTCCTCGCACAGGAACAGGACGTCTCCGGGCTGGAGCCACACTTGGATCGGGACGTCGTCGTCGTCGCGTTTCCCGCGCGCGCGGCGCGTCGCGTCCCCGGGGACGTCCCCATCCCCGCCCGGGATATCCCCGGTCGCGTCGTCGTCGTTTGTATTTGGATTCGGATTCGGATCTGGAGCTGGAGCTGGATCTGGCGGCGGCGGCGGGTAAAAGTCCATCATTATGGCGCTCTCCAACGACGCGACCACGACGCCGTCGTCGAACGCGTCCAAGTCCACGTGCGCGCGCAAACCCTCCCCGGGGAGGTACGAGTTCAGGATCATCTGGTCGAACATCGGCGCGGGGTGCGACGACGCCGCCGCCGACGTCATCAGTCGACGGTCGTCGTCGTCCCCTTCCCCCTCGCGCCGCGCCAGCGCCTCGACGCGCTCGGACAGGACCGCCGCCCACGGAGGAAAGTCCCCGAAGCGCATCGCTTGGTTCCGTCGAGGAGCTCCGGTCGCGGCGCCGGCGGCGGCGGCGGCGGCGGAATCGATCAGTCCGTCGCTCGCGATCGCGCGAAGCAACCACGCCATCGCGTCGTCCGTCAGGACCCCGCGCGCAAGCGTCGCGCCGCGCGCGCGGTCTCCGAGCGGCAGCGTTCGGCGCCATCGACCCGCGGCGGCGAGGAACGAGACGGGCGGGCGTCCGTACGCCTCGCGCGCGCAACGCGCGTCGGCGTCGGCGGCGGCGCCGGCGTCCGCGTCCGAGTCCGACGCGTCTGATGAGTCCCCGAAGACGTCTCGGACGAGATCCATTCGATCGATCCGCGCGGCGTCGTCGTCGTCCCGGTCGTCGTCTGTCGCTCTCGCTCCCGTCTACTTCTACTCCGCCGCCTTCGCCTTCGCCTTCGCCTTCGCCTTCGCCGCGTCGTTCTTCTTCTTGAGCGCGGCGTCCGCGCCCCCCGGCGTGCCCGTGAGCAGATCTTCGAGGGATCGGAGCTGCGGGTCGAGCAGCGCGCTCTTCGTCGACCACTTCCGGGCGATCGCGGGGTCGATCAAGTAGAGATAGATACCAAACGACACCGTCAACACGGGAATCTGCGGCACTACCACTTTGAAGAAATCCCCGGCGACAACCATCCTTGGGGGGGGGGGCGTGCCCGCGGCGCGGAGAGGACTGCGAGGGAACGAATCGCGGCACCCGATAACCCGAGAAAGTTTCTGTCGAAAAGAACCTGACAGGAAAGAACGCGTCGAGAAAAAAAAGCAACGGGGGCGCCGCGTCGCGTCGCATTCCTCTCCGCGCGCGCGTCGCGTTCCTCCGCGCGCGCGCGAGCTCGGCTCCCTCTCGAGCTTCTCTTCACTCCTCGCGCGTCGCGCAGCGCGCGCGGGCGGCGGCGTCACCGGTGCGTCGCGCGCGCTTTCGTCAACCCTACGATTTTCGCGCGAGCGAGCCCGAGCCATTCGCGAAGCGCGTCGCGTCGACCGCCCCCCGCGCGCGTCGTCGTTCGAGACGCGGGATCTGATGACCCCCGCGCCCCCCCCACCCCCACGTCGACGTCGGTCCACCCCAGACTCCCCCCTCGCTCCACGCCGCGCGGTGCGCGATGTTCGCGTGCGGCAGCATGGCCGCCGCGTGCGCGGGCAGCGCGTGCATGACCGCGACGTGCGGATGCCTCGGGCACGTGGGCGACGCCGTCGCGAAAACGTCCGCGCGGGCGCTCTACGTCGTCATGTTTGCAATTTCTACCGCGCTCGCGTTCGTCATGCGCGACTGCGCGCAGCCGCTGTTGAAGCGAATACCGTGGATCGCGCGGCTCGCGACGATGAATTACGTCCCGGGCGACGAGTGGTTCGGCGCGCAGGCGCGTTCGAGTCGCGCCGGCGCCCGCACGACGAATCATGATTTATTACGCTCCTCCTCCTCGAGGACTTTTTTTTTTCGCTTTTTTCCTCGCCTTTCAACTCCGACCGACGCCGCCTTTCAACCGACTCCAACCCCACCCGCAGGCGGTGTACCGAATCTCCCTCGGGAACTTCATCTTCTTCGGCGCGATGGCGTGCGCGCTCGTCGGCGTGAAGCGCCGCTCGGGTGCGTTCACGCGAACGTTTATCACCCGCCGCTCGGTTTCAACAGGTTCGAGCATCGGACTCAGTTCGATCGCGTGGGTCCCTTTCAACTGACCGATGCACTTTTTGTACTGTACCTACCCCGGAATCGCCCTCATCAGACGCGCGCGACGTCCACCTGCATCACGGCTCCTGGGTCCTCAAATTCACCGCGTGGGCGCTGTGCAACGTCCTCCCGTTCTTCGCGTCGAACGGCGTCGTGGGCGCGTACACGTGGGTCGCGCGCGTCGCGTCCGGCGTGTTTCTCGTCGTGCAGATGATCATCTTGTTGGATTTCGCGTTTTTCTGGAACGAGAGTTGGGTCGCGAGACAACACGCGGGATGGCTGGTCGGGCTGCTCGTCTCCACGATCGTCCTGTACGCGGAGAGCGTCGCGGTGGTCGTGATGGCGTTTCGGTGGTTCTCCCCGCGCGGGGTGGACTGCGGCTCGAACGATTGGATGATCGGGAGCGCGTGCGCGTTGTGTCTGGCGTTTTCGCTCGCGTGCGTGCACCCGGGCGTGAAGGCGCGTTCTCGAGTAGTCACACTGGTTCCCATACGACCGCGTTGGCGTTGTGAACTTCATTCCTTAAGGACTTTTGCCGGCGCATCTCCCCGCCCACCCCTTGCGTTTAATCCCCGAGCTCGTTGCCTTTCAACACCAACTGACGCCTTTCAACTCCACCCCGATATCATCGCTTCGTGTGGACCCTCGACCCTCATCAGGACGGGAGCTTGCTGCCGTCGGCGGTTGTCACGTCGTACTGCACGTACCTGCTCTACAGCGCGCTCGCGTCCGAACCGAGCGAGTACGAGTGTAACCCGCGCGGGAGCGAGACCGGCGCCGGCGCGGGTTCGCGCGGCGGCGTCGCGGAGATTGCGAGCACGGCGCTCACGTTGGCGTCGGTGGCTTACGGGGCGCTGCGGGCGGGGAGCGCGGATTTTTTCGGCGGCGTCGACGGCGACGGCGACGACGGCGACGGCGACGGCGGCGTCGACGCGAGCGCGTTACTCGGCGGCGGAGGCGACGGAGGCGGGAGCGACAGCGACGACGAGGAGAACGGTGGCGTCGGCGCGCGCGGGAAGGCGTCGTACCCGTCCGGCCCGGTGTCCTACAACTACGCGTTCTTCCACTTCATCTTCGCGTTGGCGTCGGCGTATCTCGCGATGTTGATGACGGGTTGGGGCGATCGCGCGTTCGAGGACGGCGGAGCGCCCGTGGACGTCGGGTGGGCGAGCGTGTACGTCAAGTACGCGTCGTTGTGGGTCACCGGGTTGCTGTACACGTGGAGTTTAGTCGCGCCCGCGGTGATGCCAGACCGGGACTGGGACTGACGGTTCGGTTCGTTTCAATTCTCTCGACAGACGCCACCCGCGCGAACGGAAAGGAAAGGAAAGGAACGACGCGCCCGCCGCCGCGCGAGCGATCGGTGTTGTACACTACGATGTAATAATAAAACAAACCTCGACCGAGTAACCCCTCGCGGCGAGCGCCTATTACGCGCTCGCTCGGCCGCTGTCGACGGACGGACGAACGAACGGACGCCGCGGGCGGAGACGTCGTCGTCGCGTCGTCACCTTCTCGCGTCGTCCCTCGTCTCTCCTCGCTCCCGCGCGCCTCCTCTCCGTCCTCCGTCCTCGCGCTCGAACTCGTCGAACAGCGCGCGCGTCACCGCCGCGTCTCGCTCGCTGAACCGGATGTTGTAGTCGCGGTTCTCGCGCGCGTTCCTCTTCCCCGCCTTCAGTCGTCGTCTGCACGTCCTCGCGGATCGCGCCTCGGCGATGACGTGCGGTCGTCGAAACGCGAACGCGGCGGCGAGCGCGGCGACGACGCGCGAGACGTCGCTTTTCGCGCGCTGCAGCGTGACCTGCCCGGGCCAGTGCGGGTTCTTCTCGCGCGAGAGCTTCCGCAGCGGGCCGATGTCGATGACGACGTCGAAGTCGAAGGAGACGCGGCGCGCGCGCGGCGGAAGCGGCATCGGCGTCGTCGCGTCGTCGTCGTCGTTCGCGTCGTCGTCGACGCCAACGGTTTTTTCGCGCACGCCGGACGATGAGACGCGCGGGCTCGGACTCGACGCGTCGCTCCGCGCGTCGTCCTCGATCGCGTCGACGAGGAGGACGCTCGTCGGCGACGTCGGGGACTCGAGCTCGCGCGCGACGGACGCCGCCTTCGCCGCCTTCGCGCCGCCGCAGTCCTCGTAGTAGCTCTCGAGCGCGGCCTGCCACGTGCTCGTCGCTTCGGAGCCGTTCGACCGTCGTCGTCGATCGTCCGCGAGCATCGCGCCGTCGCCGCCGCGCGTCGTTCGAAACGACCCGCTCGGCCGCAAGATCGACCGCGGCCGCGGCGTCGACGGCGTCGACGGCGCGCGACGATCGCGCGCGCGCGTCGGCGGCGGCGTCTCCATCCCTGCGCGGCGCCGGCGCGCGGACGGAATGGCAACGTTCGTTTCAGAGCGACGCTCGAAGCTGTCGAAGGCGCGTTCAAAGTCGACGTCGCGTCGGCGTCGCCGCGGCCGACCCGGTGCCGATCGAGCCGCGCGACCGGTGACGACGCGCGCTCCTCTCTCCTCGTCCCCTCCTCCACACGTCGACGCGCGCGGCGCGCGGGAGGAGCCACCCACCGCGCGCGGTCCGCTTCCTCGATGGACCTCGCGTCGATCGCGGCGTGGTGCAAGGAGCACAAGCTCCGGACGATCGGCGGCGTCTGGCTCGGCGGCGTCGCCGGCGCGTTCGCGTGGAACAGCACGCGGACGCATCTCTCGGCCGCGGCGAGAGTGTTCCACACGCGCATCTACGCGCAAGCGCTCACGCTCGGGTGCTTGATAGGGAGCGCGGCCGCGGAGCTGTACGACGCGAAGTACGGCGCGGGCGGCGCGGGGGCTGGGGGCGAGGAGGTGGATCCGTACTTGTACAAGCCGAGCGAGCGCGCGAGGGGGGGGAGGGGCGCCGCGGGGAGAGGAGGCGCGCGCCAGCGGTAGACGAGATCTTAGAATAATATGTTTTGTTCGACGCGACGCATCCGCAGTCGCGATGATCGAAGGCGTTCGTCGCTGCGTCGTCAGTCCGTCGACGCGCCGAGACGGAGTCACCGCGCGCTCTCCGTCAGCGCTCTCCGCGATGTCGTCCCCCGGCGCGCGCGGAACGACGCCGCCGCCGACGATCCTCCCCAGCTCCACCGCGCCGACGCCTCTCCCGCGCGACACCACCGCGTTCCTCGATCGACTCCGCGCGTTCGCGAGCGCGTCGGATCCCGCGCGATCGGAGCTCCTCGAGGGCGACGACGCGGCGTCGTCGTGGGATAAGACGGACTGGCGCGTCGCCGCGATGTTCCAGTGGGACGAGCCCGTGAAGGTGACGCGCGCGCCGGGGAGGATCGACGTCATGGGCGGGATCGCGGACTACAGCGGCGCGACGGTGGTGCAATCCCCCACCGCGGTCGCGACGCACGTCGCGGCGCAGCGCAGGGTGGAGGACGACGCGACCCCGGGCAAGCTCATCATCGTCTCCCGGACGCGGCAGAAGAAGAAGACGGCGACGACGAACAAGAAGAAGAAGAAGACGGAGGAGGGGGAGGAGGAGAAGGAGAACGACGACGACGACGACGACGACGACGACGACGACGGGCCCGCGGTCGACCGCGGCGAGGTGTTCGAGATGCCCATGGATCAGGCGCGTTCTATCTCACACTGGTCCCCATACGACCGCGTTCGCGTGGTGAACGCCGTTCCTGAAGGACTTTGCCCGGCGCGTCTCTCCGCCCACCCCTCGCTTTCAACACCCGCCCTCGACGCCTTTCAACTCCGCTTCTGACGCCTTTCAACTCCACCCCGACGTTCGCTCGTATGGTATGGAACAACCCTCAGCTCCTCGGCGCGGCGGACGGCGTCGCGTCAAAACCGATGACGTACGACGCCGCGAAGGCGTTCTTCGACGCGAGATCGACGAAAACAGGACTGGAAGGGCACACGGTGCTGTCGTCGCAGTGGGCCGCGTACGTCGCGGGCGTCGTGCTCGTGTTGTTTCGAGAGCACGGCGTGAAGTTCACGCGCAACAAGACGGTGAAGGCGCGTCCGCGTTTTATCTCACGCCGGTCCCCGTACGACCCCGTTCGCGTGGTGAACGCCGTTCCTTGAGGACTTTCGACGGGCCGGCGCCGTCTCCGTCAATCTCTCTCGTCCAATGAAACGTCCACGTCATCAAACTACTAACCAATCGCATCACTTCCCGCCGCCACGTCGCCCGCCGATCGAACGCCTCTCGTCAGTCGAATAAAAAGGCGCACGACACGCTCTGCGCGTACGTCGAGTCGGACGTGCCGGAGGGCGCGGGCGTCGCGTCGAGCGCGGCGCTGGAGGTGGCGACCGCGAGCGCGCTGCTATCTATCGCGGGGGTAACGCTCTCGCCCAGGGAGTTATCGCTCGCGTGCCAGAAGGCTGAGAACGTCGTCGTCGGGAGCCCGTGCGGGGTCATGGACCAGGCGCGCGCGCGAGCCCATCGCGCCCGCCTCTTTTCCTCTTTTCTTCTTTTCCTCGCGTGCCGACCACACGATCTGCCACGTCACCGCACGTCGTCCAACCGCGTCACGGGACGCGCGCGAACTGACGAATCATCACCCTCCACCTGTCATCGTTCGCGGACCAGATGACCGTCGCGTTGGGGGTGAAGGATGAGCTCCTGAAGATCTCGTGCCGCCCCGCGGAATTTTTAGGCACCGCGAAGCTCCCGAGCGCGTGCGCCGTCGTCGGCGTCGACAGCGGCGAGAAGCACAGCAACAAAGAGAGGACCGGGCCGTGGAGCGCGGGGACCGACGGCCGCGCGCGACCGAATCTGAACCTGCACACCGGCTCCGACTACGCGTGCGTTCGCGTCTCGGCGTTCATGGCGCGTCGAATGCTGCAAAAGACGTACAACGTCGGCGCGCCACCATCGGAGGTCCCCGGCGCGAAGATGCGCGACCTCTCCCTGGACGACGACGTCGACGTCGGCTTGCTCGACGACGACTTGAGCGCGAAACCGCTGGAGTATCTCACGGAGATTCCCCCGCACGTGTGGGACTCGCCCGCGTTCGCCGAGCGTCTGCCGCCGGCGGGGTGCTTCATGGAGGGTAAAATTTTCCTCTCGCACTTCGCGGACAGGCACGGCGACGAGCCGCACACCAAGGTGCACCCGGACGGGCGGTACGACATCGCGGGCGCGGGCGCGCATCCGGTGTACGAGCATCACCGCTGTCGCGTGTTCGCGAAGCTCGCGCTGGCGGCGCGCGCGATTGAATCGGCGTCGGCGTCGAGCGCGAGCGCAAGCGGCGGCGGCTTCGGCTTCGACGCGTCCGCGGCTCAGGAAGAAACGGACGAGACGTTGGCGTTGATGGGCGAGCTCATGTACCAATCGCACGCGGCGTACAGCCGCCTGGGCCTCGGGTCCGACGCCACGGACACCATCGTGCGCGCGTGCAAGAACGTCGGCCCGAACCGCGGGGTGTTCGGCGCGAAGATCACCGGCGGCGGCCGCGGCGGCGTCGTCGCCGTGCTCCTCCGGAGCGGCGCGGCGGGCGCGGAGGCGTTGGAGCTCGTGCGACGCGAGGTGGCGTCCGTCACGGGGAAGCGGCCGAGGGTTTTTGAGGGGTCGAGCGACGGCGCGGTGAAGTTTGGAGCGCTCGACGTCGTCGTGTTGCCCGCGAAAAAAGCCGGGGAAGACTACGACCCGGGGTGCGTGGACCCCGACGACTTCTGAGGCCGAAGTACTTTCGTACTTTCGAAAGTACTTTCGTACCTTCGAAGGTACTTTAGCAGATATCGCCGACGCCGACGCCGACGATCCCGCGCGCTGGGTGGCCGACGCCGACGCCGACGCCGAAGTCGCGCGCGCGAGCGCGACGGACGACGAAGCCATCGCGTCGTCCTCGGCGCGTCTCCCTCTGGGCGCGACCCGCGACCGCACTGGAGGAAAGGGTTGACCGTGACCCTCGCCTCTGTCGCATCAACGCCGATTATTCCGAGTGCTTCAAGCAGGCTTGAAAGGGGGAATTTGATACCGGAGGTCGGGTGAAATCGTCAGCGTCGATACTGGTCCATCCGGTCGGAAGCTCGCCTTCTTCCCGACAAAATCCTAACAGAGGGCTCGTTTCCCTCCGCACGAGGCACACTTCTCGACGCACGGCCGCACGCATCGCGACCGCCGCATCGACCGGTGACCTGAAGTGCACCGCCCGCCCGCGTTCGCATCGACGCTCCGCGCGCACACGCGAACAGACACCGTCGCGTCGCGCGCGACAGAACGCTTTCCGCGCCCGTCGATCGATCGACCGGACCTTTTTCGCGGGGTAGAGTCCCCGATCCCGCGTCAAATAATATCGCGCTTCTAAAGCGCGCTCCCTTCCCCTCGAGCGCGAGCCGTCGAGTCGATTTCACGACGAAGATGCCTTCCACGGTGCGTTTCGTCCCGTTGACACCCCCGTCCACGCGATCGCGTCGTCGCGTCGTCGCGTGAACGAACCATTCCGGAGTGTCCGGTCCCAGGTTTTCAATCATCGTGTGCGACCTTTCGCGAAAATCGTGCGCGACCTTTCACACAAATCATCATCACATCATCACAAATCTGTTACGTGTACACGTACACGTACAACGTTGTAGATCTGTTCGCGCTTCGAGACGCGACTTCAGTTGCGGAACAGTTTCGGGAACGGCTTTTTTTTAAATCCGCCCGCTCGCGAGCGTTCTTCGTACTGACGACGAACGTCACGTCTCCCACCCGCCTTCCTCTCTTCTCGTCGTCTTCAGAAGCGTAACAACCGCGGGAGTTCCTCCGGGTTCGTGACCCGCGCGCTCGTCGCGTTTGTCCTCGTCGTCATGGGCGTCGCCGCCGCCGCGGACGCGGCGTATTTGGAACAAAGAGTCCAAAAAGAAGCCGCGGTCGCGTTGCTCGGCGAAGACGCGTTTGAAGCGACGCAGCTCGCGAAGCTCCTCGCGGCGGACGGCGCGACGTACGATTACTTCGGCTGGTCCGTCTCGGTATCCGGCTCCCTCATCGTCGTCGGCGCGAATGGAGACGACGACAAGGGCTCCAACTCCGGGTCCGCGTACGTGTTCGAGAAGGGCGCGGACGGCGCCGTGACGCAGCTCGCGAAGCTCACCGCGGCGGACGGCTGGGGGGGCGATCAGTTCGGCAGGTCCGTCGCGGTGTCCGGCTCCCTCATCGTCGTCAGCGCGGAATATGACGACGACAAGGGCTCCAACTCCGGGTCCGCGTACGTGTTCGAGAAGGGCGCCGACGGCGCCGTGACGCAGCTCGCGAAGCTCACCGCGGCGGACGGCGCGGCGGACGATAACTTCGGCTGGTCCGTCGCGGTGTCCGGCTCCCTCATCGTCGTCAGCGCGATATATGACGACGACAAGGGCTCCAACTCCGGGTCCGCGTACGTGTTCGAGAAGGGCGCGGACGGCGCCGTGACGCAGCTCGCGAAGCTCACCGCGGCGGACGGCTGGGGTGTCGATCAGTTCGGCTACTCCGTCGCGGTGTCCGGCTCCCTCATCGTCGTCAGCGCGATATATGACGACGACAAGGGCTCCGCCTCCGGGGCCGCGTACGTGTTCGAGAAGGGCGCGGACGGCGCCGTGACGCAGCTCGCGAAGCTCACCGCGGCGGACGGCGCGGCGTCCGATCTTTTCGGCTTTTCCGTCGCGGTGTCCGGCTCCCTCATCGTCGTCAGCGCGAAGTATGACGACGACAAGGGCTCCAACTCCGGGTCCGCGTACGTCTTTCAGACGAACCGCGAAGACGACGTCGAAGAAGAAGCTGACGAAGAAGCCACTGGATCCGGGGCCGCGGATATCACCGCGACATTCGACAACGTCGTCGATGGCCTCACGTTCACGACGACGGTTACTAAATCCAGCGACGGAACGTACAACGTGACCGCGGAGCAGAGCAACTCCACGACCACCACCGCTGCGTTCCTCGGCGCCGCCGCCTCGGCGGTGATGAAATCGTCCGTGACTCGCGTCGGCGCGCCCGTGGTCGCGCTCGCCGCCGTCGCCGCCGTCGCGGGAGTTTTGTTCAACAAATCTCGCCGCCGCCGCAGCCGCGTCGGGGCGGACGAAGAAACGCCGCTCGTCGAGGGTACCAAGTACGGCGCCGTGCACGTGTGAGCGAGCGATCACCGAGTTTTTGCGCTTCATCGCGCGTGGCCTCCTTGTCGTGCGTGTGTACATATTTTACATCGGCCGAGAGTGTGGAAGGGGTGACCTGAGCCTGGCAAATGCGCCCTTATAGCTCACTTCGGCGGGCGCGAACGCGTCGACCGTCAGTCCTCCGAGTCTATCCTTACATAATTGTACATATGCAATTTCAATTATTTATTTTTAACCGATGTCGCACGCGTGGTCGTCGGCTGTGGTGGTTGAAGGGTCGATCCCTTCATATTCAAATCACCTTTCACTCTGTCGCATCGGCGCTCATCGTGGTTCCGGCGCCGACGCCGGCGTCTGCGTTTGATTCGACGACGCGCGGGTTGGATAGACGCGCGTTCTACACGTTTGATCGTCGACGCGCTCGTGCGCGGCGTCCGAATGTACGGCGGGAAGATGGCGCTGCGGTCGGTCGATCGTGGAGGAGGTGGTCGCGGAAGATGGCCGCGCCGTCGGCACGCGACTTGATGAAAAGAAAAGAACAGATGTGCAGTCATCAACGAGAGCTCAGTTCTCGCGGCGCCTCGCGGCGCCTGCGCCATCGCTCCCCGCGCGGGACATGGCGTCCTCCGTAAAGTACTTCCTACTACCTATCTACGGAGGTACTTTCGAAAGTACTTTCATACTCTTCTATCTAATACGTCTACACGAGCCCTACTGGCTAGCTAGAGGACTCCGCCCGCGCCGCCGAGGTCGCCGAACCACGCGGTGAGAAAAGCGTTACAACGCGCGTACGAGAGGAACCCGCGCCAATCGATCGCGCCGGTGAAGTCGACGTCCGCGCGCGCGAACATCTCGTCGACGATCCCGTTCAAAAAGTCGGAGACGTCCAAAGTGTCGTACGCGTACACGAGCGCCTCGTTCGCGTTCCCGAGCACCATGTGCCTCGGGACTCTGAGAGTAATTGTCCATACGAGTGATGATATCGGGGTGGAGTTGAAAGGCGTCAGAAGCGGAGTTGAAAGGCGTCGATGGCGGGGATTGAAAGCGAGGGGTGGGCGGAGAGAGACGACGGGAAAAGTCCAGTCCTTAAGGAACGGCGTTCACCACGCGAACGCGGTCGTATGGGGACCAGTGTATAGGACGCGCCTGAGCGTTATGGACGGCGCCCGCGCCCCGGGCGCCCCGGCGCCGGCGCGCGCCTCGCCCGTCGGAATCGACACCGCGACGGTGGGCTCGGGCGCCGCGTCCGCGTCGTCTTCCCCGTCGTCCGCGTCTCCGCCGCCGCCGCCGCCGTCCCCGCCCGCGCCGTTCATTAAACGCCTCCTCATGAACCGTTTCGTCGGCGACTTCACCGCGCGCGTCGCCAGCGCGTCCCTCCGCGTCTGGTCTTCCAAACACGCGCGCATCGCTCTGACGCCCGCGCACACCGCGCCGTCGAGTAGCGCCATCACGCGCGTCTTCGAGAGCGTGCCGCGTTTGGCGCCGGCGGCGGCCGCCGCCGCCGCGGCTTCGTCGTCGTCGCGCGCGTGCGCTTCGAACGCCGTCCGCAGCTTTTCCGCGGCGGCGCCGCCGCCGCCGCCGCCGCACAACACCTGCATCGCGGCGACGACGTCGGCGATCCTCGAAACGCTCGCTCCGTCCTCGTCGACGGCGCGGAACAGCGCGTGCTTCATCGTCCAGTCGTCGAACGCGTCGCCGGCGGCGTCGGCGGTGGTGCCCGCAATCTCCGCCCGGTCGATCTTTCGCAACGCTGAGGGCCATTCCATACAAAAACAGTTCACCGGTCAGTTGAAAGGGGGAGCGATCAAATGTTGAAACCGAGCGGTGGGTGAAAAACTTTTGTATAGAACGCACCTGAGGCGAGCGCGTCGGCGTCCACGAACCCCCCCCCGCGCGCGTCCTTCTTCTCCCCAGCCCTGAGCTCGTCGTACAGGATCGCGAGGTCGACGCGGCGGAGCGCGACGAGCGTGGCGGGGGAGGACAGGGAAGCGGCGACGGCGGCGACGCCGCCGCGCTCGCACGACGTCGCGAACGCGCGATTCGGCCGCGGCCGCGGCGCCGTCGACGACGACTCGTCGTCCTCCTCCTCCTCCGCCTCCTCGTCGCCGCTCCAGAACTCGATCGCGACGGTCGTCGACCTCCGCGAGGACGCGCTCGACGCCGCGGCCGCCGCCGCGACGGAGGACGAGGCGTCGACCGTCGCCGCCGCGGCGTGCCGCGCGAGCGTCGCGAGCGTCTCGCCGAGGCGCGCGTTGAACTCTTCCAACTTCGTCGTCGGCTTCCACCACTCGTCGTCGTCCGCGTCCGCGTCCGGCGGCTCGACGCCTCTCTTCTTCTTCTTCTTCGCGTTCTTCTTCCGCGACGCGTCGGGGGACGTCCCGGGCGCGTCCGCGCCCTTCGAGGCGCCGCACCCCATGACGCCGAGCGCGCTCGTTGTGAAATCATTGATCTATCGGGCGTTGCGTTGACCGGGCCGAGGAATTTGGTGCGTTCCTACTACTGTAACGCTTTTCACCCACCACTCGGTTTCAACATTTGATCGCGTCCCTTTTCAACTGACCGATGAACTGTAGTCTATAGATCAGGACGACCAGCTGAGACGTAGACGTCTGTCGACACATCTCGTCCGCGCGTCGAGAGGCGTCTGTCGGCGCGGAGGATGACGTCCGCGACGCTCCTCCTCGCGCGCGCGCGTCGCGTCCTTCCTCGTCCCCGCGTCGGCGGTCGGCGTCGTCGACCTCCGCGCGTCGTCGTTCGAAGCGCCGCGAAGAAGGCCGACGGCACGATCGAAGATAGACTCTCCCTTCTGCACCCGTACGTCGCCGGCGGCGCGGCGTTCATGACCGCGTGGGTCCTCGGCCCGTTCCCCGGGTCGCTGTACACCGGGATTCCGTCGCACGACGCGCTCGTCGCGTCGCTGTACGACGCGCTGCACCTCGCCGAGGTGTTCGGCCCGTCGTCGCTCATCACGAAATATAACGAGCTCGGTCGATTGCCCGCGGTGAGACTGCTTCCCATACGACCCCGTTCGCGTGGTGCACGTCGTTCCTTGAGGACTTTCCCGTCGTCACTCTTCACCCGCGCTTCCCTTTCAACGTTTGACCGGTGAGACGTTCGACTGACCGACGCGTTCCCGATCGCTTCGCCCAGTTGACGCACGCGCTCCCGGGCGCGGCGTGGTGCGTCCTCTCCGCGTGGCAGCTGCACCCGAGGAGCCGAGAGGTCGCCGGCGCGACGTGGCATCGGTGGGGAGGTCGAGCGATGTTGCTCGCCGCGGCGGCGCTCATGTGGGGCTACGCGCTCATCGACGCGAACGGATTGCCCGCGGACGTTCACGACTTTGGAGGGCACGCGGGGGGTCTCGCCGACGCGATCGACGCGAGGGTTTACGGACCCGTGCCGGTGAACGCGGTCGGGTTGCGCGGGCTGGCGGCGTGGTTCGTGTTTACTGGGGTTCAGACGGGGAAAACGGCCAGGGAGGGGGCGTTTTCGGAGCATAAGAAGTGGGCGGCGAGGCACGTCGCCGCCGGCGCGTGGGTCGCCGCGCAGCGACCGGCGTACTCGGGTGCGTTCGTCTATCCCCGCGGTACAAACGTTTCTTTTCACCCACCGCACCGCTCGGTTTCAATACGTAGTCGATCGCGCTGGTCTCCCTTCGACTGACCGATGAACATACATATCGCGCATGGCATCGCCCGCATCAGCGTTGCGCGCGGTCGCGTTCGCGGGGGGCGCGGTCGGTCTCGTCGACGACGCGAGCGGCGCGGAGTCTCTCGCGGACGCGTTCTATTACGCGTCGTACGCGACGACGATCGCGTACTTCGCAGCCGCGGAGTGGGCGGTTAGAGGAGAGGACGGCAGCGGCAGCGGCAGCCGCGGCGGGGAGACCTGATGGTGGTGGTTAACTATCTTTAGTTTATTCGTCTAGCTAGAGACTACACGTGTAATAACAACTTAGGGCTACATAAGGTTACCCTCGCTTTCGTCGCGATCGCCCAAAACCAAAACTCCCGTAGTCGTCTCTACTCCGCTGCGGCGGCTGCCTCGCCGTCCTCGCCCTCGCCCTCGCCCTCGCCCTTCGCGCTCGCCGGCGTTTCCGGCCACGGCGCGTGCAGCGTCATCTCCGCGGTCGCCTCGCCCACCGCCTCGGGCGTCGGCGCGTCCTCAGGGCCGTTCCATACAAAGCGACGTCGGGGTGGATTTGAAAAGCGTCAGTTGGAGTTGAAAGGCGTCGAGGTCGGGGATTGAAAGCGAGGGATGAGCGGAGAGATGCGCCGGGAAAAGTCCTTAAGGAACGGCGTTCACCACGCCAACGCGGTCGTATGGGGACCAGTGTATAGAACGCACCTCGAACGCGAGCTTCACCGCACCCACTTTCGCGTCGCCGAATAAAACCTTCGGCGGTCGGAACGAGAGCCTCGCCGTCGTCGTCCTCGGCTCCCCGCTCGATCGCGCTCCCGCGCTCGCCTCGGCGACGAAGTCTTTCAAGCGCACCGTCGCGGTGCCGACGACGCGGAGGAGTTTCACGGATTTGGATTCCAGGAGCGCGGCTTCGGTCGCCTCCGGATCCGAGTCTTCCGGCGCCGCCTCCGCCTCCGCGGCGTCGCCCGATCGGTCGTCGCCCGCCACGTCACCCGCCACGTCGCCCGCCACGTCGCCCGCCACGTCACCCGCCGTCTCACCTTCCTCCGCGCGCGCCTCATCCTTCGGCTTCGGCTTCGGCTTCGGGAGCGGGTCCGCGCGCACCAGCTCGAACACGATCCCGCGCTCGAACGCGTCCCGCGTGAGATGCGAAATCGGCAGTCGCGCCAGCGCCGTCATCGGATCCTCCTTATCCGTCTCCGCCGCGGCTTCGCCGTCGTCGCCGTCCGTCGGCGGCTCTCTTCCTCCGTCGCCCGCCTCCGGATCGATCGCCGACGGCGTGCGGCGCTCCCGCGGGGTTTGCAGAGGCCCGTCCACGCCGGGGAGGCGATACGACACGAAAAACTCGGCGTCGTCCGTCGGCGCCGGCGCCGGCGCGTCGCCCGATTCGTCGCCCGCCGCCACGTCACCTGCCACGTCACCTGCCACGCCACCTCCCTCTCCGCCCTCCGCCGCCGCCGCCGGCTCGGGTTCACGCTCCGGAGGGTCGGGCGCGAACGACAGCTCGGAGAGCGTCACTCGGAACGACACCGTCGTCGGCTCCCGCGCCGGCTCGGGCGCGCGCGACGACGCGTCGACGCCCGCCGCGTCGTCTCCATCCCCCTCTCCCGATTGGTCGCCCGCTGCCACGTCACACGCCACGTCACCCGTCGCCGCCGCGTCTTCGTCTCCGTCCGCGCCCTCCTTCGCGCCCTTCGAGCTCGCTCTCGAGCCGCGCGGCACGCGCACGCCGTCGAGGTAAATCAACTCCGGCAGCGCGTCCGCGACGCGTTCGCGACAGTATCCGGGCGTCAGACACAGCGGGTTCCCCGCCAGCGACAGCGCTTTCAGGTTCGGGAGTAACGCCAGCTTTCGAAGCGTTTCGTTCACGCCGACGAGGCGGTTGTGCGTCAGATCGAGCGACTGCAGCTCGGTCGCGGCGGTCAGCGTCGCGTCGTCGGACGGCAGCGACTCGATCTCGTTGTGCGCTGGGCGAAGCGATCGGGAACGCGTCGGTCAGTCGAACGTCTCACCGGTCAAACGTTGAAAGGGAAGCGCGGGTGAAGAGTGACGACGGGGAAAGTCCTTAAGGAACGACGTGCACCACGCGAACGGGGTCGTATGGGAAGCAGTCTCACCGACGCCGAGGTGCGCGAGATTTGGAACCGCGAACGCGATCGCGACGTCCGCGACGCGGTTCGCGCCCGCGTACATCTCCGTCAGCCTCGCGCACGCCGCGAGATCATCCGGGAACGCGGTCAGCGCGTTCCCCGTGATCGTGACGCGCTCGAGCGACGCGAGCGAGGAGAGAAGCCCGCGAGGTACGCTCGCGATGCGGTTCCCTCGCGCGTCCAGGTGGACGCATCGCGCGCGCTCCTTCGCGCTCAGGTCCGGGAACGCGCGCAGGTTTTCAAACGCGCGCGCGATCTCCCCCGGGGGCGAGCGCCGCGCGGGGAGGACGCCGTCGTCGTCGTAGTCGGGAGGCGGGGCCGCGCCGCCGAAGCGTTCGGGGTCTTCGGGCATCGCGACCGGTCGTCGCGGACCCGGCGCGCGCGCGACGTCGAATGAACGAGTGCCAGATTAGGGTAAGTTGCTAGTGAGGGTGGTCGGCACTCTTCTCGCTTGTTCGGCGGTCGCTCGTCGGCGTCGGTTTCTCCGAGGTTTCCGCGCGAGCTCTCGTCGTCGTCATCAGTGTTCGGAGCGCGCGCGGCCATGGCGGCCGCCCCCGCGAAGCCCCCAGGCCCGCGCGACGGCGGATGGCTCTCGCGCCCCGTCCTCCTCGCCGTCGAACGCGTCGCCAGAGGACGCGCGCACCGCGTCCCGCTCGTCGCCGCGGGCGCGACGCTCGTCTTCGTCGCGGCCGTCATGAGCACCATGATGATCGGACGCGGCGAGGACGCGCCCGAGGAGGCGTGTCTGGGGACGAACGACGACGAGGATTACTGCGACGACCGCGGCGACGCCGCGCCGGTCGTGAGCTACAGCGGCGTCCTGTGGCCCGAGCGCGCGGTGTTCATCGCGCTCGGGACCCCGTGCGGGGTCCTGTGGTTCGTCACGATACTCCTATCGCACGCGTCGCTGCTTCGACTCGCGGACGCGGCGTGGGCGAGGCGACGAGGAGGACGAGAGACGACGACGACGACGTCGGGGGCGTTTGACGGTCGAGCGACGAACGACGATCATCGTCCCTCCTCCTCCTCCTCCTCCCCGTCGGCGGCGAACGCCGCGCCGACGCCGACGCCGACGCCGACGCACCGACCGAGCATCCCCGCGCTGCGCAAGATGGAGCCTCTCGCGCTCGTCGCGGGGCCGTGCTTCCTCCTCGTCGTGTGGGTGTCGCTTGGGGATCCGTGGCCGGGGTATTTCGTTCACGGCGCCGCCGCGTTCGTCTTCTTCATCTGCGGGATGGTGCGACGACCGACCCAGCCTCACGTCGTCCCGTTTGTTTCGCGAGTAGGACGCTCTTCGACCCCGCCCGTCGTCGGCGCTCTCGACCCCGCGCTTCGCTTTCGACGCCCGCCGTAGTGACTGACCGTCGAGACGTTTTCGCTTTTTTTTTGGCAGTGCAACGTCTGGCTCACGTCGAGCGCGATGGCGACGGTGACGTCGCTCGCGACGTCGACGGGAGAAACGGTCGGAAGCGGAGCGTTAGCAGCAGTGACAGCGACAATAGAAGAGGGTAACAGTAGCGATACCTCGGATAACGCAGCCACGGGGAGCGTTACCGGAGGAGGAGGACCCGAGACGCCGTGGCCGAGCGCGACGTTCGAGAGAGGGCGTCGATTCAAACGCGTCGTCCTCTTCGGACTCCTCGGCGCGATGGTCCCGGTGGCGATCGTCTGGGGGCTCATGATGTACGAGCTCGGCAAAGAGGCGCGTCCGCACATCGCGCTGGTCCCCGTCCGACCGCGTTCCTCGCCGAGGACTTTTGCGAGCGTCGCGTTCGGTTTCTCTCCGCCCGCGCCGCGCGTCGTCGGTTTTTTTTACTGTACGCCTCCAGTCGCGACGCCGTCTGACGCGCCCCCGACGTTCGTTCTATACACTGGTCCCCATACGACCGCGTCGGCGTGGTGAACGCCGATCCTTAAGGACTTTTGCCGTCGTGTCTCTCCGCCCACCGCTCGCTTTCAATCCCGACACACCTCGACGCCTTTCAACTCCAACTGACGCCTTTCAACTCCATCTGACGCCTTTCAACTCCACCCCGACGCGCGTCGCCTCGCGCGGACCTCCCCTCCCTCGACGCTCAGGAGCACATGATCGCCCCAGTGCAGTACCTGTGGATCGTGTGCATGACGTTAGGGAACGGCGCGTGCTGGGTGGAGATCAGTGAAGCGGAGAGGGAGGCTCCGGGGGAGGAGGAGGAGGAGGCGGCGGAAGGGGCGGGGGCGTCGAACGCCGTGTGATGCGCGACGACGCGCCGAGAGCGAGACGAGACGAGAATTTTTGGACGAGACGAGATTCTGTTGACCTGTAATCGTAGCGACGCGCGCCATCACTCGTCGTCCGCGCGCGCGATATGCAGCCGACGCCGCCGCCCGGCGGCGCGTACCCCCCCGGGCATCATCAACCTCCGCCGCCCGGGTACCAGATGATGTACGTGATGCCGACCGCGAACGGCGGGTATCAGTACCTACAGCCGGAGCAAACGATGGGCGGGCAACAACGACAACACCACCATCACTGGGCGACGGCGGCGCCGCCGCCGGCGCCGTCGGCGCCGGCGTGGGGGCAGCCCGCGGCGATGCAGTGGGGGTCGCAGATGGCGACGGCGAACGCGAACGCGAACGCGAACGCGAACGCGAACGCGCCGTCGTCGCGAGGGAATTGGTACGGCGGCGGACCGCGCCCGCCGCCGCCGCGGGAGACGACGACGACGACGACGACGAGCTGCTACCGATTCCGCGACGGCAGCGCCGTCGGCGGCGGACCCGTCGCGCCGCCGCCCGCGCCCGCGAGCGCGCCCGCGCCGCCGACGACGACGACGAAACGAAGCGGCGAGGGGAAGGGCGGGGAACCTTCCGGGGACGACGCGCGCGGGGACGGCGACGCCGATCCGAATTCGATCGATCGCGCGAAAAAAGGCGGCACCCCGGCGTCGGCGCCGCCGCCGCCGCCGCCGGCGGACGCGAAGAAGACGGAACGTCAACCGTCGAAACCAACCGAGAAGGGCGTGACGTTCCCGACCATCGACGAGATCCCCGTCGTCAAGCCCGTGGACGTCGCGTCGCTCCCGGAGGACGTGCGCGCGTACCGCGCCGAGCGCGCGAAGAACTGGCCGTCGAGCGCCGCCGTCGACGCCAAGCGGAGACGCGCGGCGGAGAAAGGCGCGTTCATATTCACACTGGTCCCCATACGACCGCGTCGGCGTGGTGAACGCCGATCCTTAAGGACTTTACTTCCCGGCGCGTCTCTCCGCCCATGACCCCTCGCTGCTTTCAATCCCCGCCCTCGGGGCCTTTCAACTCCGCTTCTGACGCCTTTCAACCTTTCGACTCCGCCTTTCATCAAACTTTCCTTTCGACGCGAAGCCTCGCGCGGGGAGGCGTGCGACGACGACGGCGGCGCCGACGCGGCGAGGCGAGCGCGGTTGAAGGAGGTGCTCGCCGCGCAGAGGGCGTTGGGGCATTACGACGCGAGCGAGGAGATCGGGGACGTCGACGGCGGCGGCGGAGGAGGAGGAGGAAGGGGAAGAGGAGGAGGGGGAAGAGGGAAGGGCGGCGGGAGAGGCATCAAAGGCAGAGGCAGGAAACGCGGCGCGCGCGACGACGACGACGACGACGACGACGACGGGGGGAAAGCGAAAGCGCCGCGACGGGAAGGAGGAGACGCGCACGACGGCGACGGCGGTGGCGACGGCGGCGATGGAGACGGTGGGACGGGCGCGAAAACGCCTCGGACCTGTCGGTTTTTTCTACGCGGCCAGTGCAAGTCCGGCGCGAAGTGTCGCTTCTCGCACGAGCGCCCCGAGCGGAAAAACAAACCGGGAAAGGGAGGCCGAGGCCAAGGCGGCGGCGGCGGCGGCGGCGGCGGCGCGCACGGAAACCAACCGCAACGACCGCCGCAGCCGACGCTCCTGAAGAAGCTCTTCGCGAAGGAAGTCCGCGTCTCGCGCTCGCGCCTGCTCCAGGTGTTTCGGTTCCTCGTGAATAACAACTTTTTGCGCGACGCGGAGAAAGCGGAGACGGAGAAACTGTGGATGTTTCCGTTCGTCGACGCCGCGCCCGCGGACGTGAAGACGAAGCTGAAGGAGCTCGCGACCGCGCCGGACGTCGAGGATGACGAGGACATCGACGACGTCGCGGACGAAGACGTCCCGGACCCGGAGGAACCCGGGCGAGCGTGAGAGAAGAAATAGAGAAGCGTAGAGCGATGACGACGGGCGAGACGGAATCGGAATCGGAACGAAAAAAAAACAAACCAGACGCCAGCCTCCTCTCCGGTCTCTCTCGCTCCGTCTACTCCGGCAGGTCCTCGGCTTCTTGCTCCATGGACGCGTCGTCGACGTTCCCTTCGTCCGAACGCGCGGCGGCGTCCGCGGCGACTTTCGCCTCGAGCGCCTCCACGGCTTTCGCCACCGCCGCCGCGGCGTCCCCGTCCCCGTCCCCGTCCCCGTCCCCGTCCCGGGGTTTCCCGCCTTTTTCCCCGCTCTCGGTCTTCGCGGCGTCCTCCGCCTTGCCCTCCTCCTCCTCCTCCTCGCCGCCGCCGGTCGGTTCCGGTTCCGGTTCCGGTTCCGGTTCCGGTTCCGGTTCCGATTTCTCCCCGCCCCCCCCGGGCGGCTCCACGCCGAGCAACCCCGGAACCACCGCCTCCATGTCATCCGTCCCCAGCTTGGAAAACGCCGAGAGGTTTTCCTTCGCGATCATCCTCAACGCCTTCCACACGAACACCTTGTCGTTCTTCTGCTTGTACGCCTCCTCGATCTGCGCTTCCGGGTCCATGTCGTCCAGGACGGGCTGTAAAAACGTCGCCATCGACGTCTCCTCCGCTTTCTTCTCGCGCAGCGAAGACGCGTTGTCCACGGAGAGATTCCACAGGCGGTCGAGCTCCGGGTTGCCCAGTTTCACGCGCTTCTCCGGGGGCACCGCGGGCTGCTTCGTCCCCAGCCGCGGGCGCTTGCGCATCACCGGCGGCGGCGGCTTCGGCGGCGGCCGCGGCTCGGACGCGCGCTGAAAGTCCTTGCAGTTGTCCTTCTTCCATCCCACCCAATACACCTCGCGCTTCAACGCGGCGGCGACGAACTCGGCGAACTCGACGCCGCGCGCGTTGGGCGGCGTCGCTGCCGTCGCCGCCATGACCCGCGCCTTGGCCTTCGCCACCTGGTCGCGCTTCACCTTGGGCAGCGCGGGCGGGCCCTCGCAGTGCCCGAGGAGGATGGCGCACTGAAGCAGGAAAGATCGCCGAAACGCGGGGTCGCGGAGTTGCAGCTGAAGCAGCGGCGCCGCGGTGAGATACTTGACCCCCAGCGCGCTCTCCTCCGCCGTCGTCGCCGCCGTCTCGTCCGACGCGTCCAGCCGGTGCGTCTCGAAGTTATCCAACACAGCCTGAAACGCGGCGTAGAACGCGTCCCACCCGCCGGCGACGCCGAGCGCGACGTTCGGGTTCTGGAAGAACGTCTGCAGCGACCAGAACGTCTTGTAGAACCGCACGTCCACCACGGGGGCGTTCGTTTTCGCCGCGTCGTCCGTCTCCATGGCGTCCTCGTCCTTATCAGGGTCGTTCCATACAAGCGAATGTCGGGGTGGAGTTCAAAGGCGTCAGGTGGAGTTGAAAGGCGTCGAGGGCGGGGATTGAAACCGTGGGGTGGGCGGAGAGACGCGCCGGGAAAAGTCCTTAAGGATCGGCGTTCACCACGCGATCGCGGTCGTATGGGAACCAGTGTATAGAACGCACCTCATTGTCGTCGTCCCCCTTCCCCTTCCCCTTCCCTCCTCCGCCGCCCTGTTCCGCGCCGTTTGTTCCGACCTCGAGCTCGTCCAGCGTCGTGACGTTCGCGCGGTTGTAATTCCCCGCGAGATTCAGCGCGCTCCGCTCGCTCAGCGCGTACAGCGACGAGAGCAACAGAAGCACGCGGCCGCGAAGCGTGGCGTCGTTGGTTTTGGAAAGCCTTCGAAGGAGGTCGTTGCACGTCCGAAGCATGATGAGCTTCCCTCGGCGCCACAAGACGTCCGCGTTCAGACGCGTGCGCTTGCCTTCGATCCACGTGAAGACGTCCTGCGCGTCCGCGATCGTGCAGCACTCCACGAGCTGCTCGAGGACGGTGAACACGACGCCGTGATCGCACACGCCCCACTCGCTGAGCGTCAACGAGAGATCTAACAGTCGAGGCAGCGACGCCGACGACGCCTTCACCTTCTTCTTCTTGCCGCCCTCTCTCCCGGCGTACTCCATGAACGGCGCCCTCGCCTCGCCCGCGTCGACGACGAGCTCGTGCAGGACGCAGCACAGCGCTTGCTCGACGAGCTGCTTGGCGTCGGACGTGTTCTCCGCGCCTGGGGTTCCGTCGTCGGCGACGACGAGGTTCGGCGCGGATCCGGACAGCGCCCTCGGCGCCGCGGACGCGACGTCGTCCGAGCTCGAGACGACGCCCGCGAGTCGCTCCTGCGCGGCGGCGGCGGGGAGGAGGAGGCGGCGCGTGAGAGACGCTCGCGGGGGCGCGCGTTCATGATTCGACGTTTCGGTCCGCGCGCGCGTCTCGATCGATCGATCGCTTAGGGTTGGTCCCCCGCTCGATCGATCGACCGCGGGAGCGCGCGCGTCGATCGGACGACGACCGGTCGGACGCCGCGCGCGGGGGGGAGGGGGGACGGGCTGGGGAGACGACGGACCTGGACCGCGGCGAGCTGCCGCTCGAATTCGCACGACATCCCGACGACGACGGCGAGCGCGCGCTGGGGCGTGTGGCGCGCCGAGCGCGCGCGCGGACGGAGCCAGGCACGAACACGATTTGAAGCCTCGATCGGTTCATCGGTCAATCGCGTCGATCGGTGGTCGTAACATTGGGTCTCAATATGATAGTCGGCACTCTGCTGGTTGAAGCCACTTGGTAGATCTTCTCATCGCGTGGCTCTAAAGGTCCAAGCGTCGCGTCGCGCGCGTTCCCGCGATCGGACACACACACGTCGGGCATTGCCCGATGGCGCCTTCACCAGGAAGGGGGCGGGGGATCATCCCCCTGCCGCCGGAGCGGGCGGGGCCTCGGGACGAGCGCGTGGACGCGCTCGTGGCCGCGCTGCGGGCGCGGACGGAGGATTGGGGGGACCCGCCGGGTGCGCGCGCGCGCCGTTCGATCTCGTCGCGGCAATTCGTTCGATTCCCGCCGACACCGTGCCCAATTAGTGCGGTCAACGTCGTCCGCGCCGCCCGCCCGACCCGCGCCGACCCGCCGCCCCCCCCCTCC